GCAAGATCATCTTTGATGCTTCAGATGCTACTGTTGATTGTGAATTAGAAGAATTAGAAGATGAACATACAACTATTGATCACATTGAACATCAACCACATAAAGAAACGAATACTATGAATGAACAAGAAAAGGAAGAGCATAGTGAGCAAAAAGAAGAAGAAGAAGAAAAGGATGATCCAATGGAAATAGATAAACAAGTCGATAAACAAGAAGAACCTCGAGTAGAAATATTTAGATTAAAAGCAAAATTACCCAAGATGGAAGCATTGTCTGATTTTCATATTGTTCCCTTCTTAAAGGACTATGATTTCTTCTCTGAAACGGATAATTCTATTCCTGACTTGGATTTAGATGAAGAAGACGAAGAAGTACTCCCAATGGATGATATACCACAAGAAGATAATTTCCAATTTGATGATTTTGACTATGGTGTAGATGATATGGATCCCTTTGAAGATGAAAATACACAATTCCCAAAAACAGAGCCAGAATTAGATTTCACAAAAGAATCTAAACCTCATGAAGATGACTTTTTGTCTGCATTTATCAGCAATGGCAATAATGAAATGTTTGATTATTTTGACTCAACATTCAGTAAAAACTGGGCAGGATTAGGACATTGGAAGCTAAAGAAGCCCATCAAGAGAACAAAACCGGTAGAGAACAATGATAAACCAGCACAAAAGAAAAAGACAAGAGCCGATCAATTCAGACTTGCATTTGATGAAGTTGAAGAAGAAGGACCTGATGATCAAATATTTGAACACTACACTAAAAGACCTACTATGAGTAAAGAGATTACAGCAAAAATGACAGGTCATTCCTTACCAGATGATATCAATTTCTCATCTAAACTGTTACTACAGTACGCTTTAAAACCTGCTCTCTATTTTGTAAGTCACTTTTTTTTTTTTGTTTGTTTGTTTGCTGACTGTGCTATAGAAAAAGACAAAACATAAGAAACTCATTGAACAAGAGAATACAGATATTGACTTTTGGGCAGATCAAACACAAGACTTTATGGATGAACCAGACTATACAAATGATGATTTTGATATGCCTATTGATGATACTCAGTTAGACACAAGTAAGTCTATTTTTTGATACCTATAGATGTATGCTAAGTATAGATAGAATATGATGATGCTTCATTTTATCATGATAATGATGAAAATGACCCTGAAATGTCTGAATTATACGGTGATGAATTAATCACAAATCATACACTGAAAAAGACAAGACCGCTCTATGTGAATTATGCCAGAACAGCCAAGCGAGTAGATGTCAAGAAACTGAAAGACAATCTATGGAAAGTATTGACTCAAGAACAAGAGAAAGTATCAGGAGAACAGAAATTCACTGATATTGTCCATCACCTCAAAAAGATGTATCCCCCAAAAACAATGCGTGATATTTCAGTACCTTTCTGCTTTATCTGTTTATTGCATTTAGCAAATGAAAAAGATCTGTCTATTCAAGGACCAATCCATAATGATGATGATGATGATGACTTTGTATTAGGTGAACAAGCTTGGATGAATAATGAATCCATCTTAAATGAAGTCACAATCATTCAAAATTAATCCTCTTTCTCATAACTCAATGACGCAATTGTTGCAATTTATTGTCTGATTCGAAATCTGTCGCACACAGGTAGATAGGTTCGAACATGACGATCTAATAAAGGGTACTTTACACATACATAAAACACAAGAAATCGACAGAAATACTTTTTTAGCCAATTTAAAGGACACATCGATCTCTTTGGTTGTGGCATATAGTTTTGCTTGAGTGATTCAGTGAAATCAATGGATTTGGTGAGTGTAGAAGGATATTTGGAAGGTAGACTGAGTGAAGTATAAGGTGCTAATTTGGCATGCGCCAGTAATTCATCTGTTGTCATGGACATGGTATGTTGCAATACAATAGACATGAGTGTAGGAGCTAGTAAGGGATATGTCTGCATCAAATGTGTTGTCTTTTCAGTTGAAAGAATATCAGGCAAATTCCAAACAGGTACAGTGGCATGCGATAAATACACATCATTTGAAGGTGGAGGTGGACATAAGTAATCCCAGTCTGTATGAATCGTACGGGGTTGTTGACTAGGATTGGTTTGAATACCACTTTTACAGAGTGCAAGTTCAACTCGAAGTCGATCATTTTCTGACTGTAGTTTGTCCATCATATCATGCATCCATTTGACTTCAATCTGAAGACGAGCATTTTCTGTTTGACAATTTTCTAACCGAGTTTCCAAAGTATTCAGATATTCTTTACGTCTATTTCTGAACTTCCTGGCTGATATCTTGTTGCGTAAAGCTCTTCTTTCTTTTGAAGGTAGTAACTTCAATTGAGCATCTGTTAGTTCTTCTTCTTCATCATCTTCTTCAGAAGGAGAGCTTTTTCGAGTTTTAGTAATGGTCGAGGAAGATGCTTCTGTTGAGCTATTTTCATTTGTTGGCAACTGAATAGGTGTGATAGCCTGGTTATCTTGTAATATCCAGTCAAGAAGAGGGTCAAGTGAAGAAGTGTTATTTAAATCCATTTTGAGAGTATGCAAGGGTAGGGAGAAGAAATCAAAGTTTCAGCCTGTGTGAACAATTCGTGTTCGGAAACTGAATTATTACCAATCGAAAACAGGTACGGGCACTTCTAGAAATAGTAAATTGCCTTGAAATAATGGTCATTTCAAGTGAATATGTTGACAATGTATGCCTATAGTGTTGATGGACCAATAGGCAGCTTCTGTTTGAATTCGTTATTGAGCATAAAAAGATGTAATCGTTCTAGTCGATGGCGCAATAAATGTCACACTAATGACAACTGTATATAAATAACACAAGGTTAGCATTCGTCCCTTTTTAATTTCATTCAATGAAGTACGACAATAAGCATCCAAGCGATATCATTGTTGATTATGAAGAAGTGTCATATAAACAACAAACACAGGAATTTATTCATGAATTACCGCATTATATCACAGACTATATTGTCAGTCTGTTTCCTATTGCCACCTGGATCCATCGCTATAATCTTCAATGGCTTGTCCGTGATCTGATTGCTGGTGTCACTGTGGGTGTTGTGGTAGTACCTCAGAGTATGGGCTACGCTAAAATTGCGCAACTGCCTGCTCAATATGGTCTATAGTAAGTAACCATTCCCTTTCAATATACAATGTCTTAACCAATTGTAGTACTGCCTTTGTAGGCCTTTGCGTCTATTGTCTGTTTGCTACTTCCAAAGATATCAGTATTGGTCCTACTGCTGTCATGTCTTTGCTTGTAGGTCAAACAATCACCAGAATTACCGCTGAAAACCCAGACATCACAGGCCCACAAATTGCTGTTGTCATGTCTCTCTTGACGGGTGCCATCGCTATGTTTATTGGTGTTGTTCGCCTAGGTATCTTGGTTGATTTTATTCCTGGTCCTGCCATTGCTGGTTTTATGACAGGCTCAGCTATCACGATCACCATTGGTCAATGGCCCAAATTGTTTGGTATCAAGGGTATCAATACACAAGACTCTACTTATCTGATCTTTGGTAATTTCTTCAAGAATCTGCCCAATACAAAATTGGACGTTGCTTTTGGTCTCAGTGGACTTGTTTGGCTTTATGGTGTACGTTATGGTTGTCAATACTTGAGTCAACGATACCCTAAGCATGCTAATTTATTTTTCTTTTTGAGTATCATGCGTAATGGTGTTGCTGTCATCTTTGGTACCTTGATTGCTTTCTTGATCAATATTGGTAAATCAACAAGTCCTATCAGTATCTTAAAGACTGTTCCTGCTGGGTTTACTGCTATGGCTGTACCTCATGTGGACACAGACTTGATTTCTTCTGTAGCCAGTTCTTTGCCTTCTGGTGTGATCATTTTGATTCTTGAACATGTCGCTATCGCTAAATCCTTTGGTCGTATCAATGATTACTCTATCAATCCAGACCAAGAAATTATCGCCATTGGCTTCACCAACATTTGGGCTGCTTTCTTTGGTGCTTATCCTTCTACAGGTTCATTTTCTCGTACAGCCATCAAAGCACGTTCAGGCGTCAAGACACCTATTGCTGGTATTTTCTCTGCTCTTGTTGTGATCTTGGCTCTCTATGCACTTACGCCTGCTTTCTACTATATTCCTGATGCCACATTAGCTGCTGTTGTGATTCATGCTGTTTCTGACCTTGTCAGTGGTCCTAAGTATCTTAAACGTCTTGCCAAAATTTCTCTTTGGGAGTTATTTGTGTTTGTGTCTGCTGTGATCATCACTTTCTTTACCACGGTAGAGTACGGTATCTATGTCTCTCTCTGCCTCTCTATTGTGATTCTCTTGTTCCGTATTGCTCGTCCTCGCTTCTGGAGTCTAGGCCGTATTCCTCTTAACCAAAAGAACGCATCTACCACACTTGAACAGAGTTACCTCTATGTCCCTCAAAACCATCCTTCTCTCGGTAAACTCGTTGAGGATTTACCTGCGGGTATTCTCATGTGTCGTGTGGACGAATCCTTTACGTATCCTAATTCGGGGTATATCGCAGACCGTATCATTGCCTATTGTAAAGAACACACACGTCGTCAAGCCACCTATGTATCCAAGGGAGACCGTGCCTGGAACGATGATGCCAACCCTACCAAAGAAGCCCAACGTGCCAGTCTACCTCACCTGCATGCGCTCATCCTTGATTTTGGCTCTGTCAATCGATTGGATTCCAGTGGTCTTCAGGCCATTGTGGATGCTCAAAACGCATTGAATCGATATGCGGGTCATCATGTCGAGTTTCATTTCTCGAATATTTCTCATCCTGCCATTCGTCGTTCTTTGATTGTAGCTGGGTTTGGAGATCAGCCTGAACATCAGCATCAACAAGAAGTGTTGCCTGTGGTGCCTACCTCTAAAGACGGTCCTGTACAATCAAGTAGTCATCATGAAACCATTGAAGAAGTGATAGAAACAAAGAAAGAAACAAAAGAAGATACAGAAAGCGTCAAAACTGTACGTTCGATTCCTTTGCCTCGAGATAAATATCCATTCTTTCACTGGAGTGCAGATGAAGCTGTCAGGGCAGCTACAAGAAGCCTTGCTTATCGTGAACAAGTCACCCATCCTTAGTCTTAATAGTTGTATTATATTGTTTATTTCTCATTAATATCATCCTACATTTTACCAGAACAAAAAAAAAAAAAAGGAAAGGGGGGGGAGTGTTGCTTTTATTGTCTTATTCATTTGGCTTGTCTTTTGGATTTTATGAATGTGACAATGATCTTGAGTAAAGCCAAAAAGACCAGAATATAATGTAAGACCATGGTGATTTATAGGCAGAAAAGAAAAGAATGAGAGAAAAAAGGATGAACATCACAAACTTCACGTGAAAAATGGCGCTTTTCTTGCATGAAAATGGAGTTTTAAAGTAGTCAACCACTGGACTAAATATAGTCTCATGTTAAAAAGATATTAAGTATTGAAAGCAAAAAGAGAAAACAGTTTAGAATGTATGGTAGATATGTTGTACTGTAAGCTTTTTTTTTGTTTTATATATAGACTTTATTTAAAAAAAAAAAAAAAAAAAAAAAAAAAAAGAAAAGAAAAAAAGTGCACTCTTTGCTTCTCATCGCGATACACAAACACTGTTGATTTAAAACCAACGTATGTAAGTGTCTTTGATGATACAACAAGTTGAGAACACCAAAAAAACTGTTATTAATAGAGCCCTGGTACCCTAAGGAACCCGGCCGTATGAAATGGTAAAGCAAGCTCTTGGTAACAGGGACCACCACATCAAGGCAATATGGAACTCATCAAGTCTTACTTATCTAGGGAATAGGAGAAACAAGTTCTTAAACACTTACTGGGCGAGGCCAGTCGAAGCGCCAGAAAAGGATAATAAAAACAAAAAGAGGATGAATAGATACCCAAGGGTATGAGAACTAGCTACAACAACAAGAACACCAAGAGCAACACCAGAAACACCGTTGTAGATAGTACTTAGAAAGAAGCACACCAAAACACCAGAGCAAACAAACTTAGAAAAAAAAAAGGAAAAAACAAGAGGCGTGTATACCCCCTTCTATTTTATGCGCATATTACAATTTTTAGATTCAGACGAGTGACGCATCATTTTTTGAGATGCTTCCTCTCATCTATTGTCCATATATATATTTAGAAGCCAGGACTATGTCAATCATGAGTCTTTGGCTCATGGTATAAAGCAGTTTTTCAATTTCACTACAGAAAAAATACTCCTGATGATCTTTTGCATAGAGTTCACCTGTTGTTCTTTATACAATGAGATCTGACAAAATGGAAATTCGACTATGCATGCTTTGTCGATACGGGCTTTTGCAGCAAGTGTTTATATTCTGAATAAGGATTATATACAGAAGAAAGCGTCATTTTATAGTTGTTTGAGAATAAGATCCTTAGAGATGAGCACGAAGAAAAGTTTCAATATAACATAGTCCAATCTGATAAATCAGCCAGTTTTGTATTTCTTGTCTTGTAATCCAAGACTTGTACATCAAACGAAAGGACTCCATAATTCGAAAAGAAAGTGTCATAGTCTCAATTTGCCTTTCTCTTAAGAACTCTGTAACTCTATCAAAAGCCTTGTATTTGAATAGATAATACAAACTTAGTAGCCCTAACACCTTTGATGCATTTTTTTTTTATAACGCGCTATTTGATGTCGCGACACAAACTTTTCCAAATATGAAGACAACAATGAATACTGTGATTTTACTGCATATCTTCTCCTTTCTCTTGTTTTGATAATCAAACTTATGCTAACAAAGATAGCTAAATACCATCCAACAGGCGAAGCATTCCTTACCAAACTAACCCACTTGGGACAAGACAAAAGTTCGAATGCAGCATTTGACTTTTCAACAATCGATCTCGATAGTTTTTCCACAAAAGAAAACGATCCAACTACATCTACCGTCAGTCAACTATTCAGTGTATCTGAGTCCCCTACTATCAATATTGGCGACAACCTGAACTGCACTAAAGACCAACAGCAAGGCGAAATAGACAACTGGTCATTAGAACTCGATCAAGAAATATTCATCAAAGATGCTACAGTTGTTGTCTGGAGTCGGGGAGGACGAGTCCTCAAGACATTTGACTATAGTGAAGAAGACCAAAGAATCCAAAAAGTACTGTTTGCCTGGTTTCCCTTAGAGTCTCACAACGCTGATCCAACAAAGAGACAAGCAGTCGATGTTGATCTGAACGATCTAGGAGGTGACATGCATCTTGTCAAAGACTATTGGAATAAACGAGGACCACAAGTCTTGATGGATTACAATAAGCTCTTGACCGAGAGTGATGACAAAAAGTCAATCAAAATACCTGAAACGATTGGCTTTCAATCACAACAACAACAACAAGCATTATGCATTGTGTTCATGGATCGTATACGCATTCATTGCGAAGATGGACTCAATTATACAATAAGTATCCCATTTGAAATTGAGAATGTAGTTCCCTTAGACCTTGGTTTATTAATCAGCCGAAAGCATGACACTAGCAAACGTTCAAGAAGTAAATCAGTCACTCGCATGTCTAGCCTAGATTCAGTCACTGCAGCCACAACCACTACAACCACTAGTTGGGATATTTCATCATTTTTTGCTTCAATCACTCATCCTTTATCAGAACCTTGTCCTGTCAAAGTAAGACGGTTAAATACATCATCAGCATCGGATACATCTTTGGAGCTACATCGCTTGATTTATGCTTCTACTCAGCTGTCTGATAAAAAGCGTCTACCGGTCATTGTCACACTTAATCTTCAGAATCAAAAGCATTATATCTGGACATATGAAAGGCGTAAACAAAAGACTAGTTCTGCTTTAAAACAGGCACTTGCTGCAGCACGTAAAGCCAAATCAAAAGAAGAATGGCTGGCACTCAACAGAAAAAGAAAAAGGACGTTTTCAGACACAAAGGCACAGTTTCATGAAGGCTCAGTGAATGAAGAGACATTGTATTTGAACGATATTGAAAAAGAAGTTTACGATACTATGCTGGATCCAAGCGAATTATCATTGACCAAATTATGGAGCGAAGAGAAACGATTAAAGTAGCCGTACTTGTATAACATAGACTTGACTCATTCTTGTCTTAAATAGGCGTTTCAAGAACAAACCAATGAAATATGTGATGGAAAACATTAGCTCTACAGCATTTTTTGTACACAATTTAAGTGGACATGAGTTGATTTGCATCTTTAACAAAACTACAGGTAGTCTGCAGTTAGTGAACCTTGAGAAGGCAGCGCAACTGGATGGCGATATTGTCGAATTCAAGGCGGTGGCTAAATCAGTGATTGCCGTCAATGCCACTCGAGACAGTCATAAAGACTTGGTTTTCTTGGATACAGATGGAAAGCCTCAATTGTTTGTTGATACCCGTATACCACTTATACCACTCCATATTCATACCAAGCAAGACATATCTATTTCAGAATTAACAGAGAGCGTACACAATCGGTTTAACGTTGAATTCAGTGATGGTACTATTGACCGCTATCAAATCAATTTTCAACCACAGACATCGCTTGTACGTGATTGTTTAGTCGCTATCGACTGTGCTAATACAGTCTTTTATACCAAACTGTGGTATCGCTTTATCAAGCTACGCTATCTAAATACAAGATCGAATGTCGCTACACGCCCAAGTGAGTGGGAAGCCTTTGTAGTTTCCCTATTGTCTTTTTTACCTTTAAAGGCAAACAGGAAATTGTATTATTCTGTCAACAACCATTACAACAACATGTCAGATAAAGATATCCAGTTACGGCAAATCAGAGCTTCAAATACAGCCTATATGACGCATGAGCTTGGTCTTGGTATACCCAATCATGTTCACAACTATGGTTTTCTTCTAGACATGGATTATGTGCAAGGGATTCCATTATCATGGACTGACCAAGTGTTTGCTCTTTACAACAATGAAGAGATCATTGGCACAGTTGATGTTACGAGCATCATGAAGAATTTGCACGTCGTCTATGAAGACTATCGTATCAAAAATACAATGGAAATGCATGCCAAAAGACTCGGCTATCTTTTAATGCAACTCTCTGTCATTTTAAGAAACCAAGACTGGATTTATTATTACCACAGTCAAGGCATTGTACCTGAATTCACTAGAAACTGTAAGTATGTTCATTGAGTGCTACAGCGATTTTCATAAATGTGTAGTATCCCTTGTTGATAATGAAATGCAAGAAGTCTTGATTGATCCTCCTAATATTGAAGTATGTTTACAACAAATGGCTACTGGATTAGGCGCTATTCCAGCTTTGCTTAGTTTCTTTGGTGTGGATACACTTGTGCCTACACTAACGCATTGTAGAAATACCTATGCCAAGACAGTTCAAGATCTGTGGTCTCTTTATCATGCTATTTACTATAGCACAGGCGACAGCAGTCTTTTTATGGAACGACTTCATGCTTCTCAAGTTACACGTATGCATATCGAGACATTAACTAAGACAATTGCTGCTCCTATTCTAGAAGCATTAGATAACTTGAAAAACAAACCTCCTTTGAACTGGAGCAAGGAAACTTATAATGTGATAGGAAGAAACGACATCTTTAAACAACTTCAAATGGTCGTGACAGTTTGCGATCCCAACACAGAAATATTTAAGCTTCCATTATCAGAGGTAAGTAAAGCATGTATAGATGATGACATGTTACTTATTCGCCTAAAGACTTCAGATGGTCCAGTCAGTATGGATAGTTTGATAAAAGAGGTCCTTGAGCTACCTACGCAGAAATGTATTTATGAATCCGATGTCTTGAATATGGAAACAGAGCGTCTTAGGTTTGGGTTTGGAGGTATTATTGAAAAAGTTCGAACCATGTTAGATGCAAGCCGTATTCCTGAACATGTTGCACCTCAACACTTGACAAACCTCAGGTATGTGTGTATGTGTCTTCTTAAATGATACTTAAGCAAGATGATAGTGATGATGATCTGGATGCAGAATATCAATCACAAGTGATTTTGCTCGTACAAAGAACACTTTCATTAGCTACTGGAAGAGCCATTTATGCCTATGCAACACATATGCCAGACCTTACTAAAACATTGCCCTTGGAACCTATCAAAATGGCCGCAAAACTTCTACCTTTACGTACGACTGTAAACCTGGACGAAAGTTTATGGAACAAGGAGTTTTTACATTGGCCTCAATTTCACAACGGTGTGGCAGCTGGTTTACGGATTTCGCCTAATAATTATGTCAATGATTCCTGGATTTCTTTTTGTCATCCAGGCGAACTTGAACCTCAGCATGGAGGTATGTTGCTCGCTATGGGACTCAATGGTATCCTTAAACGACTGACTCTGGAATACTGGTATCATATCATACGACAAAGCTGTAGTTTAGTCTCTGTGGGGTTTATCATGGGTATCGCTGCTGCTTATCGAGGCACAGAAGACAAGAAAGTAACCAAGCTATTATCCGCTTATATCCCTGCCTTACTTGAGCGTGATGTGGCACCATTCAATCAATCGAATCTGATTCTAGCGAGTAGCTTATTGGGTTTAGGTCTACTTCATATGAACTCCTGCGATAAAAAGATGGCCACCGTCATGCTGCAAGAAATCGGTAGATATGTCACTCATGATCTTTCTCTATTAGAAGCAGATTATCAGACATGTGCGCTTGCTGCTGGGTTTTCTTTAGGCTTCATTACGTTGGGCAAAGGCAAGCAAGACTTAAAAGCCATCGATCCTGACTTGTGTAAAAAACTATGCGCTTTAATGCTAGGAAAAGAAGGTCCTGAAAAACGAATCAATCTGGACATCACATCGCCTGGTGCTACTATTGCTTTAGGACTCATGTATTTGAGAACAGAAGCCAGTGATGTAGCAAGATTGATTGAAATACCAGCGACTCGACCTCTTTTGAACTACGTCCGTCCAGACTTTTTAATGCTTCGTATCATTGCTCGAAACCTAATCATGTGGAGCACAATTCAGCCTACACATGAATGGATTCATGGTCAAACACCTTCTTTTATCAACGCAGAAGCACAGGCCATGAATGAGATTGATGATGAAAGAGAAGTCATGAAGCAAGCTGAATATAATATTGTTTGCGGTGCTTGTCTTTGTATGGGTCTACGCTTTGCAGGTTCAAAAAACGAACAGGCGTTTGCTTGTCTATTGGACCAATTAGACAGATTTACAAGATTACTTCATAGTCCAGCTGCTACATTCCAACAGCGGATCACAAAGGGTATTGTTAGTGCTTGTGTGGATGTGCTCTGTACTGCAGCAGCTATGGTGATGGCTGGTACAGGCAGACTAGAACTCTTGAGAAGACTTGAAGATCTTTATCATCGCGTCAATAACGATACCACTTATGGCAATCATATGGCTATCTCCATGTCCATGGGTATGCTCTTCATTGGACTTGGGGGCTATACGCTCACAACGACAAATGAAGCCATTGCAGGATTGTTGTGCGCCTTCTATCCATTTTATCCTCTGTCTACTGAAGACAATCGATACCATTCACAAGCATTTCGTCATTTATGGGTATTAGCTGTTGATTCTCGATGGTTGATGCCTATTGATGTAGCAACCAAAAAGCCTTGTCGCGTACCTATGCGTTTAGAAATATATGAAGATGATACCATACCTTTAGCTCAAAAAGTAGCACATAAAGTAAGGCTGGAGGCGCCTACAGTTGTCCCTGATTACAAGTTGATAAAATCAATTCAAGTGAATGGAGACCGATATTGGCCTCTTTCTGTGGATATGACACAGCATGGCGATTATCAAGAATCTATCAAAAAATCAGGTGTGATTTATGTACAGCTGAAAGAAGACAAAAAGAACTATGAGGAAGATCCAGATGGTAGAAGAAGCTTATGCTTATGATCATCTGTATGTAGCCCTGGCTTTTAAAATAGTATTTAAATAGTCAATTTCATCTCTCTATTGTTTTTCTGATATAAATGCAAAGCTTTCTTCCATCACCTATTTTACTATATTCTGATGAAGAAGATACACTTCTTCAACCTGGTTCAAAATCAGAAAAAGATGATACTAAAAAAAAAAGTGATACCATCGACTGCCTAAAGCACTCCTCAAAGCGTTCTTTTGCATAGTGCTCCTATAAATAAACCTGTATTTAAATTTCAATCAAGGTAAATTAACATTGACAATCAAATGAAGTAGGTATGGTAAGCTTTGATCAAACATTGACTTCAATACATTAGTGAGACTATCCTTCATACCTTCTGCAGCCTTATTTACGTTTTCTCGCTTGTGACGATCATCATCATGCCATTTTCTATTCGTGACTAGCATGCGTATCAATAAAGGAACAAAATTCTATTGATTTTACCTCTTTCTTTTTAATGGCAAAAAACGAAAATAAATTCAATTTTGATAAAGACGAGCGTGTTCTTTGTTATCACGGTCCTTTTATCTATGAAGCCAAGGTATCTTATCAACATAAACCAAAAAAAAAAACTAGAAAATAGCCTGAATAAGTCGTATATAGATCTTGAAACGAGAAAAGAAAGAAGATCAGGATGAGCAAGAAGGAAACCAATATTTTGTTCATTATAAGGGTTGGAAACAAACGCAAGTATCGACTTGGTCTTTCTTTAATTTAATTCATTTTTAGGTGGGATGAATGGGTCACAGAAGACAGAGTACTTAAATATACAGACGCCAATTTGCAGAAACAAAAGCAGCTTAAAGAGTCCAATTTGAAGAGAAAATCATCCCGTGCTTCTGTTGGTGCCAGTGCAACACCCGAAAACGCATCTGAATCAAGAAGTCGAAAAAGACACCGTGACTCAAGTATAGATAAAGCAAAGCTTGTGAGTGAACTGCAAAAAGACCAATTTTATGCTTATCGTTTATACACTAGGATGAAGACTGCAAGCGACCCGAATTCAAATTGACCATACCAGATGCATTAAAGGGATTATTAGTGGATGATTGGGAAAACATAACGAAAAATAGACAGATTCTGGTTATTCCACGAGAAATTGTAGTAGACAAGATCCTTCAGGATTTCAAAGAACAATGCATGATGTAAGTTTTCTGTTGTATTTCTATTTATACTGAATTATTTCAATTAGCAAAGACGAAGCATTAGAAGAGTTTATTAAAGGCGCTCAATTATACTTTAATAAGACATTAGTCACTTCTTTATTGTATCGATCAGAACGCAAGCAACATGAAGAAGTATGCAGGGAAAAAGAACCAAGCAGTGTCTATGGCGCGGAACATTTGCTTCGTTTGTTTGTTGAAATTCCTAGCTTGATTAGTGAAGCAAACATTGATACCGACACAATGGCTGAATTGAAAGAGCGTTTTGAAGATTTACTGAGGTTTGTATCAACATCCAAACAGGGTTGCTCATTACGATTTTTTTTTTTTTTTTTTTTTTTTTTTTAGATTTATTCAAAATCATGAAAAAGATTATTTCTCAAACGACTACAGTACTTTGACTTCAGATTAAGATAATTTTGTACTTTTCTAGACTAATTAAACATTCTTTTTTTCTTTTGATACGAATCAAACATTGAAGCGCTTATGTAGTAACTGTTGAATACCAAGAATAAAAGCTTTTTTTTTTTGTGTTTTCTTTCACTTTTTTCCAATTATGACATTTACATTGTTACTTGTAGTACTTTGACTCTTAATATATTATATGGCCCCAAAGGAATACTACTTGGCTTAGAATAAATGGTAGATATATACTTTCTATTGTACCACTTACTAACTCTTACATATAGCCCTTTTGATTCTTTGTCCTTTGCTTCTTGCTCTGCCTTTTATAATGTTTGGGTTGATACCTTGTTGTGCCACTGGTTTGGCATCAAACGTTTGACATGCTATGCGGATAAGAAATGATTGGTAAGGTATTATGCAAATTTATCTTTAGAGCTTTAATTATCGTTATTTACTAGTTTATACAAGATGAGATAAAGCGAATATGACATAGTAGTATCAAGGTAATGCGTTTTTTTTATATGCTTCTTATCAAGATATTGTTTTAGACGTTTGCTTATGAAGACTAGCTATGATATATTTATACTTTTGACCGTAAATAAAGAAGGCCCTGTTCAAGCTTGATAAAGTGTACACACAAGTACCTGTAAACATTCTGACCACCTTCTACCCATCTATTTCAATATAACCTATTGTACTAAAAGCGAGTGCAAAAATAGCGATAGTAGTAGTGGTAGTAACATTTATTAAAAGCAATAGATATATTTTGATCCCTAATTCTATTCTGTTCTATTTCTACACAAATGCAATCCATCTACGGTAAAGCCCAACCGAGAGGTATTGATCCCAAAATCTAGGGGAGGTATTCAACTACCTCCTCGTATCCGTGTAGGCATTCTACATAGACTGATCATTTCTGTTACCCTTCTATTCTCTGCTCTTTCTTATAGTCTAATATAGGTGACAATGTAAACATTTCTGGCAGGGATTGAAAATTGTAACCATTCTTTAAAAAATATGCAAAAAAAGTAAACAATGGAATAAAAGTACAGCAAGATGCGGAAGTATCAGGATGTTTCGTTGACGAAGGTTGCAGGTCTTGAGAAGGCAAATTGAATGCAGTAAAAAAAAATCACATACTCACTATCAGGATATTGAGCAATGATCAGAAAACGTATTTTAAGTTTTCTCATCACAGCGCATTATTCTTATAGTACTTTTGCAATGATAAGGCTTTCAGTGTATTTTATGGCACTAGACAAACATTTCGTACTAAAGATATCTATCGTTCACAAATCGTGATTTTGTGAAAAATAAAAAATTTGACAGGGTATCATAAGGGCTTTGACCAATTTTTTGGTCATTCCAAAAAAAAAAGTTATTTTTTGCATGGATAAACTGTTGCATGTATTTAAGATGTTTGAAAAAGTGAACCTGAAGCATTTTTTGAAGCAGTTGTGAGCTTAAATTGATGTATTTTCAAGCTTGTTTCATACAACCACAATGGGCTAAGAGAGAAAGCGATTGATATACTTTGCCATAAAAAAGAAACTGCAGAAAACGTAGTTTCTGATTATTGCTATTAGTTGAAAACGATATAAGCTTTTTTTTTCTTTTGACTTTGATTTGCTTTCAATCCAGTGCCTGTGATTGCAGGGAAACCAAGATTTCAAGCTTTTTCAACCTCCGAAAAAAAAGACAAAAAAGCTCAGGTAGGGGGCTTTTTTTTTTCTTTTGACATTTTATACAGCAATATGAACACTCTCAAGACTATTGCTTCCAGATTCACAAAGAAGAGCACCATGCCTTCTGTTGTCTCTCAATGTATGCTGTACTCTCCCATAAGTTTGACTGATATATGTATATATATTTCTAGGTACTTATGCTACAACTACAAAAACGCCCAAGGTCAATGTCATGGAAAGAATCACACAACAACAGATCGAAAAAGCCAACATCGATGGCCGTACTGAATTGTTTTCTCGCAAAAACCCTCAAGGTGTAAAGCCAGGATCTATTGTTCTTGTCGAAACCTTGAACGGACCCAACGAGACCACTTCTTCTACTTTTATGGGTGTCTGTATCGCTATTCGTCGCAAGGGTATCGATACTAACTTTACACTTCGTAACATTGTGATGCGTGTTGGTGTTGAACAAAGATACTCGCTCTATTCACCATTATTAAAGAGTATCAAAGTGATGCAAAAGCCCAACGAAATCAAGTTTAGAAGAGCTAAATTGTTTTATTTAAGAGATCAACCTGGCAAGGCTTTCCAACCTTTGCAAGCATTATGGAAGCAAGAACAATTAGACAAGGCAAAGAAATAAATGTGACATAGAATAAAAAAAAATAGTATTACTATAAAGAAACAGCAGGAGTATAGTGTACTTTGGCTAGTCCAACGCCTCCTTTGATGGTCAATAAGGCATCATGAGGCATGTTATCTCTGAGTGTTGTAAAAGCAGGTAGTTCTCCTTCTGTCCATTCATCATAAATGCAGCTGAATATAGCCTTTCCTACATCATCTTGATCTGCATTATATGAAATATCCCAAACAACTGTGCTTGCTTGTTCTTTTGAGTAAACAGTCAATGCATGGATACTGTTGTCTCCTTTGGGCTCTACATAATGACCGTTTAACCAAGCATGTAAATCACGGATATTGGGGTTAGTAAACTCGAGTTGACACAACAAGCTATTCTGAACTTGCGTAGTAATATTGAGTTTACAGATACCTTCATGACATGCAGAAGGCAAATAAGAAATCTTGATTTCCTTGCTAGGATGTCGAGCATAGACAGGTGTCAATAATGTCTGGTAACTACAACGGGTCTGGTATGTCAAATAGGGTTCGCAATGAACCGTGTCATATTCAGAAGAGGGTAATACTTTCTTGAGTATCTTCTCAAGTACACCAAAAGTCGAGCCAGTAATTAAAGTAACAGTAGAGAGAGCTTCAGAAGCATTGTATTCTTGGTTAAAGACAATACGATTAGGTGAGCTGTCATCATTAAAGGGACTAGCGATAAAGCAAACCATCATGATGACTACAAACACAATGGAAGCACAGAAAGTGGTTGTGCGTAATTCACCAGCAGCTTGAGCCCAAGGCAATAAATGAAGGACAATCAACACAATTGGAGTAGCCAATAGACCATAAATAGCCCATTCAGGAGTGCCATCGGCACTTGTATGACGCATTGAATCAATCACCAAAAATAAGAATTCAGTCAACAATGTGCCTGGCAACAAGACTTGGATCAAGAAAGCCAAAGACCAATAACGACTGCCATTGATAGCCACATCACTGTCCTCTTCTGTTTTGGAAGGCATAGTGCCTGTGAGTAATACAGTAGCCAAAGAACTACTGATAAAGAAGTAAATGGCAAAATAAGTAGTTGCCATCTTTTGAGTAGCCAATATGGTTGCTGCTAAAAGCAACAACCACCAAAACGTCGTCAATCCATAGAATCCAACTTGTGTCGTATTCAAACTCTCTTCCAACATGAATGAATGTTTGGTCAAGATCCACTGAGACAAGACAAGGCCCAAGAAAGAAACGGCAAATAAATAAACAGTGACAAAATAAGTAGATCCATAAGTAGCAGAGGGGTTGATCAACATTAAGATCCAAGAAAAGAAAGCAACAAACACAACCATAGAGACAAGAGCAACGAGAGTAGAAAGGAGACCTTGTCCAATAAGCCAAAGATTATGTTTTAATGCCACTCTTTTGGCGTCTACATGACCTCCATTGTTAGTAGAGAACCAAAACCAAGTGAAAAGTCCCAAAGGAATAAGCACAAGTGACAGTACATTTAGCAATTGACAGGTGAAAAAGCTATAGACAAGCATAACACGGCCCAGAATATCGTAGTAAATGATAGGCTCAGGTTTACCTGCTTTTTGTATGATGCTCTCGCTTTGATCAATACTAAGTACAGATCCTAAAGCCATTTGTCCCATATGTTGCAAAGACTGGGGAGTTGTATGTGCCAAATCATCTCTTTGTGTGTGATAATGGGATCGAGGATAATAAAATGAAATATCAAGACCAGGAACACCATATTTAGAAAACACAGTGTAGTCTGTATCACTCTTGAGCAATTTAGCATCGAGTAAATCTTTACCCAAAGGAGAAGCATGTAAATAGCCAGCATTTGAAGAGGCCAGCCCTTGAACAGCAGACAAAATATTACTACGAAGCAAAATAGCTCGACCACCAGCACCTGTGCCCTCCAAATTGACAAACAACTTGATCGTAGAGAACCAAGGATGAAGTACAAACGCATCAGCACCAATCAAACCGCCTTCTTCAAAGTTATTAAAAAGGAAAATCACTGTGTTTTTGGGAGGATGTTGTACAAAGTAACGGAGCAATTCAAGAGCAACTGCCGTGCCCATACCATTATCAGTTACACCATGACTTGTAGATACACTATCTACTTACTATTAGACCAAAAGTACTTACAAGCTCTCCCTTACCGTAATGAGCATTGACAAGAAAAGATTCGTTTTTGTTATTTGATTGTCCTACGAGTCGAATCATGACGTTGCGTGATTCTACTAGCCAGTATTCATCTAAGTATTTGGAATTAGTCATTGGATTTGCTTCCTCTGTTTCTTTACTTGCCTGCGCTGAATTTATTTCGCTTAGTAACAATATCAGTTGGATCTTGATCAATGATATCCATCTCAATACCATTATTGTTTGCTTCTGCTTTGAATTCATGTGCTAATTTAACAATCCAATCTTTGAGATAGCCATTTTCTCTTTGGTTGGCAGAATGGGGTGCATTGAAATGTGACAAGTATTCGTTATAGCAATGAATACCGGCAAACCCGTTCTTTTCGCGTGCTTCAACGTCAGAAAGAGGTGTAGGCAAAGTACTGCGAATGAAATAAATCAAGGCCATAAAGGCAAACAAGACACCAAGTACATAACCATAGATAAGTTTAGGTGAATTCTTTTTATATCTCGAGGTTCTTTGACCAGTTGCCCGAGATAATAAAGGCGTTGTCTCTTCTATTCTTGAAGAAGAATCCATATTATAAAGAAAAAAAAGAGACGCTTTAATGCGTGGGATTCTCGGCGCGTCATAACTTTTGTTTTATTTTAAAACTCCATTTTATGCAAAAAAAAAAAAAAGTATCATTCAACAAAACATTTTTTTCTCAAAAGAAGTGTACATGATAAAGAGAAGTTATAGTAGTGATTTATCAAGAGTCTAAAGCAGTTAGGTCGAGAGTTTAGAACAATAAGGCGGCAATTTCATTTTCTTTGTTTATAAATAATTCTAGAGAATTGCGTAGCTCCAACGCGTATAACGCGTACATAAATAATAATAAAAATGAGAGAATTAAAAGGTACGTGCAACCAAATAGTGGCCCCCAACAGGCATATTCAGCCGAATAGACTGAAAAGAGGGAACTGATGTACATGGATAGACGCGAATGGAAGGAGAAATATAGTGTAAAAGATAGCTTGTACTATATGCATAGACAATAGGGAAGATTTCCAGGAACATATGCTAGGCCAAGTAAAAGATCAAGCAATCATGCTTGCACACTTGGCTAGAACAGAGGGTCTACTGCTTAGATTAATACTCCCTACATTTAGCCTAGTAGTCGACCACAAAACGCCGAATAAGACACTGGAAATTTCAGCGCAAGAAATAAAATAAAAAAAAGAGGAAAAAAAATCAGGCGTTTGCACAGCTTAAATTGACTACTAAACTCAAAATTCACTCACTGCTTACATTTCAGCGAAAATGTAGTGATAAAACGCCTGAAGCTCTCGAGAGAAAAGACATGTTTGATGAAAGCAATTTTATGCAATGATAAAGGGCTTATTATGCTACGCGTTTGCATTTCATATGAACCAAAGTTCAACATAGTCAATAGATTTTAGTTTTGTCAGGATACTCTTAGAATAGAAATATCCATAGATAATCATAAGAGACTTCAGTTTCTTTCTGCATACATAGTAGAAATGAGTTGACCTTTTTCTTAAAAAAAAAAAACTGGATTTCAAAGCCAACGCTTTTTTCTATTTCTTTCTTTATTAGTAATCTCGACATGTCAAAAGCAGAAGCAGAACAGCATAAGGCTAATGGTAAACACATCAAAAACTTTCAGACCAAATAACCCCTCTTTTTAAAAGGCAATAAACTTTTCTCGGAGAGACGTTTTGAAGAAGCTATAAAAGAATACACTTCGGCTATTGTAAACGATAGCAATACAAAGAGCTTGTTAACAAGTATTTAGATAAAGGATTCCACTGTCTGCGTGTATTATACAAACCGTGCCTTATGTTATTCCAAGGTAAGAGAATGGTTAAAAAAATATCTAATGATGAATTAGTTGGAAAATTATGATCAAGTCATTTCTGACTGTCGAAAGGCTATTGAAATTGATGCTTCAATGGGTAAGACAAAAGGAAAAAAAGTGTACATATTCATGGCATTGTTTATGATATTCTAGTGAAGGCCTATTATTTGGTAAAAAAAAAAAAAAAAAAAAAAAAAAAAAAAAAAAAAAAAAAAAAAAAAAAAAGAGTAAATCTATGGCCACAAGTTTAATTGTCGAATAGATTGGACAAGCTTTGACCGAGAAAAAGCAGCACAATGAAGGTAAGAATCAACTTTATTTCTCTTATTTTTCTAACTCGATCACTATCAGCATTGAATAAATTGAAAAAAGGTATCTCAATAATTTGTATATCTTTATCTTATTTGATGTAGGTTATGAATTGGCTATTGTACAAAAGGTCAAATTTGTCAATGATATTCTCCAGGCATTGCTTGTAGCCAGAAAAAGAGTAGGTCATTTAACCTGTATTCAATTTCTGATTTTATACATAGAAATGGGAGGATGATGAAGCTATTCGACTCGAAAAGGAGTCTGAATTATTACGCTATGTAAAAGGATTGATAGAGAAGGAAAGAGCAGAGCAATTAGCAGCTGCGGACAAAGAAGATCAAGAGGCTGTTGATACCATTCATTATCATATTGTAAGAAACAAACATGTTTGATGATTTGACCTACTTTGCATATATAGGATGAGCGTTTGTCCAAAGTAGAAACAGTCTTTGTCCAATCAAAAGAGAATTCCTCGGTAAAGAGATAGATGATTGATGTACATATACTGATGACTATGTATAGAGAAGAGAAATTCCTGAGGCTTACTTGGACAAGATTTCATTCAATATCATGCATGATCCTGTATTCACACCAGACGGTATTACCTATGAACGTCAATCTTTAATAGACCACTTTCACAGAAACGGCAATTTTGATCCCATCTCAAGAAAACCATGTACTGAGCAACAGCTTATACCCAATCTATCACTTCGAGAAGCAATTGAAGACTTTTTGAAAGATAATGGATGGGCTGCAGGTAACCAAGACGTTGATCATGGTCTATGAATAACTTTTATATAGATTATTAATAAATGTACAATGTTTGCTGATGTTTTTTATTATGTAAGATTAAGATGATGATTTTTTGGTAAAAAAGTTTGTGATTTTGGCTGATTTTGGCTGGTTTTGACTATTGTCCCCACTGGATCTTCTTTTTCTTTCGTTGAATATGGGCTAGAATAGACGGTAAGATAATACAATTGTATGGCTGTATTTTACCTTGTCAATATCTGGGGTTGACTTTTTCGATTCATCATGCGTTGTTGAAGGTTGAAGGAAGCGAGATATTGAACTCTTTTTTTGATCTAAAGGTAGAATAAGCGTAGATGAGTCTACTTTAGTAGAATTGACATCAGTAGACACTTGATAACTATTACAGAGTTAGTACTACTTTTCATCTTTCATGTTACTTGCATGTCTAATTCGCCTTCAAATGGCCTCAATAAAGCACTTGTTTTATCTGTAAATGATTTTGTTTTATCAATCCAAGTATTGACATCTTGCGGTTCTAAAATAACAGGAATTCGATTGTGTATCTTTTGAAACGCTTGATTGTTTGTTTCCGTAGTAACGATGGCGCAAGTTGTCAAAACTTTTCCTAGACCAAAGTAAGTAAAAAAAGAAAAAGAAGAATGCACAAACATCAGTTGAACATTACCATCTACATTTGAAGTGGCATATAATCCTGCAAAAAGCATGAGTTGGCCGTCCTTTCGCTTGATATAAAAAGGTTGTTTTTTCTTATTCCATTCATAGAATCTGCATAAAAGAATCAATTCATTTGATCTATCATTCTAATTTATCAACAACCTACCCTTCAGCAGCAATCACACACCGAAATGCATTCTTGGATTTCTGAAAAAGACCATGTTGATTCTCAATTAAGGTTTCTGAGCGTGCATTGATAGGTCTTTGATAACTTGCATTTTTTATCCAGGAAGCAATAAAGCCCCATTGCTGGTTTCGTTAGAAAAGAAAGTTATTGGGAATCAAGTTTTACCATAGACTGAATCAATTTGGTATGCTTTTGTCCATGTTCAAATAAGGCGGGTACAAATTGCCATGGACAAAAGTTATAGCTGGTATGATACTTTTCTTCGTTGACCCATTCGATGTCTGATTGTTCAAGTACTTTTTCTTCTTGTAGCCTCATACGAATGGTATTAGGCTCAAGTGAACAGCAAAAACGACCACACATGATAAATAAAAGAAAGAGAATACAAGAAAAAAGATAAAAAAGAAAAGGTTATTTATTACATAAAAAAAAAAATGCGCGCGCAGCTATTAGATGCCTTGTACTACTTGAGGCCATGTTTGACGGATCTGAATGATAGAATAAATACCCGTTTTTTTTCAAAATAAATAAATCAACTTACTGCTTCAAATAACTCAGGATTTGTTCTACAAAGAAACAAATCAATGAGTACAAGTGATTGATTACATACAATTTTACCTTCTTAACGCTTCAGGATCTTCTGCCAAGCAGACAAAAGTCGTAACAACACCACTTGAAATAACTGTAGAAATAGTAGAGAACATGGACATACCCATGATGAAGCAAATAAGCATGACAATGGGTGTCATATTGCCAGTTGAATTGTATGCAGGTTGAGCAATCAGCAAGTATAGATAGCCCAATAGCGATGATAGAATACCAACTAGCAAAGCTCCCATCACCAAAACATTACCAATCAAGTTATCATTGATCAATGCTTCCACACCTCGATCTTTAATCAAAGTCCAAGTACGTTTTGCAGAAGGAACAAACGCTTTACCATAAATAGCTACACCACTAAAAGCATATTGATTAAACCATTCCTAAAGATGTCATGAGTTGGCATAGAAGATATGGTAAACTTACAAAGAATGATTCAACACAAGCCATAAGGCATTGGACAATACACAAGAAGAAAGCAAAAAAGGGGTTATCTGTTTCTGAACTAGCCATCTGCACAAGGTATCGTAGGAAATTGATAATAGCTACCAAAAGTGCGCCAAAGCAAATCGAACCAAAGCTTGTTGTCAAAGCTCGTTTCGTACTACCCCAAATGGGATGGGCAACTTGGTTGTTCAAGAAATAGACTGTGGCAAAAACACCAGCTAGTGTAACATGAGTGACGTATGATATCACTTGTGTAGTCCAGTAAAATGAAAAGACTAAAAACACCATGGCTGCATTCAGTTTGGCATTGCTTCCACTTGCATTGTAGTAGACTTGATAGACCCCCACCGTTGTGATCATGAACCAAACCGAGTAAAGTGTTTGGACAACAAGTGAAATGATGCCTGTAACTATGGTGCTCCAATATCTTCGTGTAATACTTACAACAGATCGTAACATGACTATATAAAATGATGAGTTGACTTTATTCTCCCCCTTTTTTTTTGTTACCTGTTGCAAAAGGAATTCGATCTCTCCATGACCAATAGCAAACCAAATAAAGCACAGTAAAGACTAAGAAAATAATGGCGGCAGAGTAGTAATGCATGTAAAAGTAATATATTGTCACACCGATGTAAACAAGAATACTTGCAACAAATGTAATCACAATCAATGGGCCTGGAATTCTGTGTATCCCAATGAGTTTAGCCTATTATCCTATACCCAATATCTACTTACAAATTAGCCACAATCAAATAAAGAAAACTGAAGCCAAAGCCCACAATTACAGAGAACCCAAACACCTTGACAGTGTCTGTATCAAAAGTGGTGCCTTGCCCTGTGTTTGGTGTTGTTCCACCAAAAGACCCTTTGTTCTGAGAGAAGCTACGAAGGCCAATGACTGATAATGCAATGAAAGCTGCCATGTTACATAGCCAAAGAACAGCTGCCCAAATATCATTGTATCCACTACTAGGTTGCATTTTATCGTTTGCGTTGATAGGATGTTGACCTATTTCTGCATAATTTGGATTTTGATTGTATTGAGTGGGTGGTGGTGGGTAATATTGAGGTGGTTGAGAGGTATACTGTTGAGAGGGAGGAGGGTATTGTGCATAGGATCCCATTCTAAACGAGCAAGGAAAAGAAAAAGAAGAAGAAAAATGAAAAAGAGATGGCTTTTTATTTTCATAAAAACCTAGCCACTTTTAGTCGTTTTTGGAAACCGAATTTAATACAATCCATCAAATACATCTTGAAACAAAGTATCAAAACCTTGTGTAAAATATTCATTGTTTATCAGATAACTAGATGGCTCAATGAATGCATTGAAGTCCTGATTCTCTTCATAAAAAGTTGGATTTATGCTTACAAAAGAAGGTGGGACAGGAGTGATAATAGATGATGCATTTTGCGTGTCATCTGTAGCTCTTTCGTGATAATTGATCGGGACTTGATACAGTCGAAAAAAATTCTGCAGTTTTCGGTAAATCAGCTTGGTTGTAGCCTGTTGTTGAGACATCCAAAACAACCGGTGTCTTACAATAGCATAAGCAGACTTGATTTGATCCATTGAGCTTATACCGAGCTTATAATGAAAAATAGTAAGTTGAACAATAGTCTCTAAAGTCATCGACATGAGTCCATAAGGTAGCAAAAGAGAAGCAATAGCCTCTGGGTGACTGTCTTGTGGTTCTTTTTTAGGATCATGGATGACCCTGTCTTCATTTTGCTCTAGAAATGTCTTTAGCAAAGTGGTCAACAGAAGTGTTGTTGGCAGCAGATTCGCAATACGGGATGCTATTTTTTTATCTTTGAGATCCAGCTCAGGTATAAATTCTTGATTACGAATAGGCACAACATTATAAGATGGTCTTAGAAAGCTAAAATGAATGGAATATAAATAATAAGTTGATTCTATGGTGAATAATTGCTGCAATGACCATTGATGTCGTTCTCTTTCTATAAAGTCTGAGAAATTTTTGAGAACAAGTTTTATCTTGCATTCAGTCTCTGAAGTATAAGTATGAGATGATGATGCTTTGAGTAGTTGCAAAAGTAGTTGATGATCTTGTTGTGATACATCCAATGGTTTTTCGACTTCCACTTTACATCCAAAAAGGTTGTATTCTACCTTGGGCAAGCAAGAAAACAATTTAGAGCTAAAATAAGCTACTACCATTTCTGTATGGAATGATTCTATGAGGTATGCTGTCGACAGTGAATGGTTGTTATTTGCTAAATCGAACTGATAAGAGGTAGACGTGCTGGCATTTGCAGGCGGAAATGGCTGTCCATGAAATAATAAAGACTCTCGTAAATAGAGACCCACTAGAACGTAAAACAAGAGTAAGTATGTGTGAGTCGTTGTTTTACTTACACTCAACACAGCCATACGCAGTGGCCCTTAATGCAGCCCAGTAGGTATTTATAAGCTGCTCTTTATCTACAGAATCCATATAATGTATCTTTGTCTGACCGTTACGGTGAACACCATCACCATCCAAGACGTGATCACTATAACCAGAATGACTAAAAATGCCCAAATCGGAAGCCATCATATAAGAAAGCGAGACAATTGTCATACCGTGCTTTGAAAGACCAAAAAGAGCTTCAAAAATGCCCAAGATAACACAGGCTTGGTAGTTCCCTAGCGAAGAAGGCGAAGGGGCTGTTAATCCTGACTTGTCTCTCTGAATAAAAAATTTTTCAATTAAGACATAGGCATAATTCAAAAATGGATTGCGTTGTGCTTCCCATAATTTAAAGGTATCACCTTTTGTTGTTTGTTGACATGTATAAATGGCTACACCATAAACAACGCATAGCAGCAAAGGTTCAATTGAATCATTCCAATAGTCGTGCAATAGCTTTGTCTTGTTTAAAATGACTCGATACGGGTGAAGCTCGAAAAATTGATCGATGAGTTGAATGGCTTGATCCGTTGGAATTGAGTTCAATGGTGAACTTATGTCGTCATAAGAGGAATTGAAAAAGAAGGTCGATTTCTCTTCTCTTCTTAGAAATGCGGTGATCGTAATTTCAGGGTCTACGAAACTTTCAAGCTCAACTAATTGACAAGCTCTTCGTATCGCGATATTAACCATGGTGCCCGTAAGCCAAGTAAAATGTTGCTGAAGTGTTTTTAGTTTTGAGCGAGGATTCAATTTGAAGTTGCCCAACTTTTGCCTTAGGAAAGAAGCTCTGGCGATATACAAGGAGAAAATGCGTTCAATGTCTAGTATTTGATTATTGTACTTGATGCAACGCTGAACTTGGTTTGCTTTGCGAGAAGGTTCTGATTGTAGCTGTTCAAAGACGAATTCTCTGCATTGAATCTTCTCCGCTTCTTTTTCTTGCTTCTTGGTAGGTGGTATTGAACTAATGACCAAGTCTTGATTTTTATGGAACACAGCATTCTTTGGCGGACGACCAAAAGTTCTTGGCTTTGGGTAAATACATTGATTTTCTCGAGAATTACGAATACATCGATTGCAGTGAGGCAAAAGTGCATCGCATCTTGCTTTCTTTGCTCTGCAGGGCAAACAGCTTATTTTTCGTGGTTTTTTCTTTCCATCTGACATTTGTAATCTTTCTAAAAAGAAAGAAAAAAAAAGGAAAAAGAAAAAAAAGAAAATGATATTAGATTAATTAAAATTGCGCTTTGTCGTAACACTGACTCCAGTAAAATATATAGTTTATAATTTTTATAGCTCATACCAATAATGAGGTTGAAAGGCATTCGTTTTGACGCTTTAATGCAAAACAAATATTGATTCTTTTTTTTTTTTTTACTATCAACATTGAGTTCACAAGCATGTGTCACATGACATACTTCAGCATCTTTCAAATCGCTATGACGGCAAAAAGGCGGGGAGAGGTTTCCAGAACGACCTGAAAAAAATCTCCACGCTTAAATATTTCACCGACTTTACTTTTAGAGGATCTAAATATCCAATGATTGACTTACTAGTAAAGATCGTTCATTGACGAGTGAGATAAGATGGAGATGTCTTGTTCTCAGAATTGTATCAAAGCAACATGAATGCACCCATCATCCAATGAATTGACAAATCCGGTGTGATCTGGTGATCAATCCAGAGTATGGCTTTTTGAAAGTTTAAACAATAAGGTAAGTTACTGATTAAGTTTGCCTATTGAATTAGGTTTAATCCAAACTCAGTAAAAGCGGCAATCTAGATTCTCAGCTATAATCAACGCCATGTTTCAACTCGTTTGTACCTGAATTCAAATCGACATCGGATTTGACTTTTCTGGTCTTGTTGGGGAACAATAAAAAATAAGCTATAATAAAACTTTAAATAACTTCTAATGAATTGTGCTTAGGCCACCATAAAACGAAAATAAAAAAAAGATATTCTCATCTGGAAACAGATAAGCGCTCGGTTACACTGTCTTCTGCAACGGCTTGCTCTTTTTTTTTTCTTTTATAGAGTATATTGATTCGCATTATTTTCTTTCTGCTGCTTTACTAGCTTGTCTGGTTTTAGACGCTCAGTTGCCTTGAAATATCTACTTGAAAGAAGAAAAAAAGCGCATTCTCGGAGGATACTCGGTTGAAACGGTAGTGCAACATGTGAATTTATTTATGATGGCTATCAAGATGTATTTCAAGAAACTTGGAGTGACACGCGTAACAATAACAAGACAACTGTGGTACAAAACACGTTGATAGGCTGGTCCCCTTTTTTTTTAACACACAGGCCCCGCTACACGACTATAGATCGTCGTACATTCGTATGTTAGTTACCTAATTGAAGAGATTTATTATAAATACTCTAACAGAAAGAGATCCAAGCAACTTTTATTTTTTATTCTATTTATTTTGATTCTCTATGCAAAAAGTCGGATCCTTTCATAGCAAGTTACAGTCTGAAGACCACTTCAATGCTACGGTGTATACACCTTCTACAGCAGAGACATCTTGTTGCTCTTATTCCTCTCATCAAAAGCTAGGACATAAGCACAACAACAATAGCTTGTACAAAAAAGCAGCGCCACTTACTGCTGAAAATCTCTCTAAAATTTTAACGATCGATTCAACTCATACACCGCTTGCTCGGTATTGCAATGAGCTCGCTGCAAATAGTGCAGTATTCACAGAGTCCAATACGTCAACATCAGCTCGAAGAAAAGTGCGCCAACGCATTCAAGATGAAGTCATTGAGTCACCTCGTCTATTGCCCTTTCCCTATCATAACGATTCTCGGTTCCTACCTACTGCCGAGCACGATTATCCAGGAAGATGTTCGGAAGCGTCCTCTTCCTTTGTCAGTATCTCATTTCAAACCATGGGTTATCGTCAGACACTTCCGAGTATTTCTAGTACCTATCACTCAAATCAAAGCCAATCAAAAGATATCAACATGCTTCAGAAATGCTATGATGACATTTCGAGTTATAAACGCAGAGCAGATAGCGTTACACCATCATCACCTTCAACGTTACGCGACGAATGTATGGTGCCACAAGAAAAGCACAGAATCAGTAATAAATTGACATCAAAATTGAAACAAAACCTGCTCTTTAAGGCCAGTAGTGACACGGTTCCAAAAGACCATGTTGTTGATAGCTCAAGAAGAACTCGTTCATGGTACACAAAACTCTGGAAGTTTTTGAAACCATCTTATATAAAAAAAATCATCGCAACTCAAATTGTTCAACGTCAGCACCTGTCTGGTACAGTCAATTCCGTTGTAATCCACCTCCTCCACCTTCTCATACGCCTGTTAACTTATCATACTAACTTTATATTGTACACATTGCACATTTCTCTTGCATATATGTCGCATTTGCACCTGAGAAAATTGCTATTTTTTGTTTAAAATACCCGTTCCATACCAACCTAGCATCTTTGAAAGATACGCGTGAAAATAAAAAAAAAAAGAATATGTTCTTGTGTTTGGACCTTTTCTTTGTCATCAAATACTTTAGTGTATAGTTGCATTAATTGACAGTTTTCTTTTACAGTAAGGCGATATTTAGTGTGTCGCTTTTACACTCTCAAAGCTATTCAAATCCCCATAAAATATTTGATCGCGATGAAAACTCAAAGGGATATTCTTAGATGCAAAGTCCTAATCGAGCTTGTTCTTATACTATCTAAACTTTTCTTTTATTTTTTACAATGACGATAAAATATGTGAATATTCAATCTAGTTTGAATAAACATTAGTTTCTTTTTGTCAAACTAAATGATAATTTACCTTCGTATTATTTACACTTTCGCGAAGACTTGCCATCGCTGCTTCCCGAAAAAGATTATTTAGTTGAGCTCCTGACAATATGTGAGTAGATAAATAGCTACTTATAACCTTACCAGACCAATTTGCTGTCTTTTGAACGAGTTCAGTTCGTTGATGATGATCAATGTCTATAGGCATTTTGGCACTGATGCCTTGAATAGTAGCATATCGTTGCTAAAAATAATAATAAATAAGACAAGCCTGTACATTCTTTGAATCTTACATTTTCATCTGGTAAAGGGATATAAATATGTTCATCAAAACGGCCTGGTCTTAGTACTGCAGGATCAATAGCATCTATACGATTTGTAGCTAAATGCAAGTTAGTATTAAGCGAGTCTTCTTTTTTTTTTGACTTTTCATTTACCAGCAACGACTAATAAACCAATATGAGCAGCCCCTTTTCTACTCTTTGTTAATAAACCATCCATTTCTATTTATCCCATATTAGTCAAGATAAACAAAAAAAAATAAAGAGTAATTTACCAGTTAAGAAGCCCGTAACAATACGATCACTTGTATTTTCCGAAGACTGGCTTGTTCCTCTTTTCGGTAACAGCATATCAATCTGATACTATTAGACAAGGTTTTTTTTTAGTAAGATTTACCTGATCAATAAACAAAATACAAGGTGCATTGGATCTTGCTTGAGCAAATAGTTTAGCAATGCCTTTTTCAGACTCCCCAACAATTTTAGATCTGATTTGTGAACTCTCAACTAGCATGAAGTTGACACCTGCTTCTGATGCCAGAGCAGAACAGAGCATTGTTTTACCAACACCTGTGGGACCATGTATCAGAATGCCCTTGGGAGGAGAAATACCTAATTCAAGATATTTATGAGGTTGCTGAAAGGGTTGTATAACAGACGTTTTGATTTCTTGAATAATATCATCAATACCGAAAATATCTTTAAATGAAACATCAGGTACTCGAGATGCAAATTCATTCAGATTAGAAGGCTTAACAATAGAGAGAGCATAATGAAAATGATCCATTGTGACATGTGATGATTGCTGTTTGATAAGTAAAAGTGTAGCTTGTGATGATAGACTTTGTAAGTCTGAAGGGACAAATCCATGCGTCTTTTGGGACATTTCCAGTAGTATTTGAGTACGTTCTTGAGTTGATTTAAAAGGCAAATCTACACAACTGTCAATATGTCGATAGGATATGCTCACTTGCCTTTTGTAATAATCTCTAATATTTGTTGTCTTTGCTCAGGATATTTGATCACTATTTCTTGTAAATCATCAAGACGACCTGATCTCAAGAAAGCAGGTTCAATAGCATGAATTCGATTTGTCAGCCCAATTAAAAACACATTGTCTGACTTGTCGATTAAAGACATCAATAGAGAAGAAATACGCATATCTAATGCACTCCTTTTTGATGTCCATTTGCCAGCAATCATATCAATCTCATCCAATATCAAGATAGACAAAGCATTGCATCGTTTAGCTTGTTCAAAAAAAGCAAATAGTTTTGTTTCACTCACTCCTTCCTCTATATAGGACAGTTTAGAAAGACGTATATGCATATATGCGTAGTACCTGTCTGAAATATATCAGGAGTATTTAGTACATAGTATGGTAAGTTGGAGAATTCTTTTTCAAATATTAGCTCTCAAGGTAATCTAAACATATTCAACTTTACTTGCAACAGCCATAGCTAAAGCGGTTTTGCCTGTGCCTGGTTTTCCATACAACAGTATGCCCTTGGATCGAGACGAAAGGGTTGCAGCACTTATTCTCTGTATAATGTGGTGTACAAGCTCACTACAACCACCTACTTGAGACACTACTTGATCTTGCCAACGTTCCATATAAGAAGATAAACAAGTCGCGTCTTGACCAATTTTGTAATCCCTTTTCGAACTCTACCTATAGAAAATTTGATATTGTGACCACTAATCCTTAAAATAGTATATAACCTAAAAGACTTGCTTGATAGACCTTTTGTACAATCCTTGGCCTTGCTGACCTCCATTAAATACAGCTGGCCTCAAACAAAGATCAAATCCTGATTATATATAATTTATGGGCATGCTTTTGCTATTGGCAGCAGAATTCGCATCTCTATTCCAGTGCTAGGATACAGAAAAAAGCTATGTTTCTGTGAGTCTTTTGCAATGAGTTTCTTTATGCTTTTGGGATACAAAATTGATTATACGTTTTTCGAAAAAAAAACGAGCATAATGTGTCTATCAATTTTCATACCAAAAGCCAACTCAAGTCCTCTGCATTCGAATCTTATAATTAACAAGAATATTTCATAAATTTCAACTAGATCATAGTATGATAGACCAAAGTCCATCAAGCGAACAAAAGTACCATTGTTTGCGATTATATGCGACAAGGCAAACAGAATGCGTTTACTTTGTATGATAGTACCTGAATCAATGTAAAAAATCTCGATATGTAGCTGGCCTAGAGTTGGCATAGTAAAGTCGTACTCTTCATTAGACAAAAGCTTTAAATTGCTATTCACTCCGAAACGTACGTTGTTATCGTATGTGTACGTAGCTAATGTACAGCGTAGAAGGGTGTTTTGTGTTTTGATTATGTAGATATGATCACTTGCCGAAAATAGGTGCGTTCAATGAAATTGTTTTTATTTTTGTAGACTCATTTAACATCATAAACTTCAGGCTCACGCTTAACATAGCTCTTGTATTCAGAAACAGACATAGTGAACTCAATAGTCTTAATAGAAGCATAAATGCGAAGAACAAGTACAAATCTGAGCTCCTATCTTTAGGTGAAATAAGCGCAATTTTTTTTACAGTCACGCTACACGAACAATTTTTTCTTTCTTCTTTGGTCGTGTGTGTGTGTGTACGCATTATAGACGTGATACAGATACTTTTCTCTCTTTCTTTTCACTTTTTTCTTTTTAGACTCTACCTTGGAATCAACTGTGTCTGGTTGTCATGTCTTCCACTGATTTAGAGTCTAACAGAGAACGCTCTGCAAAGAGTCGGTCCTCTTCTCCTATTCGAAAGTACCTGTCTCCATCCAGAACGCCCTTGTCTTCTACAGACGATAATATTCAACCCTCTGAGAACAAAGAAAAAGCGCCCACGAAACAAAAGACGTTTTATGACTTTTATTATAGCAAAAAGAAGACTACCGCACCACTTCCCACAACCAGTACTCACCCTGTGCTCTATTCAGCGTCTGATAAGTCTTCTTCTGTTGCAACCCCTCCACCTTTTAAACGCTCTCATTCTGCTACTTCTCACCTTGATACAGTAAACGAGAAATGGCTTACGACTTCTTTACCTCCCAACAAAAAGACGTGTAACAATAAGCATGTAAGTCTTTTTATTCGTTATGATTTATATTTTTAATCATTTATAGTATGATCGTTGTACACCTATCATTGCTGATATGGCTTCTGCTCAATTCAACATCAACCATAACAATGAGTCAGATTCTTTGTCTGAGCAAATAGCCAAAGCTGTTGGTATTGATACCACAAAACGTATCTTGAGCTATACGCCTCCTGCTCCAATTCCAAAGAACAACATGACAAAAAATGCACCCAAAGATGTGTTGAGCACACACACTGCCAATCATGTGAAGCGACACATTCTACTTACACCTGAAAAGATTTTGGATGCACCTTACATCGCTGATGATTACTATCTCAATGTACTTGACTGGTCCAAGACCAACGTAGTTGCTGTTGCCCTTGATAAAGCCGTTTATCTTTGGAATGCAAACAACGGTACTATTCAAGCACTCAACTACAATGATGAAGACACAGTCGCGTCTGTTTCTTGGTCAGGAGATGGTTCTTATCTCTGTGTAGGCACAACTACGGGTGATACTCAAATCTGGGATGTACAAGCCAATACCAAATTACGTTCCATGCGTGGCCAAAAAGGAAGAATTGGTGTTGTTGCTTGGGACAAACACATGGTTTCTTCTGGTGCTGGTGATGGCAGTATCTTCAACCACGATGTACGTATCAAATCGCATGTTGTGCGTAAACTTTTGAACCACGAAGACGAAGTCTGTGGCCTCAAATGGCGTTGGGATGGTCAACTCTTGGCTAGTGGTGGTAACGATAATGCTGTCAACATTTGGGATGCTCGAACCAGTACTCCTAAACATACAAGAAGAAAGCATTTAGGGGCTGTCAAAGTAAGTACGCATCAAATCTTTATTCTGACTAATCAACTTAGGCTCTTGCTTGGTGCCCTTGGACACACAATATGCTTGCCACAGGTGGTGGTCGTGATGATAAAAAGATTCATTTTTGGGATACAACAAGTGGCTCTTGTCTTAAATCACTTTCACCTGGATCTCAAGTTACTTCACTTCACTGGTCTCAGCATTACAAAGAAATTGTTTCTACACATGGTTTACCCCATAATCAAATTACAGTCTGGAGTTATACTAGTCTTAAGAAGATTATTGATATCCCTGCTCATGATTCACGTATTCTACATTCTGCTTTGAGTCCTGATGGCCAAGTATTAGCTACTGCTGCTGCCGATGAAAACCTCAAGTTCTGGAGAATCTTTGAGGCTGATGGAAAAGCTCGCCTTGGTTCAGATTCTCGTCGTTCAACTGAAAAGAAGGAATTAGTCAAAAGAAGCAATACAGCCCTTCGTTAATTATACATACATACATTTCTCTTTTTAAAAAAAAATACCACATACACCTATGAAAATAAAGACTTTTTTTTTCTATTTTTTTATTCTCTATGTTTGTATGTATAATGCGCTTTTTTATATATATATATATGTACAGTGAGAGTGATTCTCTAATAAGCGTCTTTATGCATAAAGGTTATGGAATTGATATTCTTGATTTTGAAAAGATGGCAAGTACATTAGTGATAAAGAATTATTTTGCTTATAGCAAAAGGAGCGAAAGTACTCGTCCCTCATGGCTTTCTTAGACAGGAAAGCGGATTCCTGAGGTGGTGTTAATGGATATTGGCTAGGTTGTTTCACGTGCTGCAAGTCTTCCTCGGGATCTAAAGAATGACAATGGAATGGCTGTTGTGTAACTGTTCTAAGGATCATCAGATAAAGAAGTCCAATGGAAATAAAAAAAAATACTTACTGTGTATCATGTATTTGCTCTTGATGTCTTTTAAGTGTTGCATTTCGTGTAAAGCGCTTATTACATTTCTCGCAATTGTAAGGTCTTTTTCCTGAATGTGTTCTGCGATGCCGGGCTAATGAAGATGACTGATATGATAAGCGAACCCTGTAATTTAACATATTACTTACATCACTAAATGATTTTTGACAATCTGAGAACTCACAGACATGAGGTCTTTCGCCTGTATGAGTCCTGAGATGAACCGTCAATGCTGATCGTTGAATAAACTGTTTATTACAATTACTCCATTGACAGTGATATGGCCTTTCACCTGTATGAATTCGTTTATGGCGTACAAGATCTGATTTTCTCGTAAAACTTTTTGTACATTCGTTGTTCCAATGACATGCAAAAGGTCTTTCTTTTTCTTTAGAAGGTGTTGTGTTGAGTAAAAGACAGATATCCATGATAGAAAAAAAAGAAAGAAAGAAAGAGAGAGAGAGAAAATAATACAAACTTTGTTGTATTTATATTAAAAATAGAGTGTTGGACGGGGCAAGAATTTAGATCAAAACGTCAATTTCGGTCAGTCAATCTGAAAGAGGGACCAGAATTAAGGGCCACACGCATTTGTGCTTGTCACTCAGCACAATTAAATTGAAACATAACGTATGGTTTTACAGATACCAAAAATAGGCGACGATCTTTTTGTAAATTAACAGTTATTTGAGCCGGGCATCATAATCAGTAGCACAAGTCACAAATAACAATGACATTTAACGTACCACATACGAATGGATCGATCAAGTACATTATTCTCAAAAACAAAGACATTTTTTTAAATGGTAAAATGCCTTTTCTCAGGTACGGCATCCCAAAACCAGACTACTTGAAAGAACTGCGTAGCTTGCCTATCTCCCGCGTTTGTACTGCTCATGCTTGAGTAAGCAATATGTTCTTTTTTTTTTCTTTCTCTTTCTCTACCCGGCAGTATTTCCAGAAGGAAAAGAACTTATTTCAGTCTTAATAGACAGCAGAACAAAATAGGCCTAGACAATAGTTCTTGGGGGGAAAGGAAAAGCAACAAATCTCCTATTTTTATAGCCTTACCATACTTTCTATAAAAACGTCATCAATGTACAATTTCTCAGCTACACCAAGTGATAGACCACTCTTCCCCGACATTCTTAAATTTTGTATTGCTAACAAACTACATTCAACTTCTCACTAAACGCAGTCATGAGAATCAATTTTCATATAGGGCATGATGTAGGTGATATTCTTCTATTGTGTTTTATTATATATCATTTTAAACTTTAGTAAGAAGCATCTTGACTTCAGCAAGCTGAAGATCAATCACTTGCTTAACTCTAGGGTCTAAATCTGTTTTGGTGCTGATGGCGGCATCCAATTTATCCAAGTTGGTCTTCAAAGAAGGATAATCTTTGTCAGCTTTAGCAACCTTGTTAAGTGACTTGGCAGCCAATAAGTATTTTTGTTGACGCATATAAATACCAAAACCAAGATGATGAAGCTCAGCGTTGTTAGGAGCCAAAAGTTCCAAGGGCTTCAAGAATCGAAGAGCATCATCTAAAGGAGTTTGAGTCTTGAGATAACTTTCGCCTTCAGGATCAGTGTCAACAGGCTTCTTATCGTTCTTTTGCTTTGTGACTTCTTCCTTGACTTGAGTAGCCTTCTTGGCTTCTTGGTCTTGTTGAGCCTTCAAGGCAGCCTTGCGAGCCTTGTTTCTAGCCTTCTTCTTTTCAGCTTCAGTCATATTGGTTTCATCAAATTCGTCGCCTTCCTTGGGCTTGTCAGCAATAGCCATGTAGGCCTGAATAGCACCTTTAGCAGCCTTAAGATAGAATGGATGGGCCTTGAGTTTATCTTCCCAACGCAAAGCTTCAACATAAGCACGCAAAGTCAATTTGCGAAGACAGTAGCTATGGAAATCGAATTGATCGTCAAAGTAATCAGCATAGAACTTTTCAAGGGCATGGAAACGTTTTAAAGCCTTGCCGTATTCCTTCTTTTGAAGATAAGCATTGCCTTCTTCAATCATAAACCATTGGCATTGCATATCAGTTAAGTCTTGAAGAGCTTCGATATCCTTACGGGTAAACAAAGTCAAGATACGTTCAGCTTCTTCAATCTTACCAGCACGCATCATATACTTGGCACATTTAGAATTAATGAAACGATCCTGAAGATCAATTTCACGAGCTTCATTCATGACTTGAGAGGCTTCTTCAATCTTGCCTGCATGCTTCAAAATTCTTCCCTTTGTCATGTAAAGTTCTACTACAGTAGGAGTATGGGTAATAGCCTTGTTGATTAATTCAAGAGCCTTATCATTTTGTTTGTAGAAATCATATTGCTTTGCAAGATAGTATAATGTCCATAACAAGGCAGTAGGGGTTCTTTACTGCCTTCTCCATTGAAAGTACCGTTCTTTTCCAAAGAAATATAATAACCATTGACGAGTTCTTCAATGACACGCTTCTTTTCGGAATCAGCATAGTATCTCTTCATGGAAGTAAATAAAGAAGGGATGCCCTTTCTTAATCCATTTTGAAGAGAAGCTTCAACCTTGACCTTGAATGATTCACCTTCAGCATATTGAAGGATAAGTTGTTCAATAGTCTTTGAGCGAGGATATTGGGCGAAAAAATCAGAAAGAGTTTGATTAATCTCAGCTATAGATTGTCTAAGTAAATGCACATCCACATATGCTTCATTTTTACCTTTATCCTTGAGAGCCAAAACTTGATTAATGTAATCGACATTGTTGGGGTTTTGACTAATCAATTCTCTATAGGCTTTCTCTGCTTCTTCCTTTCTATCCAATTTGCTCAAATACAAAGCATTCTTTTCTTTCCAGGCTCTCTTGTCAGTCACTTGAGACTCAATCTCAATAAGGTGATCCAATGCTTGTTGATAGTCCCCAGCTTCTTCCAAAAGCATATTTTCATACATGTGTAATTCTGATCGTTCAAAATCAGTAGCAGCAGCCTACAAACAAAATAAGCCACTTCTTGAACCTTAATATAATACATACTTGAACATTAGATTCAGCTTGTGTCTTCAAAACCTTGACACCCTTCAAGGGTTCATTCACAAGTTGATAAGCAATAGCTAAACCAAGCCATAAGGGCGGGTTCTGAGGTCTGGCTTCTAAGAGTTTAGTACGTGTTTCCTATGTATCAACCGAGAATTTGTTAATCCAGCTTGTTTATCGTTTTCCATTTGTGCTTACAACAAGAGGGTTGTAATGACGCATTTGAGTTTGAAGTACAGCATAGTCACGAAGTATATTGATGTCGTTCTTATTGAACTTGAGAGCATTTGCGTAACACTTGGCTGCTTCTTCATAGTTTTTATCAGCACGGTACAAAAGACCATAGACGTGCCAACCTAGCAAGAGAGTTAAGCAAGAAAAAAAAACTTTTGTTTACTAATTTCAACTTACAAATATGAGAAGTCAAGTCTTTTAAAAGACCCTTTTTGACATATTCATAACCCTCTTCTTTCTTTTCGAGGTTGTTCAAAAATAAACCCTTCATAGCCAAGGTTTCTGTTCGAATACTTTAATAAAAAAAAATAGCGCTTTGTTGAAGTGTACGCTTACCACCGTGGTCAGGACAACTTTTGAGAATACCTTCTGCCAACTTTAAACCTTTTTTGTATTGACGAAGCTCATAGTTTTTCTATAGACTAGTTAGAGAAAAACAAACGCGTATAAGTTTATAACTTTACCAAAAGGTTTCTGAATACAGCCGCCTCTTTGGGAGGAAGTTCTCTTTTACCTGCAGCCATAGTCTTTAGTTATAAACAAAGAAGAAAAAAAAAGAGAAAAGGAAAAATAGTGTGGAAAGTGGAGGAAATTGTTTTTTTTTGCAAGTCAAACCATCTGTGTTTCAATTCAAAGAAGTAACATCGTTTTGAAAGAGCAAGTTGTTTAAAAAGAATAAAGTATGTAATTTTATTTACAATGATACAATGATAAATATATATTACAAGAAAAAAAAGAGACTTAGTCCATATCAAGTTCATTATCTTCGTCCATTGGTTCTTCAATATAGCCAGCTTCGCTTTCATGGTTACGAAGGATATCAACTTCACCTTCACTATTGATATCTACTTGGGCAACTTCACCATTACGAATACCACCATCAAGAATTAACTTGGCCAAAGGATTCAAGATACGTTGTTGAATGAGACGATTCAATGGACGAGCACCAAAGATAGGTTCATAGCCATGAGTACCGAGCCAATGCTTAGCGGGTTCAGAGACTTGCAGAGTAATACGACGATCATTCATACGTTCTTGAATTTCTTGAAGACGGACATCGACAATACCAACAATGTTGTTTTGTGTAAGACGGTTAAAGATGACCAATTCATCAATTCTGTTTGTAAATTCGGGACTAAAGTGTTGACGAACAATTTCCAAAATCTTCTCCTTCAAGACAATAGTGTCGCCAACATGTTCATCAATTAAGAGACCAGAACCCAAGTTAGAAGTCATGACAATGATAGAGTTACGGAAGTCAATCTTACGACCCTTGGAATCATGAATAAAGCCTTCATCAAGTACTTGCAAGAGAACATTAGCGACGTCCTTGTGGGCCTTTTCAAGTTCATCAAGCAAGACCACTGAGTAAGGCTTACGACGGACTTGTTCAAAGAGACCACCTTCTTCATGTCCAACATAGCCAGGAGGAGCACCAATCAACTTAGCAACACTGTGTTGTTCCATCAATTCACTCATATCAATACGAATCATGTTACGGGCATCATCAAATAAGAATTCAGCCAATGTCTTGCAGAGCAAAGTCTTACCAACACCAGTAGGACCCAGAAACATAAAGGAAGCCAAAGGTTTATTGGGATCTTGAAGACCAGCCTTGGAGATACGAATAGCGTTGGAAATAGCCTTAATTGCAGTGTCTTGACCAACCACCTTCTTGGCAATTTCAATTTCCATTGACAAGAGCTTTTCACGTTCAGTCTTGGCTAAGCTTTGGACAGGAATACCAGTCCAACGAGAAACAACCTCCATGATTTGCTCAGGACGAACCACTTCAGACAAGATAGTGTTGTCAGGGTTTTCATTAGCAGCAGCTTCACTCATCTTGCGTTGATATTGGGCTTGTTGTTCTGCAATGCGTTGTTCAACATCAGGAATAGCATAGAATTCGATATCCGCAGCAGTGTCAATATCCTTGCGGTTCTTAGCTTCAGTAGCCTTTGATCTGAGATCATCTAATTTTTGCTTCAAATCACGGATTTGATCAAGGCGACCCTTTGTCATTTCATACTTGAGTTTCAAAGGCTTCAGTTCTTCGTCAAGACGAGCAATTTCTTCAGTGACAGCTTGTAGACGCTCCTTAGAATCCTTGTTGTTCTTTTCTTTTTCCAAAGCCTTGGCTTCAATTTCAAGTTGGAATCGCTTACGCTCAAGAACATCGATTTCTTCAGGCTTGGAATCCAGTTGGACACGAGTATTTGCAGCAGCTTCATCAATTAAATCGATGGCCTTATCAGGTAAGAAACGGGTAGTGATATAACGATCTGAAAGTTGGGCAGCATGGACTAAAGCAGCATCCGTAATCTTGACACCATGATAGTTTTCATAACGTTCCTTGAGGCCACGAAGAATAGAGATAGTAGCAGGCACAGAAGGTTCGCCAACATCCACCTTTTGGAAACGACGCTCAAAGGCAGGATCTTTTTCAATTTCACGGTATTCAGTGATAGTGGTAGCACCAATACAACGTAATTCACCACGGGCCAACATGGGTTTCAGCAAGTTGGCAGCATCCATAGAACCTTCCGCCTTACCTGCACCCAATACAGTGTGGATTTCATCAATAAATAAGATAACACCTTCTTTAGAGTCCTTGACTTCCTTGAGAACAGCCTTCAAACGTTCTTCAAATTCACCACGGTATTTGGCGCCAGCAATAAGAGCACCCATATCCAAAGAGAAGAGCTTACATTGTAGAGATTGAGGAACATCTCTCTCCACAATACGGCGAGCTAAACCTTCAGCAATTGCAGTCTTACCAACACCAGGTTCACCCACCAAGACAGGGTTATTCTTTGTACGTCTAGCTAATACACGGATAACACGACGAATTTCATCATCACGGCCAATCACAGGATCTAATTTACCAGCTTGAGCCATCTGTGTAAGATCAATAGCGTATTTTGAAAGAGCTTCATAAACTTCTTCAGCGTTCTTAGAATCGACACGACGATTACCACGAATTTGGGCAATAGCTGATTGAAGAGACTTTTTCGTGATACCTGCGTCTTTTAGGGGCTTGAACATAGCATCGTCTTCAGAAAATGCAAGGATGATATGGTCGACTGAGATAAATGAGTCCTTTTGATCTTTCATGTGTTTTTCAGCAGAACGTAACAACTTTGCGGTTTGTGGACCAATAGAGACTTCCACAGGAGCAGGGTCTTGGGAAGGCAACTTGGCAAGTATACGCTTATATTCTCTTTCAACTAAACCGGGATCAGCACCAGCTTTTTCAATAATCGACTTGAATAATGGTGTCTCTTCAGTTTCGTCCAATAAAGCACAGGCGATATGTGCGGGCATAATCTGAGAGTTTCCGAAGTCGCGAGCTAAGGCTTGAGCTTTGGCTAAAGCCTTTTCAACTTTATCTGTAAAATTCATTCCACTCATAATTGTTTATGTTATATTTCGATATATGAAATAGAAAAGAAAAGAGAAAATAAATGCAAGGCTTTTTATATGTTTACTTTTCGGAAGACGATGATTAAAACTCAGGTGATCCTGAACTTGCTCTATTATTCGAGAAAGATCCAGATTAACGGAGTTCATTCGTGACAATTCGACAAAAAGTGATGGACAACTAGGCTCAAAAAATGACATGTACAAGAGCCATTTGGGCTATTTTGAGAAGGATTTATAATTTCTTCTCTATGCAGCTACTGCTATGTCATTTCACTATTTAATCAAGACAATAATGTAATACATAAAAACTGTCAAAAATCATCCGTTATTCTCTTTTTAAGAGAAAATTCTTTAAGAATAAAGAGAAACATCATGCTTTTTAATACCAAGTTGCAGTCATGGACTTGCATTCTTTTTTTTTTTTTTGAGAAATAAACTCAATTCATACTGGACATCAATGGCTTTTTGCATAAACAATATTTGTATCTGCAGAATAGTAGAAAAGTGCTTCAAGATAGTTTGAAGAAGGGTATTAGCATATCATCAGAGTAACTTTATTTAATATTGATGTCATGTTTGTGCAACTAATTTGGTACAACAACCTTTTTTTTTGATAGAGGTATGGCTTTATGCAATGGCTCTTGATTTGTTACTGCAGGTTTCTGTTTGCTTGGCTTTTCTTTTTCAGGCTCAATAGAATTTGTCTTTTCCTTTTTTATCTGATTTGTGAAGCCTTGCTCAATAAGTTGTGTACGTTCTTCTTTTGCTTTTTGGCAACTAGATACTCTTTCACGGACTTGGTTTTCTAACAAAAGTCTTGCACCAAGCTGACTTTTGCCTTGAGCTTTTGAAGAGATCATCACGACAACACCGCCTAATGCAAGAGCAGCACCACCTGTAGCCACAGTGGCACTGCCTAATGCAAGACCACCCAAAGCTGATAATCCACCCAAAGCACCGAAACTCCATCCGGCTGCTTCTATCTTTTTATTTGAGCGAGGATCTAATCTTACCAGGTAATCAACGATCTGCTTCAGTTGTATGACATCCGATCGAATCTGATTAGGTACTCCGTCGCCTAATTTGTCATGCTCTTCAATCCATACTTGAGTACTCTGAAGTATGGACTGAACTTGTGTGATCAAAATTTCAAGTTGGTTATGAAAAGAGACTTCACTGAATTTAACACTGGCCTGATAGGTAGAGTAAAGTGATAAGGACAACACACTTGCTGCTACTGCTGATTTAGCCATTGTACTTGTTGACGTATGAGGTGCTAGAGCCTTTAGATCTTCTTTTTCTTTTTTCCTCTTAGCTTCCTGTTTCTCTTTTTCCTCTTTTTCCTTCAGTTGTTGCTCTAGTGTTTCTTCTTCACTGTCTGATGTTGAACTAAAAGTATTAAACCAACCTCTCTTTTTTTGTCTTTGTTCCTTATATCGTGTCTCAAACTCTTTAAACTCTTGTTCTTGACGCCTTTTGTCTTCTGTTGTTTTGAAATATTCGTTTCCACATCGTATCACAAATTCCGCGATAGCATGCGCTCTTTCTGATGTGAGAAGTGATCCAAGATAACTTGTTGGTGTTGTATTCTTTGTCCAGGAATCTTCTGAAGGTGAATTGATTGGCTTTTGTTCCTGCATAAAACAATAAGTCACTTTGAGATACATAAAAAGCACTTACTTTCTCTTTCTTGGGTAGTTCTTGTAGGATATGAGGAGCAAAATCAAGTAAAGTTCGAACAGGTGTTGTAAAATCACCAGTTTCTCGACTATAGAGCTCACTAGGAAAATGATAGTCTTCGAAGAAAAACTACAGTAGAAGAAATGGTATCAATATGTATGTCTTCCTATATATAAACTTACTGAGGCCATGATATGTAACGAAAAGAGAAAAGAAAGAGTGGAAAAAAGGAAGTGATTTTATGCCAAAAACAAACTACGTAAATTTTGAGATATTTTTTTGCATTTTTTTTGTAGACCAATTAAATTTATTTCTGGACGAGTCTAATTGAGATCAAGTATTTCAATTATAAGAAATAAGCAACTTTGGGGTAATGCTAGGGGCGTACGGTTTTCCATTTTTGATTATCAGCCCCCTATAGACTTTATACTCTATTAAATAATTAGGTGAACTAACAAATTGATGATCATTTGAATAAGCATGACAAGCTTGATTTCCTAAAGTAGCTCCTGACTGTTTTAAAGAATATTTGACTGGTTAATTTTTGCTAGCAAAGATCAGTTATGTTGACTTCTTTCAGCTTATACAGCTACACTTAGAGATGTTTAGTAATGTTGAATAATTTCTAAACCAAAAAAACTTGCGTGCTTTCTATTCTTGAATAAGCTCTCAAAGCATAATAGATTAGCACTATGAATCCTGTGGAATAAAAGCTAAGATTATTTTTAAAAAAAGAGAAAGGGCTGATATTTGGTGTGGCCGCCTTTTGCTTTAATCATAGCTTGACATGCTTCCGGCCAAGGGTGCTTCATACTCCTTCTCAGGTGTCTTCCACTCTTGTTGGAGCACAGCTTTTCAATACCTGACTAAATAAAATAATTTTTGGACAATTTAAGCACTTTGATTTAGACAATAGAAATATTATTTCAGACCACCTGAATACTTTTTTCAGACTAAATAAGCATCTTTATCTAAATCAGTTTTTTAAATTATGGATTTTATTTATTACAATCCAGTCCATGAGTCTCTTCTAGCTGATGAGAGCTCATCTACCAAGATGGACCGTGAGGACATCACGATTCAATAAGTCATAAGAGTAGTTCTCATTAGAAACTACACCTAAAAACACAAAGAAAAAGGAAAGCCATAACGATCACTTTAGTCAATAGATCTGCAATGAGGCAATCAATAGGCCTGTATACTTTCAGTGCTCTTGCTCTATCATTGCTCCCATCGAAAATAAATGAAAGTTGACATATCGTTCAATTTCCTTTTGTTTTGATCAATGCAGATGAACACATCACAATTACTTGTAGCCTCATTCGTGAATTCACATCGCAGAGTCCTACGCTTTGTACACTTTATGTCAAAATGTTCTGTGTCATAGCTAGGTGCTTTGTATTGTGGTTAGGATTGCCAAAATTTTAACACATTCAAAGCTGTCCAAACTGAATATCGTCTGACTTTTAATTTTTACACTGTCTGAATCCCAAGTGACATAAAACGTATGAATAAAGAAGCAGTTCACTCTCCCCCTTCTTAATCGAACGTTGTCACTATACTAGGTAAATGCATTGTTTTATGCTTTTTTTTTCTGTTTCATGTAGCATAATGGATGGATGAGATGGATGGATAAGATGGATGGATTTGGATGCTAACGAATTTCATTTTATTTTATTTTATTTATATACACCATTGACAATTCAACAACAGAATGGCTCAGAGACTCACTTATCGTCGTCGTTTGTCTTACAACACTCGTTCTAACCGTGTCAGAGCCGTAAAGACTCCCGGTAAAGATAGATTGAATAAATAGACATCATGTGCTGACCATCATTAGGTGGTAACCTTGTCTACCAATACGAAAAGAAGCCTGTCAAGGCTCCTCGTTGTGGTGACTGTGGTGAAACTCTCGCTGGTGTATGTATATATATATATATATAGAATGTCGACAAAAACACATATTAATGATTGTGATTAGATCAAGGCTCTTCGTGCCCGTGAATTCGCCACTGTTTCCAAGACCAACAAGCACGTTAGCCGTGCCTACGGTGGTTCTCGTTGTGCCCACTGTGTCAGAAACCGTATCGTTCGTGCTTTCTTGATTGAAGAACAAAAGATCGTCAAGAAGGTCCTCAAGGCTCAAAAATAATTATAGTGTGTTTTTTTAATGTATTAAAGCGACAGTTTCTATTTTTTTTTTAAAAAAAAAGGGGGAGATGGCTGACATTAAAGCAATGACTTTAATTAGTGAGAGGGAGTCATTTATTTCCTCTTTTTTTTTTTTTTATTTTTTCCTTTTTTATGATGGTATTAAAGCCTTCCAAACTTACTTTGGCTTTGGCTTTTCTATCTGCACTTATTGTAGCCAATGTATCAGGTCCACAGTATATATACCCCACATTTGGAAGTTCATTAAATGATCGATTTGAATGGACTCCTGTCGAGAACAGTATTGTGAGTACATCATGCTTTATCGGTGTTTCTTTTTCAGGTCCATTGTGTGCCTGGATGCTTGAAAGCCTTGGAATTACAAAGTAAATGTGAATAACAATCAACCATGATATTAATGATCAGAACATTGCGTATCTCGGCTGTACTTGTATTTCTTGGGCCCTTTTTAGTGGCTCAGACATATGCTGGCCGACTTCCTAGTCATTTTATACTCTGTACAGTCTATTTGATATTTACTGGATTAGGAGGTGCTGCAGCCTTTTTATGTGCTTTAGATTCTCAGGTACATACATTTTATTTCTATATAGCCATTCACACACTTTTATAGTCTCATAACTTTAAAGAGCGTCGGGGACTCAGTATGGGTTTAACAACCGCTTCTGTAGGTATATGCGGTGTTGTGTTTTCACAAATCAATGATCTTTTATTTGGACCCAATGTATTCAGTGTCAACGCGCCTTATTCCAATGACAGTACCTATCATTTCCTTATGTTTCTCTCGATCTGTATGGCTACAGGTATCTTGTTGGGTTCTTTCTTTTTAGGTCCTATTGTGCCTGCTTATGAGCCCATTCTTCCTGACCGTGTGGATCAAGAAGACACGATTAAATCAGAGACTACACTCTCAGGCACTGACTTACTCAAACATCCTATTGGAGGTGGTATCTTTTGTGCCCTTTTTATTGTGATTGGCATAGGCTATGTCTATCTTGCCAACATTGGCCAGATATTGCATGCTATCTCAAGTGAATCAGATCAACATGACAGAAACCTACATATCACTCTGTTTAGTCTAGGCAATTGTGGTTCCCGTGTTATTTTTGGTGCATTAAGTGACTTACTCAAGAACAAGTACGGTGTTCATCGTGTATGGGTGTTTGTGTATGCTATTGTTACTTTATTGCTTGCATTAATGTTTCTTGTTTCCCATGAGACTATCTCTTTGGAAGAACTGAAGCCATGCACTGTCATTATTTCCATGTCCTATGGTATTCTTTTTGGTGTAGCACCTGCTGTGACAACAGAATTTGGAACAAAAGTAAAAGCGAACGATCTGCAGTCATGTACTGACACTATTCTATGCTAGGTCTTTGCACGTAATTGGGGTTTACTTTTATATGCTCCTGCTTTTGGAAGTCAATTGTTCAATGTCTTGTTTGGTGTGCTTTATGGAACAGAAGCAGAAAAGCAACATGATCATGTATGCCATGGTGTTGTTTGCTACCAAAGTACATTCTATGTAGCTATCTGCTGTAACCTAGTGGCACTTGGTGTCTTGCTGCTAGCAATTTACAAAACGAGTCTTTATTATACACATCCTATAGAACAAAAGATACATTAAGAGAAATGAAGCATGGTTAATTGAATAGACCAACTGATTTTGTCTACGCCTTTGTTGTCTGTGAGCTGGTACATCTTTGTCTTGAATTCATCCAGGGCTTCATATAACACAACCAACTCTTGTTGAGAGAAAGCAGTGATGGAAGAGACAGACATACAGTATTTGCTGACCATCAGTATATGGCGATAGATAGCGTCGATGGATTTCTTGTCTCGAGGAAGGGTTTTCAAGACATAACCAGTTATTTTTTTGGGGGGAAACTCTCTTGTTCAGACGCTTGTGTGCTTTGTTAGCTTGAGACGTATCTGCATTTGCTAAAGCTAGATCACAAAGTAGAACCACAAAAGAAGGGTATTTAATGAATCCTAAAAGTGTTTCATAGCTTGAATAAAGCTACGCATCTGAGTAGTAAGATGATCAACAGTGCCAACATAATCAAAATAAGAAACCATGATCAGCTAAACATAACATGTCATGAGTGAGAGTATCGTGTGACTGTATAACTTGCCATGTTCAAGAGATCGCTTACAAGACCAGTCAAATGAATATCTTGGTCTGGAAACGTATCCAAGTATTTGTTGAAATGCTTGCTTCTGCTGTTTAATATCTTTACAAAGATAGATGCTTGCACTTGTTCTTTATTATCCAATCTTGATTTCAAGTCAGCCTGTAGCAGTTTGACAAAGAAATCTATAACACAAATCAAGCATGAATACGGCAAATTATTTCCAATAAGAAAAAACTTACGTGAGCATCCAAACCCTTTGACGCATCCTTCAATAATCTCTCTACAAAGTTCCAAAAGTCACAAAATGTTGTCAGTTCACCTGTATTCAATAAATCATAGTCATCGTCTTGACATGCTTTAGTAGCTCTTCTTGTTTCTATCAATTCAAAGTGTCTGAATTGATTCCACAAGGGATCAAACGTATGGGATCCAGATAAAGTCAAGACATCAACCAAAAGAGTGTGTGCTTTTTTGCACAATAACCATTGTTTGACCATGTCTTGTTTTGAATCTATTCTACCTTTTGATTTTGTGATAAAATTAACAAGGAGCAATAACAAACGACTAATCTATTCATTAACATCATCTCCTCTCCCGCTTTTTTTTTTAAAAAAACTTGTTATGATGGTTTTTTGTTCTCTCCAAGTGCACTTTCTATGAATTGTATACCAACATGGTCTGAAAGGAAAGATTAGAGACCTATCACATCACAACCTACTTCAACTTGCGAATATTCTCTTCAAAGCAATCAATGATTCTTGGTTGCAAGTGTATAGGGAAAGGCTCATAGACTGCTCATTTATATTCAAAACCAGTGTCTGTTGTCAGTTTATGCTTGTATCCGTTAAATTCTTTTTGTGTAGAAAACACGAAGAAGAAGAAGAAAAAAAAAGGTTTATTATGATCAATAAAGAGTAGAACAAGCTCTGACTATATAGACATGCTTGGCACTTTTGCACTGCAAATGAAATGTACGAAGGTGATGTTGATGGGCTTGATAATATTGCTCTGATGTTGCATCTGCCATGTTATATTCACGACACTTGTAATACATGACGCCTGTCTCTTGAGTCACTTTGAAAAGCGAAGGATTGGTATCGCCACTCATGACAAATGAAAAGCTTTCAAAGGCTGTATGAGGCATATCAAAGTAAACATGAGACATATTTTTTGTCATGTTCTTTCCATCTATATCAAGTATATTGGAATAAACAATCTGTAACGCACTGAGTTGAGGAAGACACTTGGAGATATCTTGAAAGACAGTAGGTCTAAATGTACAGCTACTGAGTGAAAGGGACTGGATAGGGCTTGTCTGCATCAGATGAAGATCAGTAAAGTAAAGGTCCGAGAGTTCAAGTCGTTCGAGTTTGATGCATGCCGTGAGCACCTCTTGTAGATCAAGTTTCGGGTTTCTATCGGTATTGTCGCTACTAAAGCAAACAACACCCTTAATCTGAAGCTCATCTATCGTTTCACCGTAATCTGAGAGGATGGTTGATAAAGGACCAGACAGCATGTCATTATACACTGTCAGGCGAACCTGTGAATGGAAGGGTGCCTTTCTATTGTATTTTATCAGTGTTGAAAGATAATTCACTTGATCTTCTTCAGCTTTCTTGAGATGCACAGTCACTGTCAAACTTCCATATCGATGTTCATCTTTTAAGGTACGTATAAAATGATGCATATCGTTACATTCCATATTCCTAACTTCACATTGATCCAGGCTTAAAAGAAACTGAGCCAGTTCTTGTCTATCTTTAGTCGACAAATTATCATGAAAACTGCATTTATCTGCCTTTATCTCCAGTTGCTTTAGATCAGAGAATTTGGTGACAAGATACACAAGGAACTCGGGTGCAATCATGTATCCTTTCAAATCAATCCTACGTAATGTTGTATTCGTGCTGATGAATTCTACTGCCTTGGAGGTGAAGTTTTCTTTGGATTCAATCAAGAGATATTCCATGGTTGAAAAGGCATCAATGATATTATTGAGTTTGACAAGAGAACAATTCATGTCCAACTCGAATCTCAATGTCTTTAATTGCTTGAATTCAGCCAGTGCCTTGATAAACAGGTTGTGTTGCTTCTTGTCTTGCTTTTTTGAGCCCCAGGCAGATGCATCTAAAAGTGTGACATCTTTGATCGTATCACGCAAGGCCAAGACAGCACCACGGTAATGCTGAGTATCATCGGTGTTGGAGGGTTTGGGTAGTTGTGTTACATGTGTCCAGTGTTGCTCATAGCGTAACTGCATCACCAACAGCCAAAACAAGCGAGTAGTATGGTTAGACTGTAAGTTTTCAAGCCATGGTGTGTATTGTGCCAGTGTATAAAACATATCTTCTAAGTCTTCTCTCTTTTCATTGTTGATACTAAAATCGATATCTGAATCTGTATCTGAGTCTGTTTCTGATTCAATGTCTTCACTGTCATTAAAATCAACATGGTTTATTGTGAGCGTCTTGACATAGTTGCCTGGAAGAGAAGGAGCAGTGGATAATGTACGGACAAATTTATGTAATCGATGTGTTTTTGAGATACGAACAGAGGCATAAGCAGCTTGTTGTGCCATATTGGACCATTCTCGACAGACAAGTTGGCACCGCAGTGCGTCGCGTCCATCTAACTGTCTAAAGATATGGAGAAGAAGTTCTGAAGGCAAGCTACTCCACGTACTCATAACTGAAAGAAAGATTAAAAAAAAAATCGCGTCTTGAAAGTCAACCAATCATGACTATACCATGTTCAGGCACATCATAGGCCTATCATTAGCATTGTGGTGTAACTAACGCATTTGAAATTCTAGAAATTACATCAGCAATATTTATATTAGCAGAGAATAGAAGGGAGATATAAATTAGTAATAGATATGAACCAGTCTATGTAAGATATTGACACAGATATGAAGAGGTAACTGAATGCCACTATTTTGTCAGTTGCATAATGGCTTCAAATCATTACATTCAACTAAAATAAACACCTCAACAAATCATTCACAAAGAACTGAATGCCTTTAAGTCTATTAAAGGGCTCTTGGGTTAGAGTACAACAAACTGGGTCAATTTTTATTTCGGGTCAGTGTATATATACAAAAGACTATGTACATTATCATAAAAGAATATGCTCTACTTTCTTTGTCTTCCTTTCATTTTCAAAAGACAACTACTGCAGTACCATTTACCCTTTGGCACTGTCTTGAGATCAACACAAGCTAAATGGAACCATTCAATTTCACACTGTATGTTACAGTTAGATAGATATAGGTGATGAATAGCAATATACATACATCTGCATTATCACAAGCCACCATTTCTCCATAAGATACTTGCTGACAATAGCAATAAAGAGGTTCATTTGGATCAATTGGCAAATCAGCAGGAACAACACTAGATATGAAAAAGAAAGGGATGAGAAACAGAATAAATAGACAGACATATATACGCTTTAGGTTTTCCATTGCCATTCTTGTTATACGTCTGTCTTGTCTTTTCTTTGTCCATATGTTTTGATGATCTAGCTTTATCCAATGTTTGTGAACGAGCCAAAGGAGGAGGGGTACCACCACCATTAGTTTCTTTGACTGTCTTTCTCTCTAATAAACACAATCAATACAATGTCAATGAAACAATAGAATACTTTTAACAACTAAAACAAGGTTAACATCCATATGAACCCCATATAACAAGACTTACTCTTCTTTTCTCCTTTCAGTTCTTTTCTTTCTCTGTCTAATAAGCGTTTTGTTGCTCTGTCTCTTACATCGACACCTTCTTTTAAGCTACGTGCTGAAGGTTGTAGTCCTGGCAATGTTGTGATTCTACTGTCTCCTACTGTTTGATCTTCTTCAAATTTAACCAAGTCTGCATCCAATCGATTACAGTGACGGTCTACCTAAGGCATGATGAGTCCATTTACCCCCCCTCTCTGTTTTCTGCTACTTACTGCATCAAAAGTTGATTTAGCCAAGGCTACTTTTTCTTCTCCTCGTTTCAATGTTTCTGAAAGAATAGTCGTGAGGTTCTTTAGCTTATCAAGACGTACATTAGGGTCCATATCTTTTATGTGGTCGATTAATTCAATAGCATCTTTAGATACTGTCGTCATCAATTCTATTTAATCAGTCACTGTTATATTGTCCAGTCCAATTCTACCTTGAGCATAACCGTCTAGTTCTCTCATCAATGTGAAATTCCTTTGTAAATCAAGTGGCACTGCTTCAATGGCTATATCAAAAAGTAAATACCGCGTTTCATAAATACATTTTGTTTCTTACTATCAATATAATCATCAAGATAGACTAAATTATCAAATTGTTTTGCCATTGTATGAATAGACTTCATGTTTTTTTTTTTAGTTATTTATTTGTTTTTATCAAAAGAGAAAGAAAAGAAGAAGAAAAAAAAATATACACACACATTACAGTTGAATAGCACAGTCACATCATTCACCATGCTGTTCTTCCCACCAATCAGGCAGAAAAGGTCGAATGCGTATAGACTCATTTCCAGGTACAGTAAATGCTACTGGTTCACCTTCAGCACAACGTTTAACATGCTCTAATCGCATGAGTGCTAAACCAATGTTATGTATACCAGAACACATTTTACCTACACCACGCTTACTTGCTCCCTCCACTAACTTGATATCTGTCTGAGGCACAAGACCACTGGGGAATGTTTGATGACGATCCACAGACTGAACAGAGGGAGCACTGAACATCTTTAGTCTTATCACAGATACTCAATCACTTACGGTTCATCTTTAGAATAGATTTGAACAGGCACAATACGCTTACGAACAACACCTGTATGATAAGTACGAATCGTCAATTCTTGGCCTACATAACATCCCTTGCGAAAATCAACACCATTCATATAATCAAGATTGGATTCAAGAGGCAAGGAAATCTCAGGCCATAGATCATCCACACCTTCAGGAATACCATGCAATATACGACGAATTGTGTATTCTGAAGCATCCAAGGGTTCAAAGTGACCTGAGGTCGGCAAGATGTGTTCAATAGCCTGTTCTTTCTTCAGGACAGCACGGTATCCAAACCCAGACATACGAGGGTCAGTACAGCCAATGTCTGAAAGTCGTCTTTCTTTCTTTACAAGAGCAGGATCGAGTGTTTCATGATGGCCCCATACATGCCATAGTTGGTATTCTTCTGAACAATCTCTCGCTTTGACTTTGGAACGTAGAATATATCGCTTTAAATGACGCATGAAGGTGGATGTATTACTGGCTGGACAGTCAATCATGAATTTAGGATGAGGGAAATTGACACCACTATTGACTGGATAGATAAATGTGTCATAGAGCATACGACCCTATTTTTTTTTAAAGAAAAGAAAGTATAAGCATGAACATCATCATGCATTTTCCCCTCTTCCTCACTTACAGGAGGTGTCAAAAAGGCAGTGTAAAATCCATCTCCTCCGGGAGAAATCTTGGGCATATGGTTCGTTATCAAGCCCTGTAAGAATTTAGCTGTATCGGGTCCTTCTAATTCAATCAGGCCACGCTCAGGTATTTGGCAATAATGGTCGCCTTGATGTCGGACATCTTTCTCTTGAAAGCTAGTGTTGACAAAAGAACGAGTCAAGGTGGCTATAGCATCAAGATATATTAGCTCTTATCTATCTATCTATGTGTCGTTACGTCTAAGAAGTACACTACTACTAGCACGCGAGAAGGGTTTTAAAAGCATCCTAAGAGAAAAAAAGAAAAAAAATGATATTGGCCTTTTTTTTTTTTTTTTTGCTTCTAAGAATCAAGTCACAACGGGATTTGAATGTCTGCTTGTCATTATCACCCAGGGTCAACAGAGTGTATAAAATTTTGCTCTTTTTCAAACATGCATCACGGAAAGCACTTGCGTCGTTTGAATCGTTCTTCTGCACATAGAAACGCACTTCTCAGAAACCTTGTTTCTTCACTTATTGAACATGGCAGAATAGAAACAACAGTTGCAAAAGCAAAGACTATTCAACCTATTGCTGATGCTATGGTCACCCTTGGCAAACGAGGCGACATTGAAGCCAAGAAACAAGCCCTTGCTTACCTTAATGTAAATCATCTGTCTTTTTTTTTTTTGTACAAGTACTGATCCTATCCTACTAGAGTCGTGATACAACAGTGCCTAGATTATTTGATGAACTTGCAGCACGATTTGAGAGCAGACAAGGTGGCTATACTCGTATTCAAAGAATCGGCAAGCGTTATGGTGATAATGCACCTATGGCTGTGATTGAATACATTGATGGCCCCACAGACACCAAAAGAGAGATGGTCACCAGTACATTGGCTCGTAAATTTGTTTCAACAGAAAAAGTATCTGTCAAAGATATTTTGGAAGACACAAACAAGGCAGAAGCCCTTGGTTTACCAAAGACACTTGTTCGTAACTTAAAGAAGGTTCAATTTTCAAACTCGATACAAGACATTGATCATGCTATTGAAAAGAAAATGGCTGATTTATAAATAAAAGAAATATATATATATATATATATGTATATCATGAAGAAGAAGATTTACGCCTTGTTGAATCAGGCACAAGCAAATGACCTGAAGCATCTGAAATATGACTACTAAGAGCGAAATCATCATCAATCATCACATCATCATCGTCATTGAACATCATTTGAAAAGAGTTAGAGGGAGATACAGAATAAGCACGGTCTGCTGGATAAGTCACTGGACTAGGCATGGGGGATTCAATGTTGGGAATAAAGAAAGGCAGTTCTTCTTGAAGTGGTTCATGCACTTGAATGTCAATTGGATAAGCGGGTGGGACAGTAGCAATAATCATAGGCAATGAAATTGTGTTTGTGATGGATTGAGTACCAAATAAGCCAGTTGAAGTTGGATTCAATGGGACAATCAATACAACTTCATAAGCAATGTCGATATACCTGCCCATTTTGTTTGTAAAGGTAGGGACTAGATGAGAAGGAATAATGAACTGGAAGACATCTTGATGGTCAGTGGTGTGTTTAGCAATCGAAACATAAAAGGTTTCTGTAAGCAGTGTTTGTTGTTTATGGATGTATTCCACTGCACTCGTGGGTGCAAGTGTGGTTGCAATCGCATTGAACTGTATCTGAACCTGAGTGATTTTGATATCAGACTTGTTCTTGGTCATCATTTTAAGAGTACAAAGATCGCCTATGTCTCATGTTAGGCATGCCTAGAGGAGCATCTTTCATTTACCTGGGCAATAAGCAGGTTTGATTAATTCTGCTGTTATTTCAATCCTGTCTTGATTCTTTTGATAGACTTGTGTCTTTCTTGATACGTGAGTGACTGAAGTAGTGACCAAAGGCAAGTAAATGATTGGCAAGGTGGATGTATAATGAGGTCCTTCAGAAACCAACTCAATCACGCCTTGTAGCGTATAATTGATACGATGACCAAAATGAGAGACATGCATGGAAGGTGGATAATTCACTTGTGGCAGACGAATAGCAAACAAATACATATGACTACCACTTGCCAATTCTTGTGATTCTAATTGGCACATTTTAGAATCCTTTCTAGCATGGCCCCAAATAACACTATCCACAGCAAAAATAGTCGTATTTTCCTTTTTTGAACTATCTAATTCCTCACATTTGAATATAACACGTATGTTATACGCAGGTAAAGGCTTATCCAACGTAATCATGAGTGAACCTATATTGTTTTAGATGATGAAGACAAGTAGCCTATTACCGTTGATAATTGATCCTGGTCCATAAGCAACTGGTTTCTCTTGACCACTTGAGCCTGTGCTTACATAAAAGTTGCGTATCGATCCAGAATCTGTATTTCTTTGGAAGAGCATCATGGTAATACAATAGAACGGAGTTCAATCAATATATGAATGGCTATTGAAAGTGGAGATTTATTCAGATAAAAGGAAAGAAGAAAGAAGAAAAAAAAAAAAAAAAAGAGAAATTTTTTTTCCTTTTGTATATGTGTGTGTGTTTATTTATATGTAAGCTATTCTTGGATAAAACAAAGGGGCATAAGTTATTTGAATCCTAAAGTAGCTTATAAATAAATACGCAGCCCAAAAATAAAAAAAAAAAAAAAAAGAGTAGATCCGGGGAGATTACTAAATTTGATAGTGAGTCAGGCTACTGTTTTTAGAATCACACCGAGACAAAAAAAAAAAATTTTTTCTGTATGGTATATAAAAAGGACCATTTGATGTCTATTTGACTTTATTCTATCTTCTCTCTATCTCTCCATATGATCTCTCGTATTGCTCGCTCTGCTGCCATCAAGAAGGTTGCTTACTCTGTTGCTGCTGCTGGTGCTGTCTACATTTATGCACAAGAATGCAAGAATGATGTTGTTTACTTCACCAAGTCCAAGTAAAAACACACACACACACACATACAAACATAGACTTTCTTTGTTAAACTCTCAATTCATTGTATTATACAAATTACATATATATCTAGACTACTTTCTATTGCATTATAATCATAATAAAAAAAAATTCACTCTTTTTTCCCGTCATTCTTATAAAAAAGCCCGTGCAAACATGTTGACACGTTTTCAATTTGAAAATCATTTTCATATTAAAGTTGAGCCTATCAATTCAGATATATGGGGTTGGGAAAAATCGGGATTTTTTTTTTTTGTCTGATTTCTCCCCTCACAACCTGATATTTTGCATGCCGAATTTATTTTTTTCCGTGCGTGAAATAAAAACATAGCTGAATAAAGAAATGATCAAAGGATCTGAAGGGATTTATGGATCATAGATCTTAAAGCACTAAGAAGAGAAAGAAGCCTCGGGTCTTTATAAGTTCTTTGGGTATTATGATGACAAATGTCTCTAACTGTTAGGAAAAATGAAAAAGCAAACTGGGAACGCAAAAAAAAAAAAAAAAAAAAAAAAGTTCTGGACCTGCGCTTTGAAGGTTTTGAGCCAGTGCCAGTGGCGGGCTGTTAACTCGCCTTTGATGTTTTTATGCTGATAAATTGATCTTTTCCATATGTACAATTCCATTTTCTTTTAAATACAAGAAAGAGAATCAAAATACCTTGATCCACACTTTAAAAAAAAACATAAAGAGTATTTCACTGTTCTTTGTGCACTAAAACAACCAAGGTACAGTGATTACTGATTATGTCAAAGGTATAGACTTCTTTTTATTCACATGCATTTGATAAATTATTGGTTCTTTTGTGTGATAAACAATCAAAAACCGGTTTGTTGTTTCAGATGTGATCAATTGATAAAATAAAAAAAAAATTCTTACAAAATGTTTATAATTACAGCTCTTTCGAAACCAATGCATTTACGCAAAACTTGTCTCGTTTTAGAATGAGCATTGGAGTGGAAGGAACATTTCCCTGAGACAATAGTAAAAGGGCATAGATGCAAATTTAGTAAAATGCGTGCAGGAAAAAGGTTGTGTTGACTCATTCCTTAATTCTTTAGGTCCTTAGTGGAAGGCTGTTGAAGAGAACTACTTTGACAAAACAATAGATTATCGAAACAAAGCCATTGAAGCTGGTCTTCAAGGAAAAGGGCAGAGGCTATCAAAAAAAGCCAGGCAATCAATGGGCTTGACTTGATCCACAAGCTTCCAGCTATTAGGAATCAACTTGGCATTTTCCATGGCTACAAAAGCTGCGGTGCGCAAGTAGCCACCTTATGCTATGTTTTGGTTGAAGTAAGTGTTTAGTTTAATGAAACTGTTATTAACCTTGGTGTCTAACTTTCCTTTGTTTGTTTCTTATTGTAACAGAAGGCCATTACGGAAGAGGATATTGGCCTTCTTCTTTTAGAAAGAAGAGTGCAAGCTGAGAAGAAAAAGAAGAGTAAAGAAAGAAAATTGTTTTTGGACCTCTTTGCTGCTTTTTTTCAGAAGATCAAGAACATAAGCTGCTTGATAAAGCAATTTTACATAGACTCAACTTTGCTGCCATTGTATGAACACTTCTTTGGCAGCAATGCATTCATGCAGCACTACAGGTAAATAATGCTTCTTTATATAAAGTTATAGAAGTGGACATAACATGTTTTACTTTTAGCTCAAAAGAGTTCTTTAAACGCGTGTCAAGCAGTTCTGAATTGTTAGTCCCTACAAAGGCGATATCAGACAAAAGATCATCGCCTATAGATTGTTCTTGGCTAGACTTACGACCTGAAAGCAGTTTATGGCCATATGAAGTTTGACTTGTTTTTGGTGAAAGTAAAGAAGCTAGGAGTAAAGTCTTCTCAAATGGTTGATGATGTAGCCAAGGTGGCCAATTTGATGAAGCTGATGATCAATCGCTTGGTGCTGAACGGTGTCCCTTCTCCTGTTGTTTGTGGCCTAGTTGATGATGGTATAACACATCAAGTATTTTTCACAATCAACCAACTTTGTATATGCAAAATACAGGTACCATGATGTCCACCTACAAAATGCAAATCAAAAGCAACGTGAAGTATGATTTTATTCAGATGTCATACTTTCATGGTGCTCGACGCCTTCGTGACCTTGCCTATCTCCCCGGCATCGTGAGTAGCCTAGGGTAATTAAGAGTAAGTTGATATACAAGTCTTATACTTTGGACATCTAATTAACCCTTTCTTGTAGAGCATCATCATGGGCATGCAAGGAAAAAATCAGTGTTCATATACACAAGACATTTTCTGGCCCTTTAAGTCTTCAGGTTGTTCCTGTTGAATGGTTGAGGCCCTCATATGAGTATCCTTCTGCTGTCTCTGTCAGCAAGAAGCAGAAGTGATTTTAAATGTTTTTCTTCTTGTATTTTTATTATGTCTCAACTCATCATTATGGTATGCCTTTTCTATTTGCTGCACAAAATACAATGTAACCATCAAATTAGCATGTGATAAAAGAGAGTTCAAGGCTAGATTGTGTAGACACAAAGAAAGCAATCAATTTTTTTTTTTTTTATTGAGACAATGCTATTTTGGCTATTAACTTCTTCAGCCTAAACGGCCTCTTCATTGATCGAATATTATCTAGTAAGGGCATATTTCTACCTACAGCATGATCTCCATATGCAGATAATAAGATGAGCTAAGATATAGTAATGATCAAAACACTTTTTGACAAATTCTGTCTGATAACCAGGCATAACAAATATATATATATATATATATATTTTTTGGTATCGAATATTGTCGACATCATGGAATAGCTCTCAATTTCAACACTAAAACTAATCATTACAGCTGCTACCCTGTCGAACCTAGCGCAACCATGGAGAAATAAAAACATAGAGAAAAAGAACAAAAAAAAAGGAGAAAAAGCATATCAAATTAAGTGTATAGATGAAGATACTGTTTCATCAACTAGAAAAATAAAATAAAAGAAAATAAAACTATCTGGATCCACAGATGATTCTTGACTCCATTTTTGAGCCGAGAATACTTTTTAAATCCATGAGAATTCAATGACCAAACCATAGTGTCAGTTGAAAAAGACTCGGTTTTGTTTAAACCCTTACAGACCAGAACTTTGTGTGGTGTTGAATACAACTGTCATAAACCTGTATGAATGTGTCATTTGTAAAATAATAATAATATTCGATGCAGTAATACTCTTTTTGGTAATGACATTCTTCTATTACCCCTATAGGGTCAGTTTAAGGTATAAAAACCAGTCTATTCATATCACAGGTTAATTTAGTGTTCTTAAGATGTCCTTTCACCACTTTCAAGCTTTGTGGAACAAAGGATTGATATACAATAATGTGTGTCTTTGAATAGGTTTAAATCAAGAATGACCCTGTTAAAAATTATTTCTTTATACTAGAATAGCCTTTATGAATAGACTACACTGTTTTACTCTCATGCTTATTAGTACAATCATTGCGATGTCTACATGGTCAGTGCATCCAAAAAAAGGAAAGCTTCTTTAAAATGTAGTTTTTTGAGTAACTTTAGACTTGCTAAGATTAAGACAATCTTCTAGCTGAACTGTAAGGTGCTATTGTCGCTTTTAGGTGTACACTAATAATATAAAGCCAATTCTTTTTGCTATTGTGTAATCCATTGATAGCAAGATGATGCTAAAAGAAAGAGTTTTGTCAAAATGATCATGAACAAGAGAGCAATTGAAAGGTTTAGTCATCTATTGGCTATCGACATTTCTGACTTAAGCCCAATAAACCTGCTTTATAACCATGCTATCAACATCTTTGATACTGTCATACTAGTCCTGACTTGTGCCTCTTAATTCAAAGTAGCTTTAATGATCCGAGAATCCTGAACAAAAAATGCTTGAAGACTGACTGCTAAAATCTTAGTTTAAAGTTTCCATTCTATTCATGATTGACATGTACTTTTCTATTCTAAGCCAGGGAGAATTCCTTAAAATGATCCAAGGGCTCCTCTACATACGCTCTAATTGAAATACCGAAATCTTTTTTTTTTTTTTTTTCGGTATCCATATGCAACCCAAAAAAAAAAAAAATATATTCTGAACGTCATCAATTTCTTTTCTTTTCTTTCTTTAATGAAAAATTCGGATACACCCATAAAAAGCGAATTCAGTATATACGAACGTAAGCAGTACACTTACTATAGATGTATACTTAGTATTATACAATAGACGAAAAAGTGTTACCACTCATTTTACCTGTTCATAAAGAACTCGAACAAGTTGATTTCCAAGTGCATCATTGGCAGATTGATGACTGGACATCACTCGACCATCGTGCTCATGGTCCTATATTTGAAGCAGCTGGACTTCAATGGTACATGGATAACAAACAAAATACAAGTTCTAACTACTCACTGTTATAGGCGTGTCTTGTTATTTCCCAAGGGCAATAGTCAGCATGACCAAGTCTCCATCTATCTAGAAGTCGTGATGGATAATAAAGAAAAAAAAGAATGGTCTGTTTGTGGTGAATTCGCAGTGATTATATCTAATCCTGATGATCCTAAACACTTTTTTACCAACCGTATGTTGACCAAAAGGAGAAAGACAATAGTTAATGACTTTGTTATTAGATGCACATCATCGATTTTGTGGAGAAGAAATAGATTGGGGATTTACTCGTTTTCATGATATCAAGACTCTAGTAGGCGGAAAAGATCCTTATGTGAATGAACTGCATAAGACAACAATATCCATCTTTTTACGTATTGTCAAGGACGAAACGGGTGTTTTATGGCATAACTTGATAAAGTAATACAAACTACACAGACAAATCTAATGACATTTTGGATGTTAGTTATGATTCTCGTAAAGAGACAGGATATGTAGGTATTCGAAATCAAGGTGCTACATGCTATATGAATTCACTGATCCAATCTCTGTATTTCACCAATGTGTTTCGAAAAGCTGTGTATCGTATACCAACTGAAAAAGAAGACCCTACCAACAGTGTCGCATTAGCCCTTCAACGATGCTTTTATAATCTCCAATTCTCAGATGAATCTGTAGGCACAACAGAATTAACCAAGTCATTTGGATGGGATTCAGCTGATGCTTTTATGCAACATGATGTTCAAGAATTCAGTCGTGTACTGCAAGATAATCTCGAATTAAAAATGAAGGTAAAACCCGTCTTTTTTTTTTTTTTTTTTTTTTTTTTTTTTTGCATTCATTTAATCGTATGTATAGGGAACATTAGTCGAAGGTGCAGTAACTGATATTTTTATGGGTAAAATGAAGAGTTATATCAAGTGTCTTCATGTAGACTATGAATCATCTCGAGTTGAAGATTTTTACGGTAAGGAAATAAAGTCTTTGTCCTGTTGAATGACAAACATGTAGATATCCAACTGAATGTCAAGGGATGTGATAGCTTACATGACTCATTTAAACGCTATGTGGACCCTGAAATACTAGATGGAGAGAATAAATATATGGCAGAAGGACATGGTCTACAAGATGCTTGTAAAGGTGTCTCATTTGAAAGCTTCCCTCCTGTACTTCACCTTCAACTCAAACGATTTGAATATGATATGCAAAGGGATACCATGGTCAAAGTAAGTACATGTCTGCCTAGTATTTTATTTATTTATTCTATTAGATTAATGATTATCATATCTTTCCAGATCAAATCAATCTGAATGAATTCTGTTCTATACCAAGTACAAATCCAGCTGAACATAACTACATTCTACATGGGTAAGTTTTGTTATAGATAGACAAAGTAACTTAGGATCCCATAGTGTACTTGTTCATAGTGGTGATATTGATAATGGACATTATTTTGCTTTATTAAAACCAGAAAAAGATGGCAAATGGTAAAGTATGTATTATAGAAATCATATAACTAAACTCTGTTATAGGTTTCGTTTTGATGATGATCGTGTTACTCCTGTGACGCAAAGAGAAGTGTTTGAAGATAACTATGGTGATAATTCTACAAGTCAAAACGATGAAAAGATGCCTTATACAAGTGTACATACATTAAAACGATTCACAAATGCATATATGCTGGTCTATTTTCAACAGTCAAGACTAGATGACATTCTGGCAACTGTAGAAGAGAAAGAGATACCCAAGCATTTAACACGGTCCCTTAAAGACAACGCAAAGGCATTAAAAGAAGATGTCTTGAATAACCTTATATCACAACCACAACTCAAAGGAAACAATTCACCACCTAAACAAAACCATATTCGATTGAAAAAAGCAGCAGAAAAAGCAGACAAGAAATGCTGTATGATGTAGACACATATTTTTTTCTTTTTTTTTTTTTTTTATTAGCTATAAACTGTGCTACCATACTCTTCACTTTCTCGCATAACCTTTTTGGCCTCTTCAAATGAGACGCGTAAGTCTTGTTGAATCAAACGAATACCACATTCAGGCACCAATACTTGTTGAACAAATTCAATCGGCTTAAGAGGCTCACTTTTCTTGTCATCTAAATAGCCTGTCTTTAAGAACAAATCACTCAATGTGTCCATCATCGCATTGCTTCCTTTATGTCCATAATAACCAGGCTTATCTTATATAAATAAAACTAAAAAAGACAAAAAAGTTACATACCAGTGTTTGTTCAAATCGCTTCATCACTTCAATCGCATTTCTTGCTTGTATGCCTTTGTTCTTGAATTCGTTTTGAGCTAGTTCTAAAAATGAGCTCGGTGTTTGCCTATCAATAATAGATTCTAAATCATGCTTAAAGAGTACAAGGCGTTCCTTGAGTTGATCAAAATCAATGGATCCTGGATAACCCCTCTCTTTTGCCATGGGCTTAAAGATCAATTCGATCTTGTGTGTTCTACAAAAGAACTTTTTATCGTTCAGTGAAATATCAGCTGGTTCATAGAAAAAGGGAGGTTCAGGTAGCTGTTTGGCTCGACATTCTGCTGCTTGGGCTTGATGCTCTTGTTGCTTTTCTTCAAAATATTGTTGTTGGTTCTGTTTGATCTTTTTGATCAAACGCTTTATCTTGGGAGGGAAAGGAGCATGGATGACCCCAAGGCACAAAGGACATTCATAGGCTATATGGATAGGGTTGAGTTGTAAGGAACAGATGTAAAAAGCTTACAATTGTCTGTTTTAGGTAAATCAGGTATTTTTTCAAGTAAAGTAGTATTAAGCGTAATAGATTTCTTTCGACTAGGCAAGACGAGTTTCTTTAGTCTCTTTATCTTGACAGTATCTTCTTGATGTGATGCTGATCGTTTGTCGCCAATCATTCAAAGGAAAGAAAAAGGATGTTTCAAAGCCAGTGCTTTAAATGCTCGTGACGTTTTTAACGCGTTTATTTTTTTTTTCTTTTCTTTTCTTTAACTATGAGTTACGACAACAGAGGATATCGACCTCGTCAAGAAGGTATGTTTATTGAATAAGAAACTAGTTTACAAACAACATTAGGTGGCGGTCATCGTTATAGAGGTGGTAATAATGGTGGTGGACCCAATCGTTATCGAGGTAACAAAAAGCCAATGCGATTGTGTTGACTCATGTTTTCATAGACAACAGAAGAGGTTATCAACGTCGTCCTTATGATCGCCCTCCTCCTCCTCAGGAAAACAAAGAAGACGATCTTGAAGATATTGAAGTGCGTTTAAAGGGTTTGATTATCAAGATTGGTGACAAGGTAAGTTTGATTAGAACGCGTTTTTTGATGATCTCACACATGTCTATTTAGTTTACACATGATCTCCAAGTCAATTTGACTAAGATGAAGAACATTCTGGACAATGATTATCACAAATATCCTACTACAGTACAAGATACATTAACAGCATGGTAAATGATTCGACTGGATAAACATCATGTATTGACCTTCATGGATAGTATTACTGAATTACCAGCAAAAGCGCCTGTGTATGGTACATTGATTGGTCTCTTAAATGTCTCTAGTCATGACATTGTTGCCAAATTGATGACTGAATTCAACAAGACATTAGAAGAAGCCATTACTGACTCCAATTGGTTTAAACTAAAGCAATTGTTGAGATTTTATGGTGAATTAGTCAACTCAAATGTGATTTTACCTACCACCTACTGTGGTCTAGTCAATGATGTCTTGGCTCCTCTAGATCAACCTAACCAATTACGCCAACGCTTGGATTGCTTTGTCTATATTGTATCGATGGCCTTGTTTTGGGTAATGCGACAGGATATAATGATAGCTTACTCACTTTATTATCTAGTGTGGTACAGAATTAAACAATCGTTGTCCAACTGAACTTGAACATATTTTGAAGAAGATTGAAGATTATATGCAACGTAGAGGCACTGTGGCTTCACTTGATCTATTAAAGCATGAAGAGAATGCCTCTATACATACTTATGAAACAAATGTAGGTGTTTATTAGTCATATTTGATTACTGATGAGAGTGATAGACACTACAACACCTTTGGGAGATGGTAAACAAGTGCAAAAAAGATAATTGGAAGGTAAGCCATTGCCATGTTTGAATTACACATAGATATATCTTTATATGCAATAGACTCCTTTAATTCCTCAGCCTTATCGTTGGTTTGACAAGGAATTTGCTTCAGCACTTCAACATGATTTACCTCGATTTATCGTGCCTAATCATCATGATGGTATCAGTTATATTGCTCCTGTACCTCATTATCGCTTTGTCTTGGACTCTGAAGCACTATCTCGTTATGCATTGCCTGATATAAGCAAGCCAGAATATTTTATCTTGCAAGAAGCTGTCTCAGACACATTACAATTGTTTGAAGTCAACCGTAAAGACTGTGCCCGTTATTTACTGGGTATTGCAGCCAGTTTCAATCCTAGACTATTCAGGTCTGCACCATCAGACTCTGTTAAGCCTGAACCTATGGAAGAAGACAAAGGAGAAAATCAGTCCTGGAGTCTCTCTGATTTCTTGGTTGAGGTAAGCCCTTAAGCAGACAACAACAAACATTCAATTGGCCACATAGGCTGTATTTTCCCATATGCTTCGTTTACCTTCTTCCCCTGCCCGCCAAGTGTTCTATTCTTGTGTGATCATTGAACTCTGTCGTGCAGAGAGCACTACTTTCCCTATGGCTCTGGGTCGCGGTCTTAAGACATTATTTACCAAGCTTGAACATGTTGATGTTGAATGCATTGCCCGTCTCTGGAACTGGTTCTCTCATCACCTAAGTAACTTTGGTTTCCAATGGGACTGGGAAGCATGGTCCAATGTACTTACACTGGACCCTAACCATCCTCAAGTCTGCTTTGTACGTGAGACCCTTGAGAAAGTGATCCGTCTTAGTTATTATGAACGTATCAAGTCAGCCTTGCCAGCACCCTTTCATGCATTGATTCCTGCTGCTGCACCTGCACCTAACTTTGCCTTTAAAGACGTGAATGATCCATTGCATGATAAAGCCAAACACTTAATTGAGTGTTTGCGTACGAAAAAGACAGCTGATGAAGTACGTGTGATTCTTGATGGCTATCGAGAAGAATGGCAGGATGAATCTCAACAGCAAATGCGACATATGTTTATTCAGTGTTTATTGTTGGTTGGGTCCAAGAGTTTTTCTCATGTGTTGAATGTGGTTGAACGATACTTGGATGTCTTGAGACTAGTGAATGGTACACCTGAAGCACGTCTTCATACAGTGCAAATTGTGGCTTCTTTTTGGAAGAACAATACGCAGGTAAGATTTACTATATATATATAAAAGAGTAGATCTCTCATTGACAATGGTGTAGTTCTCGGGTATTCTTTTAGACAAGTTATTGAACTATCGTGTCATTGATCCTATCTCTGTCATCACATGGGCATTTGAGCCAGACCAATTAGAATCTGCTGGAAGGTAAGCATGGATCGTACAAAGATGTTTGTTTATGCCTTTATTTAGAGCTTATGTCTGGGAGATCTTGAAGAACACACTGAGTAAAGTCAATTCCCGTGTGGTACAAGTGAAGGCTAAACTCGATAATTTCCAGTCCCTTCATGATGCCAATAAACTCAAGAGAGCAGGACAAGAGAGAAACGAGAGTAAGTAGATTGAGATGGAATCACAAGACTAACGCTGCTGTAGTGTTGGAAGCAGAGGAACAACAAGAGATGGACTCCTTACGTCTTGTTGAGAATTCACTTGCCACAGTCACAAGAGAGCAAAAAGAAGTCTTTATGGTTGTCTATCAGAAATTCACGCATGTATTACAAGATCTTTGCAAGTCAAACACATCAGATAGTTGGACATTTAAGTGGATCTATGGTTGGTTTAAAGAGATGCTACGTGTGGTAAGATTGAATCGCAGCCAATCATTTACGCACGACTAACTGGATTGTGATATAGCACTATCGAGAATGTAGTTCATTCATGACTACATTAGAAACACTTGTATTTACTTCTGACTTGGATCCTCGTATTAACCAAGTGTTTGAGCAAGTCAAGGCATTTAAGCAAGAATTGGATGCTATTGTATAAATAAACAACATGCCCATTTTAAGCTTATTTTTCTGTATTTAGTGAATTAATCAGAGTGTGTATTACAAACAACGCACGTTTCTGGGATAAAGGAGTTCTATGGCATAAAATAGTTGTACTACTCTACCCATTGACATTTGTTCATAGCATATATAAATACAAGCTTGTAATCATCATTATTATCATTATTATCATTAATATTCACTTTCTCTTATTCCAGTAATATGGTTCGCATCACTCTTGCTTCTCTTGTTACCCTTATGGCTGCTGCTGGCATGGTCAATGCCAAATCAACTCACTCAAGAACCAAAGGTAGAGCCTTTGATCATATCCTTCAAATCTGGTTTGAAAACCAAGTAAGTCTCCTGTTTATTAAGCTATGTGGCATTAATCCGTTTCTTTTTAGGACTTTGATGTCGTTGCAAAAGTGCCTGGATTTGCCAACCTTCATAAGCAAGGTATCCTTTTGGACAACTTCAATGCCATCACACATCCTTCTGAACCCAACTATGTGGCTGCTGCTGGTGGTGATAACTTTGGTATCACAAATGATGACTTGTACAATATTCCCGCCAATGTCAGTTCTATCTTTGACTTGCTCGAAGCTAAGGATTTGACCTGGAAGGTCTATCAAGAAGATATTCCTGCTGTTGGATTCACTGGTTTCAAGGCAGGTAATTATGTTCGTAAGCACAACCCTGCCATCATCTTTGACTCTGTTGGGTTGAACAAGACCCGTGCTGCTAATGTAGTTGGTGGTAATGTATTCAAAAAAAAAAAAAAAAAAAAAAGAGACTCACCATTGATCTATAGCTGATGAACTCTTGAAGGACATTGAATCCAATACGCTTCCCAATTGGATGTTGTAAGTAAAGAGGAATAGAATTTACCTTTGAATACTGATAGGCTGTATTAGTTATACACCCAACATGTTGAATGATGCTCATGGTAAACCTATTTGTTATGATGTACATCAATAATCATGCTTGATATAGATACAAATGCTTCTTATGCTGGTCAATGGCTTGAAAGTTTCGCCAAGTCTACTTTGAGCAACAAGAAATTATTAAAAAAGACATTGGTCTTGATTACTTTTGACGAGGCAAGCCATTAAACAATGTCTGTTGATCATTAACTTTGTTCTAGAATGCTTCTTACCCTCAAAGAAACAAAGTCTGGTCTCTTCTTTTAGGTAAAATCCCTCACAAGTTGAAGGGTACTACGGATTCTACTTTTTACTCTCATTATTCTACCTTGAACACGGTTGAACGCAACTGGGATCTTGGAAACTTGGGTCGTCAAGATACCAACAAGACCATGTCTAATGTGTTTGCTTTTGCTGCTAAAAAATTACATTATACCAACATTAAGGTCCCTGAAAATGAAATTCCTTGGAGCAACAACACGATTACTGGTTTGCTTACTGGAAAGTCTTATAACCAAACTCATACTTCTTAATGATGTCCTATTTAAATAAAATGTATCTATAATTATTAACGAGTTGTAAATGTAATTGATTTTGTTGAAAGACATAAGACAAATGGTATTTTGCAATATGCTAAGGCTTATCAAACGTATTGGTTGTTTCACGGCAGCTTTTTATCCGATAAAGCGAGCCTATCTTTGTAATATTTTAAGTAATAAAGGTAGGACAAGATTGTCAACACTCCATCAAAAGGAAAAAAGGTGCCCCGAATCGATATCCAAAAAGAGCAATAGAAAAGTTTTGCTTTGTGCAGCTTATAAATTAGATAACTCAATACCGCTCAACTTTTTTTTTGTGTGTTTGTGTGTTTATAATTCAACCTTGTTTACATGCGATAACGCATGATTGCATTAGTGTTATTACGCGCAGGTTTCAACTTAGATATGCCCGGCCAATCGTATACCTTACACTTAATATGAGGCTGTAATTGAGTCAAATTAAATACAGACGCGGAAAAAATAAAGCACCGGTCCGATCTTTTCCTGTTTAATTGATTTAAAAAAAAATACAACAGGAGTGAGTCTTGTTCAAGGAACACATTCAAGAAACAAATTCAAGACCATATGAAAGAGTAAAAATAAAAGAATGACAGTTATATATATATATATATATATGTGTGTGTGTGTGGTTATGAAGAATATGCTGCGCAAATTTGTAGATTCTGTATGTTTGATCTTGTGTAGCAGGCACAATTTTTTAAACAACCCTATTTAAAAGCCAAAATTTTCTATTCTCTCTCTTTTTTTTCATTCATCATCATGAAATTTAACAAAACCAAATCGACCCTTTCCCTAGCAGCGGCAATGATGGTCTCCTCCGTCCATGCTCAAGGTTCCGCTTTGGAACTGGAACCAACGTATTACAACGACTTTGGGTTCAAGAACATTGCCTTCTTTTCTGCTATTGGTGGCTCATCCCATTATACTTGGGTCTTAAGCATCAGTGATGAATTAGGCAAAAGAGGTCACAATGTCACCTACTTGACTAATGTAAGATAACTTGTCAATCTTTTTTTATTGATTCATATATAGGATAAAGATGTCAAGTTTGGTAAGCCCTACAAGCATGTCAAGACAGTCTCTATAGGTCCTCCTGTTGATTATACTCCAGAAGAGATCACTAGTGAGTTTTTGAGAGACATAGATACAGTTGATTTCATGACGATGGCTTTTGGTTTTATCCATAAACACTTTGAAAGAGGTAATCATTATTTTATTTATGTAAAGCGAGACACTAACATACAGTATAGATTATGAGTTCACAAGAGATTATTTTATTGCAAACAATATCGACCTGGCTTTATGTGATCACTTTGCCGAAGCCTGTGTGGAAGCTGCTACTTCCTTGAATATTCCTTACATTGTTACTTCAGCCATGGAAATCACTAAAGGTAAGCAAACCATTGATCCGTATCGTGTCTTATGAACCATATTATAGATTCAGCTGCTCCCTATATCAATAACAACATTGTTACACTGACTACGCCCACATCTGAATTTCAAAGTTTCGTCTCTAGATTTGAAAACAAGTTTATCAAGCCCATAAAAATGATACGAAAATTGATGCCCTTTTTTAAGCAACTCAATGAGCGTAAGAAGTCAATTGGTATCGATGCCAAGATACAAGATCCTAGCACGAAATGGCAAAACGCATTAAAGTTGGTTAACAATATCCATGGTTTTAGTCCCGCCCGACCTATGGGTCCTCTTGTTGAGCTTGTGGGTCCCATCATTCCAAAGCAATATGCTCCATTAAACGAGCCTCTTGAACAATTCCTCAGTACTCACAAACGCGTTGCCTATGTTGCATTTGGCCAAACAGCTACGCCTAGTGAAGCCGATATCAAGTTGATCATGACCACTTTGCTCGAATGTATTGAACGCGATATTCTTGATAGTTTTCTTTGGGCTACCGTAAACGCTGCTGGCAATCTTCCTGATACAATCACTACATCTTCTGGCACTGTTTACCATACACAAGCAATGATCAACCACACAAACCCTCATGCACGCTTTGTCTCTTGGGCACCTCAAACTGCCGTCTTGTTACATCCTTCAACTGCCTTGTTTGTGTCTCATGGTGGTCTTGGCTCTTGGTATGAGTCCTTGTATGCAGGCAAGCGCATGATGATGTTCCCTTTCTTTGGTGACCAGCCTGTTAATGCTCTTATTATTGAACAGTCCAACTACGGTGGTATCTTTAAGCATGACTTCACCATGGAACAAGCTATTGGTTTGGTGAAGCGTCTTATGGAAGACAAGGATGGCAAAATCAAGTCTGCTTTAGAGCGTGGTAAAGCATTAGTTCAGACTCGTTCCAAGAACAGCGTGATTCGTGGTGCTGATGCAGTAGAAGAAGTGGCCTATACGCACAACAATGGTATTTTAGAACACCGTATAAGTGCTGATCGTCGCATGTCCTATATCAAGGCTCACAACTTGGACCTTTATGGTGCCTTTATTGCATTGGTTGGCACTGTTCTCTATGTGGTTGTCTTTGTCTCCTTTAGAATAGTGAGCTATCTCAAACCTTCTCAAATTAAGCTCAAGACACAATAATTGATACCATATTTAAATGAATAGATCAAATAATATATATATATAACTGAAATGACTTTGCGCAACGAAATACATTATGACCAAAAAAGCTTTTTATGAAAACAAGCAGGTTCAAAGAGATATTGTCACAAACATAAATGAAGCTTGAGATGAGAGACTAAAACTCTAGTGTAATTTTTTTTTTTCTTTTCTTTTCTAGAATATGTGTTTACAGAGGCATTCTAATCTTGATACTGATGATGCCTTGCTAAGAGGATAACTTCTACTATCTTGAAATATCTCCTTACTTTTCTAAATCCAATCATATCGTGACTCTTCAAATCATTTTTATAAAACTAGTTCCCCAGCTCAAAATGATGTGATAAGTTTTCTTGATCGTCAAAGTCTATTCATTGGTCAAAGACAATGAGCGGCAGTTCAAAGAATGTCTGTGTCATTGGTTTCCAAAGATGGTGCGTGCCTCTTTAGAAGTGATCTGAGCGTCTTCCTTCGGATTTTGTAATTGTGTGAGAGAAAGACTTCAATGCAAAACTTGGACCATTCAACATTTTCTTCACATGCAGTTATATTTTTAGAAAGCATATATGACTTTCGTTTTGGCTACAATAAAAAGAATACAAATTGTTGTAAATAAGAATTGATGATATAGAAATTAGTAATCTAGAACTTTTAGTCATAAAGCAATTGTTTTTCTTTGTTAAAATGTAGTGTAGAAGTATATTCATTATTTTCTCATTATGCGGGGGTATGTTGGTCGATATGCTTCTCCCCTCTTTTTTCTTTATGTATAAAGCCAATCATGTCAAAAGAAAACGTACTTTTTGAAACATTTACTGCTTCTATTTTTAATATTCATGGAGATTGATGCTCAGATTACATTTCATTGACATGCGAAAAAATGTATCCATTGTCAAAATTTAGGTATAAAAAGAACATTGGTTCATTGGTTTTCTATTATCTTTTAACCATGTTTGTACTTTCAAAAGCTTTATTCTTTGTCTTTGCTGCCTTTCTTGGTAGCACTGTTTTAGCAGCACCTGGCTCTGGAAAAAATGCATGCAAAAACATGCATACGGATTTTACGGAAGGGCTTGGTGATAACTGGCATGAAGAAACAGGGTCATCGGCTGGCTGGAAGATCACAAATGAAGGCCTGGTCATGAGTCTCTCAAAACCTGATGGTGTGGTGAGAAAAGTGGATGTGAAGAGTGGCAGTAAGTACACGATCAGGGTCATACATAATTTTTGACACTGTGTATGATAGATCTTCCCTACAACAACTATGTGTCGAACACCTCTCCTACCTTTGTATCTGAGTATTTAATACATTATGGTAAAGTTACTTTTGAATTGAAAACTGCTGGTACACCAGGTGCTGTTACTGCAGCCATCTTAATGGCGCCTACAGGAGGAGATGAGATTGATTTCGAAATGTTGGGTGGTAGGTGTTGCGAAAAAAAAAAGCCCCCTGTTTGTATTCACTATGTGGATTAGGTGGTACAGACAACATTCAAAGTAACTTTTTCTATGGTCCTGTTCCTATCTATAACGCAAATAGTCAAAGCACCACGATTGGAGATGCTTCTAGTGCATTTCACTCGTATACAATTGAATGGTAAATAGCATTTTATTTCAAGGGTCATTCGATGTCTAAATGTTTCTCAGGTCTCCTCAAAAGATCCAATTCTATATTGATGGAACCTTGATCCGTAGTTCTACAAACCAGTACAGTTGTCAAAGTGGAGGCGAATGTGAATTCCCTGTTTATCCTTCGTATGTATACCCTATGCTTTACCCCCCCTTTTTTTTTATTGAGCTTTCCATAATTAGTGCTGTTAAGTTTGGTATTTGGGATGCTAGTAATCCTGCTGGTACAGCGCAATGGGCAAGAGGGCCTATCGATGTAAGCCATTGTATATTCTAGACACTTTTCTGACTTTTATAAATAGTGGGATTCGGCTCGCTCTATCTCTGCCACTGTAAAATCTGTTACAATCGAATGCAATCCTAACTATAATCAAATTCTCTAATAAAAAGAAAGAGAGAGAGAGAGAGAGACGGAAATATGTTTTGTATTTTATGCAAGAGAATTAATAATATATACAAAAAAAAAAAAAAAAAAAACTGCTGTTATGAAGTAGCAAAAGAGTCTTTTTTACAGAGTGATGATGCCTTTTGTTTCCATAAAGACAACGTAGACATGCTTTTTGTGAGTTGGTAAGTTGAGCTTGTATTTACTTTACAAAGATCAGAGAAGAATATATCTGAAGTATATTCATCTTGGTGTTTTGATGGACACAAGTCGCTGTCTTTAGGTATGCATTGGAAAAATGGGTCATCGTCTGGTAAGTTTTCGTTCTTCCAGTGACAGACTCGACAAGCATAGCGTACTTGCATATGATTTGGTAAGTCAAAATGCTTGTTGAATAAGATCAATTCGTTTTCAAACCGGGTGAGTTGAACTGTGCCATCACGCTTGCAACGTGGGCAAGGGTGTGTTGTGTTTTCCAATAGTATTTTCCTGTCATTGCCACCTACTATAGCTTTGTCAGGACATCTACTTTCATCATGAACCTACCTAACACAAAGCATTGAGACATGTTGTTGTAGTAAAGTAAAAGAAAAAGAAGAAAAAGAAAAAGAAAAAGAGGAAGTTTTATATGATATTGACAATGGGAATCAAAACAAGGTTTGGTTTAACATCGGCTTTAGTTACACGAATGTATCTTTACGCACGAAATTTAATATAAAGAAGGTTGACTCGTAAGGACCCTAGTATGTTTATGAGTGGTTGCTGCAAAAGGAAATTGACATGTATGTAGGTAGTACTCAAACATGTAACGGTTTGATTACTGACCTCATATTGCAGCTCGGTTAAAAGATTGAGAATAAGCTCAAGTTACTATCATCGTTTGAATAAACATGCGCATGATTTACAAATGAAGGAAACAAATAGGAGTATCAAAAACTAGAATGTCTTTTGTTGAAATGAGAACAGCTCTTTATCAAAAGGGCAAGATATACTCGTCAAAAAGAAAAAAGAGAGGGGAAAAGGAGGTAAACGTTTTAAAAGTCAGGCCAAAAACACTATGCAGATTTTCACATGTGATAATCAACTCTCTTTCTTCTCTTTTTTTTTCTTTTCTCCAAGATGAACAACCTTAAGGAACTGATCGCAAAGTCTATAAAAGACCCAGTGAAATATATTATTGCTCCGTTTATTTACTGTGTGTATATATCATCACTCACTTTTTATCAATATTTTGTTCAACCATGGATGGTAAGAAAAGAAAGAAAGACGTAGAAATAGTAACGCGTATTTTTCAAAGAATAAATGGAATGAGTACAAAGATAGTAAACCTGAAAATAGACTTTTATATCGCTTAAGAAATGCAGAGACCTTTGAAGAATGGCAAGATAGAGCAAGAGACTTGGACAAGTAAGCAAACACATATATGTGTATCAATGCTTACAATCATTATAATAGATACTTGAGTAAGCTAAGCAAATGAGTCTATATTCAATGATAACATGTCTATCTAGAAAATGATGCATGGGTTCAAAAACCTGAATCAAGAGTGTACGACAACAAGTTGATAGCTTCTAGACTATATCATTTGAAGAAAGCCCGGGAAGCGAATGATGTGGACAGCATGGCTTATTTGTTAAGAAGTGGCCTACTAAGAAACTTTGGGGGTATTTGTGACCGAAAGCTATTTTCTCATTCATATTTGGGGTATAAACTAAACCAAATAATTGCCCTATTGACTCTACTATAGAACAAAAAAATTAATTCAAGACTATATGGAAGAAGTGGTTGCTCAAATCGAACATATTGAGTCTACCCCTGACTTTGATTCACAAGCTAAGATCAAGTTTTTTAGTGATGCTCGTCAAAGTTTTGGATGTTCTGCATTAGTACTCCAAGGTAGTACTGCACTTGCTCTTTACCATATTGGTGTAGTGAAAGCATTGAATGAACAAGGGCTCTTGCCTCGAATCATTAGTGGTACAGCCATTGGTGCTATGATTGCTGCTTTGATTTGTATCCACACAGATGAAGAATTACCTGTAAGCCCCTCCCCTTTTTTTTATTGTTCTTTATCTAATCTTAAATTAGCATATTCTACAGCCTGAAGGTATCAACCTTACCGCTTTTTCTAAAAAGGGAAAGACTGGGTACGCCTTTTTCGTGCGATGTTTACATTTGCTTATAGTTTATTTATAGTCATTTCAAGAGACGTATTACTCGATTTATGAAGTACGGTAAGTGATCGAGACTATAAATCTAAAATAAGCTGACTTTTTGTTTCATATTTTGCATAATTAGGTTACTTGATGGATATGAAAGTGTTACAAGAATGTGTGCGTGAAAATGTAGGAGATTTAACCTTCGAGGCAAGTACGACATATTCTTCTCAGTCTTGTTTACTTATCAAGCATATGACAGGAAGCTTATGCCCGATCAAAACGAGTCTTGAACATTAGTGTTTCATCAAGTCGTACTCAAGAAGTCCCTCAGATTCTTAATTATTTGACTGCTCCCAATGTCCTCATCTGGAGTGCTGCTTGTTGCTCCACTGCCTCTGTTGGTCTGTTTGGTAGTTGTGATTTAATGGCCAAGGATAAAAATGGCAACATTGTCAAATGGAGTTCTTCTGGTAAGACATAAATTATATCGTACGATATTGTTATTCATTCTCTACAGCTGTCAAATGGAATCATTGGTCAGAAAAATCCTCTTCTGAAACTGAAGAGCCTCTTAATCGTCTCTCCGAACTGTTTAATGTAAATCACTTTATTGTTTCTCAGGCAAGTCTGTATGCTATTCCGTTTATATCCAAAGCACAAAACCTTCAACATGAAACATTGCTTCACAAATTCGCATTTATCATTGCCTCTGAATTCAAACATCGTCTTTATCAGTTAGATCAACTTCATTTTTTGCCTCATACTTTCCGTGGTGTAATTGAAGAGAAAATGTCGGGTAATGTTAATATTGTGCCTGAACTTGCTTTATATGTAAATTATTTTAGTCTATACAGTACACTGTCTAACTCGTATAGGATTTCAATATTTTGTTTTCAAATCCATCACATCAATCTTTGGCATATTGGTAAAGGACGATGCAATTGAACTTACATTGATCAATTTTTTTTTTTTTTTTTTTTTTTTTTTTTTTTTTTTTTTAGGATTTTACATGGTGAAAGATCAGTTTGGCCATTGATAGCTTTTATCAGAACAAGATGTATGATTGAATTAGCTTTAGACAGAGGTAAGACAAGATGAGATAAAAAGAGTACACTTATTCTTTTTGTTTAGCTGTCTTGAGATTGAAAGCAATGAATGTAGAAAGAGAGCCTGTTGTTGTTCGAAGTCGCTATATTGAAAACAAAAAGAGAGCTAGATCAATGCATTAATCTCTAAATAAAGTTTAAGCAAATAGGGTCAACTATACATATATATTTTTTTTTTCAAAAAAAAAGGGGGGGGGGGAAGGTGTACATAAAAAAGTATTTTTTTAAGCTATTGTCTCCAGCCAGCATTTAATTGCATAAGCGTTAACACAGCGTCCATTGGAAATTCGGCATTATTGTTTGTTCCATCTTGTGTCGTATTGTTGGTATTCTCTGTTGTCGCATTTGCAGTTGTTGTAGAATTAGCGTCTTTATCGTCTGATAATTCATGACCTCCTTCTTCTTTTACTTGAGAAGCAGCTGCAACTGTGGCTGCTTGTTGAATCGTTGTAGCCAACAATGCTGCCAACTTTTCTTCAGGTCGATCACCAATGGCTCCCAAACCATGGTTAAATGCTTGAGCTAATTGGAAATCATTGTTTGCAGATGATTCACCTTGTTCTGATCCATTTTGAGGTTGGTATTGGTGCAAATGTTGTAAAATCTCAAGCAACTGAAAGGGGAAAGGCTGTAGAGAAGCTCTAGCGTCTTTATTTTCGTCTTTCCCCATGTCTTGTTCCGATGTGCTTTCTGTTGGCATTGTCGTGGTAGAGGGTTGGTTCGTGTTGCCTTCAGACTCTTGTTGTTGTTGTTGTTGTTGTTGCTGTTGTTGCTGTTGTTGTTGCTGTTGTTGTTGATGTTGTTGTTGATGTTGTTGTTGATGTTGCTCTGGTTGCTGTGCTTGTGCATCCTGTGGCTGATCTGCTTGACCACTAGCCATATTACCGAGAAGATTACGAGCAGCAGCAGGAATGCCGAGGTTATTGCATAACAAAGTCAAATAATTAGCATCTGTAATGCTTGGAAGGTGTTGTTGGGGTGCCAAGTGTTGCGCAAGTGCAGCAAGATCTAGTCCACTATTGTTATTGAGTGTTCCTTCAGCATGACCACCTAAACTGTCATCAACCAATCCTCTTCTGCGTTCTTTCTCCTTTCGTTTTTGTTGACGTTTCAAGAACTCTTCTTCAATCCACTTCTTCTTATGTTCACTATCTTCTTTACCAAATAATTTATGGGCTCGCTTGTTAACTCGACAACGGAGATCGTTGTCTTTGTCTGTACAAGAAGCAGTTAGGAGAAGGACATTCGTTTTCCCATGATACTTACTTCTTTCTTCATTTTGCTGTCTCCAACGCTTTTTGCGTTCTCTGTTATCAGCACGAACCTATACAAGTAGTTAATTATCCAATCTTTTTGCAATGTCTTACCTTTTGATTCATAAGCTCACGTTTCAAAAGTTCGGTAGGTAATTGACTTAGATCCGTTTGTTGAGCCTGTCTTTGTCGTGATGATTGTTGTGTTTGTTGTGATGAAGACTGAGTACTTGGACTAAGAGCATGAAGCGTATTTGTGTTTGCACCACTGGTTGTATCTGTTGAAGTCATGACACCAATCGTATTCTCAAAATTGGCCAGAAAAGGGAAATTGTTAGTACCACTAAGGGCAGCAGCAGCGTGTGCCAATTGAAGCTGGTTAATCGCATCCAATTCTTGTGTGGTTGTTGGCTGTTCAGTCACAGCAGAAGGCGTGTGGGTGATCACAGGTGCCGTGGTTGTCATAACAGGAGGACTTGAAGTGACTGCGGTGTTGCCGTTTGTTTGAGAAGGCGCTGTAGTCGTTGTCGTGGGGTCGATATCCATAGGAGTAGCAGTAGTCACTGGGACTACTTGTTTCTCTTCCGGATCTTCCTTGACCGACTCGGTGTTTTTCTTTTCTTCTTTTAACACAGGTTGCTCTTGTTGGTTCATTGTACTCTAGATTGGCGTAATAAAGAAAAAAGAGAGAGAAAGAGAAAGGGAGAAATAGGATATATGTGTATAAAAGACAAGAAAAAAAAAACTCTAGTCCTTTTTTGTTTTGCCTCCAAGTATTTACTTTTGTATCTAAATAAGAGAGTCTAAGCGTGCTTCAGAATACGCTTGCTTTACTGCGCAATATTAAACAAGTTAAAACTGTTGCCTCTTGACCTTCTTGGAAAGACAAGGAAAAAAGTGAACCTCTTGAACGGCAGTGAAAAAAAACCAAATAAGCAGTCACGGACAGCATCTCTCTCCTTTTGAATAGTGCCAAGACGAGAGTGTTTTGGTTGAAGGAGGTCATAATCTTCCTTCAAGATTGAATAAGCAACAGTTGTACCGTGTATAATGTGTTCTTTGTATGAGAGATGTAAAATAATACTATGTATGCATATAAGATTCGATACCATACATGATTTTGACCAATGAGAAATGGACAAAGTTGTCTCTTTTTTTTTTTTTTTTTTTTTTTTTTTGTTTCATGATCATATTCATTTTACTCAGGAACCTTACTTTGATTTGAATTATACCTTGCAAGTATATTTCTTTTATGATACAAGCTAAGTTTAAAGAAAGAAAGAAATAATGTGTTATTTCATTATCATTACTATTACTATTACTATTATTATTTGATTGTCAATTCAACTTTTGAAGTTGTATATCATAGCATGAAAAGGGTACTGTTTCAAGAGATAGCTTACTCTATAAAATACAATCTATTGTTTATTTCAGATCAGACATGTCAAAGAACTAATGACAAGCTTATCTATTTCTCTAGTGTATTCAGTGTCAATGAATCAAGTCAATAACAAAGAAAATGAAGTGTAATTCTTGATCTATGTGCATTGCCCTAACAACATAAATATTGTATTTCCTATACATCATTCTCTTACAAGATTAGAAAAGATTCGAAATAATGAAACCTTTATCTCCTTTCATCTTTATCTGATTGCATCATAGAGCATATATGAAGCCTAGAACATAAACGTAAACATTCAGCGTACAATATTTCATGCAACCTCTTTTTCATTTATTTATTGTTTTGTTTTGGACTGTGTAACAAAACAAAACCTAAAAGAGACCATGTTACACATCAAGGATTTAGAGAGAGAGAGAATATTGTATCATTATTGTATTAAGTGTAAGAAATAAAAGAAAGAAAAAAATGAGAGGGTATTCAGCAGCAGCCACCACTGCTTGAGGAAGAATTTGCAGAAGGTAAAGAAGATCCACCCTGAGGAGGAGCTAATTTGACGCCATTTGTCTAAACCAAAAAAAAAAAAAAAAAAAAATAAGCATGTCATTTTTTTTTTTTCTTATTCTATCAACTTACTTCACTGTTCATGTCAATGGTACCATTTTGAATCTTCTTTTGAATAGCTTCTGCTGTCTTTGCAAATGCTTCTTCAACGTTTTCCGAAGATTTTGCAGATGTTTCCAAAAAGAACAAATCGTTCTCTTGAGCAAACTTCTCAGCCTCTTCTCTAGAGACTTGTCGATTCTTTTCCAAATCACATTTGTTTCCAATCAACATAATGACTGTGTTTGGGTTAGCATGTTGGCGCACATCTTCTAACCAGACAGGCAAATGTTCAAACGTCTCTCTTCTTGTGATATCATAAACTAAACACGTGTTATAAGCTCATTCTATCAATAACTTTAGATTTACCCAACAGAGCACCAGCTGCACCTCGATAATAGCTTCTTGTAATCGATCTGAATGATTCTTGTCCAGCCTGGGCAATATGAGACTTTTCTGCCTTTCTCTTTCATTTGACTTACTGTATCCCAGATTTGTAATTTTATTTGTTGATCGTTGACTGTAATAAAACGTGTACCAAATCCAACACTAATAATAATAATAATAAAGATAAGTTAAACTCCTTTTTCGTTTGAGTTCTACGGATAATATTTACCCAATCGTCAAATCATGAGCTGGCATAAATCTCTTGTCGGTAAATTGAAGCAAGATACAAGACTAGCATACAGATTATAATGAGTTATTATTCAAAAAATGAACATGAAGCTTACCTTGCCAACACCTATAGAATACATCATTTATCTAGTTAGTATATTCTATTGTTTTTTTTTCTTTCTTCTTTCAATACCAGTATCACCAATAATGATATACTAGAAAAAAAAAAGGGAGAGAAAAAAAAAGACTGTTAGTGTTGAGTGTTCCATATTCTTTGTCTGTATGAGATAGAAATAAGAAAAAAAAAAGAAACCTTTATGATATAATTGTAGCTGTAATTGGACATAGTTTTTAAGAAAAAGAAAAAAGGGTCAATAAACAATTAAATGCCCACTTATTTTGCCCCATAAAAATAGGATGACGTTAACTTTTTTAATGCATGTCCATTTTAAGTAACGTCGACCAAATTTGTGACTTTTATTTAGTGAGTTTCTAAAATAGTCAACAAAAGTGCGTTTGTCAAAACTTAAAATAAACATTTAATTTCAAAGAAAGCAAAAAAATGTCCAACAGTATTATTATTAAAAATCCTACAACCACTGTAACTCATGCCATCAAGAACTACAAGGAAGAGATCGAAAACTCTGAAGCAGTTTTTGGTGTCAAATGAATTTACAAGAGACATGTTACCAAGAAGGACAAAGGACTATGTCTGCTATAGATCTGGAGAAAAGAAAGTAAGAGCTGACACTGTGGAAGACAGTGTTAATGGCCAGATTAGAGACTTGCAAAAAAAAAAAAAAAAAAAAAAAAAAAGGTAGTTTGCTTGAAAGATAGTCCGAAAACTGTCGATTTTCAGCTCTTAAAGCAGCATAATTTTGCAATTGGTCAGCTTGAAGATTTCCAACATCTTTCTCTGTCAAAAAGCACCAAATCGTTGATTGATAATAGATTTGGGGATTGCTACAAAAAGAGAGATGTCAGAGTTTCTAATCAGAGATTATATCCAAAAGGACTACCAACAAACCATTTCAAGGTTGCTCTTGAATGTGGGCAGAATGGGCCCTGAAGAAAGAAGAAGAAGAGAAATGGATGCTGAAGCCATTAACAATAATATCTTGGCATTAATGGTGAAATTGGAAGAACCAGGATGTTACAGTGTTGCCTCCTTCACCACAGAAGAGGTAAAATACAAGAGTACCGTAGAGAATAATGTCATGACAGACTGTTCTTGTGCTGATTTCAATGGAACCAAACATCTTGCAAGCACGTATGTCTCTTGAAACACGCCGAGCCTACCATTAGTATCTACCAAGATATGTAAAATCGTCAGGAATGCATTCAATAGTAATATTCGGATTAAGCTAGTTCTTTGACTGCTTCTGATCTAAGCGCTCAGCTTGTTTCCGATGGTTTTGAGAATGTAAAAGTCTCACAAACTTTCTATATGATGAATTGAATTCCTTCAGCCACAAAAGGTCACCAATTTCACAGAGTCATGCAAATGACATTGTACGTCTTGAAATGGATGTACCTCTCTTACAAAACATATGGATAGAAATAGATTATAAATGATACTTATACACGTGTCAATATTTTGGATACCTTCGAAAAATGTTTACTAACATCTATGGTACTTTTGGAGTTGATTTGGATCAAAAAAGCGACTTGTGAAATTCGACCAAAATATCCCTTTCGAGCAAAGGACACTATTCATAAAAATCCTTCATTTGACAACACTTGATCTTTTTTTTTAACACTACAAGACGAAAAATGGAGCTCTCGACAAGATTAAGTACTCAAAATATGTGCCAGACGCTCTAGTTTTTTTTATCAATGCGTTTGATTGCTAATTGTACTATAGAAATAATGAGATATGAACGAAAAGCCTTATAAACATTTTTGTCTATTTGCTCAATATCTTAGCAGCAAAGCTGTTGTATTCTTTATATCAGCAGACTCGGAACGCATCTTCATACAATTCTCAGCAAAAGCTTCATTTTTTTTTAATGATTTTATTTGCCGCACATATTAGTGGTCTTGAGAGGGACCCACTAAAAGAGGTGCTCGACAATTATTTATTATAAGAGGGTTAAAAGAAGCGAAAAGGGTACTACAATTTCAAAAGTATAAAGAAATCAAGAAAAAAAAAAGAGCAGTTGTTGCGAAAGTATTTTCTAACACTACGCCGAATATCCAAGGGAAAAGAAGAAACCGGTATTGGTGACTCTGTGGATGGTACTCATACAGATATGAAACTGCTACTGTACGTAACTTGAGAGGCAAGTCAAAAGTGTTGGGTGGCAGAACAATGGAGCGTAAGGGCAGTAAAAGACACTCGATAGGATTTGGCATGTATGTATACTGTTTCATGGGAACAGCATCAATTGTCTGGAAGCACATGGTGATAGTGTTACTGGCCAACTGCTTTAAATGGCCTGGCCGCGAACGAGGAAAGAGCAGACCCAATAGTAGATGTTCAGTCTGGAGCAAAGTACGAGTATGTGCTGCTAGAAAGACTTTTGCCAGAGAGCGCTCAGCTTGAAGACACAAAAAAGAATGAAGCCAATGGTAATATAGTAATTTCTGCTGAGAAAACAAGTCAAGAATGCCAAGGCCACCATGCCACTTTGGTGCAGTCATCGTTTGCCAACTAATGCGAGGAAAGATTTGCCGGTTGATAAAAGAAGTAGTGACAGTTCGAATGGTATTAAGGATTGCTTGAGTGGTAGGGATTACTCGCAAAATATGCCAGCATTTAGACAATAAAAGTGAACTGGTAACTGTAGCTCTACCAACAACAGAAAGATTGCGTGAGGCGTGAATATCCGCCAGTTGAGTCAGTGATCGAGTGAGGGACGAAAAAAAGTGAGCGCGCTGGTCCAAGGATTGGATAAGGGGAAAACCTAAATAGATAATGGATTCAGCATCTGTACGGCACCATATCTTGGGAATGTCAATGGCTTGTAGAGTAGTCAGCCATTTGTCATCTAAATCGTGACCAGAGAGAGAGATTACTCGCACTTTATGATAGTTAATCTTAGCATTGGATGCTTTACTGTAGGCTTGCAAGTGAAACTGCATTCTGCGAAGGTCACGGATGTTATGAAAAAAAACTAGAGTGTCATCAGCATAACTAAGCAATTTGATAGCAGGTAAGGTGATAGCTTGACTAAAATCATTATGCTTAAAGCGATAGCCAGAAAATTGAGTGTCATCCAATATCGATTGGAGAAGTGTCTCTAAGGCAAAATTGTATAAAATACAGGAGAGTGGGTCACTTTGTTTGAGGCCTCGGCGCTTTGGAACCAACTGCTTAGAGAGCCAACCATCGATGTTAATACAAATGAAGTTATTCCTGATCAAGGTAGTAATGCTGGTAGCAAGGGTCTTTGGAAGGCCAAAGTATAACAATACTTGCTTGAAATAGTCAGGGCTAACACAATCATAGGCCTTTTCTTGGTCTAGTAGGATGCCAAGATCCTTGTCTGGTCGGCGGTAGTTTGTTGCTGCATTTTCCATGATCATTTGGGTGAGCAAGCCATGTTCAGCAATATATCTACCAGGCATAAAGGCTAGCTGATGTCTGTTGATAAGTGTAGCAGCTACTGTCATAATCCTGTGGTTGATTATCCGAGTGAAGACCTTGTTATCTGTATTCACCAACTGGATAGGACGATAGTTACCTGCCCGCGTTAAATCACCTTTCTTGGGCAAAAGGGTCGTAAGTGATAGCAGTCATGAAGCAGGGAATAACAAATGAGCCAGAGCATCATTGTATATTTGTAGAACCATTTGCCTTAAACAAGGAATATGAATTAAGATACCTACAATGTCGTATGGCAAGCCATCGCTACCAGGACTACTCCGACGAGGTGAGCGACGACTTGCTCTCGATATCTCCAGCCAAGTGATAGGACTTTCAAGGGTAGATGCTTGCTCTTTGATAAACCATTGGCTGTTGGCATGCTGTAGGAGCGTATGGACATCAGAAGATTGGATCTTATCAGGTCGATAGAGCTTCTTGTAAAAGGAAACCATTACCTTTGTTTTTCCTTCAGTGGAAGTAACCAAGCGTCTAGAGTTGGGATCAAGGAGCTTCGGTATTGTCCGCTGAATTGATCTATCTTAAGCTAGTTTTTTGAGAAGACCAGGAGATCGTTCACCTTTTTCTCGCCAAAATTTGCCTGCTTTGAGATGTTCTATTTCGGCGGATTCATCCTGCAAAATAGTAATCATTTTTTCGGCCTTTGGCAAAAGAAATAATAAAATGGATGTGTTTTTGTGATCTCGTAAAATTTTGTTGCGTTTGGATTGAAGCTTCTTGAGTGTCTTAGATCTCCAGTTGTTACGCTCGATTTGGAAGGATCGAGTAAAAATTTTTACTTGTTCTTTCAATCATTCCAGAGAAATTGTACTGAAGGGCAATCAGGATCTAAAAGGTTGTTACTTTCCATTTATTGTTGAATGTGCGCTGTCAAACCGTTTTTTTATGTGGATGGTTGGACAAGGTTAGGTTTACCTTTCCAAGGGCCACGTCCAGCTAAAGTGTGTACCAATTGATAGTTAATGGAAAGCAAGGTATGGTCAGTCTAATTGTAGTTGACGAAACTTTGAGTCATAGACTTATTAAAAGCCTTTTTATTCAAAGAGGTTCACTATGTAAGCATTTTTGAAAGTTATTAACAGAATGTTGCACTGTATTTTTAAGAACAATTGGCTCAATGTATCCACATGACTCAACTATTCTTGATTTCAAGTCCTCAGTGTCGTTAAACTGAGTACGCTGAACCTTTCCCTTTAACACAGACCAGAAATCTTCAATAGGGTTGAGCTCTGGAGAATATGGGGGGGGGAGGAGGAGGAGGTATATACACCGGTAGCCCCTACTAATGATCATCTTCTCAATCTCAGCAGAAGTGTGAATAGGCGCATTATCCATGATAATGTAATAGCCTTTCATGGCAGGAAATTTGTCCATTTCAAGCATGGTCTTATAAATAAAACGCATATAATGGCCCGTTACAGTTTCCTTGGACATCTTCTTGGTCCCCTCTTTCTTTCTTTTTCTAGCGCCATCAACTTTAACTCTCTGGGAGCTATTGGGACCCTAACCTCCAAGTTTACAACACCTGAAGCTGATACTGCACCTAGTATGGTATGCGAAATTGCCCTTGTTGTTGGCGTTACTACTACTGCTGGAGTACCTTTGGCGGAGCATGCAGTAGGACCCCGCATATTTATATTGAACCCTGCTTCATCGACAAACACACAATTTGCGAGGTAATCCATATCAATCTGGATCCATTTCTCAACCCATAAACGTCGTTCTTCAATGCGTCCTGGGATATTTCTTCCCTCCGGATGACGAGTTACGCGCTTTACAGTCAAATTGCATTCATTAAGAATGAAAGATCCAATTGAAGACTTTTTAAGGTTGAAGCCTTCAAAAGCTTTAGTTAAATTTTCGACGGCGTCTTCTTTCTTTGCCTGAGGGTGTTCGTCGAAGAAGTTGATCAAATGATATTTGTGCTCAGCTTGTAGTTGCGAAGGCTTCCTGTTAAATTTGTTGGTTTCCTTCTCATATATATCCCAGTCAGGATCCTCTCTTAATCTTTTGGCCTATTTTTGAGCTGTGCGTTCAACGATTCGAGCATGCCTTCCTGCTGCTGCGGCACTCATGAGTTTCAATCGAAGACAATAAAGAAACAAACTCTTCTGGTCGTTGGAATAAATATTGTACTTCGAGCTAGGTTCCTTCTTTATACACTTCTCAACTTCTTCCATCACTGTATCGAGTCGAGGCTCGGCAGGGTCGAGATTTAACATTACTCGCGTCCTCTGGTACTGAGTTAAGGTCATGAGTGTTTCAATGTTAAAAGGATCGCCTTCCTCTTCCCAGTCCATTGTTTCAGCTCCGTTTTCATCTAAAATCTCGCCTTGGCCATCTTCGTAAAACATCTTGAAGCTCATTTTGTATGTAAAAGAAAAACGTCGATTGGAAAGAGCAATTTCCGTCTTTATTTAAAAAATCCGTCAATTGGCATTGGCGACGCTGTAAATGTAATAACGTTATGTCACTTGATCTGGTATCAGGTCAACGTTGGAATTTGATTGGTTAAATTAAGCAAAAAGCAAGGATTGATACCTGGTAACGTGTGTTTTTCACTTCATCTGGTATCAAGATATCTGGAATTTGATTGGCTAAATTAAGCAAAAAGCAAGGATTGATACCTGGTAACGTGTGTTTTTCACTTCATCTGGTATCAAGATATTTGGAACTAAAGTACAAAATGACGGACCTCCCCAGAGAACTTCTATCTTTAAAACTGCCACATAAATTACGACCAGGCACAGACTTGATGTCGAAACAAATTTTATTGAATCCCACTGTGATTGACATTGTCGTCGAGACAACATTTGGATCTGAAGGAAAATGCAACTATTTATACATTTACTATTTTAGATCGTTGTAGAATGCATCACTCTGCGGCTGTACTTGTTGCTACAGAAAAACACGCATATGAGCCTCTATTTATGGCTCCATATTATTCATTTCTAAATTCAATTGAAGAGCGTTGACCCAAAACTAAGCAACACAAACGTCGAAATCCTTCCGATAAAGCAGATATTCTTCCTCTACGCATTACGTAGACTGCCACTACAATTACCCGCGAAAATCGTAAGAGGTAGGTTCAACACGCTGAAACTTATTGGGGCAGATGTATCGATAAAGAGATTTGTTCAAAGCAAATTGAAGCAATACAATTCTATCTGAAAACATACGCTGTTTCCTGGTCCCAGAGAATTTCTAGGCTGACCATCAATACTGTGCGCTCGCGCTTGGTCTTAAATCATTGAAAAAACCAAACCATTTTCACCAAGAAACCGACCAAGAACAAAGCCTGTGTGATGAGGATTTATTTGTACGGCAAACTATCCTTTCCAAGCGTTTGTCAATGATTCAAGTGAAGATTGAGAGTAGTGGTTTTAACAAAATACTCCATTAACGCTCGCTATTTTTTTTATTAATTAATGAAGCAGTTAGTTTTTGTTATCAATGGTCTTTCTTTCTTTTATATGTTCGATATAAAGCACAAATAGCCTCAATTTTTATTTTTTTTCCATCTATAATAGCTAGACTTCATTGTAGTCCATTTGGTATAGTTTTTAAAAAAACCAAGCTCCCGACCATCCTCATACACACGCTTCCATGAAATGGGTGTATTATTATTTAGCTCGGAAAGGTAGTGCTCTAAATAATCCCAGTTGCTAATGGTACTGGTGTTGGTATCGGCGTTGGTGCTGCTGCTGGTGCTGGCATTGGTGTTGGTATTGGGAGCTTCTAATGAGATGGACTCATATTTTCTTTTTAAAGCAGCAGGAAGTAGTTTACCATCGTCTAAAATTTTCTTGCATTTTTCAACATCTGGAACTTCTTCTGATAATGCTGATATTGCCTTCGTTAAAACATTTTCCGTATTTTCACACACCAGCAACAAATCTTCTGTGGGCTTTGTACTTTCATCCATTTGTTCTTGGAACACCCGTGCAGCAATTGAATACAATAATTGAATAGTAGGATCATCGCGGAAAGGGTTCACTAAAAGTGAAGGGTGTTGATTGATAAAAAATGTTGACAAAGCAACAAAAGGAGAAAGGGGTGATGTCAAGCTCGTTTCTATCGAGCTGCTGGTCACAAAGTAACACATCTTGGCCCAAGGTTGGCAAGAGTATTGACGAAGAAAAGGGTGGTCTTTGTTTTGTACCGTTTTCTTTGAGACTTCATATTTCATCGAAGAGATAACAAATGTTAACACAATCGGTATTTTATTGTATTGGCGATAGAGAGATATGGCATAAGACATGAGTCTCAAAATGAAATCGTTGTCAACTATATGCTGAATTCCCACTAAAATAGGGGGAAACCTATCGTTTTGTTGAGAGATGGGTAGATACAAAATGTCCGAAATGGTACGATCTGGCCATTCTGTCGGCCAAGGTGAATAGTTGCATTTTCCTTCAGATCCAAATGTTGTCTCGACGACAATGTCAATCACAGTGGGATTCAATAAAATTTGTTTCGACATCAAGTCTGTGCCTGGTCGTAATTTATGTGGCAGTTTTAAAGATAGAAGTTCTCTGGGGAGGTCCGTCATTTTGTACTTTAGTTCCAAATATCTTGATACCAGATGAAGTGAAAAACACACGTTACCAGGTATCAATCCTTGCTTTTTGCTTAATTTAGCCAATCAAATTCCAGATATCTTGATACCAGATGAAGTGAAAAACACACGTTACCAGGTATCAATCCTTGCTTTTTGCTTAATTTAACCAATCAAATTCCAACGTTGACCTGATACCAGATCAAGTGACATAACGTTATTACATTTACAGCGTCGCCAATGCCAATTGACGGATTTTTTAAATAAAGACGGAAATTGCTCTTTCCAATCGACGTTTTTCTTTTACATACAAAATGAGCTTCAAGATGTTTTACGAAGATGGCCAAGGCGAGATTTTAGATGAAAACGGAGCTGAAACAATGGACTGGGAAGAGGAAGGCGATCCTTTTAACATTGAAACACTCATGACCTTAACTCAGTACCAGAGGACGCGAGTAATGTTAAATCTCGACCCTGCCGAGCCTCGACTCGATACAGTGATGGAAGAAGTTGAGAAGTGTATAAAGAAGGAACCTAGCTCGAAGTACAATATTTATTCCAACGACCAGAAGAGTTTGTTTCTTTATTGTCTTCGATTGAAACTCATGAGTGCCGCAGCAGCAGGAAGGCATGCTCGAATCGTTGAACGCACAGCTCAAAAATAGGCCAAAAGATTAAGAGAGGATCCTGACTGGGATATATATGAGAAGGAAACCAACAAATTTAACAGGAAGCCTTCGCAACTACAAGCTGAGCACAAATATCATTTGATCAACTTCTTCGACGAACACCCTCAGGCAAAGAAAGAAGACGCCGTCGAAAATTTAACTAAAGCTTTTGAAGGCTTCAACCTTAAAAAGTCTTCAATTGGATCTTTCATTCTTAATGAATGCAATTTGACTGTAAAGCGCGTAACTCGTCATCCGGAGGGAAGAAATATCCCAGGACGCATTGAAGAACGACGTTTATGGGTTGAGAAATGGATCCAGATTGATATGGATTACCTCGCAAATTGTGTGTTTGTCGATGAAGCAGGGTTCAATATAAATATGCGGGGTCCTACTGCATGCTCCGCCAAAGGTACTCCAGCAGTAGTAGTAACGCCAACAACAAGGGCAATTTCGCATACCATACTAGGTGCAGTATCAGCTTCAGGTGTTGTAAACTTGGAGGTTAGGGTCCCAATAGCTCCCAGAGAGTTAAAGTTGATGGCGCTAGAAAAAGAAAGAAAGAGGGGACCAAGAAGATGTCCAAGGAAACTGTAACGGGCCATTATATGCGTTTTATTTATAAGACCATGCTTGAAATGGACAAATTTCCTGCCATGAAAGGCTATTACATTATCATGGATAATGCGCCTATTCACACTTCTGCTGAGATTGAGAAGATGATCATTAGTAGGGGCTACCGGTGTATATACCTCCTCCTCCTCCCCCCCCCATATTCTCCAGAGCTCAACCCTATTGAAGATTTCTGGTCTGTGTTAAAGGGAAAGGTTCAGCGTACTCAGTTTAACGACACTGAGGACTTGAAATCAAGAATAGTTGAGTCATGTGGATACATTGAGCCAATTGTTCTTAAAAATACAGTGCATCATTCTGTTAATAACTTTCAAAAATGCTTACATAGTGAACCTCTTTGAATAAAAAGGCTTTTAATAAGTCAATTGGAATGAATAATTTCCGTCTATTGAAAAATCAAGATCCGTCTTTTGGAAACCTAAAAACCGCCCTTTGAGATTTTTCAATTCCGTCATTTGGAATTTCAATACCCGCCCATTGATTTTTATAAAACCGCCCTTTATTTAAAAAATCCGTCAATTGGCGTTGGCGGCGCTGTATAAAATATTTCTATTTCTTTATGTTCTTTGGCATTCCAAATAGCGCAAGATTTTTTCAGAGAAATTCATTACCAACAATTTTTGTATGACACCCAGAGCAAAAATGCTTAAAACACAACTTAAATGCACCATTTTTTGATGCGAAATTACTCGACAACCAAACTATCAAAACAGCCCGTTTTTTTTTGTTTAAAACATGTTCTTTCAAATTCAATAATTCAGGGGTACCATTGACTTGGTTGTTGGGTAAAATTCATTTTTTGACCCATAATGGATCTTCGATGGTCTTCTTTTTTAATCCCGTTGGATCGTAATGGAATATACTAACTATTTATATGAATTAGGTAATCAAGTGTATAGATATGACACCAATCTTGTCGAATTTAGCCTTACCTGACTCATTTTGCACGAAGCATGGAAATCAAAACAAATAAACGTCACTGTGTTATCGAAAGCTCGGAGAGCTCATTAGCAACATGTCTGTCATGAAAAGGAGAAAGAGGGCCTTCTTCTCTTTTCTCATCGAGTTTCTTGATATATTTCTGCTTTCAGTGCATGAAAATAAGTTTGATTTCATGTAATTTAGCCTCTATTTTATCCTTGCTTCTCTGCCCTATCCTATTTATGTGCAACAAACAAATATCAAAATCACGCCATGGCCAAGCTCGTAGATCTTGACAAGGCACGTCTAATTAATTTTAAAAACTTGTTTCCCTTATCGCATAACTTGAGTTTTCTGAAACTGCTCATATTAAATTTACAGCACCCATATATATGTATTAGTAAAATTGCTCTCATAGTTTGGAAGCTGTCAATATATAAGAAGAGTTTTACACCTTTACAAAAATAAAAGAAAAAAAAGAATATCTTCAGGAATTCAAGGATATTCTCAGAACTGTTGTCTTTATGCTGTCAGGGGCTATTTTTTTCCTCAAAGAAAGAAAGAAAAAAAGAAAGAAAGATAGAACACGTACAGTGTATGGCATCTCTAACTTTTGTTTAATAGAGGTTGTTGTTCTATGTCAAACTCACTGAATACAATATCCTAAAAGACCTTGGCGTCGCTTTCTTTTTTTACTGACTAAATCAAATTTGACTCTTCAAAGACATCTATGAACAATGAATATCATCATTCTTTATCTAGAAATAGAGATTTTCTGGCAATCGAACTAAATGCGATCAACAGAATCTGATTACAAGCCCCAGGCACAAAATGTGCACTTGATTTATCGGGTGATCTCCTCTAGTTTTTTTTTTCTTGGTTCTAAATTAATTGAAGTCTGGCAAAAGAAATAAAAAAGGGCTCGATATTTTGATCGATCTTACTTTTATGATAGACAATATGTTTTTTTTTTCAACGTAATGTCCCTTTAAATTGGATCTTGCTGATATTTGGTTCGTGTGTCCTACATTAAAGAAAATATGAACCGAACTTTATCGCTCGATAAATCGCTCCATCTATAAGAAGACTCCGTAAAAAGTAAGTGCACAGCTCTTTGAGTTACAACTGAACACAAAGTTGCTTGCCGAAAATCGATAATTATCAATTTGAATGGGTTTTTATTCTTCCTTATGACTGTACACCCAAAAGAGTTGATCTCATTTTTAAAGACACACATATTTGCTTGAATTGAGGAGCAAATTATTATAAATTAAAGAGACATTGAAATGGTCTAGATTATAAAATAGCTCTGAACTTTGTAAAAGCATGGATGGAAGCGTGACAAATATTTGTCTAATATATAAACACTTGAACATGACGTTCTTCCTTGATGGTTTTTTTTCCTCTTTTCTTTCTTGCTGTTTGTGTTATTTCAAAAGTGTTGACGAGATTTTGCAGTAATGTCTAAATAAGAGAAGCTTTTTTTTTATCGTTTTTGTCTAAAAAGGAAATTATTCTTTATGCTTCTTATGACTTACCGTGTTTGCCAAACACATACACATCATATGATGAGAACTAATAAAACTTACTTGTATATATAGGTTTAAATTCAGCAACATCGTGAAAGTCATACTTCGATTAAATGTAGTCAATTACCTGTTAAAGAACTAGTACAACTCTTTTTTCCAATCCGAAAGACAAACCGATGATACAAACGCACCCCTTTTAGAATTTTCTTCTGCAAAAAAAAAGAGAGAGATAGGACTCCTTATTTGATCACTGTTCGTAGCACTGTATCAATGCTTCCATACCACTCACTTTACACTCCGCATTGAATAACTATGTATATAAGAGTTCTTTTTTCTTCTTCTCTGTTTCTTTCTTTATTTTTTTTTTTTTTTTGTATTTCTTTTGTAAGATGTCATGGCAACCACAACAGCAAGGCTTAAGAGAACTTTTGTTCTTGTTGACTGAAGCTGCTGACCCTAACAGTCGAGAACAAGCATTAGTGAATCAAGTAAAAGAGAAAATGCAAATAAAAAAAAAAGACATACTTATATCTTTATAGCGATTACAGTTATTCGATACATATCCAGATTATAATGCTTACTTGATTCATATCTTGACAAAAATGACCACGAAAGACGCCAACATTCGTAAACTTGCTGGACTACAACTTAAAAACAACATGAAAAATAATTTCAACTCTATACCCCTTTCTGTTCTTGAATATATCAAACAATGTTGTATTGACGCCTTAGACAAACCTGAACCAGACATACACAAAGCAGTCTCTGGTATTATAGCAACCATCATTCGAAGAGGACAAGTACATAATTGGTCAGAAATCATCTTTTACTTGATCGAAAAACTGGATAATCGAAACCCCCTGGTTGTGCAGGTAAATATGCAACTAGCTATACACACGCTAAAAGAGTCAGCACCGTGCCAACTTACTTGTAGACTTCTTTTGATACATTAGCCATGATTTGTGAAGATGCAGCGCCTGAACTCGACCAGGAGATGACGCATGGGGCTCGTCCATTAAGTTGTCTTATTCCTAAATTTGTACAATTTTACTCAAACCCCAACCCCCATCTGCGTGTGCAAGCAATCAATGCTACAAGTCAGTTTGTATTACTTGGACCAGTCTCGTTTGTTCAACAATTGGATTCTATTTTAGCAGCACTTTATCAGCGTGCATCAGATGAAAATCCTTGTGTGAGACATGAGTTTGGACGCATTTTGACGCTTATATTAGAAGCTTTTCCTGAAAAGATTAAACCTTACCTTGATTCGACTATCCAGCATATGATCTCTGCCTTATCTGACTCGGATACAAACGTAGCATTGTGCGCTTGTGATTTTTGGATACAATACGCTCAAAATGAGTGTTATAAACAAGAACTAATGAAGCATTTGCCTCTTGTCGTTGAAAAATTGCTTAAATTAATGGTCTATTCAGACTTGGATTTATTAGACATTGAAGACACCATTAGCAATGATTGTTTTACTCAATATCAAATGAACAATCATCCATATCATAAGCACACAAATACAACTCCTATTCGGGATGATTTGAGTGACTTGGAAGAAGAAGATTCTGATACAGACGATCCAAAGGACGACCAAAGTGAAGCTTTTCAAGATAATGATGATGATGATGATTTTGATGATGATGATTTCTATTCAGAAGACTCGCTTCGTAAATGCAGTGCCGCAGCATTAGATGTGCTATCAGTTGCTTATGAAGATGCCATGACGCATGTCGTCTTGACACATTTAAATCATATACTTGTGAACGAAGATTGGCTTATACGAGAGAGTGGTATTCTAGCACTAGGGGCAATTGCAGAAGGTAAGTTAAGCCAAATTGATATAAAATCTCTCTTTTTTTGAACATTTCGTTTTATTCATCAAATAGAAACATAGGGGGTATACATGTACTAGGTCAACATTTACATAAGCTGGTACCATATTTGTTACATTCCATCAAAGACAACAAGGTTTGTAACAGGACTTGTCATTCCCTTTTTTTTTTCACTTATTCTTTATATAGCCACTGGTTCGTTCCATCTCATGCTGGGCCATCAGTCGCTTCTCTCATTGGCTGGTTGAACAATACGACTCAAATGAGCAAGGCCGCAAAAGTTTTTTTGAACCTGTGCTTTCTGCATTACTTTTTAGATTACTGGACACAAACAAGCGAGTACAAGAATCAGCTTGTACTGCTTTTATCATCCTTGGAGAAAGTGCTTCATTTCGCCTTGTGCCTTACATTCAGCCCATTCTCACACATATTAACAATGCATTTGATCTCTATCGACGCAAGAATCTATTGATTCTTTATGATGCTCTCGCTACACTTGCAAGTGCTGTCGGTTCTCATCTTAACCAACCTCAGTTTATTTACCTTTTGATGCCTCCATTGATCAAGAAATGGAATGAATTGTCTGATAAAGATGCAGACTTATTCCCATTACTACAGGTATTTTTTTTTTCTTGTATCACTCAGAATAACTCTCTTTTTTTAGTGTCTTTCGAATATCACAGCTGCATTGGGACCTGGTTTCATACAATATGTTGATCCTGTATTATCCAGATGTGTAAAGCTTATCTCATCTACGCTACAAGAACAAATGCTTGCAGATAAATATCCAGATCAAATCATACCACCTAATGTTGATTTCCTTATTGCTGCTCTTGATCTTCTGTCTGGTGTCGTACAAGGCCTAGGTCCTAAAATAGAACCGCTCATTGCGCAAACAAATCCTCCTTTGCTTGTTCTTTTAAAGAAATGTATTCATGTGAGCATATCCTTTTTTTTTGTTATTATATTGACTGTGTCTATGTAGGATCCTGTATCAGAAGTACTTCGTTCCACATTTGCTCTGATAGGTGACATTGCAAATGCCAGTTTTGATTCACTTGTACCATTCCTTCATGAACTCGTACTTGAATTGATTCATGTCCTTCATTATAGAGACTGTACCATGTCTGTCTCTGTCTATAACAATGCACTATGGGCATTGGGCACTATTGCCATGCGCTGGGGACAAGACGCTGAACCTTATATCCCTGGTCTGGTGCAAGTGTTTGTGCCATTTTTGACTCGCCCACAAGCACCTGCTTCGAACCACGAAAATGCCATGGTGGCTCTTGGTAGGTTAGGACTTGCTTCTCCTCACTATGTTGCGAGCTGTTTAAGGTTGTTTGTCAAACCTTGGCTAGAAAAGTCATTGTCGGTCCGAGATGGCGACGAAAAAGATTCAGCGTTTCGAGGTCTGTGTGCCATGATAAGACTCAATGCGCAGGACGCACACGATGTACATATCAGTTTTTTTTTGTATCCCTATATTAACATTTACTTTAGGAGTTGTACTTGTTACTTGTGGCCATATCCACCTTACAAACGCCTTCTACTGCCCTGAAAAAAGATCTGTGTGATGTAAGTTTGTCAAGACAGATATATAGAGAAAGAAATACTCATGGCTTTGTCTATAGATCTTGCACATGTTTCGTAACAAAGATATATGGGAAAAGACGTTTTCTCAGTTAAGTGTAGAAGCACAATCAACTATTTCTCAATCACTTGCCATCTAATTCTAATGTGTACATACAATGTTTCTTCCTAACTCTTAAATAATAATAAAAAAACAGTTTTGCTTTATAACAACAATGCATTGTCTTTGCATTGGATACGAAAAAGAAAGAAGTTTCTTTATAGAGATCAACATTTTGCTCACAATGAAGCTTTCCCATTTTATTGATGCATTTATTGGGCAGTCAAGATGTCAGAGTCACCAGCATCAGTGATGGAGAGAACACTGGTACGGAAGAGCTTACCACAGGCAGTACCAAGGTCAATGTTGTTACCGTTGTAGTGGTGAACACCAGTCTTGGACAACATGGCATAGTATTCGATTTCAGACTTGCGAAGAGGAGGGCAGTTACCAGCAATAATGACCAACTTGGCCTTACCTTGACGGATAGTCTTCAAGGTGGTCTTGTAACCAAGAGTGTACTTGCCGGACTTGGTGACGAGTTGAAGACGAGAGTTGATGGATTCAGCGTTCTTCTTGGACTTGACAGTAGGAGCCATCTTTACCTATACACATATGAGCCACTTGTTGAGATATAAAGCATGATACGTTACAAGTTATGGATACGAAAGAGGAGGAATTTGTCCATCGACGTGCGCGCAATACTTTTTTTCAGTCTACAAAATTTTTAGGCTGAGACATGATTGGTTGAAAACTAAGCCACTGAGAAGGGCTTTTTTGAAATCAGCTTGGTAATGAATTGCTCTCTTAGGATACAGCTGTTTATCAATATAGTTTGACAAGAAACCAATACAACATATTTTATAGCATTGTTATTGATTTTTATGGTTTAAGGATTTTTAAGTAGTCGAAATAAGAGTTTAATTCAAGTATGACATTACTATGATAAGCCATTATTCGTGGTATCCATTTTTTTTTTTTTTTTTTTTTTTTTTTTTTTTTTGCATTGTAGTATGAGGAAATCGTCAAACATTTTTGACTTTTGGTCTAAACTCCGAATATAAACTACGACAGTTGTTTTTTTTCTCTTTCTCCCTCTCTTTCTTGATTTTTTTTCTTCTTTTTTATATTTTGTTAGAAGAACTCTTGTTGTTAATACATACTTATCTATATAATGGTAAACTATTTCTTGTTTATAAACACATAGACTTATGCTCATCTAGGCTGACAGCACATCTGACAATAACATCAACAAGCAAGATCGCAAAGAAAAAGTTCCTGCTTTATCTCAGTCTGCTCGATCTGGTCTTCAAGTACGTAGGAATAAAAACAACAGAGGTGATACTAATGCGCGTATAGTTTCCTGTAGGTCGTATTCACCGTTATTTAAAATCAAAAGGACAAAGCAACACACGCGTCGGTGCCAAAGCTGCCGTCTACACAGCTGCTATTCTCGAATACCTTACAGCTGAAGTACTCGAATTGGCTGGTAATGCTACAAAGGATCTTAAAGTGAAGCGTATTACTCCCAGACATTTGCAGTTGGCTATCCGAGGTGATGAAGAGCTCGATGCTCTCATTAAGGCTACTATTGCAGGTGGTGGTGTCCTTCCTCACATCCACAAATCACTTATTGGCAATACAAAGACAGGCAAAAAGATCTAAGTCATATAAAAATTTCCTTTATTATTTATCTCCTCGTTTTAATAAGGCGTCGATTTTAGCACGCATTCGCTCTGTTTGTTCCATCTCTGATAAATGACTTGTGTTGCCCATGGCTTTTTCCTTATTAAGTGCTTGTATAAGTGTTGCTATATCTGGAACAATGGAATCCAATTCATCTTTAATAAACTGAAAGTCTTTTGTAGAATTTGATACTAGAAAAAAAAAGTGTTCATTCCTCTGGGTTAAGTATAACATAGCTTACCATTTTCTTGCTTGGGTATCTCGGTTAAAAAGTAAAGTGCTAGTAAATAGTTGTCTAATTCTTGGTTGTCTTGTTGTAATGTATGATGTTTATACTGTAATATGGCATGTAATTTCTTTTGCTATTTTATATGTAAGTTGTCTAAAGCACACTCATGAAAGCTTACTTGAATGACTGCATTTCTTAGTCTTGTCAATTCATCGTCTATCTTGTCTGCATCTGTATCCATGGCTACATCCTACGTCTCTGTCTTGATAAGCATGTACATAGCGTATGAACTTACTTTATAATGTTCAAGCTGAATATCTAACTGAGGAGAAATCTTCCAGACAACTTGAGAACTATACTGTTGTAATATATTGAATGCACCATCCAACTTCTTTTCAATATCAATTTCATATTTCTCTAATGCCTATGTATTGAATCAGATTCCATCGTACGCGTCAATTGAATCCTTACGAGTTCTATTTCTCTTCTTTTTTCAGGGCATATAGATATAAGTCTGTCTGCGATACCCTCTATTACTTTATAAGACAAGGCATTTGATAATTCATACATATCATGCAGTACATGTTCAGGTTTAGAACCAAACAGTTCTGTTAATAGTTCATTTCGAATATAAGGTCTTGATTCTTTTTTTGTTGACATGAGGAAGAAAAAGAGAGAGAGAGAGATGTATTTTTTTGTTTTTCTATTTAAAGTAATGAGCAGTCCCTCTCTCTCTCTCTTTCTCTCTCTCTCTTTCTCTCTTTCTCTCTTTCTCTCTTTCTCTCTTTTTAATGTTATGTCCTTCTAATATGTATACTATTAAATACAAGACATACTAACTGAATAAAGACATATACACATATATATATATATCTGCTTTAATTACGTATACATTTACTCTTCATAACAAAAAAAACTCCTTACCATTCGTCTGCAAGTCACAAACTCTTTGTTTAAATACAAGTGAACTTTTTCTTTTTCTTTCTTTTTTTCTTTTTTTAATACCATCTTATATATAAAGAAAGGAATCTACGTCCACAATCATAACAAGACAGAGTGTGTTCTGTAAGTGATTACGCGTATTCTCTTATCTAATCTTGAGATTTAGTAAACGACTCGTTGTAACATATTGACACACTTTATACAATGGTTCAAGTCTTACCAATCAACTACAATAACGAACACTATAAACAAGCCAACTTTATCAATGGAAACGAATACACGCCTCCACCTCCACCTCCCTTGCAGCATCAACAACAGTTGCCTATACCCATGCCTGTTCCAATGATCAACCATCTTATGCCTCCTCACCATCCTCCTCACCATCCTCCTCACCAACCTCCCAACTTTTTTCATCCTCCACCTATGCCCCACCCACCTCCTCCTCCTCCTCAAGCAATCTACCCAGCTGATCAAACGAACGGGCAATATATGGATTATGTAGCAACTAACTATCACCCTACGATGGCATTTATGCAACAAGGCAAGTTGTTCTACACTAACAAAAAAAAAGTTGTATCCTAATCCCTTTGTTTTTCATATTAGGCTATTATTCAGACATCACAGTCTATGTACCCACTCTGCAAAAGCAGTATCAGTTACATACCTCTATTCTCTCTCGATCACCTGTACTCCATCAGCGTATCATGGAAGAACAATCCAACACCATGGAACTGGATCTGTACGTACTTCCCGAGACATTCCAAGTGATGATTAACCATTTGGCTCGTCCCATGTCTCCTCAAGAAATCATGTTTTATGCTACTGAAAAGCCTCAGATTGCTATTGAACTATTGGAGGCTTCTGAAGAATTAGGCCTAGATCGCTTATTGGATGCCTTGCTTGTTGCATTGAATCAAAATTTAACGCATCCCAAGGTAGCCATGACTTATATTGAAGCCATGGAGCCCTATCAACCCATGGAAGAAGAAGAGCCTCGTCGTTGGGTTGAATTGTTGGAAGAAGATGTGGTTTCCTTCATGGTCAAGGGACTCTCTACTCAACTTGAAGCATTTTCAACATCTGTCAAAGTAAGTGGCAATGTGGTGATTGGACAAGTCAATGCTTGTGGATATATGCCTTCACGCACTCCTCCTATGCGCGGATTGATGGATTTGGCTCGCGCCTATGCTGCTTTACCTCAACATTTAATGATTCGGTGCTTGGAACATCCTCAATTACCTGTTCAAGACGCGATTCAACGCGCTTATTTTGCACGCAAAGTACTTTCTATTGTTCATTCTAACAACTCTTTTCATCAACGTGCACAAACTGAATTTATGGTTGTCATTCGATTTGAACATGGTGTAGATACAATTGCTGTTGTAAGACAAACTGGTTTAAAAAAAGGCTGTTGGGATCCAAAATTGTATGATTTGTAATTTTTATTTTTTGAGCCTAATAGACTTTTTACACTTCAAATTCAGACGATGCTAGTTTTTTTCTGGACGAATCAAAATTAATTTCCAGATGCTCTTCTTGCCTATTTTGGACGAAATAAAAATGGAAATTAGACAGAAAAAGAATTAGCTTTTTGGATGAATGAGAGTTTACAATTAGACATTTAACTGTAAAGGGAAATCAATTGTTAGAGAAGCAATATCAAAATGACTGGTTATTGTGGTGTTTTGGGACTTTCTAAATAAAAAAATTGAATATAGAAATTATAAAAAAATAAAGAGACGTGTAGAAAGTACTTTGAGACCGTTTATAAATGTTTATAAAGGTAAAAGTTCGAGAGAGATTTTTTATATTCTAGGTTTATATGTGATTTGGATTATGTCCTTAGATGTAACCTGAGATAGGACTTGATGAGCTGAAGGTTATATTAGATGGAACAAGAGTATTGGCTTTCTCAATAAAATATACTTTGCGAACCATCTTCACAGTTATTTATCATTCAAGATGAGATCTGTTCACTGGTTTCTGGATTATATGACTCTATTCCGTAGGAGTGTAAATGTTGATTCAGCTATATCATTGTTTAGAATGAACTCAGTTTTATTGCTATCAAACTATGACTAGCTAGCATAATAATAATAATAATAATATATGACAAATGTTCTTGTTATGAGAAAAGACTTATTTGTGATAATATACTTTTTTTTATTTAAAGTCATTTATACCAGATCATCACAGTTAGATTGATTTGTCTGTTATAATGTTTTTTTAACGAGGTTCATAATCAAGAAACTGCAAAAGAAACCTTTTTGTTATACCAGGGTCGTCAACGAGCACCGGAACGAATGGTGAAAATGTTGTTAGATGGTACCAAGAAATACAACAAGGAGTCAAGAGGAAACAAACGAAAAAGAACAAAAAACAAAGGGAAGCGGAAGAAGAAGGGGAATAAGTCCGGAAATAAGGATAAAGGAAAGAGAAAAATGGCACCGAAAACAACAGAAACAAGGTAAAAAGTTACTTGTGCATGGCTACGATAATTTTTATACTCATAAGTTTATGGTACTTAGAGAAAGCAATTTCTTTCAGTACAAACAGAAGGTACCACTGATAGTATCTGGTAGTGGCATGTTTGGGAAGAACCATGTGAAGATGAAAACGATCCGGACTGGTGTCACTGGTCTTCTATACAGAACGTTGAAAAGAAGAGAGAGAGGACTGATGACTTACTCGTTGTGGACATTGATGAATATTTGACGTCCTAAATATGTTCCAAATATGAAAGTAGGACTTTGGGTGGTATTAGTGGTGCCCGCGGTAATAGTGTTCTCGTTTGCAAGACATGCAGAACATTATGGCAGCGTGACATCAACGCTAGTTTGAATATGATGAACATTGCTAAGTCAATTTGGAAGGGTGAAGGCCGTCCAGAACGATTCAAGAGAAACTAAAAAGAAAGACAATAATCGCCGTAATGAACACGGTACTTCTTTTGGGAATTAAGATTGTTATAGGTAAAATCATCTAGCATACTATTGTACCTTCTCTAATAATTCTTCTCTTTCTGTTTAATTTCCATTTTTATTTCGTCCAAAATAGGTAAGAAGAGCATCTGGAAATTAATTTTGATTCGTCCAGAAAAAAACTAACATTGTCTGAATTCCAAGTAGAAATACTGTAGACTATATTTCTCTGTGAATAATAAAAATAGTGTTTTATTTCTCTTATGGGTAAAGATGAATACTCTTTTTATAATCGTCTACATACACCCTTAATCGAGCATATTCAGGTGCAACAATATCGTCTATATCAGACATGATAAGCAAACACAATATATATATATATATATATATATATTTATTTATACATACCTTCACTGTATGCTCTGCCTTGAACACCATATGCTTTCTCCAAATAACGCCAAAGTTTCTCACTTACAATATCACCGTGTGTTTCAGGAGATGGGCGGTATTTATCCATAGGTAATCGAATGTTGGGATCCAGTGTACCATTTGTACGTGCTAATTTATTATTCGTGATGCGAGCTGGTAAGGGAGATCCTTCACCTAATTTTATATCAACAACCCTCTCTCTTTATGAGATTTTCTTACGTGTTCTAAACAGCATCCATGTTCTACCCCATTGCTTCTCTACCAAATAATGCTTCAATGACATGTCTTCTCTTCTTAATTCTTGGATATAGAGGTTTTGTTCGATTTTACGTCTTTTGTCTAAATCCCTATAGGCTTCTTCTGAATGAATGGCATCCAAATACTGACTGATATGATCACCATCCCTTTCTTGAGTGAGCTAAATAACAGTTAAGAAAACAAACAGCCACTAAGATGGATTACCTTGCGAGGATGTTCTGGACATTGAAAGCAATACAAATGACCGGTTTCTAATTTTAATTGGATAGGGTAATGGTTTTCATCCACCACTGTTTGTTTTAGACAAGCAAGACATGCTAATGGCAAAAATAAGCGCTAACTCAATATCCTGTTCAACTTACCTCCGTTATGATTATCAATATACATATTCAAATATTGAGCAGGCTGAGAATGACAAATGTCGCATGTATCAATATGTTCGCCTTTATAAATAATACGCTTTATATCACAAACAGGCTCAGAAAATGGCTCCAAGTGAGGACAAGCACCTTCTTTTGTTGTTGTTGCATTGATGGTTGTTACGTGTTCTAATTTTAGTTCTCTCTTCATGATTGGCTTCTGCTTCAATTCTTTATAGTAGTTTAACCAGCTCTGTTCAGTTGTTTTATCAGACACGGAAAAGTCGCGTTCTGCGAGTTGTCGAAACACCAATTCGTCCTTTATAAGGTGACTAAATGTTTTGCAAGTCAAAGAAAATTGTAAAATAGTCTCGAGAGGCAAATAACGAGTGATATGAATCAATACTTCTGCTGTAAGGTTCTCTATGCTAGCCTTGTTATTAAACATAGTCTTTGTTTGCGTAACAATAAAGAAGGAAAAAGAAAAAAATAAAAACTTGTTTTCCGCCCTCGTTGAACCTTTTGGGTCTTGCTTGTTGCTCAACTGAGATAGTCACGACGATTCGTACTCAGCCTATGGTTGTTCGAGACACTGTATGGAATAGTAACAAAGTCAAAGCGTCTTCTCTAAATGGCTATGATCTTATAGCTTCGTCAAAAAAAAAATAAGGGGATGAATTAATAATAACACGCGTCTTGAGTTTGAATTGCAAATTGATATTCGTACCGTTGTTGCGCGCCAGTCTATATCATCACACGAATACATACACCTTTTCTTAAAATGATGTCGCACATTCAAAACTTAAGTTGTCGCACTTTTTTGGAAAGAGATGACGCATCTGTGGCAAATGAAGTACGTCAAAAATAGAGTGTAAGAATATGTTCGTGTCGCAAGAGCTGTAGCGAGTGAAGAAAATGAAAGTGAAAAGGCTTGCATAAACAGCCTAAATCAGTTTATATTGAAGATGAAGGTAAGAATCGATCAGTTAGTCAAGTACACTAACATCTTTATATTGTCTAGAAGTGCTTGAGCGAGACTTTGGAGACAATGAAACTTTTCTAAGATAAATGTTAGGCCAAAAAGCTAGAAGCTGAAAGTGATAACTACAGCCATGGTGTGTATCTTTCGGACGTCATCTGCCCTAGAATCTTCAAGATTTTCTTCGGAAAGCATTCAAAAGGGTTTTCCCAGAATGTAACATTATCACCAGATAATGAATGATTGTTTCTCCTCCTCCTCCCTTTTTTTCCTTTTATTAAATATGTTTTATACAACAAGCAGAGATTTCTTTTAAGAAAAAAAAACGAATAAAGATGCTCATTTGCAGTAAACTAGTACAAGTATGTGTATTGAAGGGCCAAAATACAAAAGCGCTTAAGGTTGCTGTTTTTTGAAACAAGTCCCATTTTATTCAAAGTTTTCTAAATGCCATGATAAAGGAAAAGATAGTAAAAGGGATTAAGAAGAGGAAGGGAATATACGGAGGATTACAAGTGAATATCTTTTCATTGGTTAGGAAAGGAGCGACCAGAAAAAAAAACGTATTACAGGAATGAGCTGACAGATGCAACAGAGAAGTTGAAGGATGTTGGATGGAATTGATTGAGTGAGAAAGGTTGAGGCAAGTGGATAAGGCAAGGTACACTTTATTGGTAGTAAAAATAAAATATTAAATGAGCAAGCACAGCATGAAATACATAGACAATATTTATATTAGGCTATAAGAAAGAACAAATAATAGAAGGGAGACAAATTAGTAACAGATATTTATCAGCATATAATTGATCGACAATATGATCGACCAATACTAAGCTGCGATTTTTTCCTACAATGCTATCTCATATTTTAAACTTCAGGTATATTGGTTCTAGTATACGGATTTTATTTGCCCTCGTCCTATACTCATTTACCCCACATTTGCATTATAGCATGTGTATATTTCTATTTTACTGTGCTTTTTGGAACTCAAAACAACACAAAGTGCTTTAGAGAGATCCATTGTTGGTAAGTTCTATATGAAATATGGAGTAAAAACACTCAAAATACAGCTTGAACATGACAGTATTTGACACTACATTACTCGACAACTAAATCGTTAAAGAGGCAGACTTTTTATTTAAGCCATGTTCTTTTGACCCCAGCAATTGAATGGTACCGTTGATTTGGCACTTGTGTGAAATTCATTTTTTGGCTCATGAAAGGTTCACGAGAGGTTCGTGAAGTTGGTAAAAAGTCCATCGAAAGATATATGGAGAAGTGATTTTTTATCTGACTCACCATAAAGTTGCTTGCTGTGCATCGAATAGCACCAAGAAAGCTAAGTTTATGTCTAAATTGGTAGATCAAGCTGTCTAGATTCACCCATTGGTTTTTTTTTTTTTTTTTTTTTTTTTTTTACGAAAATAATGAGTAGACCAAGGCAAATGCAAACGAAATAAAGTGAAGGATTTTTGATAAATAACAAAAAGACCAATGAAAAAATGTTTGGATAGACAACGAACAAGTTTAAAATCTAAATCTCTGTTTACGAATATTTTAATGGGCAAAGTGGAAACGCATAAAGGAAGAGAGAAAGAAAAAGGAATCTCAAAACATAAAAAAAAAATAGTTAGGTCCTCAATGGATACAATCATCAAAAAGAGAGTGTTAGTTAAAGAAAAAATGGATTTATAAGAAAAGATAGCCTTTATGAGGTGTATATACAATGACAAAAGCTAATATGCCTTTTTAGCTGGTCTAGACTAAACTGCATTACTCATTCCTTGCATAATTATATTATTTTCAAAAGAACATTAATCATCAGAGCTAGAGACTATTTTTGAATTGAGGCTTTTATTGTGAAAGGTACTTTACATTTTGATAAGAAGTCTTCCGGTGGTCTTTCCGCTCAAGATATCATAAAGAGCTTGAGGAGCCTCTTCTAAGGAATAAGTCTTGTAGATACTCATTTCATATTTGTGGACTGTTTCAAGAAGGCGTTTAATTAAAGCCTTGGTTAGCTCCTTATCATCAAAATAATTCCAAAGCGAATCTGTATGCAATCGAAGTGATCTAGCAAAAAGATCATGGAAGCTAACCTACATATAAAAAATCAATAAAAATGGCTTTTTATCCAAGATACTTACAGGCTTAGGCAACGTATCGGCCATACCAAAGGCAATCAAATGACCAAGGGGACGAGTGGCCTTAAGACCCGTTTCAAAAGTGGAGCCACCTACACTATCATAGAAAGCATCAACACCTCGACCTTGAGTAATCTCCATGATTCTTTCTAAAATGTCTTCATCCTTGTATTGAATTACATGTTTGGCACCCAATGCTTTTATGTACTCAGCCTTTTCAGGAGTAGAGACAGATCCTATAGCAATACCGCCATTTTGGTTGATCATTTGGATCAATAAAGAGCCTACGCCGCCAGCAGCAGCAGTAACAAACACATAGTCTATAGCATGGTGTTTAATAACAACACAGGACACGATCTCTCCTTACCTCCTTTCTTGATGTGATATGATTGTTCAGTTAGAGCAAGTGCTGTAACATGTGCTATACCAAACTTAATGACATCTTCATAAGAGACATCATCAGGGATTTTAACAACACTGGCGCTGGATGCATCAAGCACACAGTATTCAGCATGAGATTTACCCTCAGCTTGGTAAATACGATCACCAATCTTATAGTAAGTGACGCCCTGACCAACCTCAATCACTTCACCAACACTTTGTTGTTGTTAGTTATCTTTTCAGAGATATGGCATACAAATTACCTTTCAAAACCAATTGTGTCTGTAGTGGGCTTTTTTAATTCAAAAGAATCAGCATAATTAATAGCACTGTAGTGGTTCTTGATGACAATCGTATTTTCAGTAGCAACAGGACGAGCAAGTTCTTTGATAGCAAATTTGCTGTCTTCAACAACAACAGTTTTCATTGTAGTATTTAGGGGAGCCATTTCGAATGGGTGGATTGATGCTTTCAAATCCATATCCTTTATATATACATGTCATATATGCCGGATAGTATTTTTCCGTAATTGCCTATCTTGGTTGATTGCGTAGGCCTATACAACTTTTCTCAAAATTTAAGTTGTCGCACTTTTTTGGAAAAAGATGACGCATCTCCGAGAAAAAAAAAAGTCGCATTTTTCAGGGAAAAGATATCGCATCGCATCTTTATTAAATAGGAAGGTGATTCAAACAGTCATCAAAACGTCTCATGGAATAACGAGTGAAGCCTTCAAAAGATGATGGTAATACACTGTTGCAAGCTTCATTAATCTTAGCAGGAAGTGTATCCTTCTTGAGAATAAACTCCCTTTTAACACTACTCTTGACAACTACCCAAAATTATTTGATTGGATTGAGCTCAGGAGAGTAGGATGGTAAATAGATACATTTATACCCACGAGACTCGATAGCAGCTCTAATCAACTTGGATGTGTGGACGGGAGCATTGTCCATCAACAAGTAGTGGCCCTTCATTTCAGGATATTTATCCATCTCCTCGAGAATATCATCAATAAATCTCAGGTAATGGTTAATTATGGTGTCTTTTGTTTGTGCTTCAGCCCCTCCTGCTAGCTTTTGTTTTTTTCGGAGGGGAATAGGTTTTCTCAAACAAACCTTAATCAAGCCTTTACTTGATATAGCACCCAAGATTGAGATCGAGTTTGCTCTTGCCGTAAGTACCTTAACAATAGCTGGCTCTCCCTTAGGAGCCCATCCCTGAGTTCTTCTCAGATTTGCATTAAATCCTGCCTCATCAATGAAGACGTAGTTGTTCATGTAATCATCTCCTCCACCCATTTCTTTCTCGCCTGAATCCTCTCTGGAGTGTTTCGCTCTAAAGACTTCATTTGCACTTTCTTCAAACTTAAAATCCAAAGATCATTCAAATAACGATACAATATACACTTCAAAAGCGATAGACCCTCAAAAGTACTAGTCAATCGATCAAGTAGCTGATCAGCTGTGGCGGTTGGCTGTTTGTAATAAAACTCTGTAACAGCGTTCTTCGTTGCTCCTGCTAATTCACCTTCTGCTTCAATAATTCTTGGTTGACCAATAGTTTTGAACAAAGAGTCTGGGTCTTTCTTCCAGGTACTATACCACCGTTGTAAACTTCTCGGTTCTAAGCCCAAGTCTAGAGCGACTGCTCTAGTGCTGTTCTTTAGGTGTATATCAACCAAGTGAACGGCATGTGCCTTAACTTCATTACTGACTCGTTTGTTCTTGATGATGTTATTTTTATTCTCTTTGGAGTCAGTTTTTTTTTTTTTTTATTTTTGGTAGCTTTGTGTTCCAAAGAGGTTATATTTTGATCAACTTCCATCATCACTTTCTCTCTAGTCTCCATATAAGCGCTATAGGATGCAAGTTTCCCTAACTTGTACGGATCTTCATTCCCAGTGATATCCATTGGGCCATTTCCATTTTCATCCATGATATTTCCTCGTCCATCCTCAAAATAAAACGAGTAGCTCATTATAAATGTACTTCGAGAAAAAAAGCGCTAAAATTTACGCAACATCTTTTCCCTGAAAAATGCGATATCTTTTCCCTGAAAAATGCGATATCTTTTCCCTGAAAAATGCGATATCTTTTCCCTGAAAAATGCGACTTTTTTTTTTCTCGGAGATGCGTCATCTTTTTCCAAAAAAGTGCGACAACTTAAATTTTGAGAAAAGTTGTATAGGCCTACGCAATCAACCAAGATAGGCAATTACGGAAAAATACTATCCGGCATATATGACATGTATATATAAAGGATATGGATTTGAAAGCATCAATCCACCCATTCGAAATGGCTCCCCTAAATACTACAATGAAAACTGTTGTTGTTGAAGACAGCAAATTTGCTATCAAAGAACTTGCTCGTCCTGTTGCTACTGAAAATACGATTGTCATCAAGAACCACTACAGTGCTATTAATTATGCTGATTCTTTTGAATTAAAAAAGCCCACTACAGACACAATTGGTTTTGAAAGGTAATTTGTATGCCATATCTCTGAAAAGATAACTAACAACAACAAAGTGTTGGTGAAGTGATTGAGGTTGGTCAGGGCGTCACTTACTATAAGATTGGTGATCGTATTTACCAAGCTGAGGGTAAATCTCATGCTGAATACTGTGTGCTTGATGCATCCAGCGCCAGTGTTGTTAAAATCCCTGATGATGTCTCTTATGAAGATGTCATTAAGTTTGGTATAGCACATGTTACAGCACTTGCTCTAACTGAACAATCATATCACATCAAGAAAGGAGGTAAGGAGAGATCGTGTCCTGTGTTGTTATTAAACACCATGCTATAGACTATGTGTTTGTTACTGCTGCTGCTGGCGGCGTAGGCTCTTTATTGATCCAAATGATCAACCAAAATGGCGGTATTGCTATAGGATCTGTCTCTACTCCTGAAAAGGCTGAGTACATAAAAGCATTGGGTGCCAAACATGTAATTCAATACAAGGATGAAGACATTTTAGAAAGAATCATGGAGATTACTCAAGGTCGAGGTGTTGATGCTTTCTATGATAGTGTAGGTGGCTCCACTTTTGAAACGGGTCTTAAGGCCACTCGTCCCCTTGGTCATTTGATTGCCTTTGGTATGGCCGATACGTTGCCTAAGCCTGTAAGTATCTTGGATAAAAAGCCATTTTTATTGATTTTTTATATGTAGGTTAGCTTCCATGATCTTTTTGCTAGATCACTTCGATTGCATACAGATTCGCTTTGGAATTATTTTGATGATAAGGAGCTAACCAAGGCTTTAATTAAACGCCTTCTTGAAACAGTCCACAAATATGAAATGAGTATCTACAAGACTTATTCCTTAGAAGAGGCTCCTCAAGCTCTTTATGATATCTTGAGCGGAAAGACCACCGGAAGACTTCTTATCAAAATGTAAAGTACCTTTCACAATAAAAGCCTCAATTCAAAAATAGTCTCTAGCTCTGATGATTAATGTTCTTTTGAAAATAATATAATTATGCAAGGAATGAGTAATGCAGTTTAGTCTAGACCAGCTAAAAAGGCATATTAGCTTTTGTCATTGTATATACACCTCATAAAGGCTATCTTTTCTTATAAATCCATTTTTTCTTTAACTAACACTCTCTTTTTGATGATTGTATCCATTGAGGACCTAACTATTTTTTTTTATGTTTTGAGATTCCTTTTTCTTTCTCTCTTCCTTTATGCGTTTCCACTTTGCCCATTAAAATATTCGTAAACAGAGATTTAGATTTTAAACTTGTTCGTTGTCTATCCAAACATTTTTTCATTGGTCTTTTTGTTATTTATCAAAAATCCTTCACTTTATTTCGTTTGCATTTGCCTTGGTCTACTCATTATTTTCGTAAAAAAAAAAAAAAAAAAAAAAAAAAACCAATGGGTGAATCTAGACAGCTTGATCTACCAATTTAGACATAAACTTAGCTTTCTTGGTGCTATTCGATGCACAGCAAGCAACTTTATGGTGAGTCAGATAAAAAATCACTTCTCCATATATCTTTCGATGGACTTTTTACCAACTTCACGAACCTCTCGTGAACCTTTCATGAGCCAAAAAATGAATTTCACACAAGTGCCAAATCAACGGTACCATTCAATTGCTGGGGTCAAAAGAACATGGCTTAAATAAAAAGTCTGCCTCTTTAACGATTTAGTTGTCGAGTAATGTAGTGTCAAATACTGTCATGTTCAAGCTGTATTTTGAGTGTTTTTACTCCATATTTCATATAGAACTTACCAACAATGGATCTCTCTAAAGCACTTTGTGTTGTTTTGAGTTCCAAAAAGCACAGTAAAATAGAAATATACACATGCTATAATGCAAATGTGGGGTAAATGAGTATAGGACGAGGGCAAATAAAATCCGTATACTAGAACCAATATACCTGAAGTTTAAAATATGAGATAGCATTGTAGGAAAAAATCGCAGCTTAGTATTGGTCGATCATATTGTCGATCAATTATATGCTGATAAATATCTGTTACTAATTTGTCTCCCTTCTATTATTTGTTCTTTCTTATAGCCTAATATAAATATTGTCTATGTATTTCATGCTGTGCTTGCTCATTTAATATTTTATTTTTACTACCAATAAAGTGTACCTTGCCTTATCCACTTGCCTCAACCTTTCTCACTCAATCAATTCCATCCAACATCCTTCAACTTCTCTGTTGCATCTGTCAGCTCATTCCTGTAATACGTTTTTTTTTCTGGTCGCTCCTTTCCTAACCAATGAAAAGATATTCACTTGTAATCCTCCGTATATTCCCTTCCTCTTCTTAATCCCTTTTACTATCTTTTCCTTTATCATGGCATTTAGAAAACTTTGAATAAAATGGGACTTGTTTCAAAAAACAGCAACCTTAAGCGCTTTTGTATTTTGGCCCTTCAATACACATACTTGTACTAGTTTACTGCAAATGAGCATCTTTATTCGTTTTTTTTTCTTAAAAGAAATCTCTGCTTGTTGTATAAAACATATTTAATAAAAGGAAAAAAAGGGAGGAGGAGGAGAAACAATCATTCATTATCTGGTGATAATGTTACATTCTGGGAAAACCCTTTTGAATGCTTTCCGAAGAAAATCTTGAAGATTCTAGGGCAGATGACGTCCGAAAGATACACACCATGGCTGTAGTTATCACTTTCAGCTTCTAGCTTTTTGGCCTAACATTTATCTTAGAAAAGTTTCATTGTCTCCAAAGTCTCGCTCAAGCACTTCTAGACAATATAAAGATGTTAGTGTACTTGACTAACTGATCGATTCTTACCTTCATCTTCAATATAAACTGATTTAGGCTGTTTATGCAAGCCTTTTCACTTTCATTTTCTTCACTCGCTACAGCTCTTGCGACACGAACATATTCTTACACTCTATTTTTGACGTACTTCATTTGCCACAGCTGAAGACAACGCTCCTATCCTTAAAACTAAACCGAAACCTATTTTTGTGCCAATGCTCAAGAAAAAACAAAAAAATCATTACTGAAATCTACAATATAGATTAGAAACGAAATCTCAATTGAACGTTTTCTCATGAATCTTAAAATTGTGGAGTGGACAGAAAAATCAAGTAAATTAGTCAAGATAGCAGAGGAATGGACAAACTCAATCTAGGGTGTTTTGAGGGGAGGGAGTGGATTGTTTCGTATTGCAATTGAATGAGTTTGGCATAAGAAATGACAGAAGAGAGTTTTCAGAAAATACGATGGATTTATTAAAAATTCAAACTCAGGAAGCTTTTTGAACGTCTTCATCCTCTTCTTTAGGTTCTTTAACCACGCATTGCGTCTAAAAATTCTTCACAGTATTCCTTCAACTTGTCAATGCAGGCTTTTTAGATTGAAAGGAGACTTTCTTCAAAATTCTTCTAAGCCCAGTCTTAAGTTTTTTCTTTAACTTTACAGCTGTCTCATTTAGGTCTGGATAAAAAGCTATTGGATTTTTTACCATTGACCAAGCCTTTTCAATTGATTATAGCTCACAATAATAAGGCATTGTAATTGATAGCTTGTGGTTGCATTTTCCGGTAATATAATAGCAAGCGTAGACAGGCGAGACGTTAGAGTTTTTGACTTTTTCTAAAAGTGCCTGCTTTTTCATTTTTTGGAAGGCACTCGCTTCCTCTTCCAAATACCTTTTACAAGCTGACCATTGTTTTACTGCTTCCTTTTTGTCTGCCGCAGTTGACATAGGATTGGTTCGGTGCTTGCGGTAAGATGCATCATCCATATGCATGATACAGCTTCCATAAGTTATCAGAGACTGGCAAAAGTTTTCAAATAATTACTCAAACTCCTCTGCTGTGAAGTTACCATGGTAATCGGCATTCAAATTCTTATTTCCTTTTACTGACCATATAGCCACGATATCATCAATCATTGCTGTATTACACCTTTTGTTCTTTTTAAATACAACAGAGCTAGCAAACATGACCATCGTTGGCTTTCTCCCACCTTCATTGAAAAAGGTATCAACTGGAACCCAAGTCTTAGCTGTATGATAATCAAGATGGCAATATGATTTAACAAGGGATACTTCAAGCTGTATGGATTGGCAACTACCATTAAAATTTTGAAGGCGTTGATTAACGTAAACGTAACGACAGCTTTCATTTGCAGGAGAATCATGGTTGATGTTTTTCCTGTTATCTTTCATATTCAAGGTATAAAGGTCTCTAAGAGAAATTGATTTGAAACATCGATTTGGCACGAGCTTTTCAGTGTTGTTGCTATAGTTTTTACGGTGTTTGAGCATCCGGTTCTGTTGTTTTCTTCAACAACCTTTTGAAAGGCGGAACTATATTCCAGATCAAATTGACGAGGTGGGCGAGTTAAAGGTTTTTTTTTTTTTTTTTTTTTTGGAAGGTTACAACTTCATATTGTGCATATGAATTGCTTTTTGCGAAGCATAGACTGTTATGTCTAAAAGTCTCTGAAAGAGTTTTTGGGAGTTTATCGATTGCATATTTCTTCCATCAGTGGAAGAAATCTTTCATTTTTGATGGAAGTTTTCTGCATTCAATGGATTTTTTTTCTACAGCTTACGCTGTAGTGATAACTTTACAAAAAAAGGTAGCTGAAGCGATGGAAAAAATCATAGAAAGACTTGCACAAGAAACATTTTCAAAAATAATAAAAATATTAACAGGTATGCCGACATGGCAAGTATGCCATTTGCGTACTCAAAAAAATTTTTTGAAAAATAATAAAAACTAGCACTTAAAATAAAACCACTATTGTAAAATAAATCAAAAATATTTCTTGTAATGACAAAAAAAAAAGTAAATTTTTCAATTTTTTTGCTTAAAATTTTAAAAAAACTTGTTTTCCAATCTTTTTGTTTTAAATTAAAAATCGAGTCTACCGGATAGTAATTTCAGTGTTTTAGTTTGGGGAAGAAATTGCAGGCTGGTAGACTCGATTTTTAATTTAAAACAAAAAGATTGGAAAACAAGTTTTTTTAAAATTTTAAGCAAAAAAATTGAAAAATTTACTTTTTTTTTTGTCATTACAAGAAATATTTTTGATTTATTTTACAATAGTGGTTTTATTTTAAGTGCTAGTTTTTATTATTTTTCAAAAAATTTTTTTTGAGTACGCAAATGGCATACTTGCCATGTCGGCATACCTGTTAGCGACATTTTAAAATCCTGAATATTCTGGAGTTGATGTTTTTTTTAATGAATCCATTACACTCAACGAAGAGTAAGCTACAGCCGTATACCATAGAGGACACTGAATCTCGTAAAATTGAAGAAGCTATGCTATGTATAGATCATTCAGTACTATGTTGGTTGCCCTTTAGTTCGCTGGCAGATGAAGGCAACAAACTCCTGGCACTAAGAACCTTAGAGGTTTTAGGAAATGGGTTAAATGCACTCTGGCGATACCATCACAAATGTGTTTTTGACAAGGGGTTAACAGCAATTGTTAGTGTCGTTTTAATATTTCTTTTATAATTCAAACCTCAAAACTAAAATAATAGGCTTCGCAAATTCCTTTCGTAATATTAATATTTTTGCACATGTATTCTTGTGCAAAGCTTTGATGGATGTCATATAATGCTCTCCTGAAGAAAATGTTGATAATTTGTTCACCGTGTTGGCTAGGGTGTAATAAAAGATGTGCGATAAAGCGACGGTTTCGTGAATAGATGTTTCAATTTGGAGTAAGTTTGCTCTTGGCAATGCCGCTGCTTTGTTTTGAAATGTTTGAAGTAATTCGGCTACATTTGAGAAAGCAAAACTATCGTCTTCCTCCACCACGTCCAGTGCTCGAAGAGTAATTGTAGGTAAAGGCCAAGAGCAACTGCCTTCCACATCATCATGCCTTTAGATAAAATTGGAAGGCGTGAAGGATCTGCCTATGGTCCACCGGCAGAATGGATAGATTTGCTGCAAACTTCGTTTTATAAGTGCTTTTGCAATGATAAACAGATAACATGGCAAGGTTCAAATGCGTCTTCTATCATTGATTACGTATATTACTGTAATAGATTGCAGACGAATATAGAGAGCGTTGAACAGACGTTTGTTTCTCGTTCTTGGACAAATCATTCTCTGCTAGTTGTTAACTTTAACTTGAACAAAGAAAGCACTAGAGGCCCAGGTGCATGGAAGGCAAATCCAAACTTAGCGAAAAAGAAAGAGTTTAGGCAACAATTAGCTGCTTTCTTGGATACGCTAGTTCTGCAACTCCAGAATCAGAGAAAACATTACACTGCTCAGAGAAATTGGGACTGGATTAAAGCTGAAGTCAAACTATTTACCAAATCATTTCAATTGGAGACAGTCACTTGGAGAAAAAAACAGATTAAACGGTTACAACGTAGACGTAACAAAATCCTTCGGCATCAGAAACATCGTGGTATAGTGGATTGGACACTACCCATAGTAGAGAAACAATTGGGAGCTTTGCAAGAGGAAGCTGCTGAAATAGACGCTCTGAGAGCGGGAAAGCGTTGGCGAGAAAAAGGCGAGAAGTCTCCAGGCTTTCTAAACAGGTTGATCAAAGTACGAACACATCAAAAATCAGTAGGCGATCTACGAGATCCTGTCAGTGGTGAACTTTGTGGAGATCAAGAGGCTAAAGAGAAAATAGTACAACAATTCTACTCTAACTTATATACTCCGGACCCTCCCAATTACCATGCTATGAACAGATTGATTGCTAAAATTCCTGACAATGTGAAATTGAATGATAGTCAAAGAGACACCATGATGCTGAGTATTTCTATGAATGAAATATTTGAAGAGTCCAAGCGAACTCCAAGACAAAGTAGCCCTGGCACCGATGGTCTTCCATATGAAACTTTGAATCTTATCATGAAACATCCTAGTATTCACACATTGATTACAGATGTATATAATGATAGTTTAGCTGGTAGTCTTCCAATGTCATGGAATGAATCATTGATGGTATTACTACCTAAGAAAGGCAACCTATCCGACATGAAGAACTATAGACCAATCACACTGGCTAACACGGACTATAAAATCTTTACAAGGATACTAAACCGCCGTATAATGATGATTGCTCCACAATTGATTACTCAATTTCAATTGGGTTTCATACCAGGGCGATTTATCGCAGAAAATGGATTGATAGTCCAAACCATTATGGAAGACGCACAAGCCAGAGTACAGCAAGATACGACTAAGGGCAGAAGTAGTGACCATGATTTAGCGCTTTTACTTGATCAAGAGAAAACATACGATCGGGTACACCTCATATATTTTAAAAGAGTGCTGATAGGCTACGGGTTCCCGGAAGTGATTGCCGATACAATACACAAATTGCTCTCAAAAAAACAAGATCAAAATCAATGTTAATGGGTTCTTTATCAAAGAAATCAAGAAATGAAAAGGATTAAAACAAGGCGATCCACTATCACCAGTTTTATATAACTTGACATTTGATCTATTTCTACGCTCGATTATACAAGATGGGTGGGGGGGGGGGTTCAAAGGATATCAGTTTCGACAACAAACACCAAGGCCTGACTCTTCCTCCTCTGCTCCTATAGAAACTAAAATTCTTTGCTACGCAGATGATGCTTTAGTATTTATACATGATCCGAATGATCTTGCAATACTGCAAAGACATATATCAACGTATTGTAGCGCATCAGATGCAAAAATCAACTTTAACAAGATTAAAGCTCTATCTTTATCTGGTACAAACCCCTGGCTATTTTGGCATAGGTATCTTCTACCACTACAGATACAGCGCATTCAGTCTTCCATGGATGCACAACCTATTGTGTACTTAGGTTTTCCATTAATTCAGTCAGTTGCACAAAGACAAAATTATTTTGAAACCTTTTTGGCAAAGATGAAATCTGCCTGCTTGATACATTCTGTCCGTTCCTTGTCAGTACTAGGCCGGGCCACGGTAGTTAGCACCTTAGTATTATCCAAATGTTGGTATCTTCTTCGGGTAACGCCGTTTACGAAGACTGAGATTTCTCGAATCCGGTCTTTAGCACAGCAGTTCCTAAACTCCAAAATCTTTCCGAAAATTGCTTGGCCAACTTGGACTCTACCGAAAGAAGATGGTGGTGTAGGGGTCCTTGATCCGTTATTGCAAAGAGACGCTCTTTATAGTCGCTGGGTCTTTCCTCTGTTGAATCGCTCTATCAACGCACACTGGTATCATATACTCACAAGACACATCCAAAATATCTCCGGACATTATGAGGTAGCTATTCCTTTGCTCTTTCCTTTGGCTAGACACAATAGAACCTCTCACTTTGGGTGCGGTAAACGTATTTCAACAATTGATCTATTTTATGCCTCAATAGATCGCTTGCCTCGAGATTTTGACCAGATGACACTAGCTCACCAAGCATGTCTTAGTTTGCCGATGAAGGTCGTCTTACAATCTTTAAGACCACGACTTCCGTCATTGCCGAAAAGGATTCAATTTATCCCAGTTCAAGCATTTATGCTTTTCAACCACGATCTTAAGCTAATCCATTGGAAGCATCCGGATCATATTCCGCAAGAGCTTCAAAAATTCTACTTTCAGATCACCCGAGGGCTAGAAAGTAACAAGTACCAATTCTTTCCTTTCTTTGCCAAACACTGCCAACCTCCTACTATAGAGGTATTGCCTACTTTACCGTCCTCACCACCTTTATCTTTTGTTCCGTTTGTCAACTCTTTCCAATTTGTGACCCTGACTGGATCAATCACCCGGGTATCGACAAAGGAGTTTCGGTTAACTTGCCAGAGTGCTACATCTGCTCCAGAGCGCCTACGAGCTATCTCTAGTAACTTTTGGACTGATTTCTGGAGCTGGTCTCTGCTGCCAATTGCTCGTAATATGATATACCGATTCCTGGTTTCCAAACTACCCACAAGACAACTTCTTCACTATATACTTCCTGAGAAGTTCCCCTCACCTCTTTGTACCATTTGCTCAATTCATCTGGAAAGTGAACAACACCTCCTGTTCTATTGCCTACCAAAGAGGTTTTTTTGGAACAATCTCATCTTCGAATTTCTTTGGCCTACGACCACTGTCGAAGATGTTATTCAAGCACTGGTTACACTAAACTTCACTAGAATAGATTACTCGCAAAAAAAATTTAACCGTTGTTGACATTATCATTACAGCAGTATCACAAGTTTGGAAAGCACACTGGAGATTTGTCATGGACAACGTAACTTTTGATGCCTACTCCACTCTACAACAAACACGTACTGCTCTACAACTGCTTGCAGATGAAAAGCAAGTACACACAAGACTGTAATTCTTCTCGTATTTTTTTCCATTAATAACAGTGGCATATCTTTTATTTTATTCTGCTTAGTTTGCTTTCAGCATAATTGTATAATATAATTCAGTATGAATTGCGCCCGCCTCTTGAGTGCCATTAGGGTAACTTTACGCGGAGCAATAATAAAAATCTTTAAAAAAAAAAGAAGGCGTGAATTCTATACTACCTAGGGTAAAAACTGTGCATTAATTGCATGGGGCAGAGTTTTAACTGAAATTTGGTTGTCGAGTTTGCTGTTTGTTCCTTTAGTACATCTTCTGCGCAATCTGGGCAAGAACCTTGTGTGTCTAACCGGGCTCTAAGCTGTTTCCTTTCCAACTAATGTAGCGTAAGATCACTTGTCCGTTTCCAATTGTTGAGATTTTCCATTGAATTGATTTTATATTGCGATAGATAACAAGAAATGATGCTCTGGTAGTGATCTATGGTATACTATTTGTCTAATAGTTTATGATGCTCAGCAAATGTCTTGCATGTGAGGCTGTCCTTGTTATTTATACACCATTGGGCATCACTCGCGACGATCTTTTGTCTTTTTTGTCCTTTGCTCATCAGATCAGTGGGAAAAAGAGTAAAAGAACTTGAATGTTGAAATCTCAGTGGTATCAGCTCTGTTACGTAGTGATTGAGTTTAAATAGAAACAACTGTAGTAGATTGAGCAATCAAACCTATAGGTATAATTTTAGGGAAGTATACTTATTATGCTGGTCTTGGTAGTTCGACAACAAGATGTGTTTTGTGAAAAGAGAATCGAAAGAGGTAATAAACAAATATGTATCTGCATCAATAGGCGTAATGCTACTGATATGGTTGCGAGAAATCATTCATCAAAGCTTAAGTTTAATCAACTCTTGTTCTGAGAAACAACGAAGAAGATAATCATCAAGAAGTAGGTTCGTTTGTTTTTTTTTCTTTGCGTTACACTATCTTCCCATCACATTCATACCACTATACGCTTAATCGACAATATGACCAAACAATACTAAGCTGTGATTGAAGCAAATAGTGACTATATCAAATATTAGTCTTTTCTCTTTTTTTGTCAAGTAAACAAACTAAGCCTTTATTCTACGCGGTTTACAGTGCTAATCTATTATGTTTCGGGGAACTTGTTGAAGTATAGAAAGCCTACAATTCTTGTTTGATTTCAAAAAGCATTAAAAGATATCCAACCATTTTTTGAAATATGATTAAGGATTTTCACCACGCATACGCAAAAAATATGTGAAAGAAATATGTTTGGCAAACACGGTAAGTCATAAGAAGCATAAAGAATAATTTCCTTTTTAGACAAAAACGATAAAAAAAAGCTTCTCTTATTTAGACATTACTGCAAAATCTCGTCAACACTTTTGAAATAACACAAACAGCAAGAAAGAAAAGAGGAAAAAAAACCATCAAGGAAGAACGTCATGTTCAAGTGTTTATATATTAGACAAATATTTGTCACGCTTCCATCCATGCTTTTACAAAGTTCAGAGCTATTTTATAATCTAGACCATTTCAATGTCTCTTTAATTTATAATAATTTGCTCCTCAATTCAAGCAAATATGTGTGTCTTTAAAAATGAGATCAACTCTTTTGGGTGTACAGTCATAAGGAAGAATAAAAACCCATTCAAATTGATAATTATCGATTTTCGGCAAGCAACTTTGTGTTCAGTTGTAACTCAAAGAGCTGTGCACTTACTTTTTACGGAGTCTTCTTATAGATGGAGCGATTTATCGAGCGATAAAGTTCGGTTCATATTTTCTTTAATGTAGGACACACGAACCAAATATCAGCAAGATCCAATTTAAAGGGACATTACGTTGAAAAAAAAAAACATATTGTCTATCATAAAAGTAAGATCGATCAAAATACCGAGCCCTTTTTTATTTCTTTTGCCAGACTTCAATTAATTTAGAACCAAGAAAAAAAAACTAGAGGAGATCACCCGATAAATCAAGTGCACATTTTGTGCCTGGGGCTTGTAATCAGATTCTGTTGATCGCATTTAGTTCGATTGCCAGAAAATCTCTATTTCTAGATAAAGAATGATGATATTCATTGTTCATAGATGTCTTTGAAGAGTCAAATTTGATTTAGTCAGTAAAAAAAGAAAGCGACGCCAAGGTCTTTTAGGATATTGTATTCAGTGAGTTTGACATAGAACAACAATCTCTATTAAACAAAAGTTAGAGATGCCATACACTGTACGTGTTCTATCTTTCTTTCTTTCTTTCTTTTTTTCTTTGAGGAAAAAAATAGCCCCTGACAGCATAAAGACAACAGTTCTGAGAATATCCTTGAATTCCTGAAGATATTCTTTTTTTTCTTTTATTTTTGTAAAGGTGTAAAACTCTTCTTATATATTGACAGCTTCCAAACTATGAGAGCAATTTTACTAATACATATATATGGGTGCTGTAAATTTAATATGAGCAGTTTCAGAAAGCTCAAGTTATGCGATAAGGGAAACAAGTTTTTAAAATTAATTAGACGTGCCTTGTCAAGATCTACGAGCTTGGTCATGGCGTGATTTTGATATTTGTTTGTTGCACATAAATAGGATAGGGCAGAGAAGCAAGGATAAAATAGAGGCTAAATTACATGAAATCAAACTTATTTTCATGCACTGAAAGCAGAAATATATCAAGAAATTCGATGAGAAAAGAGAAGAAGGCCCTCTTTCTCCTTTTCATGACAGACATGTTGCTAATGAGCTCTCCGAGCTTTCGATAACACGGTGACGTTTATTTGTTTTGATTTCCATGCTTCGTGCAAAATGAGTCAGGTACGGTTAAACTCCGCAAAGTAGGCATATACGCAACTTCCACCATCCAGAAAGCCTTTTGTTTGCAAAGAAACATATGAAAGTATACTTTTTAGTCTAAAAGAAAGATGAAAACTAAATTTGCTTAATTCAAATAGTCTTTTATGGGCTTATGAAATCAAAAGAGTTTAAAGAAGTATTACTTGACTTTTTGAACTGAAAAAAGAAACTGTGATAATTATAGTTCATGATATAATCTTTGTTTCATGTTTTAATAAGTGATTAAATGCTCAATTTCAGTATAGAGATAGGTAACGGAAGACGTCAAACCTTGAAATCCGATCAGAGCGATTTGTTTATATTGAATTCATACGATACAAAGTGGCTTTTTTCAGAACAAAAAGTAGTTCCTTTGCTAGTACATATCTTTGTGCCTTGTAAAACTTGTTTGGTAAAAAACTATTTTCTAACCATAAGCATATTGCTAGTTTGTACTGGGTTGAAGCCGCAGTGAATTATTTAGATCTTCAGCCCCATTCTGTCATTTTGAACTATACAGAGAACTAATCATGAGCGTTTCAAACCTAATTAATTATTCAATTATCTGACAGTGTATCACTAATCATAGTATTGTATGTGTCTCCTGAATTGTATCAAACCAATAGTTTGGTTAGTCATACTCTACGTAACAAAAGAACCTTCTATTCACATTATTTGTATAAAGTGATACACTAATTCAAGGATTTCAGTATACATATATATGTACATGTTGCATACAAACAAAGTGAAGCATTTTGGAGGGAAAGCTCTAATGTACAAAAAGGTTATTTCCCTTTTCCCCCTTGCATTATAATAATGAAAAAATGAAAATTTATTAATACAAATACTTTTTTAAAATGACATATTTTGGTTATTTTTAGGAGGGTATGTAAAAATGAATGAATGAGATATGTAGAGAGATTATCCCAAGGATCTGCTATGTACATGTAGGCATAATCAAGTTAAGAATAAGGTGCAAGAGAATCACCAGCTAATCCATAGAAGCAATGATCACACACACGGGAAAAAGTAGGTTTATCGGCAGGACGAGTAGGTGTGAATAATGGTAATCGATTACCACTATGTGTGCTACAATAGATATGGCCGCAGCTAAACAAAAAAAATGAGTACACGCCCAAGTCAACTCTTATTTGTTTCTTTACCTTCTGCAGTGGTGTTTACGTTGAAAGAAACCAAACGTATTCTTGCAACCGTCATGTTGACATGCTTGTACTTGGCTATCTTCTTGCCATTGATCTGAAGGCTTAAGAACAAATTTTTCTTTACGGTCCGTATATGTCAAATCAAGAGAGTATCTATGTTGATGAATGCCCTTGTTGTCATGGCTTAAAACCTATAACAAAGAATTAAGTTTGTTGTCTCACAAAAACGCCATTGATATAAACTTACTCTTTTGGGTATTAATAATGCTTCAGTTGTAGTACAAACGCCTTGAACTGAGAAAACCGTGTTGAGTTCGTTCTTGTCAGGTGTTTGCTTGATGACAATTTGTGTTGTTGTTGGTTTAGGAGTTGCTAGTGACTTAAATACGCTTGAAACAAATGTATCTTTTGGCTTGTCCATGGAGTTTTCTTGCTGTTCTGAGAAGGTCTTTTCTTTAGGTTCCAGGCACAAAGCCTCAAGCTTGTTTAAGAGTTCTTGCTGCTGTACGATCAAGGCTTTACATTCTTGAATCTTGTTACTACGGATAGAGGAAGAGCGTTTTCTGTTGACATCTTTGTGTTCTAATGAAGATGTGGAAGATGCATAAGAATACGCAGAAGATGCAGAAGACAACAAGTTACTCGAGAGATTTTGTATTTGGTTTGCATAGCTTGTCATGCTTGAATTCAAGTCTTGAATGATGATTTCTTTTGTTGTCAATACAGAAGAAGAGGAAGTATGTTTGGAAGGAAGAATATCATCTGAAAGTGTTGTTGTTACTGAGGATGCTGAAGAAGTGATTTGCTCTTGCTCTTGTTTGGGCTGCACTCGGCAAGCAGCACACTTTCTTAAGTGATTCATAATTTCATCTTGCTTTTGCTGATTCAATTTGCCCTTTGCCTTTTCATCCAATCGGAGTTTAGCCGCAGCCGCCATAGCCTGTTTGTTTTCTTCTGTTGATGATCTTAGATTGCCAATGGACATTGTGCGTTGACGGGAAGGTAAAGTCTTTTTAGGATTGGTTGGCTTGAGCTGTTGATTGATGTTGACCATGCTATGTCTTCTTTTCAATGAATTCGTCTCTGTTTCAATTCGTTCTTTTTGCTGCAAAGCCTTTTGTTGCTTAATGATCTGTACAAAGTCATTGACTCTGACATCTTTTGAGATACTAGAAATAGTACCTCTTCGTATGGAGGGTCTACGATTGAACATGGGTGTATTGTTGAAAGTGACCATGCTTGAATTAGGCGAAGTCATGAGTAAATGAGAAGGTCGAATAGCGAATTCAGTCATAAAGAAAAAAAGAGAAAGTGAAAGAAATAAGCTTTGTTGGCCTTGCCTTTATATACTTTGAGACGGTTATGATATCATGTGTTTTAATAAGGGGCAAGAAAAGTGTTTCGAGATATATATATAAATGTTTGTATATTTAATCAAGTTTGTTAACCTACATGAAATAAATAATTGTCCTCTCCTCTTTTCCAGGTGTCTGCGCCTCCTTATTTCTTTTCTGTATTCTTTATTATTGATTGTTTCCTATTTTATGTAAAGTAATGAATTATGAAGAAACATCAAGGAATATTTGTGCTACTTTCGTGTACAGTAGCACAGAGCACAGTTCTTTCGGCTATCTAAACAGACCGGCAAAGTTTAATTAAATTATAAGCCTTTCTCTCCGCATAGAGATCAACAGACATGTTAGAATCCCTTGAATGCTTCATAGTTTGTGAAATAATTGAAAACTTGGGTGCATGACGAAAAAAAGTCATTTAGTAAGGAGATGAAACAAAAAGGAGCTTCATCACTTTCATTGAAAAAGAGACCAACTTGAACAAATTCAGACGTTTGTATAACCTTTCTTTTCTTCCATGAAACTCAAAGATATTCGGTCCGCAGATCTATTGTAATTCAGTCCAAATAATCATAAAATGGTAAATGTTGACACTCATTTATCGAGAAGACAATAGAGGAAGACGATCTATTTTGTATCATTTTGTCATTATTTCATTTTGTAAACTGACGTTATTTACAAACTTTATAATTTAGCCTGTTTCTTTGGGGCTAACACTTGTGCTATCAAACTAGTTTTATTCACGTCAAATGAAAACAAGGTTTATGTAGAATATAATGCCATGGCTTGCGATTTACAGTAGTTGGTTTCTTTATATCACATACAAGGGTAAAGTGTAATAACAATTGCGCAAGGCGTTTTTTTGTTATAGAAAATGTTTTCAGCAAATGCGTCATAAAAATCCAAACAGATTGACTGCATAGATTCCCCCCAAAGGAAAGCATCTGCCTGAATTTAGAACAAGCTTTGACTGCGGTGACAAGTATGGAAAAGAAAAGATCTATTTACCCCAGTTTTCACTTTTAAATAAAAGCTATTTATGTATCAATTGACAACAATCAGGACAAAGGTTTGATATTGATTCATTCTGATAATACATCTCACATAGAATTGTCTAGCAAATGGAAAATCGAAATTACAGGGAAATACATGTAAATCCAAATTTGGGTCTATGTATTTCTTATAAGGGACAAACCTACGGTGCATTTAAAGACATTTGTTATTGGTCAAAACGTACACAAAGGCCCCAAAACAACTCCGCATAATGAGAATAGCTCTATTTTTTTTTCCTTTCTTTTTGTTCCTCTCCCTTTCTTGACTATAATAACACTATGGACACGTCAAGAAATACGCACTATTCTTCTTACCCCTATCAGCAGTCAGCTCGACAAGACCTTGTCCAGCCTCCATCTAAAGAAATATACCAATACGACGCACCTTGGCAAACTTACGCCTTGGACTGGTGTAAGACACCTATTGAACAAAAAAGCTTTCGACTGGCTATTGGTAGCTTTATTGAAGACAACAACAATAAGGTAAAAATGAACTCTTTTTCAACTCTTATTCCTAATTCTTTACAAAAAAAATAGCTTCAAATCATTTCGCGCACAGATTTGTTAGATACGAATTTGCCTATAGACCAAAGAAATGATTTTACACCTGTAGCAGAAGCTGATTCTTATTATCCAATTACGAAAGTGTTATGGGAGCCTCGCAAGGTAGGTATGAATATAGTTCAATCTGATCTTAACCTTGTGCTTAGAATGATTCAAGAAGTAGTGATCTTTTGGCTACCACTGGTGACATTTTAAGAATTTGGGAATTAGTAGATGATCCAAGATATGGACAGAGTAACAATATCAATAGCTCAAGCAGAAATAATGCTGGCAAAAGTATGCAGCAGCTTGTGAAAAAGGCAGAATTAGTCAATGTAAGTATGTAGCTATCGTCTATAGACAACTCACACAGTTTAGATGAAACAATCAGACTTTTGTGCACCTCTAACATCCTTTGATTGGAATGAGACAGATCCATCACTTGTTGTTACCTCCAGTATTGACACAACTTGTACAGTCTGGAACGTCGAAACAAACCAAGCAAAAACACAGTTGATTGCGCATGACAGCGATGTTTATGACGTGGCGTTTATGCATGGCTCTGCAGACACATTTGCTAGTGTAGGTGCTGATGGCTCTGTACGACTGTTTGATTTACGTTCATTGGAACACTCGACTATATTATACGAGGCTCAGCCTACACCCAGTCACCATCGTAGCAATAGTGTTAATAACAACAACAAAAACAACAATACAGGCACTGTACCTTTATTGCGACTTCAATTCAGTCGAATGAACTCGAATTTGTTGGCTACATTTCATATGGACTCTTCTGTTGTTGAAATTCTCGATATTCGCTATCCAAGTGCTCCTGTTGCTGAACTATCTAAAAGCCATAGTGGCAGTATCAATTGTCTTGGCTGGTCTCCTACTGAATCAGGCCAAATTGCTACTGGTGGTGATGACTCTCAGGTGCTTGTATGGAATATCAATCAAGCAAGTAATGATAACCGAGCTTATTACCAACAGAATACACAACAGAGATACAGTCACCAGCCCCTCGATCCGTGCAAGATCCTCTTTTGGCTTATGTTGCTGATGCAGAAGTTAATTCTATCACTTGGAGTAAATCAGCACCAGAATGGATTGGTATTGGATTTGGTAAAACTATTCAAGCCCTTCGAGTGTAAGAAAAACAATGCTATTTATTATATGTAGGCAGATTATTGCTTGGATAGTTGTTTGATTTCATTGAAAAGATCATAGTATTCTATTATTTTCTAATAAAAGAATAAGCATATAATCATGTTGGTTATTACTTACATTTGTGTTGTTTTTTGTTCTTTTTAATTGTTCTTGAATAGTCTCTATTTCTGTTTGCAAGACTCTTTCTTTCCTTTGAAGTTCAATTATTTTCTTTTCGAGTGCATTGTAGATGGATTTAGCACGGTTATGAGGTATAGCAACATGTTCGTATTTGCTGTATTGTTTTTGGTGTTTAGCAAGTTCATCTTTAAAAGTATTGTAGAAATCAGCAATAAGACTTCTTGAAAATGGATCCAATACATCTTCACTATCATCTCTTATGAGTCTCTGGGGGGCTTTTAATTTCTCTTCTTCTTACCGTAATGGCTCCAATATTTCTTGGGCAACACTTTTTAAGCCTTGAATATGTAAAATTGACAGTTTTACTCTTCGATTGATAGGTACTTGGGATTTCTGTGTTCTTTTTTTGATGTCTTCAACATGCTCTAAGAATTCAGCTGTTTGTTCCAATGATATTTCTTCTTCAACATCTTGTATATCCATATCAACATCACCATCACCATCACCACCATAGTCACCATCATCCTCAAAAAAGAAGGAATCGTCTACCTGCATCTGTTCTGGTTCTTGTCTATTTTCTACAGTCATTTCTTTTTCATGAGAGCCAGTTTTCTCAACAGATGGTTGTTTATTGACAGAAGGAGATCCATAGACTGATTTGGAAGAAGATTGAGAAGATGCTCTTGAATGAGTCTTGTCAAGGTCTTTACCCACAGCTGGACTTGCTATAGGAGATCTATGAGAAGCAACACTTGCTGGTCTAGTTACAGAAGGTGGTTTGTGGGGGGAACTTGTACCTGCTGATCTGGTTACAGAGGGTGGTTTCGGAGGTGACTCGATGTCTTCCCGCAAGACTGTAGAAAGTGATTTGTGAGGTGATTCAGCACTTTCTAGCATGGTTCCAGAGGGTGATTTATGGGGTGATTCAATATCTCCTAGTTTGGTTACAGAGGGTGATTCATGTCGGGACCTTGCGCCTTCTGATATGACTGTGGATGGTGATCTATGAAAGGTAGCACTTGCTGGTCTGCTTACAGAGGGAGATTTGTGCGGAGATCCTGTGCCTTCTGATCTGGTTACAGAAGGTGGTTTGTGGGGGGATCCTGTGCCTTCTGGCCTAGCGACAAAAGGCGATTCATGCCGAGACCTTATGCCTTCTGATCTGGGTACAGAGGGAGATTTGTACAGAGATTCTGCGCCTTCTGATCTAGTTACAGAAGGTGATGTGTGAGGTGATTCAACGCCTTCTGGTCTAGGTGCAATGGGTGATCCATGTGGGGACCTTGCACCTTCTGATCTGCTTATTGAAGGTGGTGAGCGCGATGCAATAGTTATTGGTAAAGAAGCTGCTCGACGTGGCGATCTCAAGCCTTCAATGGATCTTGCTATAGAGGGAGATCTAAGACGCAAGATATCTGACTTTGGTGTTCCTACACGGCTAATACGAGGTGACTGAATGGGGTTTACATCAGAAGCATAGCTTATAACAGATCCAGAGCGTCGCCTCGCATTAGAAAGAGATACTTCGTCGTCTTCAAAAGGCCGTTTTCTAGGTAGCTTTTGAGGTTGATCGTCTTCCATCGTTGCTTTTCCATTGGATCTGGCAGGCGAGCTTTCACGAGAAGAACGCGAGACAGGATGGGGAGTAAATGGGGCAATATTGTGTTCAGATAAAAACTTGTTCCTGTTCTTGTCTGACGCAGTCTTGGAAGCCAGCTTTCCTCTGCTATATACGATGCTCTTTGTTGATCTGTTGCGCTTTTTTCATGAACCGAATGAGCTGGACTGGACTGCGAAGATTCTGAAGGCTGTGTATCGTTGATCTCTTGTGCCAATGTGCCTATGTTTATTGATGAGTGCTTTAGTTTTCAAATAGTATCAATACTTCTTATAATAGGCTTAAAAGGACGAACAGAATTGACATCAAAAGTACTAGAATAATAAAGTCAATATCATTAAAGAAGCACATAACCGCGTATGTCATTCAATCATCTTACGTGCCAGGCTTTCTTCTTTCAGCCAAACGACGTAAATGTCTTTCAGATAACATGTTGATAATAAAAGTAAAGAGAAAAAAAAAAGACTTTTCTCTTATTTTTTTGGCCCTATCAAATAAAATGCCTGTGTGACAAAGGAATAGTTTAACTCTTTTCTTTTCATTTCTCTATCATGTCCAATACACTAAATGATGAAGAGGATGAAAGAAGCTTCTTTGATTCTACATTGCCATCTTCTTGCCCTTCTTCCTCATTGTTGGATGAAATATGTCAATCTTATAAAGTACCAGACATCTTGGATCATCTTGTATTACTACCAGACACAAGCCAGAACTTACAGAGCAATGGCAATCGTCCTCTTCTTTCTGCTAATGCGACACATTCAGACTCTTCTTTAGCATCTCAGCAACAAACGGGAACTGTAGAAAAGTCTCGCGAGAAACTGATGTCAGAGATAGAAGAGACTATTATGCAAATGATCCATTCAATCATGGTAGGACAGCTGATTCATCTGCCGCTTCAGAGTAGAAGGTTGAGTGCGAGTCAGCCACAACAAAAGTATGTATGTGCTAACAAGCCATTGAGCTCATGGATTATATAGAAGGAGAAAGTCATTTAACAGATTAAGCTCACAAACCTATGGTAATGAAGAAGAAGGAGAAGAAGGAGAGGAAGATAGTCCAGAAGAAGACAGGAAAAGAATATTGTCTTTAAACAGCGGCAATTGTGCAAAAGCATTAGGTATCTTTTTTTTTTGTCTACACTATCTATATATTTATGCAATAATCTAGCTCGCTATATCAGTGTTCTTCAAATGATCTATGAAGCTATTTCATACAAGATTACAGTGACTAAAAGAGATATCTTTTACAGAGATGTGGTGTTGTTTGGAAAACAAGCTGTGGTAGATATTGTAGGTGATAAAGCAAATCCATGCCATCATTAATACTTTTTGTTTAGATTGTAGATGACATTTCATGCCATTACAATGTTCCAAGATCTTCTCTTAATGTGGTACGTTACACTGAACTATGCCAAATTGTTTCTGATGAGACATGTAGACTGCGGCCTCAAAAGGACTTATCTTTGGTCCAGTCAAAATCATATTAAAGAATGGCAAAGCGCTTGATTGTATGTCATTTTCTTCTCAAGAAGATACCAACTCTTTCTCGAGATTCTCTGATGAACAAGTAAATTTGAATACCATAGCATGAAGTAATAAACTGGCTTTGTTTTAGGGTACATTGATTCCGCCTATCAGCCAAGTAGCAGAAATTCAATCCAAGGCCAAATGCATGATTATAATAGAAAAAGAAGTAAGCCTATTATACGGGTAAATAGTGTCTCATTATATATATATAGGCTACATTCCGATACTTGGTCTCGATTGGATTCTGCCGTTCTTTACAACTGCAGCAAGACTGTATTCTAGTGACTGTAATCTATAAATACATATAAATACAGTTACACTTACTGTATTTGTCAATTTAGGGAAAAGGATATCCTGATTTATCAACTAGACAGCTTGTAAAGTACTTTTCTACACACTTTAGTACTAAACCTATCCTGGCTCTTATGGACAATGATCCACATGGTCTTGATATTTATGCTACTTATAAATGGGGCGCAAGAGTAAGTTGACGCATATGTGTTTATCCTCATGTCTTTTTAGGCTATGGCATTTGATGTCTTGAATTTAGCAGTAAACAATCTTGAATTGATTGGACTAAGGTGTCAAGATAGAGAAGAGTAGGTGATATATCCACCAATTCAGATACTGATATTCTCTCAAGTTTTCATATTCCTACTGAAAGTTGGATTCCTATGACAGATAGAGACAGATTGAAATGTACTGCCATGGTTCGCACTTGTAGCTTAGATGAAACACCCGGTGAAAGTCAGTTAGTTGAACGAGGCTGGAGAGACACAGTGGATATTCAGTTAACCTCTCAAGGACATCGAGAATACATGCAAGTATAGTCTATCTGCAATTATCTATTTAACCATTCTATAGCCATGAAATCTATAAGCTACTCGAGTCAGATCACAAGTGTGAACTTCAGGCGCTGAATGCTATAGGCCCATATGGTCTGAGTAACTATTTAACTAAAAAGCTCAGCAAATACTTGTCATAATGAAACATACTATAGAACAATAATTAACCTGAAACAAACAAAAAGTGTTGCTTTAAAACCATAAAAGGGAAAAGAGGATTGATTGCCCGGACGTCTTTAAGAGAAAGATGTGTGTATCATGCGTGCAAGATGCCATTCTGAAAAATGCTTGTTACATGAGTTTCCATCTTTAGATTCACTATGCATTTTGTACTACCATTTTGATCAAGAATATAGATCAAATCGTAATTGAATTATCTCTTTGACTACAAAGGAGATTCACTCTCACTCTCTGTCTTTCTCTTGTCCTTTATTTAATATACAGCGGATACGTACAATTCTGTCAACATCTCCTTCTTCTTTCTTTCCAAGATCATTAGCTGCCATATTTATAATACTTTTTATACATGATCATGCATGCTAAATGCACCTATTCTGTTGTCTTAACCAAGCCAAAAAAAAAACTCCTTCCTTCTCCTAGGACATCATGACATTACAATCCCTTTTGTCTCCTTATAGACGGCGTATTAAAAAAATGAAACTGAAAATAAAAAAAAACTCCTCCTTTTTTTAAGCTTTTTTTTTTATTACTCTTTCTTTCTTTCTTTCTTTACAGCACATTACTCTTCTTTATCGTCTTAGGAAAATGTATTCTCATCATCATTATAGTTACGATAATACGCCACGCGGAAGTGCCAATGCGCATTCACTTGGAAGACCTGCGTCAATGCCATCTCTCTATCACACATTGGCTTCACCTTCCTCTGCTACTTCGAATGAACATAACAGTAAGATTTATTTATTATCTATTTGTTAAACAAGCAAAACAATAGAAAGTCAGCATCGAGCAAGCTTGGACGGTAGTGTGTATCATGCGTCTATAGCAAATGCAAGTAACTGGCAAGAAATCAATCATAGTACTAGTTGGAATCATAATCATCCTCAAGAGAGTACTCCTCCATCATCTTTGAATACAGCCCCCGCTACAAATTCAGGTACGTAAGCCAAGAGTATAAAATTTTCATTCTAACCTTTTTACTGCAGGTAAATAAACATGTTGCATAAAAGCACTTTATTAAGAACAATATAGTCTATAATTACAATAGTAATAGCAACAATAACTATCATCATGCTTCTTCGAATAACAGCAATAATAGCAGCAATAATAACAGTTATTTGTATAACACGAACTCTGCTAGTGTACCTCAACCTCGCCATAACCTTGTTGCAAGACCCAAATTAACTACGACGTTATGGGAAGATGAAGGCACTATTTGCTACCAAGTAGATGCCAATGGTATTTGTGTAGCAAGGCGTCAGGGTAATGAACATTAAGAAAAAAAATTTGTTATTTATATATATATATATATTCTTTATGCAGATAATGACATGATCAATGGCACCAAGTTACTGAACGTAGCAGGCATGTCTCGTGGTAAGCGTGATGGAATTCTAAAAAACGAAAAAGGTCGTGTGGTAGTCAAAGTTGGAGCAATGCATTTAAAAGGCGTTTGGTAACTAAAAATACCTCCATCGTTACTCTCTCTAACCATGATTCCACAGGATCACATTTGCCAGAGCAAAATTATTGGCTGCACAATACAAAATTCAAGAAGTTTTGTATCCCTTGTTTGTAGATGATCCTGGAGTATTTCTTTATTCAACAACACTCCATAACCCCACAAACAGAATCAGTAGTTATCGATCATCTTTTGGAAATAGTTGGGATCGTCATAGCACTCATTTGAATGAGAATCCCTGTTCTCAACAACAATCAAGTAAGTTTCTTGTTCCTCCTTTTTTTTTGTTCTTCTTTAACTACCCCTATTTTAGACTATCGTAATGCAGGTTTTCAAAATTCATTGTTAAACCATAATAATGAAGACATGTTTCTGTTACCTTCTCAAGTGGATTACAATCATAAGGGAGGCCTAGTTGGCTATGGACATTCTTCTAATTATACAGATCAGAAATCACGTATCTATTTCTCTGAAGAGTTACTTGAAAAAGAAACAAACGATACTCATTTGTTTAGTAAGTATTGTATCCCATAGTTTTTGTATTGATCAGCAATAGACACCAAGACTCTATTACCAGGAACAGCAACACTTTCTTCGCCTACATCTTCAGAAGCAGGTAAATCTTCTGCGTTTCATGTATCTCCTTCGCGCCAAAGTGGAGAGTTTGAACCCAGTAATAATGAAAAAAGACAAAGTCTTGTTATGTCAACACCTCCCAAGATGACAAGTCCCCGCCATCACCCTTACATGTCGCCTGGAAAAGGTCTCAGTATTATGTCTTCTATGCAATCTTTCAGAAGCACAAATGATGCTGAATACAATGCACAAAATGACAGTAAGTTTGATTTATAAAATACAAAAAAAAAAAAAAAAAAAAAAAAAAAAAAAATACTTACTCATTTTGATAGCCTCTTCGGCTGCTGATAACAACAGACATCCATGGTAAATTACTGTTTTTCTTGTTATTTAATTTATATATACACCCTATAAACACATATACATATGTATGCACTTTAGGATTACTTTCTATATGAATATTATGAAATTTATTTAATTTTTTATATATAAAAAAAATACCTTTTCTTTTTTTGCATTTTATAATTTCATCCATTTGTTTGTCTATTATGCAGCCTAAATCTTCTTTATTTGTTTATCCAAAGTTTGTTTTTTCATTTAAACATATAGAGAGAGACTAGTAGTAATTATTCTCTCTAAACAACATCACGTGCAAGCCTGTATATAAAAAGAGTCGACTATTTCTCACCTGTATTTATCTTTCTCTCTCTCACACACCCTCCCTTTTTTCTAAAATGACTACTGGTCATCGTCCTGCTTCACCTGGTAGACCTGGCTCTTCAAGACCTGGTTCTCCAGGTGTTCATACAAAAGTAGAAGAAGATTTACATACTATGGCTGGTATTGATTATGACAAGGTCACTATCAAACACAATCCTTCTGTTGCTGTACTTTATGAAGAAGCATTGACACACGAATTGGGTACTGTCATTTCTTCCACTGGTGCTCTTTGTTCCTACTCTGGTAAAAAGACAGGCAGAAGTCCAAATGATAAGCGAATTGTAGAAGAAGATCAAACAGGTCAAGACATTTGGGTATGTTGCACTCATCTATGATCTGTCTTTAATATGTTGTATAGTGGGGTCCTGTGAATACGAAAATGAGTGAGCGCGTCTTCCTCATCAATCGTGAACGGGCTATTGATTACTTGAATACACATCCTCGTCTGTATGTGTTTGACGGTTTTGCTGGTTGGGATCCCAAGTATCGCAAGAAGATCAGAGTGATTGCCTCTAGAGCTTATCATATTCTCTTTATGCGTAACATGTTGATCAGACCTACAGAACAAGAACTTGAAGACTTTGGTACGCCTGATTTCACTATCTTTAATGCTGGTGAATTTCCTGGTACGTCAAACAATTTTTTTTTGTTTGTACATACTAACTTGAACTTCTAGCTAATCGTTATACTACTGGTATGACTTCAACCACTTCTATCTCAGTCAACTTTAAGCGTCATGAAATGGTAATCCTTGGTTCAGAATATGCAGGTGAAATGAAGAAAGGCGTAAGTCATGCTTTGTTTTGAATACCATCTTACGTTTTATGATAGGTCTTTACTGTCATGCATTATTTGATGCCCAAGGCTGGTGTTCTCTCGCTTCATTCTTCTGCTAATGAAGGGCCTGATGGGGATGTTTCTTTATTTTTCGGTTTATCAGGTTTATTGTTATGCAGCTGTATAAGTGGCGTGAGAAACTAACTTTATTTTTAGGCACTGGTAAAACCACTTTGAGTGCAGATCCAAACCGTAGTTTAATCGGCGACGATGAACACTGTTGGAGTGATACAGGCATTTTTAACATTGAAGGTGGATGTTATGCCAAATGTATTGACTTGAGTGCTGAAAAAGAACCTGAGATCTATAATGCTATTCGATTTGGTTCTGTGCTTGAAAATGTCGTATTGAATGAAGATACGCGTGAGGTTGATTATGCAGACGACTTCTTGACTGAAAATACTCGTTGTGCTTATCCGATTGGTAAGGTTATTCTCTATTTGACAGCGTATTAATCTCCTTGCTAGATTATATTCCTAATGCTAAAATTCCCTGTATGGGTGGCCATCCCAAGAATATTATCTTGTTAACATGCGATGCTTTTGGTGTCATTCCACCTGTTTCCAAACTTACACCTAGTCAAGTGATGTATCACTTTATTTCAGGTTATACAACCAAGGTCGCCGGTACTGAAGATGGTATTGTTGAACCCACACCTACATTTAGTGCTTGCTTTGGTGCTCCTTTCCTCGTCTTGCATCCTCAAAAGTATGCTACCATGTTAGCTCAAAAGATGAGTCAGCATGCAGCGGATGCATGGTTGATTAATACAGGTTGGATCTCTAATTCAGCTAAGAATGGTGGTAAACGTTGCCCTCTTAAGTACACCCGTGCTATTTTGGATGCTATCCATAGTGGCAAATTGGCTAATGCTCAATATGAGACTTATGAGATCTTTGATTTGGCTATCCCTACTGCTGTGAATGGTGTTCCTGACGAACTTCTTCATCCAAGAAAGGCTTGGCAAGGTCCTTCTGGAGAATTTGATACATCGCTCCATCATGTTGCTGAGATGTTTATCAAGAACTTCAAGACTTTCCAAGATGAAGCCAGTCCTGAGACTTGTAATGCTGGTCCTCATCTTTAATTTAGCGCGGGTAAATATCAAATATATTTATTTTCTTTGAAAAAAAATAATAATAATAAAAATAAGGGAACAATTTAAAACAAACTTTGTCCATTCACCTTGGAAGGTGTCTGCAGAGACAAGTTAACAACGAACAATGAAATAAAACTAGCTTACCATGATCTTTAAGAATTCTTCATAATTAATCAGACCATCACCATCAACATCGGCTGAGGCCATCATTTCCTCGACATCAGCATCTGTAACAGAATTACCTAAGAAAAAATAAGTGTTACGATAAAACAAATAAAAACTTACCAAACATAGCCACAGCACGTTTTAAATCATCACCATTGATTTGACCATCACCATCAGAATCTATCATTTCAAACACCTTAAGAACGCCTTCCTCAGCATTTGTTTCGTGTTGCTAGTAGAATAATGAGAACCCTACGTAAAAGCAGGAGGTGTTACCTTGGTCATTACAGCCAAAAAGTCTTCAAAATCGATCTTTCCATTTCCTTTTGCATCAGCAGCAGCAATCTAGAACACGCTTAGGAACATGATATCTTTTCTGTCTCTACCTGAGCATTGATTTCAGCATCAGTAACATCAATCTTGGCCATTTTATAGATTTGTTTTAATGTTTCTGCAGTCATGCCATTTCCTTTTGTAAGGGAATCAAACTTGGCTTGCAAGTGATTGATTTCAGCATCAGTAAGTGTTGATCCAGTCTATAGAATAAATAAATATAAATTCATTCATAGTCTCTCTTCTTTTTTTTTCTCTCCACACTTGCCATGATATATATAGAAAGGTAAATAAGAGAAAGAGAGTGGAGAAAGAATCTAGTTGAAAACACAACTTAAAAAAAAACCTCTTATGCGTCACATTATTTTAACAAACAAAATCATGTTATTTAAAAGAAATCAAAGAATTTAGATAAAAAGTAACACATATTATTGTTTCCCTTACACATCTGATAACATGATCTTAAAATAAACACGACATGATTTTCTGATTTGGTACGACACTCCCCCCCCCCTTTTCTCTCTCTCTCTCTCTCTCTCTCTTCATCGCCTTTTTAAAATGATGCATGAATTCAGTTTCATTTTAATTAAATAAAAGATAGAAAAATAAGGAGAAAAAAAAGATTTTTTTTTTTACCAGATGGGAGTACCAGAGGTAACTTCCTTAGGTTGACGAGATTCACCGGTCAAAGCATTAGCCAAAAGACCATATTCTTCTTGGAAATGCTTCTTCTTGTTACCAGTAGCAACAGAAGCAGAAGGAGCACGACCAGCATAACGAGGAGCCTTACCAGCATGGTGTTCAGTTTGAGACAAAGAGGTAGCAATACGAGGTTGAACGTGTTGCCATGCACCCATGTTCAAAGGTTCTTCTTGACACCAGACAATTTCAGCATTGGGGTACTTGTCAGCGTGTTCCTTGACTTGTTGGTAAGGGAAGGGGTTCAATTGTTCAATACGAGAGATAGCAACATCGTCAATCTTGTTTTGGTCACGGGCCTTGAGAAGGTTGTAGTAAACTTGACCACTACACAAGATGTGCTTCTTGATCTTTTCAGGAGCAACAAGGTGTTCAGGGTGTTCTTCAGGCAAGTAAAGTTGGAAGTGAGTATCACCAATCAATTCGCTCACATCAGACTTGACAAGAGGGTGACGGAGCAATGACTTAGAGAAGGGCATGATCAAAGGCTTACGGAATTGACGGCAGATTTGACGACGCAAGACATGGAAGTACTGAGAAGGAGTAGAGGCATATACAACTTGCATGTTACAGTCTTGGTGTTGTCTAGACAACTTTTCAGCAGAAGGATAAGTGTAAGGGTAGTCATCACACATTTGGAGGTAACGTTCAATTCTGGCAGAAGAGTGTTCAGGACCTTGACCATCATAACCGTGAGGAAGAGACATCACTAAACCACTACGTTGGAGCCACTTTTGTTCACCAGAGGCCAAGAATTGATCGACAATCACTTGAGCAGTGTTGGCAAAATCACCGAATTGAGCTTCCCAGACAACAAGGGAGTCAGGGTTTACAAGAGAGTAACCTAATTCAAAACCAAGGACACCATATTCAGACAAAGAAGAGTTAGAGATGGAAAGAACACCTTGTTCAGGGCTAATGTGGTTCAAGAGAGTGTGCTTGGAACCATCCTTTTGGTCATGGAGAACAGCGTGACGTTGAGAGAAAGTACCACGTTCAACGTCTTGACCAGAGATACGGACATGCTTGCCTTCAGTAAGCAGGGAACCCCAAGCCAAAGCTTCAGCAGTAGACCAATCAATGTCCTTACCAGACTTCAAAGACTTTTCACGGTTTTGAAGGATACGCTTCAAGTTACGGTGAATGTTGAAGTTGTGAGGAAGTACAGTCAAAGCATTAGCAACAGTTTGGATGGTTTCTTGGCTGATACCTGTAGGGTAGTGAGGCAAATTTTCTTCAGCCAATTCCTTGGGAGACTTGAAACCAGGCCATGAACTGGATTGCCATTCAGTAGAAGTAGGCTTGTAATCCTTGCTACGAGAGTAGCTTTCTTCAAGAACATCCCAGACACGCTTCTTGTTTTCCTTGATTTCAGCATCAGTCAAGGAACCTTCTTCCTTCAATTGAGCTTCGTACTTTTGAGCAACAGGCTTTTGCTTGGCAATGGCTTCGTACATGCGAGGTTGAGTGAACATGGGTTGATCGGTTTCGTTGTGACCGTGCTTACGGTAACAGACTAAATCAATCACAACATCCTTGTGGAAGGTTTGACGCCAGTCAGCAGCCAATTGCATGACATAGGTAACAGCTTCAGCATCATCACCATTGACATGGAAGATGGGAGCATTGATAGACTTGGCAATATCAGTACAGTAAGGAGTGGAACGACCATAACGGGGATCCGTAGTGAAACCAATTTGGTTGTTCACAACAACATGAATGGTACCACCAGTAGAGTAAGAAGGAAGATCATGGAAACCCATAGTTTCATAGACAACACCTTGACCAGCAAAGGCAGCATCACCGTGAATTAAGACAGCCATAGACTTGTCACCCTTTGCATCCTTACCGTAGAATTGAAGAGCGCGAGTCTTACCGAGAACAACAGGATCAACGGCTTCCAAGTGAGAGGGATTGGCGACCAAGGAAAGGTGGACGCGCTTACCAGAGGGAGTAGGACGAACATAGTTCATACCAAGATGGTACTTGACATCACCAGAACCTTCTTCAGAGGGTTCAAGAGCACCACTAAATTCACAGAAAATGGATTCATTGGGCTTACGAACAACGTTGGAGAGGACGTTAAGACGACCACGGTGAGGCATACCAATCACAATGGATTCAACACCAAGATCAACAGAACGATCAATCTATAGCTAAGTTAGATGTATGCCTTGGCTTTTGATCTACTTACCATAGCCTTCATACCAGGGATCAAGGTTTCACCACCTTCAAGACCAAAACGCTTTTCAGAGGGGTACTTGGAAGCAACAAAACGTTCGAAACTGTCAGACCAAGTCAAACGGTCAAAAATGACACGCTTTTCATCAGCAGTGTACTTGAAAGGCTGAGGAGTTTCGATACGTTCACGAATCCAATCACATTGAGCACGATCAGGGATATGAATATATTCAACACCAATGGAACCACCTATGAAAAGAAAAAGTAAATAAGGCTTTCCCTCTCACACTCTCACACTCACAAATTACTTACAGTAAATCTTCTTCAAATGAGCAATAATTTCACGAAGAGTGAGAGTGGCGCCAGACTTGGTGAAGGCAGGTAAAATACCGGGACCAATAGTGAATTGTCTATCGAGATCGCTATCCTTGAAACCATAGTAAGAGTATTCCAATTCAGGAGGAGTAGAAGAGTTAAGGTCAGCGTGTTGAATACCGAGAGGATCCAAGTTAGCAATGTGATGACCACGGACTTGGTAAGCTCTGGTCAAAAGTTGGATCTTCATATGGTCAATCACATCAGAACCAGAAGCACCACTTTCGCCGGGCAAGACAGGCAAACGGGCACTGGCCGAGGGAACAAGAGTAGGAGGAGGAGTATAAGCTTGACCGGGAGAAACACCATTAGCCATGTTCTTGAAGTAGACTTGCCAAGACAAGTGAACAGAGGAAGGATCTTTTAACCAAGCTTCGTACATTTCTTCAATGTAATTGGCTGAACTGCCATGTAAGAAGCCATCGTTAGTCTCGGGTGCAGCGAGCCGTGTTCGGGTAGTATGAAAAGGTGCAACTGAAGAGGAGCGATAAATAGATTGACGGGTAGCTTGAGGAATAGCCTGAACTGAGGGCTTAAGTGTACGAGACACTCTGCTGAGTGCTGATAAACGATACATTTTTTTCTCTCTATAAAAAGAAGAAAAAAAATGAAAGGGGGTGTTGTATGTTTTGATGTGGGGTAAATAATGTGCTTTTTGGAATTTATATGGGCGCACAGAAAGATTTTTGTGACGTGGCTTAAGTCACTTGCTGCCTCTACGTCATTCTTTTTTGTCGTTGTTGCCCTTTTAACATTAGAAAAAGTAGGATCAAATACTACCTTTCAATGTCTAGATATATAGTTTATAAAGGACTACATGATGAAGAGCAATACTTTTGCAAAGCAATTGAACTTTAGACAGATTTTGAAATGAAAGAAAAGAGCGTTTATTTATTGGCTGAAACATTGTCCACTGTGGAACGAAATGAACCGATAAATAGGCATATTATAATTCATATTCTTGTGTATTCTGGCTCTATGATCAGCAGTTCTGTCAAGACAAACTCCATGAAATGTTCTATACTGTCCTGGTAATAAAAGTCGGTATACGAAAATGAGCGGCTGAAAGTTTATTTTTTCGTTTATATACGGGTATCTCCCGGTTTTTAACGTGTTCTTCCGGTCGCAACAAATAAAATAAATTAGCCACCGTAGGAAAGGAGATTAAAAAAATCATGAAATGATAGAAATTTCATATTGCATGAATTTCATAAAAGTGTAATATTTTCCTACAGTAAGATAGATTACAAGTGATAGTTTATAGTCATTTACTTGCCTCTTATTCGCATAATCAGCTTGTTAATGACTTTATCCTAGCAATTCAAAACCAAACAACATTCATTACCAGCAATGCAACATCAGTTTTGATTGCTTATTAGAAGCAATTCAGTATTCCTCAATTTAAACCAATTCAGTTTTGAAATCTCGTTGGTAAAAAGGATCTTGAATAGTTCAACATCCGATGACAATAACTTTGTTTATTCAATTTGCATATCATCTGTCTTTTCAGTGGCTTCCTTAACTTCAGCATCTTCTTTTGTCTCTTTTGCTTCTTCTGCTGACTCCAAAGCATTTTCACTCTTAAGGTTATCAATCTTGTTGTCGATTAGATTATGAAGAGCAATAACAGCACGAATCATACTGGACAAGTAAATCAGTAAGAGTTGGTCGTTTGTCTTTGTGCTAAATGAGTTGACCATATCTTGATTCTCGAGATTAGGCAACAAATTGAAAATATCTTGCAAGTTATAGATAATTTGATGGTTGACAGGTAATTTGCCACTCACGACCTTCTGTAAATAATCACGAATTTCCTCTAATCTACCTTGTAATCCACCCAAAGAACCCAATTGAGAATTAATACGAGTAGATAGAGTACCAACTGCATTGTCCTTAATGTCTCTCAATAAGTGCTCTACACCGATTTCTTCAGCTTCTTCTGCAACAATTTCTGAAGGAACATGCATGAATGTCTTTGTTGTAGATGTACCGTCCTGTTTGATAGGTTAATATGATTATCTTTTGTAGATCTATACATACATCCTTAATTTCTTCAATAGCAAAATAAGCATCAGTAGGAATTTCAGCATCATTAGGCTTGACATCAATAATAACAAGCACAGGGTTAGGTGTATATCTCTTAAAAAGCTCATTGATTTCTAAATCAGAAGAACGAAGCTTGGGTCCGCTATGATACCAACCAATCAACTTTTCCTTTGCTATAGACACAGAGTATTAGAGATGCTACAATAAGCATAACATGGTTTGTGTAGCTTACCATTTACTTTTTTAAACATGTCATTCATGGCTTCAACATAGTTATGATCCAAGAACCAAACAGAAGGATCTTTTTCATCTTCTTCAAAGGGAACTATACAAGACCATGTAAGATCATCACGTCATTATCTATTGATATTTACCAGCAAAACTGTTGGAAACATTCACAACTTTTCCCTTGTTTTGACCAAGCAAGACACCAATGACACGCTTCTTGGTATCTTTGGCAACACGATTATAGTGATCAGTGGCTGAAAGCAACACAAGGGGATGAACGTGTGCTGTAACTGAAGGTTGAACTGTGGTGGTGGCAGGCATCCTGTATATGTATGTTATGTGTATTGAAGAAGAACAGAGGGAGAAGGAAAGGCACTTATTACGCGTTCGTCGGTCATTCAATCCGACTCTTTGTTTGTGACATCATTCATCCTTTCAGGATCACGTGATGCAATTCATATCATGCTGCAGTCGTTGACTACTCAAGGAGTAGAAACCAAATTGAAAGAAAAATACAGAAAGAGAAAGCTTATGACAAGTATAAAGCTACTAAACTTGTGATAGACACAGTCGAGAAAGAACATCTAAGTATCAAAAAAAGCAACAAACATAATTTATTGACATATATTAGAATAAAAATCGGTGAATTGCAAGGAGAGTCTTAGCTCTTTGACTGAGAGCGTCTTTGATTTAATTTGAATTTTGCATGAAAGTATGCCGATGCAATATGGAAAATTATATGTCACTCTCCCGATTGCCTTTTTTGGATTTTCCATCACCCCACTGAACACCGGTTTTTGCATTCAAAATATAGAAAATGTCCCTTGTTCTTCCAGCCTTTTCTCATTTGTGTTAACCTATTTCATTTCCCCAAAAAAAGTTGAGATGAGGCTTCTCTGCTTGAATCTATAATTATTTAAGTACTTTTCAGCTTTCTGTTGCTTAATAAATAACCCTTCATCTACGTCAAGGAACTTGGCGTATATCAACAAAAATTGGGCTTTTAATTTTAAGATGCGGTTATTGGGCTTCAGTGTAGTGACAAAAGTTGTAGATTTTTGCGTTCTGAGTCTGCTAATATAGGGAACATAACTATGTTGCTGCTAAAATATTGAACAAATAGGCAGAAATATTTGAGAGGTTTTTTGCTCTTACCATATCATTTTCATAGTATAGCTGTTAAGCAAACGCATTGAAAAAAGACCAGAGCCTCTGGCGCACATTTTGAGTATTCAAGCTTGTCGATAGCTCCATTTTTCGTCTTATAGCGTCCAAAAGAAGATCAGAAGTTGTTAAACAAGCTTTTTTCATGACTAATAACCTTTGGTCGAATGGTCGTTTTGGCCGATTTTTAAAAATCGTTTTTTTTTTGTCTAAATCAACTCCAAATGTACCTTATATGTTAGTAAACATAATCTGTGGGTATTTCGAACATCTCTGTGTGTATAAACAGAGTTTATGCTCGTACTGTATAACTATACAATCTCATGTATGCATCGGTTCTTTTGATGTTTTCTATCCTGCTGTTAGTTAAAATGATGCATCAAAAGGATTGCATACTTCTCTGATAGAGAAGCTGCTTCTATTTCAACAGTTACAAGGTTTCTTTTTTTGTATGATTTAATAAAGTTAAGGACACTTGACAGCCGAAAAGTATTAATTCATTATACGTATACCTCATGAGAAACGCTATATCTTGTTTCAACTCTAGTTAAATCACTGTGTTTCTAGACCATTGAGATTACAAATGGTGTGTAGGATATGCAGCTGCTGTATTAGTTGAGAAACTTTAAGTGACTTTCTTGCACTTGGCATGTGTTTAGTCTCTGATCCTTCAATCGATATATGGCTAATTCGTTATTTATTTTTTGTTCTATAAAATTGCTTATAGTGTCACAGCTGATGGAATGCATCAGCAAATAATAGCATACTGTCTACTTACGTTGCCGTATTAATTGAAGTTCCTCTAAATAGTATTTTGATTGCCTAAGAACAACCTCTGATTGCGCTCGCTATTTTATAACTCGTATCACCAATAAGCAATCAACATGATACTTGCATTGATTTTGTCCGCTATTTATCCGGATCGGCAATTCGCAGCAACTTTATTGGAAGCTGTTTTACGGAACAAGTCATCATGATGAATGGTTTGCAAACTCGAGTTATGAAATAGAGTTTAGCCTGTAGACTTCATTTTTAATCAAGAAAAGCAAAGTCTTACATGTTCATCAATAACATTTCAAGAATTTTATATGAAGAGAAGAATCTGATAAGTTTGTTGAAAGGGCGCGCTATACTCGGTGAAGAGAGCGCGGAGAAATCGGCTATAGAAATCTAATTTGAATATATAAAAGCGTCTGATCTGCTTTGTTTCTGCTTTCTTGTTGCATCATAATGAATTGGAAGACTATTTTAAAGTCAAGACTGTTGATTAAGCCACCAGTTGAATCAGATCCTCGACTTCTAAGCAATAAAGCCAAAGGGTTTGTTCTGGTATGCTTAGCTTTATGTGCTAGTACACCAGGCTTCTCTAGTACAATCTATTTTCCAGGTACTTGTGTAGAATCAAACACAACATCATACTTATGCGTACAAATAAATAGGCTTACCAGATATTACTGCTGATCTACATGCACCTTCAATGGCAACTACATTAACAGCTGCACTGTTTGTTTTGTTTATGGGTATTGCACCTGTATTTTGGGCGGCCTTATCTGATTTCTATCAAATTCGTCGCTTTTTATTCATGTGCTCCATGATAATCTTTGCTGCTGCCTCTATTGGTTCTGCTTTTATGAATAACATTTGGGGTCTTGTTGTACTTCGATGTTTACAATCTGTAGGCGCTTCTTGTGGCCAATCTGTTGGTGCAGGTGTTGTTGCAGTGAGTATTCCTTTTATCTAAGAAGAATATCAATTAACTCTATTTTATTTTGCAGGATATCTATCCTATTGAACAAAGAGGTGCTGCTTTTGGAAAATACTTTTTTGGTGTATTTATTGGCCCATTATTGGGCCCCATCATTGGTGGTTTCTTGATCATGAGCGACCTTACATGGCGAGCTACTTTTTGGTTTTGTTTTGCTTTTGCTCTTTTCAATCTTGCTGTCATCTTTTTGTTTTATCCAGAGACATATCGCAACAATGAAAAGTATGACTTGGAACTCCCTATGGATAATGACAACACATCATCTGCTAGTAGTGAAACATTAGATCCAGTGGCACCAGAAAAAAATGCTGAAAACGATACAGTGATGAAGTCAGCCATCAACAAGCGCATTAATCCCATCGCTCCTTTTCTTTTGCTTCGTCATCCTTTTGTCTTTTTAGCTTCGTTCGTTTCAGCTGTTGCTTTCGGTAGCATGTTTGCTGTTGAAACAATCATTCCTGACTTGTATGAGACCAAATATGGATTCAATTCATGGCAAACAGGTAGAGTAAATACATGATTTAACAGAGGAATATTGACACCTTGATAGGCCTAAGTTATCTCGGCGCTGGTGTCGGGAACATGTGTGGTGCTTTTGTTTGTAGCATGCTATCAGATCGACTCTTATTAAGATCACGTCGTCTTCGTGGGGGTGCTTCTGTTGTAGAAGACCGTTTGACAGCTAATTTATGGCCTGCTTGTTTTATTGTTATTCCCTTTGGTCTACTGTTGTTTGGTTGGACCATTGAAAAGGGAATGAGTTTTTGGGCACCTATTATTGGGTTCGGTATCCAGAATTTTGGCATGAATCAGATTATGACTTCTACTTCTGCTTATATTGTAGATGCTATGCCTGGTAATGGTGCGTCTGCTACAGCTGCTGCTAATCTTGTACGTATGGTGCTTGCCTGTATTCTAACTCTTGTGGCAAACCCCTTAGTCGCTGCTATTGGTGCTGGATGGACATGTGTCTTTTTGGCAGGATTGACTTATGTGTCTTGCATTTGTCTAGTTATTCTCAAACTGAAAGGTCCTGCTATGCGAACCTACAGTGGTTATGGCGATAAACGTTAATTATAATTTGTATTTACATACATACATACACATATATATATTACTGCATTGATGGCATAGTCTTAGATTTTATTACACTTTTTATTTTTCTTTTCTTTTCAAAATGCTATAATACAAGAAACTCTATAGTTTACAAAATTATTTTCTAATTTCAGCAGAAACTTGTTGAACAGTTTCCAAATAGACCTTCAAGGCTTCAGGATCAACGGTGGGTAAAATACCATGACCCAAGTTGACAATATGCTTAGAATCCTTACCAAATGCATGAATCATACGTGTAGCAATTTCACGAATAGCATCAAAACCACCATACAAAGCAGTGGGATCCATGTTGCCTTGAAGAGCAACTTTATCGCTTGTCATTTGACGAGCATAAGCAGGATCAATTGTCCAGTCGAGAGAGACAACCTCATAATTAGATTCAGATAGATCAGAAAGAGCGTACCAAGAACCTTTAGCAAAGACTGTCATGGGCACAGCATCTAATCCTTCTTTAGCCAAACGTTCTTTGACCTTGGTTGAGATTTGTCGAATATAAGGAAGAGAATATTCTTTAAAATCATAAGGAGAAAGTTCACCTCCCCAAGACTCAAATACTTGGAGCATCTAAATATAGGTTAGCATCATATTCAAATCATTTCCCTCCTGAATCTTACCTGAGCACCAGCTCTTACTTGACCAACCAAGAATTCAATGGCAATGTCTGTAATGCGCTGTAATAAAGCATGGGATTCTTTAGGATACTTCCATAACCAACTCTTTGCCTTGGCCAATGTTTTGCTTCCACCGCCTTCAATCATATAAGCCATCAAAGTCCATGGAGCACCAACGAAACCAAACAAGGGCACACGACCTTCGAGCTTATGACGTGTCAATGTGATGGCTTGGTAAACATACCCCAATTCTTTGTCTACATCAACGTTCTCAGTCAAACGAGAGAAATCCTCGGGCGTTTCAAGAGGAGCAGTGAATACAGGTCCCTTGCCGGCAACCATTAATACTTCAAGACCCATAGCTTGAGGAATCACTAGAATATCAGAGAAAATGATGGAGGCATCGAGGAGACTGCCATAACGACGAATAGGTTGAAGGGTTAGTTCACAAGCAAGTTCTGGAGTACGACAGACTTCGAAAAAGCTATGTTCCTTTCTTATTTCATGAAATTCTACACAAGTCAGACTGTTTTCTTTATGACAAAAGTGACTTACCAGGTAAGTAACGACCAGCTTGTCTCATGATCCAGACAGGAGCGCGCTCAACCTTCTCGCCTATATACATAAAAAGGAGGTTATGACACGTTAGTGATCAATAATACTCTACCTCGAGAAACGCGAAGAATAAGGTCGTTTTGAAGTGTGGGGAAGTTTTCAGCCTTGTAAGTAGACATATGTCGAGTTGAGAAAAGAAAAGAGAAAAAAATGGTAATACCCTTTCCTTTCCTTTCGCTCCTCTCAGCCAATCAAATATTCAGCGCTGAAAAAAAAGGAAGTTCTTCCTTATGGCTAAAGTAATCCCGAGTTAGTACAAAACTTTGTTTGCTTGTCAATCTCATAATTGCACGATCTGGTCTTATTAAATAAACAAACTAAAAGTTGATTGATCAAATTAAAAACTATATGTCCACGCAATTTCCTTCTCTCTTTCTTTAATTCGAAAATGAAATCAATTTTGACAGCCTCTGTTCTTCTGGTCTATTTCTTACAAGCAGGTCTTGCGAATCCAATAAACTATTGGGACAATGATTTTTCATATACACATGAGCTCATACAAGAGTCCAAGGTATCTATGGCTGCTAATACTGCTGATTTCCAAGCATCCTTTCATGTCTTAAGCTGGGACGAAGCGTACGAAAAGGCAAAAATAATGGTCCAAGCCATGACATTAGAACAAAAAGTCAATATTACTACTGGTATCGGATGGGAAAGTGGACCATGCGTAGGTAATACAGGAAGAACCACAGGTCCCGATTTCCCCGAACTATGTTTACAAGATTCACCTTTGGGTATTCGATTCACTGATGGTGTTAGCTCTGGTGTATCTGGTATTAATGCAGCTGCTTCCTTTGATCGTGAAGCCATTCGAAAACGAGGTGAATATATGGCAAAGGAATTCCGAGCTAAAGGTATTCATGCTCAATTGGGGCCTTCAATGAATATGTTGAGAGCACCGGCTGGTGGTCGTAATTGGGAAGCCTTTGGAGAAGATCCTTTCTTAGTTGGTGTAGCTGCATCAGAAACTATTCAAGGCATCCAAAGCCAAGGTGTGGTAAGTAAAAAAGATGTTTGCATGTTCAAAAGCAACTAATTCCAGTCTAGATGGCAGTAGCAAAGCACTTGATAGGAAATGAACAGGAAACAAATCGTCTAGTGGTAAACAAGATGATGTACATGTCTTCCCTTTACTTATTTTTTCTAAAAAGCATTCGGTTGATATTGATGAAAGAACAATTCAAGAAGTGTATTTGTGGCCATTTGCAAGATCTGTAGAAGCGGGCGTAGCCTCTGTCATGTGCGCTTACAACAAAATCAACGGTGTCTATGCTTGTGAAAATGAACATGTACTGAACAATCTCTTAAAAAAACAACTAGGATTCAAAGGATTCATCCAAAGCGATTGGTCTGCTACTCATTCTACCGAAGATAGTGCTAATCATGGATTAGATATGACCATGCCAGGTAAAATTTTTCTCTATTGCATTTATTGTTCCAACTACTTGACTAGGCGACATTACCTTCCATTCGGGAGATTCATATTTCGGTGCTAATTTGACAAGAGCTGTAAAGAATGGAAAAGTGAGTGAAGATAGAGTGACCGATATGGCAATGAGAATAGTCGCTTCTTGGTACAAGGTAAATATTTTTTTTCACGATTATTATATTGACCTGTTATTAGCTAGGACAAGATCAGGTAATTCAGAATACAGATGTGGCTGTTATTAATACTTGCAAATATACAGAACTTTCCCGAAACAAACTTTGATAGCTTTAGACCTGAAAAAGGAAAGCATATTGATGTCCAAGAAGACCACAAAGTATTAATCCGAGAAATGGGTGCTATGTCTACTGTCTTGCTAAAAAATCAAGAAAATATCCTGCCTTTAAGCACAACAAGTACACGAAAACTAGCCATCATTGGTTCAGATGCAGGTCCTAGTCTAAGGTAGTTGCTTGGTTCATACTCTTTTCTTTTATTGAATTTTTATGTAGAAAGTTGAATTGTGAAGATCATGGATGTAATGATGGGTCATTAGCCCAAGGCTGGGGATCTGGCACAGCTAACTTTCCTTATTTGGTGACGGTAAGATCATAGGGTTTAAGCCTTATTGTTCATGTTTTTTCTTTCCCTATAGCCTGCAGATGGTATTAAACAGAGAGCCGGAAACAAGATGATCATCAAAGAACATTTAAATGATAAAGACATTACGACAGCTTCACAAATAGCTTCCGAGGCTGATATTGCTATTGTGTTTGTCTCCGCTAATTCTGGAGAAGAGTTTATTACTGTAGAAGGTCATAAAGGTGATCGATTCCATTTGAATCTTTGGAACGCAGGCGATGATTTGGTAAGAATGTAAAAAAAAGGAAAAGAGGTCTCATTTTATCTAGATTAAAGCTGTCGCAGATGTAAACAAGAACACAATTGTTGTAATTCACTCTGTAGGTCCAGTTCATATGCCATGGATTGACCATCCCAATATCAAAGCACTGGTATGGCCCGGCCTTCCTGGTCAAGAGTCTGGCAATTCATTAGCAGATGTTTTGTTTGGTGATGTAAATCCGTCGGGGCGTCTTCCATATACAATTGCAAAGGACATCAAAGACTATCCTGCTGAAATTTCAAATGAAATGAATGTAAGTATAGTGAAAAAAAAAATTGATCTATTGATCTCTTGTTCTCTATAGTTTTCTTACAAAGAAGGCCTTTATATTGGCTATCGCTGGTTTGATCAAAAGAAAAAAGATCCACTCTTTGAATTTGGTCATGGTCTCTCTTACACCAAATTTGAATATGAAAATATGGCAGTGGATGTACAAGGTGATTCAAACGATCCAACTGTAGCTATCAGTGTCACCGTCAAAAATGTAGGAGGATTTGACGGTGCAGAAGTCTCTCAACTTTATCTCTCTTATCCCAAGGTTGCTAATGAACCACCTCAACTTCTTCGTGGTTTTGAAAAAGTATTCATATCAAAAAAATCTGAACAAACAGTCAAGTTTATGCTCCAAAGAACCGAATTAAGTTATTACGACTTAGATGCTCATGCTTGGGTAGTACCTAAAGGAGAGTTCATTGCACACATTGGTGCTAGTAGTAGAGACATAAAGCATTCATCATCATTTATTTTGAATTAAACATATTTATTTGAAGAGAGGGTATGAATAAAGAAAGAAAAAAAGGGTATCTAAACTTTTCTTTTATAGTCTTTTTGAAAAAGTGGCAATAAAATCAACCATACCCGGTTTAAGCTTTTCTGCTTGAGTTAAAACGATAGTAAAATCAGACATGTTGTACAGAGCTAAGGCATTCATTAACCTTGTTACTAAATCATTATCAGATGGCTGAATAATAATGACAGTGCTGTAGAATGTTAAATAGGCATGCATGATATGTACAAACAACTTACGTTTCATCTTCTACAAACTTGATCATAGCAAGAGCCCGTTTAACTAGACATCGCTTCCATTGCCTTATATAAGACTCTCTCATTCTGACTGGTATTCGACGCATTTCATCTATCAATGTTTGAACCATGGGTGCTATACAATCTGTCTTTTCAAACACGCTTGTGCGTTTACTGTAAAACATGAGCGATACAAAAATATATATCTTGAGTTTACCTCCAATCGTTCAAATGACTTTTTTCGCTTGTAAAAGGAACAAGGTTTTCTTCAAGTTTTGATGAAAAGGCATGGTACTGTAACTTGAGTTGCTGATATTGTTTATAAAGAGGTGTTTTTCTAACAATCAAGCGTGTCATGTCTACAAATGTTGTGGGTTCAATAGAGTCCAATACAGCCAGCTCTATCCTTGTTTCCATCTCTTCTACATCCTTATTGGATCATTAGTATTACATAGATCCATCTTGTACATACTTGTATTAAAAGTCCTTGGAGATACAAGTCGGGCATATAATGATGATGCTTTCTTGCATGGCTTGATCTGCTCCTTTCTTTGACTGACAAGAACAACGCTAATGTGTTGATGACCTACCATGAACATTAGTGGATAGCCATTAACAACAACTGAACTTGCCATATTCATGCTTGTCAAAGCATTACCCACTAAAAGTGTAGATCCGGAGGTCTGTAAATGAGATGTAATGACTCTATACAAAATATATAAATATGGGTTGCACAATCATCTCAAACTTTATGTATTTTACAAACTTGGCAATAAATGGAGAATCCAACATTTGTCTCGACTCGTCACTCAAGATAGTATGGCTCGTCTATCAACATATAAACGATGCTGTTCTCCTATAGAAGTCATCTTACCTTGACACAATCTAAAGGCAATGATACAGATTCTAAATCCATTACTGACTTTACAAAAGGCGCTAGTTTTTCTACAGTAAAATAATTTAATGCGGTATCCCAAGTCTATAAGATAAGATTAGGTATCTCGATAAGTACAGTATCTCATCTTACGATGGAATGACGTTTAAAGACCTTGCGTAACTTGAGTAATGGTTCAACAAGCTGAGCAGGGATGCGCCCACACAACACATTAAAGTATTGAGAGAAGTTTCGCAAATAACGTACAGGCACAACAAAAACAAAGGCACATAAAGACTCGAGTGTCGGATCATGAAATAAGAAGGCTGTACAGATAATAGCCTGGCGATGCAACACGATCCATTTGGGTTCTACACCTTTGAGAGTACGGCCCATTTCTCCATTCAACACTTGTCTTCCAATCATCATCTGAAGTTTTTCTTCTACTGGTTCAACAGACCATACCTTTTCTACTTTGGGTCCCATCAAATTAGACCATTGGATCAAGAGTGCTGCTGAAAAAAAAGAGGATTCAAACAGTGGTGATCCTTTCTTACTAAATTTTTTGCTTTGGACTAATCTATAGTCAATACGCTTTTTTTCTTCTTTTTTTGACTTACCACTTGTTGCATCTTGAAGGGCTACAATGGCTTCTGAAGGTACTTTTAAAGCAGGGGGAGGTAAGACAAGTTCACCAGAAATAGTACCATCTATAATTTGTGGGGAGGGAAGCGGAGAAGTCAAGTTGGAGTGAGCCTCAAACGCGGGTGAGCGGATATGGTGGTGGTGATGACGATGAGACTGTTTTCTTTGTATATCATTTTCTTCTTCTTCTATTGCTGGTATTATGGGTGTTGTTACAATGGGAGAATGATCAATATCAGAACTTCCAACAGCTGACGTAGTTATCTCTAGTGCCTGAATAGCTGTTGTAGAGGCAGTTGCCTTAGACTTGGATAGACGAGTACGTTGAGGTGGCTGGTCAGTCATAGGTAGGTAGAAAGAAGAAAGAAAAGAAAAAAGAGGAAAAAGGAAAAAGGAAAAAGGAAAAAACTCAAACTCTTATTCAACACATAGTCACAAGCCATTGTTCTCGCATTGTGTTACTTGATCAGTTTATTCTCCCTTTAATTCTTTAAAGCTATCTGATGCTTCATCATAACACCAACTTGTCAACTCAACACCATAAGGCTTTGGTCTTACTTCATAAACACTAAAAAACAAAGTTAAGAGATAGAGAATGGTATATTTAACTTACGTGTGAATGGGTACTAGCATATGTGGCATTTGTGTCTGAGACCATTCAAGTAAATAACCCAGCAAGATACGCAAGACCACTCTATGTGTTACAATCAAACACGACTGGTTCATGCGTTCCAGCTCAATAATCATAGACTGAAGTCGATGAATAACATCAATATAAGATTCTCCCCCCATACCAGGATAACGATAATAAAGCTTGTTATCTTGACGTGCTTGAAATTCAGTAGGATATTGTGATTTGATTTCTTCATAAGTCATTCCCTCTCTACTCTATTACAAGGTAAATAAACACATCGTCTATCTTTATTTACTTACACCCGAGTTGATTTCGTTTAAGAATCGAATATGCTAACATGGAATAAGTTGACATGATAGAACTCCTAAAAAAAGTCTTACCTTGATATCATATTCATCTGGATCAAAATAGGCTGCAGTTTCCATGGACCTTTTCAACATACTTGTCCAAATGGTAAACTGAGAATCGTTAATTGCTCTTGCTCTTTCTCTCACTTTATACTCTTCTTCTTCTGTTGTTGATTCTTCACTCTCATCGTCCGAATCCTTAGTAGGGTTTTTTGATTCTTGTTCTTCTTGAATCTTTCTTCTTGCTAAATCCAAAGCAAAAGCAACACGTCTTTCTTTAACAAATTTAGCCAGAGCTTTTGAGAACTTCTTTCCCTTTTCTGACAGCTACAATGTATAAGTACAACAATACGCTGTAATGTGCCCTCTTACCTGAGCATCTCCACCAATACGACCTGTTAGATTATCTTCACTTTCACCATGACGTGTGACAAAAATTTGACGCTCTCTTCAAGAGTTAGTTTTTTTCTAAGATAGGAAAGTATCAACAAACAAACCTGCCAAGTTGAAATTCATCAGATAGAAAATACATTGACCAGATAGGTATCCCGAGATATTGTGAGCAATGATCTTTTTGCCTACATTCACTAATTTACAGTATTGAATATCATTGTCTTCTTCCCAGTCTCCAACAGGCTCATAGGCCTTTTCATAATTGGCTACACGGTGCCTGAAATCAGATAAGGCAATAGCCGGATCTTTGTCCTTGTAATCAGGACCAGATAGTTTGAGTCTGAAATTACGTTCAAGTACCTATATCGTAAATAATACTGCAGATAAATATATACATTTATATGGCTTACTTTTTTATCTGTGCAGACAGATTCTAAAATCAGTACTTTGAATTCAGGTTCATTTTGTAAACGTTCAATCAATAGTTTTCTATACATATTTACTTTTTCAGAATTCTTGACTTTATCCCTTACCTTCTTTGAATGGTCGAGTTTGTTGCGTCATGAATAGCAACACGTCCACCTGATCTAAGCCAATCAACAAGCTGGTCTAATACCATTGTTGCCAGCTCATCACGTATTTTGCTTCCATCTTTATTGTCTGGGTCAAAGAAACTGGCCGATTGATCATGTTGCTGAGAATTCTCATTGACACGACGCAAATTGCCTACATTAAATACCTTCAAATGTTATGATACACCTATAAATCATCACTGCTTACTTTTGTCTCGTATTGAAGCCAATTCAGATATCTTCTCAATTTCTTGACAATGTAACTTTTACCTCTTGCTGGCAATCCAACTAAAATTATAATATGAATTGAACCATATATTAACCCCCAAAGTACTTTACCCATAATTACCACCAGTTTACTATCAATCTGTCGCTCAGTTCGAAGTCCTATATAAAGTCAGACACATCTTTATTTATGCAACAAGATACTTTACGAGGCGTAATAATGGTATGAACAGCACCAGGTACATCAAAACCAATACTATGTCTATTTGCTAATAAGCCACTTTCCATAAGCTTAGATCTTGTCAAAGGTGTTTTGTTGTGTGTCTTGTTATCACCATGGTTCGTTGTTAATGAATTCGTGGGTGATAAAGTAAGAGCGCTTTCGGGCTCATCTGTTACTTGAAAAGAAGGAAGATCAATAGACAACCGAGCTAGTCCTTCTGCTTCCAAGTCTTTGTCAGTCTTGAGAACAGGAAGCGTTTTATTTCTTTTCTTATAGTCAGACTGCATACGAATAAACAAGAAAAAAAAGGAAAAAAAAAAGAGAAAGCATGGAAAGAAATTGCAAAATATGTATTCAGAAAGCATTGTGTCACTCTAATCCTTCTCCTTTCCCCCGAAATGTCAAGGACATGTTTTATCAGATCAAAAAAAACCCGTATTTATTTACATTAGAGAGCCAGTGCCTCACTTCGCTTTAAGACACCTTTAACTTGTGACATAAAATATACACTCACAAACATAGCCAATGTTAAGCAAAGCATGGGTAATCGCATTGGAAATTCGATATCTAGATTCTCGCTCCAGCCCATGACAGCAACCAGAAATACACCACCCATGTTGCCTACAGTAAACAGGTATCCAGTAGGGATAATTTCATTCACTGGATAAAATAGTTCACTCGCAAACTGGAAAAAAGCTGGTGAAATGGCTATAGAGAATATTAGCCCATGTTGAGCAAAATATCTTTTTTTTTTTTTTTTTTTTTTTTACCATAAGACGCTACACCAAAACAAAGACAAGACAAAATGACGCCTGTCACATATCGAATCTCACATGAGATATAGAGTCCCAAAGTGCTTATAGCTGTAACAGCTGACAATAAGGTACATACTTTGCTATATTGAGACGTTCTATCAAGATAATAACCACCCAAAATGCTTGCAGGAACACCGACAAACAGCATAAAAGCACCTAGTAAGCCAACAGAGTTTTCATTCATGTTTGATTTGAATGGTGGTATTAATATCTGGGCAAGTAAAGTGATGACTGCACATTGAGCACCCATAATAATACTATAAGCAATTAACATATAAATAAATCGCTTTTCTTTCCCTAAGCGTAATGACTGTTGATCAACTGAACTAACTTCTTTGATCATGCTATTATTTTTTCCTTTAGTATCTCCTTGGCTTTACTTTATTTTTTACCTTCGCCAATAGGGTGGTGATCTTTGAAAAGCATATTGAATGAACCCAAGGACAATAAGACACATCATAAACTAGGCTTGATGAATTGAAAATCAAAAGGAGTCAATCATCTTTACCTGAAAAAACAACAAGGTAGGCACGTCCTTTTTTTGTGTAGCCTGTTTTACCATCAAGGGAGTTAAGGCACATCCTGCTGCAACACCTAGATTGTTAGCAGAGACAGCGATCGAAGTAGCTAAATTAATTTCATTTTTAGGAAACCATGCGACTGCCAATTGGGGTGGAATGGCTAGCATAAATACTTGAGCGATAGCAGCCATTGTTTGACCTAGAAATAGCACACAAAATCCATAGACGGAAGGAACAGCACCTAACCAACGAACAGCACTCCCTATCACATTCAATACAGCACCAATAAGAATACCACGTCGAAGACCGTTGCCAGGTGATCCCATAGCACGATCTTCAAAGTATTTAAAGGTAAACTGGATCGCAAAAGGATAGACAAGCATATACACGGACGATAAAGAGTTGATAGCGTTGATACCAGTGCTTGTACTTTTAAAATAATATTCAGCAAATATATAGACACATGGTGCAAATGTGATCCACCTATTGATATAGTCAGCATAAAATGCAATAAGAAAAATAAAAGGGATTTTTACAAACATTAAGGCACTCGAAAATGAAAAAAACGAGAAAGCTAAAAGAACAAGCCATCGCCAGTGATTCTTTTGGCGTGGTCTAAGAAGGGGGTTACGTTCACCAGAGTTGGTTGGCATGCTAAAGAAAATAATAAAAAAAGGGCACATCTGCTTTTTTTTTTATGAAGTAATTTGAAAGTCAGGAAAGTCTTTTTAGGTAAGCATCATGCGAAAGATATCTTGATTTTACATCTTCTTTTTAGTAATAGAGAATAATTAAGGAGAAAAGGAACAATAGAAAAGAGAGTTTAGTGTTGATTACTATGAGCACTTGTCTTTTGTGGCATAGGCATAGGATCATTTTCAGTTGTCAAAGCAACAGCAATAGCAGTAATGACAGTAGCCAAAAACAGGCTAAAGACGACGATATGAACAAGCATTTGCTATTCAGTGACATGAGTAACGTTTATAGTTAATGATTAGTCCTCACCCTTCCGTATTTGACAACTTGTTGATCTAAAATAGGAGTCAAATCCCTTTTCTCTTCTTTACTATTGCTTTCTAGATCATCGGATGCTTCCACTCGTCCCTTAAACCACCGACTGGCTCGTTTGTTATCGTTCTTACTGCTTGCAAAATACTGTGCGCAAATAAAATCAGGCACTTGTCTCCTTTTGAATAGACATCGAACCAAACAAAAGCCAGTGCGTCCACAGAGGATCATGGAAACGAAAGTAAATATTAGAGCAAACACAAACAGACGTGTCCAACGAGACATATGCATAGCAAATGTGTTAAACAAGACCATGGGTAAAAGGGACAGGTTGAGGCAACCCATCGTGAGTTCAGCAACTACAAATCCATAGCGTACATTCTGGACACCAACATGAATAAAATTCTTGAAGCTAGTCTCTCTCATAAACTTGTATGTTTGATGATAAGCAGGTTCAAATACATCAGGATGTGTTGTCTTAGCAGCAGCGCAAAGTGTATAGCTCAAGACAGAGGGGTCCAAAAAGAGTTCCTTGAGAGAATCTCCTTTATGAAAAAAAGTCTTAAGAGTGGCATCAATTTCAGTTCGAAAGGGTTGATAGTCTTTTCTGTCAGATGAGTTTGGTTCCTTGTCAAAATCAGGCCTGAAAGGCTCTTCTGGAGGAGGTGATTTTGCTTTTTTGATGTCAGGCAATGCTTCAAATCTACGCTTGTAATCTTGATACCAGTAATGGAATTCAAGGTTCTCAGCTGTATGTTCTTTGTTTTGAAGATAAAGCCGGAAATCATAAAGAGAAATTGGCTGCTTGGTTACACCATTTAAAACGTGCTCTAATGAAATATGAACAATAAACCCCAAACTATAGACTAGTTTACCTAATTCAAGTCCTTTAAGTTCAGCTCTTTGACCCTTAAAGAACCATCTTTTGAAAGAAGTAGAAAAATCTTTACAGAATCGATAAGGATAATTGGGTGCGTCTAAATTGGATTCAGTCATGATTCAACAAAAAAACAAAAGAAACATGAGAAAAAGGGAAGAGTTTTCTTTTAAGAACTGTTGTCATGCACGGAGGATAGTTGATTTCCTATGGAGGAAAGAAGCGCCTACATGCTTCAAGGAGTGCCGCTTATATTGTGCATTTAACAAATCAAACTTTTCTCCTTTGATCTCGTGTTACTCTTCAAGTACTAGTATTTTCAATTTCAGGTGAAAACGATGTTGTATTTTTTTAAAGGTCAATTGAGCCTAAATTTTACTTTATTCTAAAGTGAAGCAAAAGATAGCCGTAAAGCATACCCAAAAAGAAGTAGAGACTATATTTTTTTTTTCGTTCAATAAGATAAATCCAATTGGCTTGGAAAAAATGCAAATTCGTATAAACAACCATGCAATTCTTTTATTCCGCTCTAGTACTCCGCTCTAAACAAGAGAGAAAAAGAAAAAACTTCCCACCTGTGATGCTATTTTTTCTTCTTTTCTTTTTATAACATATAAAATAATGGAAGACACAACAGAATATTGGAGAATTATGGACTATCCACCTTTCTTTAGTAACATTGACTGGAATGAAAACCAGTCTGCCTCTACTTTTATACCCATGGGATTTGACCAGCAAAAGATACCACCTTCTTATCAAAACCCACCTCCATTTCAACGCAGAAGAAGTTCCTCTGTGGATTTACCTATCAATCCACTCTATTTAAATTCAAACAAATTTATTTTTGGTAATGCAGACAATACGATTCATGAAGAAGAACACGTACCATCTAAAGTGGGTTCTTCAGCGGTAAGTAGAATATTCAAGTAGTACTAAATAAACTAATTTTTTTTATATAGACACTTGAATTCCCTAGCAACACAAATAACAATAACAACGATAAAAACCATAGTCCTCAAACGAATGGCCCAAACAAATTGACTTTGCCATCTCAATCACCTTCTTTATCGACATGTTCTTCGACGAACAATGATGAACATATGATATCACCGCCCCTAAGTCACCATGGTCCTTTAGCGCCAAACCAACCCATGAAGAAGCCTATCGAAAAGCCAGTCTCTCCCAAGAAATCACCAACACCACCAGAATCCATGACAACTACATTCTTTCCTGAATTGCATCGTACATCGTATAACACTATTTTAGGAAAGCAACTTAGGCAGCACCAAAAAAGAAGACGATCTTCTTCTTTACCGCCTGCATTCCATGCAACCAACAAACATGTCAATACAAACAAAGGACCTACGCCACTCATATTTACACAGATTCAAGTCACTGATCCTACACCTATTCAACATACTCAAAAAGCAGCCAAAGTAGATGCACGTCCCATTGCTATCGAACGAGTACCTAAAAAGCCACAGGTTACTAAGCCAATGGATATAGATCCAGTAGAGACACAAAGGAAATTGGACGAACAGTTGCTTCAATTAAATTTTGAAGATGTTACAGTAGCTGAATTGAAAGAAATGCTAAAAGAACGTGGCCTCTCAAGCACAGGCAAAAAAGCCGTTTTGTTAGATCGATTGAAGGAAGCAAGAGATCAGTTGCACAGGAACCATTCTTTATGGTCAAAGAGGCCCTCTGATGAATTGAGTACAAATGCCTCACCTGCTATTCAAGGCATCGCAGATATGTCTATTCATTCACCTGCTGTACCAGTCAAAATGTCTTTTTCACCTGTCGTTCATCCTGTGGATACACAACAGAATAAACTGACACCTTCTGATTCTCCTCAAGACTATAATTACCAGCCACTGCAACCAACTATGGACACAAATGACTTTAATGGTAAGCAGCCAATGTTTATACTTGTATATTTAACCTCTCTAAACAAAAAAGTAGATTTATTTGACTTTGATACAATACTCGATGGTAATGCCATCTTATTTCCATCAACAAATCAACAACAACAATCATCCCCACATCAACCACAACCACAAGATTGGGATATCAACTGGGATCAAGACAAACTAGACCACTTTTTAACAGAATTAGTATAATTCGTTTATGAGTTCTTTTGATAATATGCTTTTGTCAACAGAGATAAGTTCTTTGGAAAATAAATCTTGAAAACTTGAAACCAAGTTGGGAATCACATCTTGAGATGTAATGTTCTTGCCAAGTTCTTTTGAAAGAGATGTTACATCTTTTTCTACTAACCCGCAAGGTACAATTTGTTTAAACCAATCAAGATCCACATTACAGTTGAGTGCTAGTCCATGGCTACTCACATAACGTTGCAAATGAACACCCAAGGCAGCTATTTTATGATCTTCGCCTACCCAAACACCTGTATTCTCTGTTGTGTTTGTCTTGATGTTGTATTTTGCGCAGCATTCAATGATTGTCTTTTCTAATCGAGATACATAACATCTCACATTAAGCTAACAACCATGAGTTATATTATTCAATGTCATCGCTGCTTACCTGGTAATCTCGGATATCAAGAATAGGATAAGCAATCAATTGTCCTGGGCCATGAAATGTAATTTGTCCTCCACGCATTGTCTCGAAATAATCAGCACCTAAGCTTCTAAGACGCTCTTCTTCATCCATTTCTGTCTTTCCTCGAATACGTCTGCCTGCAGTGAAAGTGGGTGGGTGTTCCAGGAAGCAAATGATATCAGCTGGTTGGTTTGTCACTAACTGTCCTTGTGTTATCTGATGACGTCTTGCTACTAAATAAGACTGTAATTTTAAAGCAGTTTCGTATTTAACTAAACCAGGCAATGTTAAATAGCCAATAGGTTGACTGTTTAAAGGCTTTTTTTTTAATTGACAAGCAATAGTAGAATAAAAATGACGAGCAGTAAAAGGTCTGGATAGAAACATATAAAGGAATAAATAAATAAAATGAAAAAAGAAGAAAAAAGATAATTTTTATGTAATTTTTTAAAAAAATTTTCATGATTTTGGTTTCTTTAGATTGGTTCTTTCAGTATCGTTATTCTCTTCAAATCCGCGTTTATTATCCCTAATAGAAAAGAAATATGAGCAATGCATTGAGTAAGGTATAACCTACAGTAATTCAGGCTTTAAAGGAGAAGGTCTATAATCCCTTTGACCGCCAGGCGGCCAAGGGAATGCATTACTGTTTCCATTATTATTTGCTGCAACAGGCGTTGAATTGAAATTTAATGGGCTAGGCAATTCATTCTGTTGATAAAATTCAGGATAAAATGTAGAGGGTGAAGGCAAGTTTTGTGCAAATTGTGAAGGGAGTGCTGAAGGTGGTCCTGGTTCAGATAATCCTGGCCTATTGTAATATGCATTACTCGTGATTGGTTGTTGTGATTGAGGAGGAGGAGGAGGAGGAGGAGGTAATGTTGTCTTGGGCTGTTGTTCTTTATTTTCTTCCTTTTCCGAAGCAATAGAAGAAACAGAGACATGATGTTGATGCTTTGTTGTATCATTGGCGGCAGGCGGTGTCTTATCACCCGTGTCTGGTATTTGTACACGTAACTTGGGTGGTTTTTTACCTGTGCTTATATTACTATGGGTTGACATAGCAGGACTGGCAGGGCCATTATTACTACTTGGATTGGGTGATGAGACATTACTTATAGAACTATATTGGAATGAAGGCTGTCTACTATGCTGAGCAGAAGGTTGAGGAGATACAGAATACGCTTGAGGATAATAAGGCTGTTGTGTTTGTTGTGGTTGCGTCTGAGCAGGTAAGATAGGATAAGGTTGAGGATGAGATGGTATACTATTACCAAGCATATACATTGGTGGTTGTGGTGGTTGTGGTTGAATACCATACATATCATAACCCTGTTGCATATGATTACTATTATAGCGCATTTGTGGTTGTGGTGGCTGTTGTGGGTGATGACCATGGTGTTGTTGCGGTTGTTGTGAATAGTACATTTGTGGCGGGATAGTAGGAGGATGTGGCAAATGACTTGGAGGCGCGTTGCCGGGCTTATAATTTGTAGCTTGTGTTGGTACAGTTACCATGGTAGCCATGGCATTGTTTTTTTTCATCTCATTTGCTTGTGGTTCTTCTTCGGCATGATCCTCATCTTCGTCTTTTATTGAATCCTCTTGATCATTTGAGTTGATAAAATCTTGGTTTGATTTACTTTCATGAGGTTCATTATACTAAAGTACAATTTTTAGTACTGATATAACTTGACATCATCTTACCTCTGTATATTTCATCAGTATTTTATCAATGTCTGTACTTGCATATTGAACAAGTTTCCCACTGTTGTTAAATATGATCAAGGCTATTTCACAATCACACAAGACACTCAACTCGTATGCCTTCTTCATAAGACCGTGTTTTCTTTTTAAGAAAGTGACCTATTCTCTTGAAGGTCAATAAAATAGGCACACTTTTTTTCGTCTTTTTGTTTTTACCTGTCTATTACGATCGTCCTTAATGGGTTGAATCTTGATCTTTTTGCGACCCATAGTATATAAAGTTGAAAAAGAAGTCTAAATTTCTATAGTAACGATGGTAAAAAAAGAATCTTGTGTAATCTTTTTATAAAAAATTTTTCTTGTTAAAAATAATTATATATAAAAAAAAAAGGGTGCTTACAATTTCTAATTAAAAATAGGTGCTATTTAAATACCACCCAAAATTTGATACACAAAGAGAGAGAAATAGAAAGAAAGAAGAAAAAAAGAGGGAGGAGAAAAGAAGAGAGAAAAGGAGGGAGAGAGAAATAAAAAAAAAGGATAAAATCTATATAAAAATTTAAATCGGAGAGAATAAATCTATTTTTATTATCCCAAGGTTGAGCGCTTTCCTATTCCTTTTGCCCCTTCACCAGATGGTAATTCACCAGTTCTACCAGTAACGAACTCGTTATAAATTAAACCCAATCGATAGGCTTCCTCGGCTGTAATAGAAGGACGAGTAGACTTGAAAGATTTCTCGAGGTAACTTGTAGTGATCACAGCTTCTTGAGGTTGATTTGTCACTGTTTCGGTTATAACTTTGGTTTGACTTGACTTTCTGTTTTTGATCATTGCCAACTATAAATACACACACACACATATTTTCAATTAAAATTGAATTAATTTCATTTTCTAATTTACCCTTTGAGATATTTGTCCCTTTTCTGCTAAAGTAAGAGGTGCTTGACGTGCATTCATGACAAAATCGCTTTTTTCGGTTACTTTTGATTTGACGTCTTGTGCTTCTTTAAATGACTCAATATCAATGGTCCCATGAATAGCTTCTAAATGCGCATTGTAAAGAAAACCTTGTAAATCCGCACCGGAAAATCCTTGTGTCTTTTCAGCATAGATTTTCAGATCTACATCAGGAGCCAATTGCATTTTTGAAGACAATGCTTCCAGAATCTATCATTCTGCATGAGCATCCAACAAATGTGTGTGTTCCCAATTGCTCACCTCTAATCTTTCTTCGAAGCTAGGCATACCACATAATAATGCTTTATCCAAACGTCCTGGTCGGAGTAAGGCAGGATCAATTAGATCTGGGCGACTTAACAAATAGAGGAGATTCAATATACTGCATATCTCGCATAGTACAAAATATTACCTTGTAGCAGCTAAAACATAAACACCATTTAAACCTTCAGCACCATCCATTTGAGTCAACATTTGATTGACCACACGGTCAGTTACACCTGTACTATCATGGCCTCTAATAGAAGCTTAATATGAAGCGAGATGTATCGTCTTTTTTTCTTTCTTACCTGCGAGGCGCAATCGAATCAAATTCGTCAAAAAATAATACACAAGGCTTAGCAGCTTGTGCTCTCTCAAATAAATCACGCACAGACTTTTCACTCGCACCAATATATTTGTTTAGAATCTCTGGACCCTTGACACTGATAAAATTAAGTCCACATTCTTTCGCCACAGCAGAAGCTAATAAGGTTTTACCACATCCTGGATAACCATATAATAACAAACTAGAAAAAGGACATGGTGAGTTTGGTTTTAAATTCATAGGCTTCTTTTTTTTCATACCCGGATCTTAATCGAAGCGGACATTGAGCAAATACGGCAGCGTATTTTGTAGGCCATTCCAGTGTTTCCAATAATGCTTTTCTTGTTTCATTTAGACCTAGGCATAGATGTTAGAAAAAAAAGACTTGTATTTTAAGAAAGAGAATTACCTCCAATATCAGACCAATTGACACCAGAGCTCTGAAGTTTGACACCTCTTAAAGAAGAAGGCACAAATCCTTCTCTTGCTTGTGTGAAATCAGCTTGTATCAACTTGAGTTCTTTTTTCTCTGTTTCTTCTCGATTGTTATCTTTGATACTTCGAATGGCTCCTTCATGTACAGTACGTTCAATTAATGCCTTGAGATCAGTAGCAAGAAATCCTTCCGTCTCAGAAGCAACCATGACTAAATCAATCGAAGGCAAACTGCTGCTCAATACACTAGGACCATGGGACATGATAGTTTGTATGATTTGTTTACGTTCATCTCGATTGGGTGGTTGCAAATGCTTCAGTTCACTAAAGATATGATGCGTAATTAAAGCAGGATGGATAGACTGTTGTTGTTGACTGGTAGCAATGAGCATGATGGAATGTCTTTGGCAAGCAATACGTGCTGTTTGCACAAACAACTCTGCTAAATGACGACTACGGGTAGAATCAGCATGTTCTACTTCAGCAGGCACAAGACGGTCCAGATCATCAAAAAAAATGACAGAAGGACCATGCCAAGCAGCCTCATCAAACCATTTCTGGAGCATCTCTTTAAAGACTGGAATACGTTCATCCGCAATCTCGGAGCAATTGATTTCAATAGTATCTAAACAAGTGTCAGTCGACAAAATCAAGCAAAATGGACTTACAGATATGGTAATTATGACAAAAGTTAAGAATGTGCTTAACAACACTTGTTTTACCAGATCCATGTGCACCAGTAACAAGAACACCCCCTGAACCAGGCACGCTTAAGCTATACTTAAGATCTCTTTTGGAAAGATTGGCTAATGCATACTGTTCCATTTTTCTCAACATAGTATCCACACCACCCAAGGCAATCACAGGCTTTGATTGATTTTGTTTCGTAGGCTGCTTTTGTACTTGTTCGCCAAATCCAATTGAGACTGATTGTTGAGGAACAAGTGTTGTGTATTCTATCTCTCCAGATGCTGTATTTGAACCGAAAAAGCCCTTTTTAGCATCCAGTTGAGTGACAAATTGTTCTTTTTTATTGTCTACTTCCAAATCAATCAAGAGTCCTTGACTTAGTACAACATCTTGAGTAAACTGAGATAACCATGTCTGTATTGATTTCGTTACAGATGCTTCAAAGTTGAGCTTTTGTTGTGTTTGTGTATTATCTAGACCTAACTTGATCGTATTGTTGTTATTACTGTTATTCACACATCGCTTCAAGACCAAGGAACCAAGGGGACTCTTTTTAATCGTTGTTGTGGCAACTCTGGTTTTTTTTGTTAGTCTTTTTTCGTAAGCTTGCTGCAACTTACTTGACAATATCAAAATCCTTAATTTCCAATGTAGATTTCAGTATAGATCCAATAACCACATGATTTAATGGAACAGAGAGAGAGACATAAATACGAGCAAATACTGCCTTGACAGGACTATACTGATCATTGTCCGATTCTTGTTGCTCCTCCTTATTACTTTTACTAAACCCAGGTAATAATTTTGTTAAACGAATAACAGAAGGCATATCACCATTAGAGTTCAAAAGTGATTCGATACTATCTGGATGTACATGAACTGACAAACTGTCCATTTCCAGCTGTACCGAACACGCACGTAAACGAACAGAAGGTTGTGTTTTTTGAATGATTGCTTGATTATTTAATTCAGATACTTCTTCCACAGACTGATTTGATTTGCGTACTTTGGGAGCAACAATGACTTCAGATTGATTGGTTAATTTGACATAATCTTGTTTAGGTTCAATACTAGCTACTGCTAAACGAACTAATGTCTTGCCATGAATCCAAACACATATAGTTTGATGGGTATAAACAACACGCAACTGACTCAACAAGTTTTCTTCAACATAACCTGCATGTAATTCCTATTTTTTGGCTTAGGAATCTTGCAGTTTTTCTTTCTATGACTTACTAAAATTTCCCAATCATCTTCTGTCAATGGTTCAACATGGACTGTTGTACATTCAGGTACATTTCTACAAAATTCTACTTGGACCTAACAGCCAATACATCAACACACTCGTTTCTTCTCTTGCTCCACGTTACCTTTTGTCCTTCCTGCAAACCAAGTGCTGTTCCGAGCTGTGGATCGAGCTCCAACACGTCAAGTTTGCCATTGGCACCGTGAATAAATACAGAGTTGGGTTGAAGTGGCTTAGAGGCTTCTCCTGACCAGCCGCAATAGACTTTTTTGTTATCTCCAGACGAGATCTCTAGAATAACGTTTTGAGGTACCTAGATAGTATGCATAAGTTTTTTTTCTTTTCTTTATGTGTGTATTTTATTACTTTTTTTTGGTCCAATAAAGCATTTACCCACTTGTTAGGTAAGTTGACTAGACAAGAACGAATAGGTGTATATTGTACAATAAGTGGTTTAGGCATAATATACAGGTAAAGGAGAAAAAAGATAGAAGAGACGTATTTAAACTCTTTCGGTCGTTCAAATGAAATGCGTTAGTCATTGAAAATAATACAAATAGCTATTTTTCACACGGAAAAGATGTATTATGAATGGGTCTTTTTATTAAAAAAAGCATAAATAAGAATTTTTTTTGTGGAGTGTCATAATTAACTTAATAATAATAGTAGTGGGACAAAACAAAATGATAAAGGGAATCTAGTAGAATCTTGCAGAGTTGAAAAAAAAAAGAAAGAGAAAAAGGTATCAAAAAAGAAATACACAAAGAAAAGAAAAAGCCTTAGAAAAAAATACATAAAGAGAAAATAAATAAATAAAAAATATGGCACAGTTTACATGCCCATCTGATACATTCTTTCAAGAGCTTGCTTTTGAAGCACAGATTCTTGAAATTTTCTCAATTGTTCATTTTCATTCATCATACGTTCTAATTCAGTCAACAAAGAAGCTTGATTTCTCTTCAAATGTTGCAAATGTTGAACAGCTAAAAAGTATTAAAAACATTTGCATATATAAATAAAAAACTTACTGCGATGTAATAAGGCGGCTTTACTCATTTTCTTGTTGACACAACCAGGCAAGTGTTGGCGCAATTCTTCGAATCCATCTTTAATCTGAGCACGACGCTTTTGTTCAGATTGAATATGAATTTGTCTGCGTACTTCTTGAGCAGAAACACTATCAATATCTTCATCAGAAGAACTGCTTGTCTTATTATCATCATCCATCTTCTTGTGACCACTGTGTGTACGTCTACGCTTCTTGTTGTTGGAAGTACCATTTTCATAAGTTTCTTTAGAATACTGATGAAACTCGGGCAAGAAGGATTCAGGCAACTTATTGACGTTGGCAATCTTTTCAGTGATGGTTGTATGGTGATGGGGTGACAACAAAGGTGTACTGACAGTAGCAGGCGAGAGACGAGAAGACATGGATTCGGGGCTAGAAGAGCCTTGAATAGGAGTATTAGCAACAACAGTAGGAGGACTAGAGGTAGTAGAGGATTGAGTGTACATGTCGTAACCACCTGTCATCATGATAGGTTGGTTCATGTCAAATCCATTGTTGTCGTAGTAACCAAAGGCTAATATGTATAGTTAGTAAAAAAAAATCACAAATATATATACGAGTTTACCTGAAGGATAGAGTTGAGCATCAAAAGGTTCCATCTTGGTCATGGTAGAGTAAGTGGTGGGCATGATGTATTCATCAAAACCAAATTCGCTTTCAATAGAGTTCATTTTGTTGATATTAGTATTATTATTAGGTTGTGAAAAAAAGAGGTGTTACAGAGAGAGGGAAAGAAAAGGAGATGAGGGCAAAGAGGTTAAGGAAAGTAAAGAAAAGTTTGTGTGTTTGCTAGTTGTAAAGGAAAGTAGAGAGTGCAAAGAAATTAGTTGGTATTGAAAGAGTGATTGACCAACTAGAATTTGCTCAAGTAAGAGGTTGCTGTTTCTTGGTAGAAAAAAGGAAAAAGAGTATAAGAATAAAACAAAACAGGCCAGTTTATCTTTTTATATGTTTATTTTTACTATTCTACACAGTAAACCGAATTTAATTACTCTGGTTGTACAAAATAAAATCCTTGTTGTTTAGATAAACTTGTTGTACTCCTATTTTTGGTTTCAACATGGCTGTTTACACTATATTTATTCTTGCATTATATTTATTTTTATTCCATATAACAAGATTACCTTATTATGAAGTAAAAAAAAATAAAGCCATACTAGCCCAGTAGAATAAGGCGGAATCCTTTTATAAATTTTGAGTAACCCTCCTGATGCAAGGATTTAAGTTTAATTGGACTTTTTTCTTTGGGTTACACTTTTTTTCTTTCCGAGAAAAAAAGCAAAAAAAAGAAGAAATATATAGACAAGTAAGTAAAATCAAAGTTGGGGAAAAGAGAAGAGGGATAGTTATATACATGTAATCCATAAAGTTTCTTATCTCGTTTACCCATCAAAGCATCAGATTCATCTCAGTTGCACAAATATCTTGCCATTCTTGTAAAAAGGATTTAACTATACTGGGTTGATTGATCCAAATGGATAATAAAACGACGCCCTCTTCTCGAGATAAAATGTTTTTAAAGCCCTTTTCACTCTTGTCAAGCAATGATCTTTTTGTAAGCAGTTCTCTGCTATACATATCTATTATTTTCTCCATTCGACTCGCTAATATACTTATTAGTACTGTTCAGACTCCTACTTGATTGTTTATTACCAAAGAAATCCAGCGAACATGTCTGAAAGATAGCTTGATGCTTGACAAATGCTTGTCCATTGATATTCTCGGCACGTTCACAGATAGCATTCAGCTCTTTTCTATATTGCTTCATTTTGTTTTGCTGCTTAGCCTATACAAGGAGAGTTGTATGAGAATATAATAAATCTTATCGTCGATATACCATTTTTTCGACAAGATCATCAAGTTTTGTGTGCTGTTGTTCAATGATTCGTTGCATTTTTGCATCATATTTCTGGATAATATCAGGGAATTCGAGTGATAAGAGTGGGTGCCAATACTGTGGCTCATCTACATATCTTTTATAGGGTCAGAATAAGCGTCCTTACATATGCATATGTGTTTACTTTGACAGAATAACTGAATTCGTCAGGGAACTTGCTAGCGGGAAAGCGTGTGAATTGAGTTCTTCCCAGGTATCTTGTGTTCTCTTAAATTCTTCAAATAAAGTGCTCAACTGCCGTTGTATTGTCCCAATGATATGTGCTGTCATTATCTAAACACAAAAAAAAAAAAAGAAAAAAAAAAAGGGCGAAAAAAAGAGAACAACTTGTGACGTTTTTGGACTGGTGAAAAAGAAGTGCATAAACTAGTTATTTTATTTTGTGATACACTATTGTTACATAAAATATGAATACATAATACGATTAAAGCTTAGCTACTTCGCTATTAGCATTTGTTGGTTCTAAGGTGGAGTCTTTTTCAAAAAAGAGATGGATTTGCTTGACTAAAGAATCTACTTGATCTATTGTGTTGTGTCCATGGAGACAGATGCGTACTCTTTCTTGCCCCTTTGGCACAGTAGGAGAGCAGATAGGCTTCACGATGAATCCTTTTCCATTCAAGAAACTAGCTAATGCTCTTACAGGCTCATTTCCTTTTAAAACGACTCCTTGAATAGGGCTTGAAGATGGCAATAGGTTTCCTAAAGGCAATTGGATAGTGCTTCTAAACCTTTGCGTAATTTTGTGGACATGATTTTGGATCTAACAGACAGAAATGAACTTTTTCCTCTTCTGACTCATGTATACATACATACGGGTATTGTTAGACCACTTTCAAGCATATCATATGCGCATTTAATTGATGCTAAAGAGCTATGAGACATAAATGTAGAATAGATAAGGGGACGAGCATAGTTGATCAGATATTGTCGAAGCGTTTGAGATCCAAGTACAGCAGCTATTTACGAAATATTAGTCTCAGAACATCATTGACAGAATAAACTTGCCTCCATTACTAGCCAAAGCTTTTCCAAAAGTATGAAGACGTGCGAAAATTTCATCTTCTAGACCCAATTGAGAAACAACACCCCTTCCGCTATCACCGTATACACCAGTACTATGGGCCTATTCCAAATGACTAAATAAACATATTGACAAGACCTGCTTACCTCATCAATAATGATATAGCCATTTTCCTTGTTAGGCCAATATCTTCGAAGCAATGCCACGAACTCTTTAAGAGGAGCAATGTCTCCATCCATTGAATACACACTTTCTAGAGCAACAAATATGTTCTTGTCAGGATAATGGTGAATTACTGACTTGAGAATACGATCTAAATCATGCACATTGGAGTGCATAAAAGGGATCTTTTTGGCTGCACGCGACATACGCATCCCTTCATGAACACTAGCATGAATCAATTCGTCGTATAGAATGATATCTCCATGCTGAGGTACAGTGCTAAATAATCCCACGTTGGCATCAAACCCAGAATTGAATATCAAGGCGCACTCACTCTTGTGGAAAGCAGCAATTCGCTTCTCAAGTGCTTCGCAATAACCCGAGTTACCGTCTAATAGACGTGATCCTGTGGATCCTAAAATAGTAGGTAGACTATTGAGTTCGTTGAGATACGATTGACGCATAGTGGTGTTTTGAGCAAGGCCCAAGAAATCATTGGAAGAAAAATCGATGGCATCTTTTGAATTCACAACAAGACGACGTATTTTGGATATTTGGCGTCTTTTTTGTAAAGTGGCCTCTAGTTGTGCGTCAAGTGTTGTCATAGAGAGAAAAAAAGAAAGGGGTGGAAAAGGGAAGGTTGGGGTAAAACTGTTTGTAAGAACTCAGAATTTTTTAAGATCCGGTGGTTGACAACAATCAGCCTAAACAATTATACCCTTTTATGTATGTGTATTTGGATGATACACATAATATGAGACCAGTTCACTTCAATTTTCATATGTATATGTTATTGAGATGCAGCAGAAAAATCAGTGGCAAGTCATAACAATAACAAATATGCATTTTAGATTAAATCTGATAAAAAAGATTAAAGTTTTACTAGATTATCTCAAGTTTTTAGTGCTTATAACGACAGTATAGTTCTGACTGATCCCCCTTTTTTTTTTGCCTTTCATATTAAAGTGTTGTGCAATCTTTCTCTTTAAACCAAATGTACAAGAAAGCAATACAAGACGCAAGAAGAAAAAAGAATAAAATTCTTTAGAAGCATAAGGTTATCTTAATAAGTGATATCAACCAATCTTAGAGATGGATCGTATCACATTTATCTTGTACTCTGGGAATTGTCTGTCGTTAGTTTTTTACTTGTAGAAATTCAAATAAATTGTACATCCTGAGATCTTACTACAACACAGCAATGTATCAGTGAATTTGACTTCTTTAACATTGGTTAGTGCTTGTGACATGCATAAACTCATTCGCGATGTGAGACATAGCTAAAGTATTATAACAATGACAATAAAGCATGAAGACTTGATACATAAACTTGTCTATCCAAATAAAATTTCAATTTAAGGATTCAAGAAAATCAAGAACGGGCTTGATCACAACAACAAGCAGGAGTCTTTTCCTTATCACAAAAAAAAAAAAAAAAAAAAAAAAAAAAAAAAAACTATATAGAGCTTTTGCGAATCTATTTTTGCCATTTCTAAAGGTAACATACCGAGAGATGATACAAGCATTTTTCTAAAGTCTTCGATAGCGTCAATGCAAGTCTTATCTTAATTATTTTAATGAGATTACCCATAAATCAATGTGTTTTCTCAAGCTGATCATTACTGCCGATCTGTTTTCTGTATATTTTTGATAAATAGCGCATAATAATAAACAGGAAAGGCAATACCATACAAGAATCCGTGCCCAAAATGAATCTTCTAGTTGTTTCGACTGGGATTAAAACTTTTGAAATGACGATCAATATTTGTCAAAGTCACCCACTTTTTTTCCATGAAATTCTACCATGTCGCGTTATCCTTTTTTTCTTTTCTTTATCTTTATTTCTCTACAAAATGTCTAACTGGAAGAACGTTAACAACTGGTAAGAGATAATTGTCTCTTGAACATTCTTTTTTTTTATTTTACTAATCTATTTTAGGCACTGGTAATTATCTCAATGATCATAAACTTTCATTATAATAGTAACAATTTCATAATAGGGTCAACAAGAATTGCTTCAAGTGGGCTCAGAATTGGTTCTCTGAACAGCTTGTTGGTCTTGAAGCCGAGAAAAATGGTCACAAAGCTTCTATAACTAAAGTAGTTGATTTTTCTGGTGATGTTGATTTGAACCAAAGAAAAGGAAAGATCATTACCATTTACGACGTTACCTTGAAGCTTAACTGGGAAGGTATGTAAGAGAAAGCGTCATGTGCAGTCTCTAAAGCTCATATCAAGGTTCCCTTGCTGATGGCACTGACGTTTCTGGCTCTATTAATATCCCCGAAATTGCTCATGATACCGATTCAGATGATTATGTGGTAAGTATTAATGCGTAAGTACAACAAGTGTGTTAAATCAGCAATGCAGTTTGAAATCTCAATTGATGATGATAATAATGCCAAACAAGCCATCAAGGAAGTCATCCGCAAAGGCTTGACCCCTTTGTTGATCAAGAAGTTTGAATCCTTCTCAGCCACTATGATCAAGGAAAATTGTGATGATGTTTACATTGAATCCGAAAAGATGGGTACTGCTACACCTCCTAGACTTGCGCACAACAAACCCACTAGCGCTTCCACTACTGCTACCAGCACCTCAGCTCCTGCTCCTACCGCCACACCCAAGAAGATCAACACAACTACCTTGAATGATACCAAGGAATTTCAAACATCTGCACATGAGCTTTATGAGACTTTGACAGACGCACAACGCGCTCAAATTTGGACCCGTGGTCATGTTAAATTGGAGAAACAAGTTGGATCTAAATTCGAGTTCTTCAATGGTAATGTCACTGGTGAAATTCAGGAGTTGATTCCTGACAAGAAGATTGTGCAGACATGGCGCTTACGTTCTTGGCCTGCTGGACATTTCTCCAAGGTCATTCTTGAGTTTGTTGAAGGTACTGATTCCGTCACACTTAAAATTACTCAAACAGGTGTTCCTGTTGGCGAAGAAGACTTGACTCAAACAAATTGGAATGGTTATTACTGGAGAGCTATCAATGCTTCATTTGGTTATGGTGTTAACTTTTAAATAAATTAGATTTTTATTGTTATTATTATTATTATTATTTATGCGGCCATCAATATCTGTAAAAGATCCACTACCACATACACCTTAAATCCTTCCCGGAATATTTGCTTGGCATGTTTGAACGGAGGTAAATGAGGTTGAAGTTGAATCCATTGAGATAAAGCCATTTTGATTTTTTCATCATCTGCTTTTGTCGGTAATAGCAATGGTTGTTGGCTGTCATAATATAGTTGATTCAAGATGTCTGTTGTTGGAACTGCAATAAAAAACTCGTTTTTGTTGATCTGTGCATTATCATTCTCGTATTTATAGGTCACAATCAATTTCAATACTGCTCTTTTCTCACCAGTCAGTTTATCTCTAGAGGCGTACAAATGAGGTGATACTAACGTTTTAGACACTACAATATTGTCCAAATGATACGATCGAGTAAAGAATCCTCGAATACCAAGGTACTTTTTTTTAACGTGCTTGATACTGGATAAACAAAATGTCCTTGGCTCCGGTAAAGGCTTCAAGTAATTGCTTATTGTCTGCTGATAGGAGATGGAAGTTGGCAACTTGGATTTATTAGGAGTAGCACAAGTCTGTGTCTTTGGTGGTGCGATTTCTACAGCTGAATCATAATGCTTGAAAGCATATAGTTGCGATCGTCGTTCTGGAAGACTCTTGTCTATGATTTCTTCAACTGCAGTGGCATCTGAAGAGCGTCGACTATAATCATCTATTAATAATTCTGCTTACAATCGCTTGTAAATAAAACTCAAGCTTTTTGGATTTTATTGTTTTCTTTACCTTCTTGACAATAATAAAAGACTTCTTTAGTGTCATGCTGATTTCGATCATCATAATAACTTATAAATGTTTCAGTAGGCGACAAGATTTCTTCTTGTGGATCTTTTGTATGTTGATGATCAACTAGATCATAAGTATAATATATGATATAATTATGCGTGCTTACTTGCAATTTTATTGAGGCGCCTAGAACGATGCGAGTAGCGACGATAGGTTTTTATGAGCTCAATTTGAAGCTGAATACGCTGTGATAAAAGAACAACATTTTTGTAATGATTCTTATTTTTCATGTTTTTTTCATTAAGTGCACTAATCAAGTCATCGAAAGAAAAAGATGATGATAGAGTCATTTAGGAAACAAAAGAATGAAAGAAGAGAAGAAAAAGGCACATACCAAAACTGTATTTGTATCCGGGTTTGTCTAACAGAAAGGAGGCCACTATAAACAATAGAGAACACAAAAAAAGGACAAAGTAAACAAAAAAAAAGGAGCAAAGAGAAAAAAAGCCTTTTAGGATAGATTGGTTTCTCTCCTCAAATAACTATACAAACGATGGGCTTCCTCTACCTGTGCTGGCAGAAAATAATGAGACTCGATTTTGAGAGAATGAAAGGAATTTGAAAAGGGATAATCATGGTGTTAAGTTATGTCAAATGATTATGATCTTGTTTATTTTTATAATTGTGCTATATACAAAAAAAAAAGATACTTCTATTTTCAAACATTAACCAAAATATGCTTTTTGAATACATATGTAAATGTATAGGGGAGATCTGCTTCACCATAGTATCAAATTTCATAAGAATAGTGCATAAAAGATTTAAAAAAAAAGAGAGGGTGGGGGATGTTCAGTGAGGCATAAGATAAAGAAATTGAGTTAGTTTAAAACGAGTGTAGTTATCAACGCATTATTAGAAAAGGGAATTTTAGATTGAATAATAAAACGAAGGCAACTGTGGCTGTGGCATGCTCTTTAGTGTGTATTCCATATTATAAAAGCGAGGTAATGTATTTGCTTGATGGTGCTGTGGATCATGTTGATAGTAAAAGTAGCTTCCAGAAATTTCTTCCTGTTCGATAGGGGGTGATTGAGAAGCAACAGATGATGAATATGTAAATGAAGAAGAGGCATCGTCTTCGTCTGTTGTAATGGATGGTTTTCGATCAGTAATCAATGGTGAATGAGAACTGGCTGAGGGTATAGGTGAAGAAGGCATGGAAGATGTAAAATGAAGTGATGTGTTAATATGACTTTGTTGTTGTTGCTGCTGTTTTTTCTGTTGCTTCATTAATTCTGGAATTTCATTAAGAGGTCTCCATTGAAGCATAGTACGCTTAGTGGTTGAGCTATGTGCAGTTTTTTGATGAGTTGTCAGAATGGTCTTTCGAGCAAAACTCTTGTTGCATCCCTCATGACGACATTTGTAGGGTCTTTTGCCTGTATGAATACGTCTAGAATTATGCAGGTTCAGTATTTCTTATCTAGATATGCATGAATATTACCTATGTCGTGCTAACGAAGAGCTGTCGCTAAAATTCTTGTTGCAGTTTTCAAATTCGCATACATGGGGTCGTTCACCAGAGTGAGTTCTCATATGAACCTTAAGTGCAGAACGCTACGTATTTTTGTTAATGATCATATCTAAATACAGAAAAATAAATATATACCTGAATGAAGCTTTTTCCACAATTATTTTCTTGACAAACATAAGGTCTAATTTCATGTTAGATATATATATTTAATTTTGTTCTTTTTTACCTTTCATTGGTATGAATACGAAGATGTCTGGCAAGATCAGAGCGACGTCCTATAAAAAGAAATAAATATCTCAGACAATACAAGCCACTGCTTCACCTACCGAATGCTTTTGAGCAATTGGACATTGTGCATTTATGTGGTTTGGTTTGATTCTGCTGTGTTTCAATATGAATTAGCTCAAGAATGTCCATGATATGTTCTATATTTAAAGTTTTAGTTTGAGTTGCTCAAATATTGTTACTCGGTCATACCTATTTAGATGAGAAATGAAAAACTGTAACAAATGTGAATTGAGAAGAAAAAAAAAGAGTAAAGAAAGTAAAGTAAAAGAGAGTTTTCAAATGCTAAAGACAGGAAAGATAAAAAAAAAAAAAAGAAAGAAAGAAAGAAAAAAATGGACATCCGGAGCTTATATTTATACTATTGTCTCTATTTTTTTTTCTAATATTTTTTTTTATTAGAATTTTACGATCGTTGATACAGTTTTGTATTTCTGATACAGACATGTTTACAATATCATAGGAGAAAATGGGGCTGTTTGACACTTTTTTTCAAGGAGTCCAAAGGGTGAACAAAAGATGCTTTCCTGTTTTCCTTTTCTGGTCAAGACAGTATAGAGATCGCTTTAAGCTGATCCAGCAAGTTCTAGTCAACCAAAGTTTGGAAGCCAGATATGAAACAATGTTACGTAAGGCTTGGCTAAGTATGGTTTCTTAACTTCCTATCTTGGTAGTTCCTTGGATGAGTCTCAAACTAACATCCAAATTTGGTACTAACATTTTCGAACGTTGGCAAGCTAACAATAGTAATAGTCGGTGTCGAGGTCAGCATATAATATGTTCGTATATTACTGTTTATACATGTTATAAACCACATGTATTGTCCTTTTTGGTCCATCTGACAGAAAAAAACGAAAATAAATCAGAGGAGTTTAATCTTGAGCTTATATATCACAAGGAGGAGCAAGTGAGATTCATGTGGGGCCGTCTTTCAATTAAATATTATTCCAACTCCCCTCAATTCCACTTTGTTTTTATAACAAGTCCTCCTATTTCATGTGCTTTATAGTCGCCATGATCTTAAGAAGCCTTGATAAGAAAAGATCGATGATTTTTCATTCAAATGAATCCCCTTTTTCGTTTTGAAGAATCTTTGAACTATTTATCCCCTTGATGAGTTTTATAAATTTATGAGATCAACATATTAATATGAGAAATTATGAGTTTTCTTAAGAAGTCCTTGTGGTGTTATTGCTATTTTACGAAAAAAAAAAGATTTCGGCAAGGACCCGTCTTTCTTTTTTTGATCGTAATTAACAAAATTAGTTCTATGCAATCGCGCACAAACAGTCGATTACAGTGAATAATAACTCAATAAAGGAGTATGTAAACATACTTCGGTTCCTTGTGTGCCCATAAAAATCGAAGACATGTGGGCAGAAGCGACTGATCATCGCGTTATAAAAAAAAACAATCGTATGGCAATCAGGAGAAGCAGTTATTAGATTATATACAGAGTAGAAAAGCCTTCTTTTTCTTTTCCTTTTATATGACAACAACGAACACACGATTGTACTCCTAATACTTTCTTTGCTGTCAAATTGATTCTACATTTGCATGGCCAAATAAGGTAATAAACGAATAAAAATGACACGATTAATATGCTTCTAAATACTATTTTCGAGCAATCTCAGCTTCAAATATGATGTTGGGACATTACTTAAAAATAAAGTTTAAATATACACGTATAAAAATACAACGCGGATTTAGAGAGCATGTAACACGATATAGCTTATTTTTCATTCCTTATTCCGCGATGACTGTAAGCGATGGAATAAATGAGAGAGAATGATTGCGAAGAAAACATTCGTGTTGTTGATATCATTAGGAGGATTAACTAAACCAGAACAAGTAGTATGTTTACCCAAAATTTTAAAATAAAATTAAAAAGAGGGTCAGTGCGTTCAAAGGGATTAGAAGCGTATAGAACTTTATGTTTCTTAATTTTTTTTGTGAGAAAAACAAAAGCCTTCAGGTCGCAACCAAACTAAAACCAAAAATGGTTCTTTTTCTTTCTTCTTATTGAAATTCGAGTCTTACTATATAGTCATGATTATGATCTTGTCCAAGAATATTATTTTGCTTTTAAAGACAACTCAGTCCTATTCGAGATGCAATCGCAAAGTCATATCCAAGTTCTCAGTGCGATCATATCTCACATATTTCTGGTTGTCTATAAAAAAGAGCCAATACAAATACTTGTGTAATCGTATTTTAATTAAGATAATGTTGTTTTTGTCTAGTTGAACAAGTATTATTCTGTTCAGTATCTCATTCTTCGTAATATGGAAAATGCCTGATGATTATACAATATTCTAAGAATAATCAAGTTTATTCAGGAATATGGTTTCATGTGACATTGTTTGTCCCAGTAGAGACGGTCATAGTTGACATTACAAGTCTAAGACCCAATAACTGGACCTATCAGCAATCAACAATTCCAAGAACAAACTTTACTTGATCAATAGGGAACTTTGTTCTCCCTAAATGAAAAAATTCAAAATTGTTATACAGAAAATCTCCCTTTTTTTTTTGCAATATTTACTGCTGGCCTGAATGCTGCCAAAGTTTCAACAAGGCTACATAGACCCTTATTTAAGCAAGAAAAAGAAAAACAAGTTCTACATAGCCCCTCTTATTTTTCTTTGTCTTTATCTATAGTTACAGATCAAATATTCTCTTCTATATTAAGAATAAGTAATTTTTCTTTTTGTATTTAGAGAACAAAGACTTTTGGACTTGTCCAACAAACAATACGACATATTCAAAGGGCGTAGTTAAATCAAGTAAAAAAAAAATTCATTGGACACAACTTTCCCCACCCCAACCCATTTCCCCTGATGTATACATTTGATTCGCTATGTGCTTTATCTGAACTCCACGTTATCTATCAAATCTCAGTTTAAAAATGATAAAAAAAAAGTTGGGGTTTTTCATTTTATCAGAGAAAAAAAAAAGAACAGCTTTGGTATAAACAATTGAGGGATGTGTTGACTTTTAGTTTTGTTGAGTATGATAAATAGATTGAAGCTTATGAGCATCGCTAGCAGCCCACTCCAACTTCTTGGCCACACTAAAACGATACAGATGAGTAATTTTTTTCTTGATAAAATCTAATGTGTAACTTACCCATCTTCAATGTCGTATGCCCAAGCATGGACAGTCAACTTTTGACCCTTTTGCCAAGCATTTTGAACAATAGTAGAGTGACAGACGTTTTCTGCAGAGTTGATGACGTTCAATTCGATCAATCTACGGAGACGCAAGTTGTCATCCTTAATAGCTTCAAGTTCACTTTGATGTACTACACATGACAATGATTAGATCATGCATATATTTTAGATCATTGTACTTACATCTATAAACATCCTTGATGTTTCTAAGCCAGTTATCAATAAGACCGAATTGTTGATGACCATGAGCAGCACCTACACCACCACAGTTATAGTGACCTATTTTCCTTTTAGTTCCTGATGTATTTAGAATGACTGTACTGTACCACAAACAATAATGTGTTCAACCTTGAGTACTTCGACAGCGTACTGTAACACGGAAAGACAGTTGAGGTCAGCGTGGTTAACGACATTGGCGATATTTCTGTGAACAAAGACTTCACCAGGGTTTAATTGAAGCACAATGTTAGCAGGGACTCGAGAATCAGAACAACCTTATTCTACATTAATGTCTCGGGCGATTTCATTTTTACCTTCACTTACCGATCCACAAAATCTTGGGGGTTTGCTTGTTGGCAATGTTGCTAAAGAAATTGGGGTCTTGTTCACGAACAGCCTCAGCCCACTTACGGTTGATTTCTAAGATACCGTCCAAGTTGACATCATTAGGGTCAAACTTGTTGACCAAAGCAGAGGAAGCGTGCTTGTCAAAGACTAAATAATTTAATTATTAAATTTAATTAAATTATCAGTGCGTCAGAATTTGACAGCAATAAGAAAATAACAACAACAAAAAAAGAATTGAAATAAACTTACCTTCAGTGAATTCAAGGGTTTCTTTCTTTTGTTGAGTAGACATGTTAAACAGGATAGAGAAAGAAAGAAAGAAATGAAACCAGTCTGACTATCGTTTATAAATCTTTTTTTTTTTTGGGGGGAGATTCACACAAATAGTTGTAGGTTACCGGAGTTCTTTTTTTCTCATGGTCATTTAATAGAATAAGGGACGTCATTATCAGTCGTGTAACTCTTTCAAAACAATATCACATTAGTCTCACGCGTATACAAACAGCCGCGTATTGAAACAGGAATCTGTTCCTGAAACTCTGTTTATTCTATCACGTTTAAATGTTGAGCCACTGCTTTAATGATAAAAAAGGGTCTTTTAAAAATTGCACGTTTAATCTACATATTCTCGAAAAAGTCCCCACGCGTTCTCTTTGATCGTGTTGGCGCCCCTTCATCTTTCTGGTCCGGTTTCCGCTTATGAGAAGTGTCTATTCCTTGTTCATCATCATCATCAAATAAGAACTGAACATCCCAAAATCTTAAATGCAAATCATGCCCACAACTAGCTAAATAGCGTTGATGGTTGTCCATTTTAATACATTCTATAGGGAAGTCTTCGCCATGATCGCCCAAGACACCTTCAAATTTATATGGTTGTACAGTAACCATTCTCAACAAGCCATCACTGCCACCCGTACAGATAGTTTGTTCATCTAATTTACATATTGAGTCAATTGAGTTGGGATGACCGAGCCATTTCCTTGATGTATCCCATTGATTCCATTCCCAAGTATAAAGGGCTCCACTTTGAGATCCTGCTATCACTTTGCTACTATTCTAATCATATATAAATAACTAAATAGACTTTGGAAGGGTTTACCTCTAAAACAGCTATGGATAATAATTCATCATCCAATTCAAGCGACAGTGCTATTTTACTTGTAGGCTTCCTTATGTCATGTATTGAGAGTAAACCATCTCCCCTAGATGTCAAAATTGTTTAGCCATGCTATATACGTATATACAATTACCCTGCAACAAGTAGTGAGGATTTCGATTGGTTATAGTTCATATCTGCCACATAATCATTATGCACCTTGTATTCTTGGGTTATTTTACATGTTCTCATATCCCATATCTTGACAATACCATCATCATCTCCTGTTGCTGTCAAATGTGTGTCTAGTTTACATAGTTTATTGATAGCATGTTTATGTGCTTTTGGTATCTTGTACAGTAACCTTCCTGTAGCAACGTCTAAGGCTTGTAGTGACTTGTCTCTTGAGATAGACATGATATGGGCACCGTCTGAAGTAAAGTCTACTCCTCGACACGACTTTTTTGATATTTGTGTTGACCAGGCCAAGTTGTTAGGTGATTCAGTAGAGTAATTATAACTGTCTGACGATTAGGCGTCATGCGTGTGTTTTTTCTTTATTACCATTGAACTTGGCCATTGATTAGACCAACAGCAACCAAACTACCTTGTGGGTGAAAAGCAAAGTCAAATATATGGTCTTTGAATACAATAGGCTTAGGTGGGTTTGTCATGTAAAAAAGGTATCTTTTTTTTTATTTGCTATTATTACTGACTCAATGCATAAAGAGAGTATACCAAAGAATGTGGCTTATCAGTTACTTGCTTCACCACTTGAAAAAGGTACCATATTTGTTCTTTTTCTTGTCTGGTTCTGTATTAGCATTTGTATTCAATGTATCATGGCCTGGCTCGTCATGATGTATAGGAGATATGGTATTGTCATGATGATGTAGTGCTAGTTTACTGCTTTTAGGCGGTGCCGGATGGCTGGTGTTACCAGTCGAAGAAGGCCCTTCACCTTCAAGCGTAACTGAGTGATCATCGTTTAGTGTAACATCAAGTCCTTTTTCAACTCGTATTTCGTCCATTCGTCTCGTAATCAAGTATTCCTCAAAAAGCATTGCATTTCTCCAGTTACATTTAAATAAAATGTCCAAAATATCACCAGCAATAGGCGTTAAACCAACCTATAAAATCTGATAAATATCATCAAAAGTTTTGTCTGTAGTTTACCATAAAATCAAGCATGACGTTTGCCATCATTTTCCCAATCAACCACTTTGGTAGATCAGCTTTACACGCTGTTCTAATTAACTGAAGTGAGAAATAAACACCAATGAAGTCACCAATACCGGGAATCAAGCCTACAAGGCCATCTAAACCAACATTAAAGCAGCAACAATGAACTCCTTTATCGAGATACCAGGCACGGTTTTTGACTTTGTATAGCAGTTTTCTGTCTCGTTCATTCAAAATCAAGTCAGGAGTAGCAACTACTTTTTTGCTATACCAATGTTGCTTCTTTTTTGAAGCAATATCTTGAGCAGCAGCCAAGACTTCAGGATCTGTTTCAAATGAAGGCTTGTTGCTGTGGATCCTATTTGCTGCTTGTCCGAGTACTTTCTTTTTAGCGTAATTTGTCGCTACTTGCATGATGTTGTTTAAAACAATAAAAGAAAAAAAAGAAGAGAAAAGACCTGTCGATCTTATTTTTATTTTAGCAAAAAAAAAAAAAAACCAAGGTGAAACGCATATGACGTATTAATGGTAATATTCAGGCTTTTTAGCATCTACACCATGTTCAGCTAATGCAGAAGACAAATCCTCCATACTCAAGACAGTCTTTTTGTCCTTTTTTTTTTTTTTTTAAAAAAAAAGAGTAAGTCTTTTGCTTGATGATATATGCAATTACCTTAGATTTACTTGTATTACGAGATCCCGATTGTTTCACTTTGTTAAACTGAAATGCGTCTGTCGCAATGTCAGCTACGAATTTTTGTGCTGCCATAGCAAATAGCTTTTTTCTACATAAAGATGAATTACTGAATAATAACGAATCATGTCAATTTACATTCTCGCGTCGTCACATTCAAACCCTGTTCGATTTAGATAGTATTCAATGACATTGTCGGGTATCTATCATAATCAAAGTCAATACACAATAGCTTCTTGCCATTTATACAATACAATAGAAGTATAATTGTCCATTGTTATCAGAAGCTCGGCCATTTCACGTTCTTTATCTACAGTCGCTTTATCTGATTGGTTTACATGTTCTACCATTGGTTCATGTGGCATAATCTGTAAAGACGTGTCTGGATCTACGTTGGCAGGGTTCATAAAAAAGAGTTTTTTGTATAAAAGAGAAAGAAACGTTTATGATTCAAGCAGCCATGGATTGATATTCCGCGTAAAGTAAGTTGTCTGTGACTTTGTTTGAGAGAGCCCTATTTTAAAAAACGAAAAAATTTACAGCTATATGAAACGCATATTCTCTTCTCGCAATGTCCACAAACTCCACTTATGATGTTGTATCATCATATCAAGCTTTCTTGAACGATACAGTGAGTTGCTGAGTCTGATGCGTGTGCAATTAATATAACGCCAATTTTATTTCTAGGAACTATCCACACCTGTTGCTGTCTTTAAAGCTTTGACAGAGTTTGTTCAGCACAGTACAGGTAACGAATAAACAAGCATAGACAACATTCTAAGTACTTTTTATAAGCCCCCACTATGTCTGAATTTATGCAAACACTTGAAAAAGCTGCACAAGATATTCGTCAAGAACCCCAAATTATCTCTTCAAGCAACAATAAGAATCAACACAAAGCTGCTATTGCTGTCCTTGCCGGTGTTGATTTGTTTATGCGTTTTGTTACAAGAAACTCACATGAATTTTCGGTAAGTAAAAATAAACTATCTTGCATGGAAAGTTAAATCATATACGTATTAGCTCTCAGAAGAAGCAGGAAGTTTTGAAGACTTCAAAGGCAACTTATTATCCAGAGCTTCCTTGATTTTAGATAAGGCTTCTTCTGCCCGTGACAAAGCAGCAGAAATTGGTGCTCAATTTGTTCATGACAATGCAGTTGTTTTGGTACAAGGTTATTCTCGTGTCATTATGAGTGTCTTGTCTTATGCTGCCAATGTTCAAAACAAGCGATTTAAGGTCTATGTTACTGAAGGTAGACCTAACAGTGATGGGTAAGTAAATAAATGGAGTGGTATTAAAACTGACTTTGATGTTAGCATTCAAGCAGTTTCAGCTTTGAGAAAGAACGGTATTCCTTGTAGAGCTGTGTTGGATTCAGCGGTGGGATATATTATGGACAAGGTAGATATGGTATTTGTTGGTGCAGAAGGTGTCGTTGAAAATGGTGGTATTGTCAACAAGGTAATTGAATTAAACGTGAGATAGTAGTAGATTAATGGATCTGGCTAGATTGGTACATTTCAAATTGCACTTGTTGCTAATGCTCTTAGCAAACCAGTTTATGCAGTTGCCGAAAGTTACAAATTTGTTCGTGTCTATCCTCTAAACCAATACGATATTCCTTCAGAAACACCAGAAATAGTTACATTTACTTCCAGAAGAAAGTCATTTAGTGCAGTCAATGATGCAGAGACAGTAGATGAATTAGCATTATCAAATCCCTCTGTTGATTATACACCTCCTCAATATATTACGTTGCTACTGACCGATTTAGGTGTCTTGACTCCTTCAGGCGTTTCTGATGAATTAATCAAGCTTTACGTTTAGAATAAATATGGTTTTTATGCAAAAATTTACGTATATGCATCTAGTCACGCGGACACATGTAGTATCAAACTGAGGGGAAAAGGAGATGAAGAAAATATTTCTCTCTCTCTCTCTCTCTCTCTCTCTCTCTTACACATTTTAAACACCTTAAAAGACTTCCATAGCAACTGTACCTGGTACCTGGTTGCTATGGTAATACCAAATATGGTACTCGAAAATTAAAGAAAGACGTGCTGCGTGGACAAAAGTGATATAAATATTATATCCCAGCTCAAATGTGTTTGATACAAACGAGTTTTTTTTTTCTCTTTCTTTCTCCCTTTTTTCTCTTTTTTTAAACAATATTGCATGTCATTTTCTATATAAAACACAGACTTGTCTTTGTCTAAATTATTCGAATCATTAGAGAAAACTACTTTATACCCTTTAGTAAATAGCCAGGACACTCAAAGCACACACACCTATATATATAAAAAGAAAGCAACTTTAACTTGTAGTTCTATACCCTTTCCTTTACCGTTTTTGCCTTTCTCTTTCTTATTACGCTCTTAAAAAGGTAAGTTTACTTTGTTTATTAGAGAGGTATTGAATCTGGTTCAATCTCTAGACCCTTCATTAGTAAAAAAAAAAAAAAAAGAAAGAAAAAGAAAAAGAAAAAGAAAAAACAATATGATAACAGCAGAACCATCGCCTTCAGTCCAAACAACGTTAGAAGAAGGCTTCTTTGATCCACTCTACAAAGTACAGATACCAGACAAAGAACTTAATGAACTGATATCGAAACAAGCTTCTTTGAAGCCTGAGGAGCTCTTAAGCGAGTTTGATACGATTACCCAGCGTATCACACTATGGCTAGAAACTGCTCACATGATTGCTTTTACAATCGAACAAAATGTAAAGCGAGGCGACACTATAGTGGAACTCTATACGGTGGAACCCCTCGAACTTTCTTGCAATAAAGTACAGCCCCTGATACAACTTTTGGCGGAATTTGTAGATGAACAAGACGAACTCAATAGTAACTATCAAACCAAGTTAAAATGGACTAAAATACAGTCAGAATGGTCTGGTCTACAACACTTTATTTCTTTTGTAAAGAACTTGATTGAGGAATCCAACGAGAAGTTTCATCTGAGAACTTTGATGGAGAATATTTTGTTACAGATTGATGACTTGTCAATCATGATTTTTCAGTTTCAAGAAAAGAGGCATATTGCTGCTGTTACAATTAGCCCTGCAACGCCACCTCCAGAGGCAAATACGGCAGTAGAAGAACAATCAAAGAAGGAAGATAGTATTTTACTCGAAATCGATAACCGAGTAGGTCCTTTGTTCACAAGCGTTGAAAAGGTCTATACGCGTATGACGTCTCCGAATCCACCTCAAGATAACACAGGTCTTTTGACACGTAAACATTTGCTCGTACAAGAGCGCTGGGAGTGTCTCCGCGTAGAAATCGATGAACTTAAAATGGAACTCAAAGAGGATCGTTGGCTTGTCGTCTTTAAGCAAGTCGCTGATCAAGTAGACGAAATGATGAATGGACTTGATAAAACAGTAGCTCAATGCTATTCAACAATACAACAGATAAAGGAACATGGCGTCAATTATCTCATTACTAGTTCTTCTTCCACTACCTCAAACTCCTCCTCCTCTACTACAAACACAATCAACTCTTCATCAAATACAACACCTGGCATGGTTGATCTGAAAACTAAGCTTCGATCTGTCGAAAAGAATTTTGAGGCTAAATACAAGTATTACACACCTTCCATTGCAAAAATGCTAATGATGCTTGGGAACGGAATTGCTGCACGCGTGTCCCGAAATGTTGCAACGTTACAACGTCATGAGGCCATGCTAGCAAGATGGGACAATCTCAAGGCAACAATGGATCATTTGCGCAAACGAGATTTGCCTGATATAGTCGTGGTTGAATCGACCATGTCAGATAACACATCAAATGCTGGTTGTTGGTCTCGTCTTAGTGACCGTAGTGACAGTACTGCCGGTAGCATCAGTAACTGGAAAGATTTGCTTCCGCCAAGTTCAACACCCACGACTGCTCGTTTTATTCACAACAAATCGTCATCTCCTTCCTTAAGCAGTCATATGGACGAGACAAATAGTATGGATTTTGTCAGATCAAGAAGCCCATACAACACCAAGTTCAATAACCATAGTCCATCGCCTTCTTTGTTTATTGAAGAAAAGAGCCGTAGGACAACACCGGGTGATCATCATCTTTGGCGCTCTATGAATGGTGGCTCTGCTTCACCCAACAATGGAGGCAGGAGAACAGCCAGTCCTTCTTTCTATACTCGGGATAGTTTTAGTCCTATCAGTAGTGGGCTTCGACCTAGTTCGATTAGCCCCTCTAGTAGCAGAACAACACAGACAACACAAGTGGCTACACCCACCATGATCCGTCTTCACAATAGGTCACCAGACATTGTTGAAGAAGAAGAGGACGACGATATGATATCGACAAAGGACTTTAGAAGGCCAACTATCAGATCCAAGAGTAGTTTATCAGCAAATCAACCAAACCAGCATTTAGGAACAAGATCGGTTACACCAAGTATACGCCGTAGTGGAACACCTTCCATGATTCCAAGACCCAAGACACCTAATACAAACAAGAACCTAAAGTTAGACAGCAGCAGACCCAGATCATCTATGGCGCGTATTACAAACCTTACCTCTCCCAAATTAAATCGATCACAATCTCCCTTTACTTCTGCCACCACCACCACTACTAAAAGCAATTCTAAATATTATAAACCTGACCCCAAAGACCCTTTGGATAAAGAAGTTGCCATGATAGTTAATCGAAGTCCAATACCAATCCAATGCTCCAAGAAGCAAGGTGGTGGAGATGGAAGGTATTATTTTGGTAATGAATTAACGCCATCGCTGGGAGGTGGTAAAAAGATTTATACTTGTAAATTGATGACTTATGAAAATAGTGGAAGAAACAAAGTATTGATTCGTGTCGGTGGTGGCTGGCAAGATCTAGAGATCTTTTTGCTTGAACACATGAACTTGATTGGATAAGCCATAAAATTAAATAAAGAAATATATTTTGATGGATATTTGTTTAAGTTATTGAAATAAAAGACCGAAAAGATAAGCTTTATAAAATGGGGGGACATGAATGGTAAACTGAATTTTCTCAAGACGCCATTTTTTTTGAAACTCTTAAACAATATGCACAGTATTTTTATGTATGGATTGATTCAAAGGTAAAGCTAATATTCCAAATATCCAAGTAAGAATGGCTTGTATAACACAACACGTCTTTGTTTAAATAATACATATGATGGCACATGAAATCAGCATGAATATTCAAGTTTATATTTGCGCCGGAGAATATCCTGAGAAAATTTATTGGAGAAAGTCTACCGTGGTTTACAAAGAGCGATCGAATAGAGACTGACTGAGAAAGAAATCATTATCGATGACATTTTATGAATTGATATACGAGTATTTAATACGTATTCTTTTGGTTTTTTTTATTCTTTTTTCCTTCTTTTTTTTTCTATTAATTCTCACAACTCATTATGCCTACTCCGCCTGCTCGTGAACACTCTGTAGAAACTATTCGTAGAAATAGTGAGGTGATGGGTAACCTTCGTAAATTGTTGGTTGCCAATCGTGGTGTAAGTTATATGCATATGGGTGTGTCAATGTTTAATTTTTGGCATTAGGAAATTGCCCTTCGTGTTTTCCGTACAGCCCATGAACTTTCCATGAAGACTGTCGCCATTTTTTCTCATGAAGACAGATTATCTATGCATCGTTATAAGGTTCGTTTCAATTCTGGATTTTGTTTCAGGCTGAGCGACTAATATTATCTTATCTCTTATAGGCTGATGAATCATACCAACTTGGTAAGGTTGGTCAATATTCTCCCGTTGGTGCCTATTTGGCTCAAGATGAAGTTGTTCGTATTGCTAAAGAACGCGGTGTCTCCATGATTCACCCTGGTTACGGTTTCTTGTCTGAAAATGCTGAATTTGCTCGTAAGGTTGAAGCTGCTGGTATTACTTTCATTGGTCCTTCTCCTGAGGTCATTGAAAGCTTGGGTGATAAGACAAAAGCCAGAACCATTGGTAAGTTATTTTTTTTTACTCGGGTTTAGACTGATTTCTTGTATCACCTATAAAAAAAATAGCCATCAACTGTAATGTTCCTGTTGTACCTGGTACTCCTGGACCTGTTAGCGAGTTCAGTGAAGCTAAGGCTTTTATTCAAGAACATGGATTCCCTATCATCATCAAGGCTGCCATGGGTGGTGGTGGTCGTGGTATGCGTGTTGTCCGTGATGAAGCCTCACTCGAAGATGCCTTCAGCCGTGCTAAATCTGAAGCTCTTGCTGCTTTTGGTGATGGTACTGTCTTCATTGAACGTTTCCTTGACAAGCCCAGACACATCGAAGTTCAATTGCTTGCTGATCGTGCTGGTAATGTTGTTCACTTGTTTGAACGTGATTGTTCAGTTCAACGTCGTCACCAAAAGGTCGTCGAAATCGCTCCTGCAAAGAACTTGGACAACAAGGTCCGTGAAGCTATCTTGAACGATGCTGTCAAGATTGCCAAGTCTGTCAAGTATAAGAACGCTGGTACTGCTGAATTCTTGGTTGATAACCAAAACCGCCACTACTTTATTGAAATCAACCCTCGTATCCAAGTCGAACACACTATTACAGAAGAAATTACTGGTATCGATATCGTTGCAGCTCAAATTCAAATTGCTGCTGGTGCTCTCTTACCTCAACTTGGTTTGACTCAACAACGTATTCGTCAACGTGGTTTTGCTATTCAATGTCGTGTTACTACTGAAGATCCCGAGTTAAACTTCCAACCTGATACCGGTAAAATTGAAGTTTACCGTTCTTCTGGTGGTAATGGTGTCCGTTTGGATGGTGGTGCAGGTTATGCCGGTGCTATTATCACACCTCACTATGACTCACTCTTGGTCAAGGTCAGTTGTTCTGGCTCTACTTACGAAGTTGCTCGTCGTAAGATCGTTCGTGCCCTTGTTGAATTCAGAATTCGTGGTGTCAAGACCAACATTCCTTTCTTACAACGTCTCTTGACTTGCGATACTTTCATTAATGGCAACTGTTGGACTACATTCATCGATGATACTCCTGATCTCTTCCGTCTCGTTCAATTCCAAAACCGTGCTCAACGTATGTTGGGTTACTTGGGTGATGTTGTCGTCAATGGTTCACAAATTAAGGGTCAAGTGGGTGACCCATCTTTCAAGAGCGAAATTGAGGTTCCTGTGTTACGTGAAAGCGGTAGTAACAAGGATATTGATGTCTCTGCTCCTCCTACTGAAGGTTGGCGTAAGATCATCGTTGAACAAGGTCCTGAAGCATTTGCCAAGGCTGTTCGTGCTTACCCTGGTGTCTTGATTACTGATACTACTTGGAGAGATGCTCACCAAAGTTTGTTGGCCACTCGTGTTAGAACCGTTGGTAAGTAAAAAAAAAAATCAAAATTTAATGGGGCCATTTTTTTAAACAATTCTTTATTAGATCTTCTTCGTATTGCACCCGCTACTTCCCATGCTCTTGCCAACGCCTTCTCTCTTGAATGTTGGGGTGGCGCCACTTTCGATGTCGCTATGCGTTTCCTTCATGAAGATCCTTGGGACCGTCTTGCTGCTCTTAGAAAGGCTGTTCCTAACATTCCCTTCCAAATGCTTCTTCGTGGTGCCAATGCTGTAGGTTACACTTCTTACCCTGATAATGTCGTCTATGAATTCTGTGACAAGGCTGTCAAGTGTGGTATGGATGTCTTCCGTATTTTCGACTCTCTCAACTACGTTGAAAACATGAAACTCGGTATTGATGCCGTCAAGAAGGCTGGTGGTGTTATTGAAGCTACCATCTGTTACACCGGCGATGTTTCTAACCCTAACCGCAAAAAATATGACTTGGAATACTATATCAAGTTGACTGATGAATTGGTGAAGGAAGGTATTCACATTTTAGGTATTAAGGATATGGCTGGTTTGTTGAAGCCTGAAGCTGCCAAGCTTCTTGTTTCTACCATTCGTGCCAAATTCCCTGACCTTCCTATTCATGTTCACACTCACGATACTGCTGGTACTGGTGTTGCTTCCATGATGGCTGCTGCTGCTGCTGGTGCCGATATTGTTGATGTTGCTATTGATGCCATGTCTGGTACTACTTCTCAACCTGCTATGGGTGCTATCGTTGCCGGCTTTGAACAAACTGACCTCGGTACTGGTATTCGCATGGCTGATGTTCATGCCATCAACTCATACTGGGAACAAGCTCGTCTCTTGTACTCCTGCTTTGAAGCTAATGTTCGTTCTGCTGACTCTGGTGTCTACGATCATGAAATGCCTGGTGGTCAATACACCAACTTGATGTTCCAAGCTCAACAACTTGGTTTGGGTACTCAATGGAATGCTATCAAGAAAGCTTATGCGGAAGCTAATGCCCTCTGTGGTGATCTTGTCAAGGTCACTCCTTCTTCAAAGGTTGTTGGTGATCTTGCTCAATTCATGGTCTCAAACAACTTGACTGGTAAAGATGTTTTAGAACGTGCTGCTACTTTATCTTTCCCTACTTCTGTTGTTGAATTCTTCCAAGGTTACCTTGGTCAACCTCACGGTGGCTTCCCTGAACCTTTGCGTTCTCATATCATTCGTGATTTGCCTCGTCTCGACAGCCGTCCAGGTGCCTCTCTTCCTCCTCTTGACATGGCCAAGTTAAAGCAAGAATTGATTGAAAAGTATGGCTCTACCATCCGTGATTACGATGTTATTTCTGCCGCTCTTTACCCCAAGGTCTTTGCTGACTTCCGTGACATGGTCAACCAATATGGTGATCTTTCTGTCTTGCCTACTCGCTACTTCTTGGCTAAGCCTGAAATCAATGAAGAATTCCATGTTGAAATTGAGGAAGGTAAGACTTTGATCATCAAGTTGTTGGCTGTTGGTCCTCTCAACAACAACGGTAAGCGTGATGTCTACTTTGAATTGAATGGTGAAGCTCGTGTTGTTGGTATTGTTGACCGCAACTCTGCTGTTGAGATTGTTACCCGTGAAAGAGCCAACTTGGCCAATCCTGGAGACATTGCTGCTCCCATGTCTGGTGTTGTTGTTGAAATTCGTGCTAAGGAAGGATCTCATGTCAAGGCCGGTGACCCAGTTGCTGTTTTGTCTGCCATGAAGATGGAAACCGTCGTTACCTCTCCAGTAGCTGGTAAGGTCGAGAGAGTTGCTATTCAAGAAGGTGACTCTTTGAACTCTGGTGATTTAGTTGCTAAAGTTGTGAAGGATGATGCTTAAACATTGTCTTTTCTTTTGTTATAATACTCCTTATATATATATGTCTCTTATATCAAACCTCTCTTTTATTATTTCTTTGTTTTTTTTTACAATAAATTCATGTATTTTTACTCTTTCTTAACCATCATTTCCTTTTGGAGTGTGTACCTTGCTATCGTCTTATCGAGGTTACACTTGTTTTGTGATTGGTCAGAGATTTGGGAAGACAGGTAAATCTTTGCGGAGAAAACAACGTAAAATGTGGGCAAAAATAGAGAGAGGATTATCTTATCTTCAATTTATCCTTTTTTCTCTCTCCCCCCCCCCCCCAAAGTGAAAAAACGTTTAGGCGATTCAATGATCCCTTTAATTGTAGCATAAGCAACTATCTTCAGTGTACCAATAAAAGCGAAACATACACTTAGTTTTACTTGATAGTTCGGTACCTGATTAAAATAATATCTCAGCTCTACATTTAGTTGTTTTTATTCTGATTAAAAAAAATTAATACGCCATGTCGCCTATACGCATTGATTCCTCTCTATTCAACATACTAACTGATAAGAATGAATAAATTTTCTTCTTGTGCTACAAAGAAGACAAGTTACACATGCTATCCAGGATCCCAATTTGTTACACGGATTTGTAGCATGCAGAACTTTCCAAAATTTAAGGCGGGGTGTTATATTGCACAAACAACTTGAGAGATTAACTGATATGATGAAATGACCCTATATTTGTTTGTGTTTGTGATCACTTCATGATTAGAACTTTAAATCAGTCAGATGAAGTCGCAATAAAGCTATTCAGTAATTCTGTACGATTTGTTACACGAGATAATACAATGACTTGTTCAGATAAACCTAAACAAATACAGTGACTTATCAAGATTGATCTTGTATCAATGCCTGATAGACCGGGTAATTCTATTGGAACGATCGTAAAGAAACCCAGTGACAGATGGGTATATCTTTTATTCTGAGTAAAAGAGCTTATCCTCAGCAAATCTAGATCAAAACTCTGTGATTTAAGAATTGCAGCTCATGTTACTTTACGACTATTAGAGTATAGAGAGACGAGGAATACAGCATACAATAGAATAAGATGATATCCAAAATGAGATTCGTTCGGTTAATTTGTAAGAAATTTTGCGTCTTTCCTTTGCCAGGATAAAATATGAGCAAGTTAGTGATTTGTACAAGATAAACTGAATACTGAACACAATGTCTAAACAATTTTATTAACTTGCTGTCTAATCAAGGCTTGATACTAGCGATGCTTTCTCTGTGCATTCTAAAATAGTCTTGTTTAACAAAAAGACGTTTCAGATAAATAATTCTTCATCATACTTTGCTTCTCTAACTTCTATATAATAAAAAAAAAGGTACTTCAATGAATAAAGACAAAAAACAAACAGTTAGAGCATGAGACAGACTGCAAATTCCACATACTATTATACTTTGAGCTATAGTTTGCTCAAGATCGGGACACATCAGCCTCAAACGCAAAGTTTTAGGGTTAGGAGCCACTCAAGGCTTGTTCAGTATTATCAAATAGTCATCTGCCAGTCAATTCCTTTAAAAAAAACATAGCAAAATAGAGACAAGAGGTGGCTGTTACGTATCATAGCTTATAATGACATACCATAGTTTCTAAAAGCAAGTCCAATCGATTATAAATGAGTCGACTTAGGATTAGGAAAGTATGATAGCAAGTTCTAAAACAAATCATATCAACTACTCGTCAAATAAGTCCAAAAAAAGGACGACAACAATCAGAAAGACCCTATTTCACTAGTAAAAACAGCCATTTATGTTCATTTTTGAACGAATTAAGCTAGTATCAACCCTTAAAATATATTTTTTGACATTGATAACTCTCAAGAAACATGTTTGAATCGTTAAAACATGAAAATAATTTCTGGTCCATTTTGCCTTATGATACCCTTGCGATGTCCCATCAATCACCTTTCTTTCGTCTAAAGAACTTTTTAGTACGTTCGTCTGGTCACTCTTGGTGGTGCTCCGGATTTTGCCATAATCTCTTGTGGAAGGTTGTATCTCTTAGATGTCAATAATTGTGTGAAGTGCCAAGTAATTAAACACATTTTGAAATGGTGTCTTTTACTTGTGGTATTGTCATTGCCATCTGTAGCATTGAACAAGACAAGATATAAAGAGTACTGACTCTAAGGAGCAACGAACGAAAAACCTAACATATCCTTTTTAGGACATATTGAGGGGTAGCCCGGATGACGGCTATTTTATTGGGATTATATAAGACTCATGTTATCGTACTTAATACTTCCACAAAAGCATTGTTTTAAAGGTATTTTATATAGCTATTCACTTTGCTTCACATACACTAGTTTCTATTAATACGATGATTTTTTTTAAAATAAAACTTTCATCCAATACAAAAAAAAAAAAAAAAAAAAAAAAAAAAGACAAAAGTGATAGACATTCAAGAAACTATTAGACAAAATGTAGTATTCCATTCATTGTTTCTGGTCACCATAACCACTTTGTTCTCGCATGGCTGCACCCTTGAATTTAAGAATCACGAGACAAACACAAGACACATAGGTCAATCCTGTCAACAAGACACAAGTCCATCCTGGCCCTAAGGTATTGACCATAGGATTTGCAACAATGGTCAAGATACACGCAACTACCATACGAAAACAATTGGTGGCTGCAGAAGCAGATGCACCATTACCAGGCATAGCATCCACAATATAAGCGGAGGTGGCTGTCATGATCTGGTTCATGCCAAATGTCTGGATACCGAACCCAACAATAGGTGCCCAAAAACTCATTCCCTTTTCAATGGTCCAGCCAAACAACAATAGACCAAAGGGAATAACAATAAAACAAGCAGGCCATAAATTAGCTGTCAAACGGTCTTCTACAACAGAAGCACCCCCACGAAGACGACGTGATCTTAATAAGAGTCGATCGGATAACATGCCGCCCAAGATAGAACCCAAAAGATTACCTACACCAGCACCAAGGTAACTTAGGCCTAAAACATGTTAAGACAATGTTCAATCAGAGTGCTTTTTACCTGTTTTCCATGAATTAAATCCATAGTGCTGTTCGTACAAATCAGGAATAATGGTTTCTACAGCAAACATGCAACCAAAAGCAATAGCAGAAACAAACGAAGACAAGAAAATAAACGGATGTCGAAGTAAAAGGAAAGGACCAATGGGATTAATACGACGTTTGATAGGTGCAAGCTTGGCATTTGCAAGAGACAAATTCAAATCAAATTGATCATCATCACGATATGTCTCTGGTAGAAGAAAGAATAAAATCAAGAAAATCATGACAGCTAAAGCAAAGCAAAACCAAAAAGTAGCTCGCCATGTAAGGTCGCTGATGATTAAGAAACCACCAATAATGGGACCCAATAATGGGCCAATAAACACGCCAAAATAGAACTTGCCAAAAGCTGCTCCTCGTTGCTCAACAGGATAAATATCCTATCAATAAAGTCAAATATTATGCTATGCGTCTCATTTACTTACAGCAATGGTGCCTATATAGCTTGTGTCAATATCTGGTTTTTGTGTAACACATTACCTCCTCCAACAGATTGCCCACAAGAAGCACCTACTGCTTGAATGCACCGAAGTACGACAAGACCCCATATATTATTTATAAAAGCCGAACCAAGCGAGGCCGCACCAAAAATCAAGATTGACAGTAAAATAAGAATGCGTCTCACAAGATAAAAATCAGATAAAGAAGCCCAAAAGATAGGTGCAATACCCATAAATAAAGCATAGAGAGCAGCTGTTAATGTAGTAGCAATTGAGGGTGCATTTAAATCAGCTGTAATATAAGGTATACCTGTCGATAACTAGAATTAGTCTATCAACTTCTTGTCATTTTATTTCATACCAGGGAAATAAATTGTGCTTGCAAAACCAGGTGTGCTTGCACATAACCCTAAACAGAAAATAATCACAGCTTTTGTTTTATTGCTCAATAACCGAGGATCAGAATCCACAGGTGGTTTTAATGATAGTAATGCTTTTGTCATATGAAGAAAAAAAAAAGGAACTAAATAAGAAAAAATACACTTTTAAGCGATATCTAAAAATAAATAAATAATAATAATGTCATTTTCTTCACCACCGCAACAATTTCTAAGTTCGCTCAATTCATATCAACCACTGTACGCTTTATGAGTTCCAGAACATATTATGCTGTGAGCCGTGGCAAGCAACCAGGCATTTATGAGACATGGAATGAGTGTCAAGCTCAAGTGAAAGGATTCAAAGGTTCGATCTTTAAAAAGTTCTCTACAGAAGAAGAAGCCAAAGCCTTTTTACAGATCAACAACAACAAACTAGAACCACCTAAACCAAAACCAGGCGTGACGAAATTATTTGTTAACAACAACGTAAGGCACCAAGGGTTGATTGTAAGTCAGAAAAGAGGCCGTGAGTTTGACGATAATTTTGATGCAGAACCAAGAAAGAAGATTGATTTAGTGGGTACGCGTATCTCTGTGGTCTATACGGATGGTGCTTCATCCAATAATGGCAAAGGACATGCCCGTGCTGGTTATGGTGTCTATTGGGGTGATAATGACCCTCGAAATGCTAGTGTAAGACTACCAGGATCAAGGCAGACAAATCAGCGTGCTGAAGCAAGTGCTGTGATCCATGCACTTGAGTCCAGCCAAGATGGAACGGATACATTAGAAATCATGACAGATTCACAGTATGTGATTAATGCAGTCACTACATGGTCCAAGGCATGGATTGAAAAGGGATGGAAGACAGCCAATGGCAAGGAAGTACAGAATCGTGATTTGTTTGAACGTATCCTTAAACTTATCAAATCAAGAAAAGGAGAAGTCAAATTGACTTATGTGCCTGGACATCGAGGTGTGCCAGGTAACGAAAAAGCAGATAGACTTGCTGTAGAGGGAGCAAATAAAGAATTATGACAGAAACTTTATAAATAAATAAAAATGCTCTATCTCGAGAATAATGCCATTATCCTTCATGTTGACATTATTTTGCTTCTGTTCTGTTCCTTGGTCCTTTTTAGGTATGTTCAGCATTTGACGCCGAATGTACAGATGAAATCTAAGTTCAGCACTCTTGAACTGTTGTATCGTTGGTCTTTGAGCGTATTAACAGGTTGTGAAATTTCTTTTTAAGTTTCTTTCTTTTTAGTGATATCAAATTCAGTTCTGGTTTGTATTAGGATGGAAGTAAAGAGAAATTCGGTAGGTGTGCCTGTTCGTGCTGGTGTTTGGAATTCTTGATGAATTTCATCAAAATGACGGTTCAAATACTGATTCCAAGCAACAGCACCTGTGTTTTTTTTATAATATACAGGAACATGTTCTGTTCAACAATGGTTTATGTATGAACAATATACTCTAAATCTAGAAACTCAAAGAAAAGGGAAATCATGATAATAATTTCACAATTCTTTGCATCAAAAATAAACCTATCAATTTTAACGTATTGCTTGTTTTCCTTCTGAACAATCACAAATGAATCTATCATATCTACTTTTAGCCTTCGTTCTATGTTTACATAGTAAAAGTCAACATGCTCTACTTCATAGCTAGATGCTTTGTTAGGAGCTGCTAAAATTTAAACACTTTTAAAGCTACAACTGCTGGGTTTAAATGTGACCATATAAAGTACATTACGCGTCAACCGTATATAATCTTTCTTTTTTTTTATATACATATAATTAACATAAACAACATGACTAGCAAGACAGCTTTTGAAAAAGGTGGTTTCAACTTTGACAACTATGCTAGGTACAGTGCAAGCAAATAGATATTGTTTAGTAACACTTGATAGAAATAAGGCACTTGAATCAAAGGGTGCTAAACCTCCCAAGGCCACTAGTACTGGTACTACTATTGTTGGTCTTATCTATAAAGTAAGTGATTGTCCATTTGTTTTGTTATACTAATGCATGTTGTAGGATGGTATCTGCTTAGGTGCTGATACTAGAGCTACTGAAGGTCCTATTGTAGCAGACAAGAATTGTGAAAAGATTCACTACATTGCTCCCAACATGTAAGCTAATCTACCGTCAGTCATGTTGTACTTATACATGTTTTAGTTACTGTTGTGGTGCAGGTACTGCTGCTGATACTGAATTCACCACCAACCTCATTAGTTCCCAGATCGAGTTACATAGTTTGTCTACTGGAAGAAAGCCTCGAGTTGTTACAGCCATGACATTATTGAAGCAAATGCTTTACAAGTAAGCAAATAACAGTACATTATGAAAAATAGAGGCTCATCTTGTTATTTAGATATCAAGGTCATGTTGGTGCTGCTCTTGTTTTGGGTGGATTTGATGCTACTGGACCCCAATTATATACAGTCTATCCTCATGGTAGTACTGACAAATTACCTTATGTTACTATGGGTTCAGGTTCATTAGCAGCCATGAGCATATTCGAAAGTAAATGGAAGCCCAACATGAACGTAAGTTATGATACACAAGGATTACAATAGAGCTGACAGGATATTTTTTTTTTATTAGCGTGAAGAAGCCATCGATCTTGTTCAAGAAGCTATTGAAGCAGGTATTTTTAATGATTTGGGTTCTGGTTCCAATGTGGATGTCTGTGTCATTACAAAGGATGATACTCAATACCTTCGTAACCATGCTCGACCTAATGAACGTGGTATTAAAGAACAAAGCTATCGTTTCCCAAGAGGTACTACTGCTATTCTTAAATCTTCTATTGAAAAACTTGTCACTGTTACTGAGGGTGATTCCATGGATATGTCATTGTAAAGTAATAAAAGGTTTATTTTCTAGTTTGTAGGTACATTAGACCAAAACGTGTCCTCTACTTTATCTAATTTGTCTTGAGGAAATGTTTGGATAGAGAGGTCATTGAAGATTTGATTGTTGTCAAATTCTTTAGGAAATGAAACAACATTCAACACTTCTACAGCAGGAATAAGGTAGGGACATTCTTTAACAAGGTCTCTTTCTAATTGACTATAGTAAAAAGAATGAATACCAGTTTAGAGATATCGTCTATTGTTACCTTCCGACATACATGTCAAATCGATTTCCAATGATTGTGACATGGGCTAGTTGTTGTTTATTCCAGTTTGCACTGAGTGTGTTACTATAAAGACCTCGTCCACAATGAGGCATATAAAACAAGGTTGGCTTAGTCACAGTTCGTTTGCCATCTTCATTCTCTTGAATAATGTCTATATTGTGTAGTGCACACAATTCTTTATCTAATGTTGTCATGACAGGATCAAAGATGTACATTTTGCCAGGGATCTAATACGTTTTAGTATGAGTCAATTGCACTCGAATCTACCTTTAACAAGTCTCTTAATATCATTGCTAATTCAAATTGGTATTGAGCATTTTTTGATTTCTGCATTGACCCTATGCCATAACAAACAATATCATGAAACTCGGTCAAAAGATGGTTTTCAAATATCACTGTACAGAATTAATATAAGCAAAACAAGCAGAAGGTATAGTTTACCAGACAGGTCTTTATAGAAACGACTTGTGATCAAGGCCTCTCTATAAAATGGTAAGCCATGATTTAGTATTGATTGACCTTACTTGCGTTGCTTTAAGGTAGCAGTCAAATCATCAATTGTCCAGTCATCTGAATCCTTAAAGGTGTATTTATTCTTTCTCTTGCTCTTCTTATTGACGACTGGTTTATACTTAAAGCGTTCTACTTTGACAAAACCATCATCGTCAAGTTGATCTGTCATTATTAGAAACAAAAAAAAAAAAAAAAAAACAAAAAAAAAGCCTTTTCGCTTGTCCAATCAAAAGAGACATTTTTATTCATCTAATAAATTCTTGTTCGCTTGGATGATGATTCACCAGCATGGCTTTGTTCTTCATCTTCATAAGAACTAGCTGTTCTTTTTAGATTCTCTTCTTCTTCCTCTTCTTCTTGGCCTTTTTCTTCTTCTTCGTCTGAGTCTTCATCTGCTTGCATGCGATCTACTTGGATCTTGAAGTCACGAGAAGTACTACGCTTCATGTACTGCATAAAATCCACTTTTGATTTTCGACTTAATTGAATAAGATGGCGTTCAAATTGCTCTACAGCAAAGATCAAGTTGGGTATCATCTTTGTTTCGCGCTGAATCTTGGCTTTCTGCTTTAAGTTCACTTGTTTTTGTTTGCCCTTGTTCTTTTTGGTTTGATTTCCAGTGTCATGATGTTGAGATTGACCATAGACAGTCAAGAACTTGTACATCTTGTCTGTGATTTCAGTACCTGACTTACTGATCACTTGAATAAATTGACTCGATATGTCTTGAGGGAATTGGATTTTCTAGGTAGATGTCAGTTTGGACATAAACAAGAGTACTTACATATTTCACAAGTGTATGTAGTGTCTTGTAGGTCTTTGCTAATGTCTTGAACAGGCTTTCAGCATGGATATCTGTAAGCACAGACTTGACTAATTCACTCGTAATAAAGATCAACAGCACAAGTCGTTTACAGACTTCTGTTTCGAATTGATGAGAGACTTCTTGATCATCTTCAGAAGCTAATAAACGAATGAAATGGAGTTGTATGGTGCAAACACTTACCACATATCTTTAAGCGACCAATACACCATGTCAAATCATCAAAAGACGCATCTAGAAACTCAAACAGTCTTGATGTAATCACAGCAAATGTCTTGGTGTTAATGATACTATACTTTAATGGCTGATCATCGTCAGTATGATGTACTTCTAAATCACCTGTAAAGAGATGGACATCTTCAGACAGGCTCAAGATAGTATCAAATTCACCCATATTAGCACATAACTGGATCAACAAGCCAATGATATCCTTTGTCAGTCCTGTGTCTTCAAGTGGTCTTTCTTTGGCTAATTCACTCAACCAGTTCACTACCACTCGAGATTGAACCGAGAAATCAGTGTCTTTTTTCTCAAACTTGTTGCACAAGAATGAGCATACGTGCATGACATGCGATGCTTCTCTATAAATAGGCGTACGACCCGATAGATACTTGAGCACAATGTCTTTTAGTTGCATAATCAGTTGAAGTATCACTTTGTTGGTACTTGTAGTAGTCTGAGTATGGTTGTTCAAGATACGTCTGAGGAATTCAATAAATCGTTCAGGCCAGACATGACTGACCATATCCAGCGTACCACGAAGAGCAATAGCAATTGAACTTAAGACAGAAGGTGTCTTTTTTGTAGCCTGTTGATTGGCAAATGTACTGTCCGAGTCTTCATGGATCAAGATAGACAGATACGTTTGACAAGTCATAATGCTGTTCTCAAAGTGTTTGTCGTCTTGATGACAATAGACATCATCTATAGCCTATAAACTATTTAGAAAAAAAAAGGGGGGAGTCGAATCCAATGGCAACTTACGAATTTCAGGCTGTCAAATGTACTTGTGATAATAAAATGAGCAAAGTCAATATCAGAGCGTAAATCACGAACTACGTCTGTCTTGTCTTGTGTAAATACAGCCTGAAATAGTTTGGATGTAAATTCAAGACTGACACAGGAAGAAATCACAAGCTGCGTATTCTTTTTGCCTTTCTCGTTGGTAGAACTGTCTTTCAAGACATTGAAAAGTAATTTTCGTTTCTTGAATAAGCTCAAGAGTGTCTCTGTGGACTGAGCTGTCATACCGTGTGTCATAAAGACATATTCAATACAAATCTATCGTCTAAGTATATGTATATATATATAAAAGAGGTATCTTTGTTACCTCATAAACACCCAGTACAAGATGAGCATATAGATTATTTCTTCGTCCTAGATGTGTTGCCATATCAAAACTGACTGTCTTGTCCAACTCAAAGTCTTCTAGTTTAGCATTGGAAAGACGATCTACAAAAGATAGCATAACATCTCTAAATCGATCCATGGTCTCCGCTGTGACAGAGGTGGTATCTTGTGTGGATGCCACGCGTAATGCTTTGATCAAATTAGCCAGTAATAAATGAATAGGCTCCACCATCTTGGGATAACCTCCATTATTTGCATTTTCTACACAGACATCGAGTTTGATAGGGTTGATGATGCTTGTGTCTTTTTCATACGTCCTCATAAACTAGGTCATGTCAATAGAGGTTTATCAAGCACACTTTTTACCTGCGTATAGAATAAGTCAAAGATGTCGCCTGCACATGTAGGGTGTTGTTGGCTTAAAGAACCTAGACCATGATAGGCACATAGTCTGATTTCATATTGCTGACTAAAACATCTTCTCAAAAGGCCTGTTGAATCATGTCAGCTGAAGAATAATCAGACAAACAAACACACTATTTACCAAGTACTTCAAATGCGACCCCTTGTGCTACTGACGATTCGCCTGATTCGGTCAATTGTTGATCTAAAATATTCAAAAAGCCTCGTACAGCCATGGCTCGACCATCCAAGTCTCTATTCAGCCATGAGTGCCATGATGTCTGTTTGTTCACTTACTTTGCAAACAGACTCTTTCTGAGCACAAGAATCAAACCATCTCTAAAGTGCTCATTTGTTTTTGAAATAGGTTGAATTGCATGCAACAATCGTTCTGCTGTGGATAGAGGTAAATAAGAAAGAAAGTCAAGTGTGTCTTTGATCTAGAACAAGATAAGTCTACAAGTTAAACAAAGGAGCACTTACGTTCGTCAAGTATCGTTCAACAGTATCAGGATAGTCTCGAATAATAGAGGCCAGTAAGTCTAAAAAGTGTAACGTACTGGACGATCTTGACACAATACGTGAAGTGATTTGCTCTAGTATCTCACTTTGGACCACGCCATGATATTTAAACAAACGCAACAAGATTAATGTACCCAAATGAGCTACTTTCTCCATCGAAGTGTGCTCTTTTGTCTGGCTTCTTGTCTTGATCGTGTTGGTCTGAAAGAAACTACCGATACTGGTGGCTGTATCAACCAAGATCAAAGACAGTTGTGTTAAGCTTTGAATGACTTGGTCCCAACCCGAGACGGCTGACCTCTCAGTCACTTCTAACAACACTTGACCAAACCTGTCTGCTTCTAAAGAAGAATAGTCAGAGATCCAATAACACCGTTCGAGTTTCTCACTGTCTTTATAGACAGACATGATGTTGGTCTTGAATAAATCAAAAATAGGGTCTTGAAGTCGATGGATTCTAGCAGCAGTGAATAAACAAGCCATGTTGAACACTTCAAATTGGCTTGACTTGTTTGTCTTGATGAGTTTAATTAGTTCATTACCCAAGTCTTGGTCTTGTTTAAGTGCAAATGATAAATGCAACATGACTGTACTTTCAACTTGACTAACATAAAAAACAAAGAAAAAAAAAGAAGGAGGGTAAGAGGAAAAGCATAGGGTCACCCTATTACCTTGTTTGATGTGTATTAAAGAAGTCCAAAATGCCCGTTAAAATCAGACGTTTATAGCCCTACATGTCTATGAGTGGGAAAAGCCCAATTGTGTTGACTTACTTTTCGAGAAATAAGTAGCAATTGATAAATAAAAGGAGGCACTTCTTCTACTTCAATTTGAGGCAATTTTCTAACCTTCTATTAGCAACAAGACATAGTACAATGCTACTTACTTGATCATGTATCTCAAGACGGCTTCTAATTGAGGGTTGGATAACTCCATATCATTCAATGCAGAAGCCATGCCAACCACTAAATAATCATGCCATTCTGCTTCTAATAACCTGTCAAACAGATCACTTAATTCAATCACTTTTTCTGCTGCAGCTAATATGTTCCATATCTTGACAAATATGTCCAACAGACGCAATTGAACTTTCTTTTGTTGAATTGCATGCGTTATTGTTCTTGCTGCATCACGAAGGATCCATGTAGGCAGACTCTCGATCTATTCATAAGTAAGCGGGTTAACAAATCGTTATTCTTACTTCTGGTAAGATGAGATTGACAACTAGAGAAGCTTGTTTTGATTTCTCGGGCGATTCTCTCTCTTCATCACTTAACCTAAACAAAATAGGGTTATCCTTAAGAAGGTATCACAAAAGAAAGACATACCATTCAATTATGCATTGAAGTAACATGGATCGACGTTGAATACAACTCTGACCTCCGTCTATGGGAGAACCTTGCTTATGATTAAATACACTTGTTTCTATTCTGAATACCTTGAATCAAAGCCCTTAAAAGTAATAAGGTATCCACATCATTGCTTGCATGATAATCATTCAATTTATGACAAACAAGTTGAGTAAACTATAAAGAGTTTAATTTACTTGGAAACCAAAAAATAGTATTACTTCTTCTTTTGATTGTTGATCCAAATATTCAACAAGACGCTTTTTATCCGCTTGTTTACTAAGCTTAAAAATCTCGATATCCATCTTTTTGAATGAAAAAGGCAACTGCGCGCGTATCAAGAACGCGTCTTTTAAAAATGGTTTGTGACTGTAATTGCTGATGAACGAAGGTTACGTTTTCATTGGTGCATGTAAAACTTAAAAAGGTCGAAAAAAAATATTTTCGCTCGCTCTCTTCTTTTTCTTGCTCACTCGAACGCAACAAAAAAAAAACGTACAGAAAAAAGAAAAGATTGTCTCTAGCATATACATGAATTCTACCCAATCCCAGGCTTCTACTAATTCTAAACCCGTCTTGCATGGTGTAAAAATTAAACAAAGAAAAGTAAAGTATATAACGATAAAATCAATTATAGAAACTTAGACTGTATGTTTATATAGGGTGTTCAAAAAGCAAACGCTAAGCACGAGCCTGAGAGTAAGTCCTAAGGAGGAGTTTTATTTATAGATGGAGACTAAAATGAGATATATTTAGTTTTTAGAGATCAATTACTTGTCCATTTTAAGACGATCAAAGAAGGTGATTTTGAAGCTGTCTCTGCCAAACTAGATACTCTCGGAAACACACTTGACTATCGTAAATACGGTGACTCTCTTTTTGAAGTTTTGATTACGGGTGGTATTTTAGAACCTGGAGGAATTATTGACGATGATGCTGAACGAAGCCCTTTCTGCATTTTTGCAGCAGAAGATGATGCCGCCGTGATTAAGAAATACGTTGACGTCTTTAACAAATTGATTCGTCGTTACAAGTATTTGCAAAGAATTTTTGGTGAAACCTTGCAAAACATTTTGCAGTTTATCAACAAATGGCAAGCAGAAGAAAACTCGAAATTGGCCAAGGCCACAGGTCTCCTTATCTGCAGTCAACTTGTGCCTTCTTCTGTGCTCAAGGTGTTGTTGCAAGACTATTTAGTCAAGGACGGTCATGCCTTGAACTTCACGACGACTGTGTTCCGTACCGTGTTGGATGAACAAAGTATTGAACAGTTGGGTCGTGCCTTGACTGCCGAAGGTTTGAATTCCCGCCTGATCGAATTCTTCCCTCCCAACAAGCGTGATGAAGACTGTTTGGTGCGTCACTTTGAAGCTGAGGACATGAAGGAATTGGTTGACTATTACCGTAGAAACAAAAAGAACTCCATCAAGGGTTTTCTTTTGAACGAATTGTCTGAAAAGATGCAAGATGAAGATGCTACGGATGCTGAAGTATTGAGTCTGATTAAGAGCAGTATCAAGGATGCTGGTTTAACAGAAGCTGATGTAGTAGCCATCATTTGGCAGTCTTTGATGAGCACAGTTGATTTACTCAATACCCGTGCTGACCAAATTGAGTCTCAAGTATTGCGTTCCATCACTCAATGGTCCAAAGTGTTGGAAGCCTTCTGTAGTTCTCCCAAAACTGAAATTGTCCTTTTACAAAAGGTTCAATCTACTTGTTATGAAGATGTCAAGTTGACCAAATACTTTCGTCGTTTGATTCAGACGCTTTACAAGAACGATGTCTTGTCCGACAATGCTATTCTTTACTGGAATGACAAGGCTCATCTTGCTCAAGGTAAAACACTCTTTTTGAAGCAAATGGAACCCTTTGTTACTTGGTTAAGAGAAAATGAAGATAGCAGTGATGAAGAATAAACAAGTTATGCTTTAATGCTACAGAGTTTGGCAATCATGCCTGATAATTGAATTATACTTTGATGTCCATCCAAAATACGCATGTGTGTAAAGCCAATTTCCTTGAGATAGTCTAGTCTAAGTTGTTCACTGATGTCAATATAGTTTCTTGTTACACGAAAAATGGTAGTAATGATGTCTAGTGCAGAATAGCCTGCATCATACAGTTGTTCAAGACAAGTGACAGCTTCATCAACATTGCCTTCAGAACAACATTTGAGGACATGTTGAATGATAACAGGATGAGGTTGATCACAAATCTTGAAGACATTATCAGCATTGACGTGTTTAAAACCATAGTGTGTAGACTGTAAATTATTCACAGCTTGACGCATATCGCCATCAGCTGTAAAGATCAAAGCTTCTAAGCCTTCATCTGTATAGTCTACCTAACACAAGATCAACATCACGTTATTACAGCAATCGCATTACCTTTTCCATTTCACAAATCTCTAATAATCGCTGCAAGATCTGTTGATCTGTCAATCGGTTATAACGTAATACAGCACATCGAGACTGAATAGGTTCAATAATCTTGTTTGACTGGTTACAAGCCAAAGCAAAACGCGTTGTGTTTGAATAGATTTCCATGGTTCTACGCAATGCTTGTTGAGCACCACCTGTCATGCTGTCTGCTTCATCCAGAATGATAATTTTGTGTCTACCAGGTGGTAAAGTCACTTTCTTTTGTGCAAATGCTTTGATCCTACTTCTCACGACATCGATACCTCTATAGAGTAACATGTAAGCCACCGTCTATGTATGTGTGTGTTTGTATGTATATTACCTATCATCAGATGCATTCAATTCAAGAACTGCATCTTTATAAGAAGGACCCAATAAATCATGGGCTAAGCATAAGATACTGGTGGTCTTACCAATACCAGGTAAGCCCTGTTCATCAAATGAGTACGATATCTCTTTTGTCTGTTTTTATCTGCTTACAGTCAAGATAATGTTGGGAAGATTACCGTCTCTGGCGATAGTCTCCAAACGAGAGACAGCATCTTCATTACCTACAATATCCTTGAGTTTAAGAGGTCTGTATTTTTCAACCCTGATGACCCATTAGAGCAAGATACTTTTTTTTTTTTTGTATGTTTCTTACCAAGGCATCACAAAGTCATCGGATGTAGTGGATGAAGTAGGTTGTTTATCGATATCCATAGAAGTCATCGTATTGATTTGAGAAAAAAAAAAGACGCGTTTTCGCGTTTTACTATGGATAATGATTGGACTGCTTTTCAACTTCCATTGATTGGTCATGATCTTTAAAAAGAAAGTCATTCGAAAAAAAATTCCTTTTTCTCTTCCCCTTCCCCCATTTTTTTTCTCTCTCTCTCTTTTCACTTGTTGATATGTCTGACAGTATTGCAAAGACATATCCTTATGCAAACACAAACAAACCCAAAGAATACTATGACTATGAAGCACTTCAAGTCACTTGGGGTAAGCATCTGGTATAAGAAATACGCATCTGATGACGAATAGATCACAAGACATGTATGAAATCTGTAAAAAGATTGGCAGAGGCAAGTACTCTGAAGTATTTGCTGGTGTGAATGCTTTGAATAAGCAAAAGTGTGTTATCAAGGTATTGAAACCTGTCAAAAAGAAGAAGATCAAGAGAGAAATCAAGATTTTGCAAAACTTGACAGGAGGCCCTAACATTGTGGGTTTATTGGATGTGGTTCGAGACCCTGAGGTAAGTGATTGTTGTAGAATCAAGAAAGGGGGAGAGAAACTTAAACATGTTTAGTCTAGAGTGCCCTGTTTGATCTTTGAGAGCATTGACAATATTGATTTTAGAGTGCTTTATCCTCGCTTTACTGATTTAGATATTCGCTATTACATGTATGAATTATTGAAGGCTCTTGATTACTGTCATTCTATGGGTATTATGCATCGTGATGTTAAGCCTCATAATGTGATGATTGATCATACAAAGAGACAAGTAAGTGAAAGCATATACACAGTCCATATGAATTGATGTCTTTCTAGATTCGTCTTATTGATTGGGGTTTGGCAGACTTTTATCATCCTGGGGAGAAATACAATGTCAGGGTTGCTTCTCGTTGTTTCAAAGGACCTGAATTATTGGTTGATTTTCATTATTATGATTATAGTTTGGATTTATGGAGTTTTGGCTGTATGCTTGCAGGCATGGTAAAGTGTATAGATATCAATGGATCCATAAGATAACAAAGAACTGTCATAGGTATTCCGTAGAGAACCCTTTTTTAGTGGTTCAGACAACTATGACCAATTAGTCAAGATTGCCAAGGTTCTTGGTACTGACAAGCTACATGAATATTTGACAAAATATGACTTAAAATTGCATCCTCATATTCAGAAAGTGATGGGAAAGTAAGTAGTTTGTTTTCTCCAAGTTATTCATGTGTATTAGATACCCCGTAAAGCCTTGGACTAAATTTGTGACATCCGAAAATGAAAAATATATGTCAGAAGAACTCTTTGATTTATTAGACAACTTGTTGCAATATGACCATCAAGATAGACCCACTGCACAAGAAGCCATGAACCACCCTTATTTCGGTAAACTGAAGCACACATATTTATTTTGTTCTGTTACTGATTCCTATAGCTCCCATTCGTGAGCAACAACAATAAATAAATAAAAATAATAATAAAAATAAAAATAAAAAAATTGGCTTAATAATTTCTTCTTGCTTTTGTTGTTGTGGATTTTATCCCAATCCGCGTTTTTTTTTTCTGCGACCAGGATGAGGTGCACCTTCTACTATTTTTCTTTCAAGTACAAAAGCACCTTCAGAAGATACAACAATGCCTATAAAAGAAGAGATGTTACATTAACCCTATAATCTATCTATGTATCTTACCTTGAGCCATATCTGCCATACAATAGCCTCCTAAATTAGCTTGCCAAAAGTAAAAGTCAGTAATAGCAGAACCAGCACTATAGAGATTCTCTAGATCACGTTGATGTTTCAAGGTCAATGGATGAAAGTCTTGTTCTTTAATCACTCCCCATTCAGGATGATATTGTTTTGTAGGATCCAATACAGGTGGAGGAGGAGCCATGGCTGGGTTTGTCGTATTAATAGCTGGTAAAGGGGTCATAGTACTTGTATTTCGGTTATGAGAAGAAGAAGGTACAATAGTTGCTGGTGTTATTTCCATAGATGGATTATTAGGATATTCCATTGTAGACTGTTGAGATGACCAACGAAGCATACTATGATTAAACATTAAATGTTCTTGATCATTGCCAGATGACATTATACATAAACAAAGAGAAAGAAAAGCAGAATAATAACAATAACAGAAAAAAAAAGAACGCTTTATATGATAACTCACTCAAGAAAAAAAAAAAAAAAGGGGGAGGAAGAAAAGATATTCACGCGTATTTAATGTGTAAAATGCGTGTGTCACTCAGAAATAAGGGTGAATATCCGAGTTATATAAAATAGTTTCTTTAGGAGTTCTTATAGATGAATAAGTCATGTGCTATCCCTTGATATTATATGCTCCTATTTTCTATTATGAAATAAACTCCTTAAAGATCTGCTTTATCTATCCTTTCTCTATTCTTTTTTTTTTTAATAAGCCGATCAAAATGAGAATAAAAGATGGTCCGTGTTCAAAGTATCAAGATCATTTTGTCGTAGTTTAAAAAACAGCTACCCCCCTTTTCTTATATGAAAAACGAAATCATTGGCAAAGTTTCAAAACAATCAAAGAAGAACAAAAGGGGGTTTAAACATTGACAATAATGATGTCTTTTCTCCTCTTCTTTGTCAAGAAAAAAAACATCTCTTATTGGTCCAGACCTCTTCAGATATAAACAAATACGCAAAAAACAAAAACAAAAAAAAAGGCTAAAACAAACTTTAAAAAATGATTTTGAAGTTTAGTAGAACATCAATTTTTAAGCCCTTTTCTGGATTGTTGTGTGCCACAGTCATTTTCTTGTTGGACGAACCCAACATTTCCCTTACTATACATTCATGCAGTATATATACTTAGTTGTCAATGAATACCTTTGTCATATCTATCTTGTTTGATTCTCATGAAATACAAAAGAGGAAGCATATCATGACTTACTCTTTTGCAATGAAGAAAAGTGTTGTAAAGAAAAGATGCATTTTGTTTTTAATGACAGAGAAGACGAATGACTTATTACAAATGAATTTATGTATATGTGTTTTTTGGCGATCAATGGGTCATAGAATTTTTTAGAAGCATAAAGAAAGACAGAGGGGGGGGGGGAGTAGAGAGAAAGTGACCATAAAAAAGAGCCGAGATGAACAAGTGTTATTAAGTCGAATGATTCTTGGTTAATGTGTTACTGCGTACATTATTTAGTATACTCGGGAGTCATTGAATTGCTCTCATTGGCTATTTTTTATTATGAAAATCGTCTTTAAGCCAAACAAGATCTTCCTTTTTTTTCTCAGTTGCTAAACTTCCTGAATGACGACAAGTAAGCCTCTCATGTTCACTCTATTCACTTTGTCACCAATTCTTACTCTAGTTGTAGTACACTTCATCTAGATGCTGATTCTATTATTATTATTATTATTATTATTAGTGTATGGGGGACCGAACTCCAGAGTTTATTTAAAGCTCTAAAAAACGCTTTGTTGAGTGGCAGAAGAGATTGTTTCCAAACACTGTATTACGTTCTACATGACAAAAGTACGGCGGACTTTATTTGGTTACTGAATATGTATTGCTTTTTCAACAAGAGAAACACATAAATAAATGATAAATGTGAAAGAATAGCATTCTATTCTATATGTACTTCTTGACATGGAATTCATTGTATGTATATGTATAAAAAGAAGACAAAAAGTAGCCCAATTTTGTTTATGTGCTTCTACAAATAAAAACAAAAGATTGTACTACAATGCGCTCAACATCTTTCAAACTTTGATTTATTATCTGGCATTCCGATTTCCGAGACTTTAATTGAAAAACGCCATAGTAAACAGGCTTCTCGATGGAAATCTGTTTATTTCGAAATTCTTTTTCAAACAGGGAAAAAAGAAGTTTGTGAGAATAGGCCTTATTGTTATACAGAAAAAGAGAGAAAGTTGACAACGAATAAGTAGAAATGCTTTTATTTTATATAATTAATTTTTTTTTTAGAAAGTGCGTTTTATGATATATAAATGATTGACATGTGTGTAAATGTGTATATGGATGTATAAATGTGTGTTTTCAACAATATAATAGTCATAATTTTTTTCTGAGATAATGTATTTACATAGATTGCTTGGTATAATGAAATTATTTTGAAGAGGGAAAGATGAATTGCATCCACTTCATTTCAGCAAAGGACAGGTACCACGTTTATGGCCGTATTTTCCGCACCAAGTACTTTGGCAGGATGTTAGACACAAGCAAATGATGAGACTAGAGACTTACCATTGACCTCCTTGTAAGTTTAATGGTTTAATATATTGAGACATTGGTTCGTTTGGTTTTTAATATAGAAAACAAAAGTAAATATGAACGAAACAAATAAAAAAAAAAAAAAAGGAAAGTGAAGGCAAAATTAGGCCCTTTTATAACCAAAAAAAAAAATTCGGATGACTATTTAATTCTTAGACTTTTTGAACAAAAAAAAAAAAAAAAAAAACTTTTAACATGAAACAAATGGAGTGCAGTCCTTTTTACGGGTACGATTTGAATTGTATTTTCTTACCAAGTCTTCGTTATGCTTTTGTTACATTGATTTTTTCCTTATATCACATGTCATTAACTTGACATTTGAACAGTATTGAATGAAAGGCTTTTTTCCTTAGAATAAATGATTTAATCATCTCATCATATAAATCAGTATAAACAAACACGCAACAACCACATTATTGTTTAATGTCAACTAAACAACACTTCATAAATCTTCTTTATAAACAAACGGGACAGATACAAAAAAGGTATAAAAGCAAAATTATTTTATGAATCTCGATTTGTTTATAAAAGCGGCGTAATGAGAAAGAATGGTAAATAAATAAGAAACAGTAACTATCCCCCTTTTACATAAAGATTTGTTTAGATCAAATGGTCTGTGCTATTATTCAGAAGGGCATCGTAATTATAACGCACTGAGTATAAAGGATTGTTTGTGTTGTTTTGTTAGAGTGGGCTGAACTTTATTAAAGTTTTGTATGATGTAAAATGACCGCAGACATTGTTTTTTTTTCTTCTTCTTCTTTGCTTATGTTTATATCATTGAATTCATAACGGACTAGACTATGCTTATGAATGATACACATTAAAGTGTTTGTTGATTCAGTGTATTTCTCTTTTTTTCAAAACACAGAATGAGAGAAACAGATTGAAATATAAGCTCATGTCCATTGCATTTACACAACAATGTCTTTTTTTGTTCCTGTGATATGGGCCTTTGTGCTACAGTTCTTATTTAGTTTAGAATGGTCTGAGCTACATCATTTTTGATAGTTTGTTTCTCGATTGAAATCGTAAGATTAGCACAATAAGTCTTTTTGTTTATTTACTATGCATCCAAGGCTGTCTTGATAAGGATAGTAGAAAACAATGGCTATAGAAACATAAAGAAATTATTTTTGTTAGAAGTTAAAGTATGTTTTGCTATTGTTACACAACCAAAGTGCCTCGAAATAAATTACACTGTCTATGAAATAACAGCCATCAAGTGCTACAGCCCATCAAAGAAACACAAGTAGAATTAGGGTATAGAAGAGTATCATGTGTTTAAAAGGGAACTTTAGTACTTTCTTCTTCATTTTGGTTTTGTCGCCATTAATGGTATTATTCGATATGTATATTTTCGTCCGACGAGATTGTTTACAACTGCGGTTGTTGTGCAAGAGCCAATTATTATTTCTTTGTAGGGAATAGTCAACTACGAAAACATTTGAATAAGGCGACTAGAACTAAATGTTACAGACAAGACTATATGTAGAGCAAGACGATTGAACGGAGTAAAATGAGGATACGAGCCGCTTGAAAGGAGTAGTGTTCTGTTCATTCCTTTCAACAGAAACCAAACATGAACTTGCATTCTATTGAAAAGCTGTGTTCATGAAAAGTGGTTGTGTACTGCGGATTCTTTTTACTTTTTTCCATCAAAACTTCCCATGCTACAAATGGGAGGCTTGGTTATCATATAGAATCCATATGGATACACGCTAATGTTGTATGTCATAAAGCACTATTGCCAAGAATCGTATCAACAAGGAGAAAAGCGTCAAAGAGAAAAGAACACATGCTCGTTGCTTATGAACATAAGCTATATCATCAGGGAATTGGATACGTGCCCATCGTTCTATCGCTCTAGATTTACACTAAACCATAATGCAGTAGTCTGGTTAAATTACTGTAGTATGATGAATCTCTAAAGTGTTATATGCCCCCCCCCAAATGGCCCAATCTATTTCGTACAACGACAATAATCTCTGCCATCATCCTGTAGGCCATTTCGTAAAGTGAATGAAAGAAAACATACACTGCTTACGGAGTCTTTCTGTTTCAGTAATGTTACAGAATTTGTAGTCGTGTTAGGCTTGTTTTTTTCTTTTACACCTTTCTCGCACTCAAGTCCATCTTATGATATACACCCGCCTTATTGTCTTGTACTTATAACGATATATATAAACAAATTTATTAAACAAAAAAGGGTATACTCAAGAACAAAATCGATTAACAATACCTAGTGTAACCAAGAAAAAGAATGATTTGATCCAATAGTTCTGATACAAGGTTTTGTACCATGTTTGATCTAAAGTTTCTTCAACCAATTCAAGAATAGAATCTTCACTTATACGTCCATCTTCTTCAAACTTGTTAGGTGCATCATGTCTTTCTATAAAACTATGATGGCTTGAAGAAGATGAGCTTATTGAACCATGTTCTTCTTGAACAGTGGGTAAGAGAGGAACAGCGTCTACAGTAGTAGTCATTTTAGTAGTTTTGGTTTGTGCACCAGAGCAAATCCATTGTGTAATGGCACCAGTAGCTTGACTTAAATAATAACAAACAAAGAAGAAGACAAGACTAGACACTACTAAATTCAGCCACCAGCCCATACTTGACTTGGTAACCCAGCTTGCTTGAGGCAACACCACTAAAAGTCCCCGTGTATCGGCTGCGAGCCACATGTGGAACTGGCCAATAAATGTCTCAAGCGAGATGTTGCCAATGAACGCAAAGAAGCGAGAATGCGTGTTTCTCATCGACCGAGTAAAGTTACGAAGGACAATGAATGAAACAATAGGAATCCAAGAGATATAGGGGTGGTATGTTGTGTAAGTGATTTTGGACTGAAGCAATTCGAACCAAAAGAATCCAAACAAACCAAGGAAAGAAGCCACAAGCGCACCCATCTTACATCTAGACCAGATACGGGCATGTAGGTCGTGTTCTAAAAGTTGAATGGTAGAAAAAGCGACAAGCATTCCGACATAAACAATCCAGCAATCGAGTGAGAGTCTGAAACGCCATTCAGTCACATTCCATTGGATCTTGAAGAGCCATTCTAGTCCCTGAAACACAGCTTCTAGAACACCAGGGTAGTGAATAATAAAGGCTGTCAATAGAGACATGAAAACTATCTTTGACAAAATAAACCAAGTCTTGTGATTATATGCTGACATAATTCGCATCGTGAGCCAGATAACACCAAACCAAAAACTGACCAATGGTGAAAAGTAGTAAAACAGATAATCAGTCTTCATCAGATAAGCCAAAACACAACTCAGTAAGTTTAAGCGAACCATCACATTCAATATACGACCGATACTAAAGTCCTTTTTCGTATAGAAAAAATAAAAGTGACCATAACCAGTTTGGAACAAATAGGCTGCTACCAGTACACGCACAGGGTTGTAAATGCCTGCTATATGAGACGCACCAGTAAAATGGTAAATAAGGATAACGAGTTGCATCCAACCCTTCCATTCTTCTGTTTGATTTCGATTCAGGAAACCAGCATCGCCTTCAGTTTGAGTTTTTAGTGTAACCAAGCCAAGAGTAGCCATTGTAGCCATGAGAACACTGAATGTAGCTATATCAAATTGCTTAAAGATTTTGCCAAACAACTGTGTTCGATCTCCAAGGTACATGTAAGTAACAGCCAAGCCAAAGACAAAGAAAGCACTCAAGATTTCAGAATGGTCTATGGAGATGCAATTTAACCAGGCTAATGAGAATCCTATTGTCAATAAAGTTTAGTACCTGAGTTATTCTCAAGAGACTTGTAACATTAAAAAACAAATTACCAAATAATGATGATGATGAACAAGCAAGAAAAGTACAAAGAGGTATGAAAATCAAAAAGAAACAGAAGATTGTGCTTTGGTACCATGTTGGTCTAGGATAGGAGTAGCAACAAGTCGTGTCTGTTGGATAATGGCTATTTTTTTTGTCAGAAATGAAATCATTGCAGCGATAATTTAACACCAATTGTGCTTCAGCTTGAGTAACAGGCTCTTTAAAATGAAGGCCATCAGCTGTTTGATTCTTGGAGGACATTACAATCTCGTTCCAAACAAATGGTACGACAAGGGGTGTGACAGATTGACCAAAGGCAGCTTTGCGTTCTTTAAGGTAGTTGTTCATAATGTTTATCTTGTCAAACGTAAGTGTTGCTTTGCGTTCTGGGGTCATGAGGTCGTATTCAACTATTTCTACTGGCGATAGCATCACTCGATCAGCAATGTGATGATGAAGTGCACCATCAAACACTCTATCCACCGCTTGCTTCCAACCAGTAAGATAGTCATGACCAAGTTTTCTCATGTACCATATGCCAGAACCAATAATAAGTATACTAGGTGGTTCTTGACCTTTAGGTCTTTTTGCTTCTAATAAGTCTATTGTTTTAGAAGTATTCAGGTAAGGATCCCACCACATTTCGATTGTGATGTTGTAGGTTTTATAATACACTTTCTGATCTGCATGAATAGCATCTTCAGAAGGTCTTCCAGGTCTTAGAAATTGTGTCATAGCATAGTATTGTTCTCTCATAATAGAATCACCAATATAAATGATGCGAGAACTACCCAAGCAACTTCCAATGTCTTTCTTTCTATAGGTCTTTGACATACAGCCAGCAGGTTGCCATTGCTTGTATTCTTCTGTTAGCCATTTGCCTTTATTTAGCATGCTATGACATCGAGTATTGTCTTGAGGCTCTAGGTAGCAAAGTTATTACATAATGTCACATTTAACCTGTTCTCTTTACCGGTAATATATCTTGTGGTTGATAAACAAAAGACAACCAGTCCTAAAGCAAACAAGAGTCTTGGTACAATAACAAATTTGTTCTGTATAGTCATTATAGAAAACAATAATAATAAAAAAGAACGAAAAAGAAAAACTTCTATGAACTTTTAAAATAAGCAACATGGAAAACTTAGAAGATCACTTTTTGTTTCGTACTTTACCTGTTATGTCTAAGAAGTCAACCGGTAATTTAATTAGTCCCGTCGATCTCTTTTTTTTTCTTTTTTTTTGTCATACCTTGTATTTTATATACGAACAAACTTTGATGATTTTAATCAAGTCTAACTTTCGTTTTTATTTTAAATAAAAATACGTGCATAAATTAACTGACCCTTCTCTCTCTCTCTCTCTCTCTCTCTCTCTCTCTCTCTCTCTCTCTCCATTTAAACAAAACCAAATGGTGAAATGTAAATGCCCATTTTATGGATAGACAGTGACACAAGGTATTATAAAAACATTGATACGAGAAACACATGCTTTCCTTTAGTGGTAAAATATATAAGCTTTGTATTAGATTACATCATTAAATCACTCCCTCTTTAAAACCTGACTCCGAAACTAAAACTAGTTTTCAAGACAAGTTAAAAGCTGCCAAAAAATCACGGTTATGAGTATAATTCTTCATGATGTCTTTGAGGACTTCATTGTCGTTGACAAACAGTGATCTTCTTTGAGTCATTGCCTTACCACCACTTGACTTGGCTGTGTTACTCTGTTGTGCTTCTTCAGTGTCCACACTAATTCCCAGCACTTGATCCAGTTTAGCAGTCTTGAAATCAATTCTTTTTTCCAGGTACGGGTACAACACAGAAGGATCAAGTCGTGCTAAATAACCTTCTGAGAGAATAGACTTTAGAATTTCTGGCTTTACTACAAAAATATTGCCAAGTTGTCGAAGCATTTCAAAACGTTCATCAAGGGCAGGTATCTTGAACATACGAATCACTTCTTGATATTTAGCTATATCCCTAATACATTTATGTGAGTTCACTTTTATATTATCCTTCAATAAGACTACTTTGTAACTAATAAGCCTCCAGTTGGTGTGACATAAAATCGTTTGAAATGTTCCAATAACATACTATATGATATCAGTCAAGAACCTTATCATGTCAAAGTACTTACGAATGAAATGCATTGCCTACACGTCGAAGGAATGCTTCAAAATTCTTTCCCTGAAGTGAATCAGCAGCAGATCTGTAGACGCGGGTGATGAAATCAATAGATTGCATACAGGGTGATGTGCCCATGCTCATCATGGCCCCTTCTTCATCCTTGGGTCTGAAATCATTCTTTTTTTGATGGCTTAATAGCTCACTTAGCCAATAAGTGATGCCCTCGACACTCTTTTGAAGTACAATATTGATTTTTCGCTCTAGTGTAGCCATGAATGTATTTTTGATACTCAGAACATCCCGGTGTGTGGATGGGGCACTTGCCACAAGTGGTAACTAATAAAAGATTATTCTCTTGACATGTTGCTTTTTTCAGTAAATAAATTACCATAGCTGATTCAAAGTGTTTCTGCATTAAGCGAATAATATCAGCGGAGGATTTGATCACATGGAAACAAGTTAATTCGGGTTCCTTTTGATTATTGAGGTCGTCTAGAATCCTTATTATCTTGTTAGGCCCATTCTATCCCCCTTTTTTTTTCACTTACTCATCAATAGCAATATCAAGGTATTTTTGGCCAATAAAATCCACAAGTACGTTGTAGATCTGTTTGATTGATGTCACTCTGCGCAGGTTGAGTATAATGCTCATTGTATCATTAGTTGACTTACAAGTCTTGAACATCTTGTAGTTCCACACACCGAATAACGGCTTCAGCATGAATATTTAAAATACGCATGATGGCGTCTTTAGACAAAAGAGTAAAGCCGCTATCATCCACTGTTACTATATTTGAAGCTTCCTCACGAGTCGTCTTCTCAAACGGGTTTGGGGATGATACCGGGTTATTCATGTCGCTAATAGCTTGTGTTGATACAGAAGGTGACAAAATACCAGTGGATGTAGAAGAAGATATCTGATTTAATGTACGAGCCAATACAGACTGGTTGCGTGTGGAAGTCATTTTGCGTCGTTGCTACAAACAACAGTTATTATTGGTAGAGTCATGATTCAAGGGCTTACCATGGCACTAAGGAATTCAGCTACGATCTTTCCAAACAACTCGTTTAAGGATTCAGTCTCCTTCTTTAAATAACGATCTCCTTCAGTATAAGGAACAAACAAATCATCCATGCATCTATCTAAAGTTTCATCGGGAGAAGTAGAAGTAACAAGGCCATTGACGTCTGCTGCATCTTTCAGGGAAACTTCCTTATCACAATAGAACTTGAGATTCTCAATCAAACGCTTCGTTTCAGCATGAGTAGAAGAAAGTGTACGTAGATAAGCTAAAGGAGAGTATTTTTTTGATTTGGACAACAAGAGTTCGATATGATCTTGAATCTATAAAGAAATGAATGAGCCAAAATTGTATATGTGTAGACATTATACCGATTGAGCAAAGATTCTTTGAAGCAAGACTTGCATGACAGTCGCTGGTTGAGGAAATACACTCGAAATAATACCAGCTTCTCGGCGTACAGTAATGCGAATATCATCATATAGTTTAACAAGACTTGTGTCTACCTCAGGAGGTGGGATATTAGGATTTGACAAGTCAGCATGGCTAGTCTTATTAGTCTATACACAAATGTGTTGTTCAATCACTTACTCTTCAGAATCTCTAACTTGATCCATTTCTTCAATTCTTATGCTTGACATAAAGAATTCATGTTGATTTACATAAGTTTGAACACAAGAGGCACCACCATTGAATTCAAACAAGACTTTGGCACAATGCTTTTCTGAATGTATAAGTGATTTTTGTTTGGAATACATTGACTTACTGCCATACTACGAGGATCTCCTTCCTCATAAGCCTTGTCAAAATCTTCTAAAATTTCTTTTTCAAAACTTTCACAAAACTTTTCAATAGCAATTCTTGCTTCTTTATCATTGTCTACTTCTTTAGCTACAGCATTCAATCTTCTTCCAACAATAGCAGCCTAAATAGACATCAATCACTGTCGGACATTATGTTGTTTACCTTTAATTGACCTTCTTCACCTCCTTGACGCAATGTATCCAATCTTTCAGTATTTCCCTCTTGAAATTCCATAAAATACTCAATCACGTCTCGACTTTCAGATGCCTTTGATCTTTCTTTATCAATCGTCTCTAGTTGCTCACCAATACGAATAGCAGTTTTACCAACATCACCTATCCTACTTTCTAAACTATCATAAGAACGATAAACATCCTGCAATAAGTTTAATTAATTCCTCCCTGTCCGAATAATGGCCTTATGCTTACTTCAAATGCTCCATGGAGATCAGTAATATTTCTTTTGTATTCTAGTTCTGCTGCTTGAGTACTGTTCTCAAGTTCACTGCACTGTTCTTGAACACGTGTCTTTAACTGTTGAAGTTCTTCCAAGACACTTTCAAATGTCCGAATAAATGGTTTTGGGTCTAAAGCAACAGCTACAATAAACCTTAGTAAAGGGTCATCATTGAAAGTGATTATATTACAGTTTCCGTTGACATCTTTCATCTGATCAAGGACACTGGCCGAAATCCTTTCAATAAAGTCTGTTGTAGAGACATTTTCCTATATTAAGTTGAGATGCCTAATCTTGGGCTACTGCAAACTCACTCTAAACGTTTCTATGGTTAATAGACCCTTTATTTCTGGAGCAAGCTCATAAAAGGGGTTATTAGAAGACATCATGTATGGAGTCAAGAAAAAGAAGGTTAAAGCAAGAAGCCAAATTCAAATTTATAGCGGCGTGTCAATTATGAAGGTAACACTGCCTTGAGACATTTATTTGATAATATTTCAACTTGTTTGTTCTCATAAGCAATGTTTCTTCAGGGCAATCATATTTCCTCTTTTGTTAATGACTGATATTTGCTTTCAGAAAAAATCCGGATCAACTTGTATAAGTATTTTATGTTGACTATACGGTTGTTTATTAATATGATAATACTTGTAAAATCAAAAGGTACATATAGATTGAAAAAGGTTTTTTTAATGACCACAATTTGGAGAATTATTATATGTCTCTCATAACTCAGAATACACCGTGACCAATGACAGATTCCTTACTGGGGTTCTTAAGCTTGTGGATGTGTGCGGAACTGACTCTGTCGGCCTAATTGCATGTTACACAACACTACCACCAAAGACAAAACCGCGTTTGCTATCCACACTGTGGCTCTCAACCTACTTCTTTTTGTAGGGTTTAGGGAGCACCGGTACTAAAATGCAATCGATATTTTTTTTTGATGTTGTAATTAAAATGAAAATTTATGATTTATTAAACCAACCAGACCATGTATTACGCTGCTCGGGTTGTCTTGCTTCTGTCCACATAAAAGTACCATTATTTCTTCCACTACCATTACCTTCTCTTCTGGATCGAGATTCGTGTATTTTTCGAATAAGAGGCGTCCAAATATATTGCTCACCATAAGTCAAGTAACCAATACCTAGACTAGCACCAGCCAAGTGTGCCTTATAGAAAGAATGAGTTGCATAGTAATAATAATAATAATAATAATAATAGTGATGGGCTTACAAAATGATCAAACATTCTCCATTTAAACAGAATACCAGCTGCATCAAAGGCCATTAAAGCAGGAAGTGCAAATCTAGGTTAAAAATAATGAGAACTGCCTACAATTAGATATAGGCTTACCCTAATTGAATGGGAATCATGGGCAAAAAGATCAAACTAATACTTGAATTGGGATACATAATGGCTGTAGCAGCTACAAGTGAATAAATAGCACCGCTAGCACCTAGACTAGGCAGCAATGGTCTTGAACGTCTTAATGCCAGACTACACACATGACTGATCACATTGGCACCTACACCAGCACCCAAATACATAGCAATAAACTGTTCTCTACCAAGAGCATCATGCACCACCTTACCAAAAGACCATAAACCCACCATGTTCAATGTAAAATGGAAAAACTCTTGGTGAGAGAAACAGCTGGTCAACAAAGTGATGTTCTTTTTGCTGCCTGGCAGATGCAAAAACCATTGACTCATCAAAGAAGTCAAGCGAGGTACTTTCCAAAGACCAAACACGACTGTATTGATCGCAATCAGTCCTGCCAGGGTTTTTTCAGCTTCAGACATGGATGTCAGTTTCTCGCCCACCATCCATAAAGCACGTTTGATGTCTGTAGGTAAGTGCATATTGTCTAAGCGTCGAGCAAGATTCTCTAGTATTGCACGTCGTCTTTCGATTATCATGTCCCTTTTTTCTTTCCATAATTCTGTCAGTAATGACTCATCGCTTATTCCAAAAAGGGACCATTGTCGAGAATGAGCTCGGATACGATCCCATAATGTTTGTTGATTACGGTCAAATACAGTGCCTGCTACCATAAAAGTACCTGCACAGAGTGTAATGCCATACAAGACAGGACCCATATATCGTACATGAGGGAATCCATGTTGAGCTGGCCATTGTGAAGAAACGGGTAGTGGTGTCTTTGGTACCTGTGCTGTAGCATTTAATTGACGAGGGAAAGCAATTGATTTTGAAATGTGTACATGTCGTGTATAGATCGTACTATAAGCTGTACGTATACTTGGTGAATTCTTGGAAAGGAGTCTAATCATAACCATGATAAAAGAAACAGACTCTAAAAAAAAAACTGTATAGCTGCGTATTGAGTTCCAATAGAATCCAGAGTCCGTCTTATTCCTCTTTTCTCTTTCTCTCTTTTTTTTTTTTTTTTTTTTTTTTGCTTACAGTATTATGTCTAGGTATAGAAAAAGCATCAACTGATCATGAACTAAAGAAGACAACAGAAATCGTATTACAGCAGGTCCCAAGTCAATTGTATGTCAAGAAACAGAACTTAAAGGCGAGATTTCAATAGGCTCAGGTACAATAAAGACCATGACGCACTTGATATTGATGTAAAACATAAGGCACTGTATTACACCCTCAATGTCGCATTATTGCCGAGAGTGGACCTATCTATATAGGCAAAAACAACATTATTGAAGAGAATGTGGTCATCTTTAACAAGTATGTTCTATTCTTAAACGCGATCTGACTTTGCTTAGAAACTCAACTCCACTTGTGATTGGCGATGATAATGAGTTTGAGGTTGGATGTCATGTAGAAGGAACACGCATCGGCAACAACAATGTGGTAGAAGCAAGAGCACGTATTCTAGGCAGTACAGCCATTGGAAATTACTGTGTGATTGGTGCTGCCTGTGCCACAGAAAGCAACGAAACCATTCCTGATCTCACTGTGATTTATGGACTTGAATCCAAAAGAAGAACTCAAAGTGAACCTTTACCTGTAAGTTGATCTTGAATAACGCCAACTCATCTCTATTAGACACAAGCTACACTGCATACCCGGCATCTAGACTATCTTCGTGAAGTCTTGCCAAAATACAATCATTTGAAAAAGTTAGAAGCATCCTAAATTGAATAAACTATATATTATTTATACATCACACCAGCCATTGACAGGTAAACAAGAAAGGTATTTACAACCAGGGCATACAGCAGATAAGTCACTGGCTTGATAAAATGCTTGCAAGACAACAATAAACAAGACAACAATAAGGACGAGTGAGATCACTTTACAGATCCATGTTATCATCTTTGCACGAGCAGAAGCAGTAGACCGAATAGAAGAAAGCAAAGTCCCAAGCAATAAGCCCATCACGAGCCCACCAATGTGTGCAAAATTATCAAGGCCTGGAAGTAAACCCAAGACCAAAGAGACCACGACCACAAACAGTAATTGGGCTAATTCACGCCCAGGTCGCTTTGTTTCTCTCCAACGGAAAAGTAAATCGACTACAGTAAATCCAACAATACCAAAAAGTGCGCCTGAACAGCCCATTGAAGCTATTTATAGAATCTTTAGTATACATCATGCTAAGGCTCTAAAAAAAAAAAAAAAAAAAAAAAAAAAAAAAAAAAAAAAAAAAAAAAAAAAAAAAAAAAAACTTACACACAGTAGGACCAGCCAGTAATGCACTAAGAACAAAGCCAAAAACACCAGAGCCAAGATACAAGATGGCATAACGAATACTGCCCAAGATACGTTCAATATCACTACCAAGCGAAAAGTGTGTAATCAAATTCATCAAGATGTGAACAATACCCGCATGAAGAAAGATACTGGTAAAGAAGCGAAAACTTTGGTTTGGTGTACCACCTTGGAAGCCACCAAAGCCGCACAACTCTTCAATGGTGCATGTAGATTCTGTACTAGCATAACAATTGCTAATTGAAGTAGAAGCAGAGTAAGATGGGATAGATCGCATGCAAGGATCAAATTTACTTCCCATATTGACCAAGGCCTATAATGATAAGTAAATCAAATAATCAGTCATCACTTACCATGTAATTGGGACCCACCATAGGGTTAAAGGGAGATGTCTGGATGGCACTGCCTGTCAATTGAGTGTTTCTGATAAGTTCATAAACAAAAGTAGCAATCATGGCAATGGCAGTTAAATATGTAAATGAAGCAAATCGTGAACCACCAAACAATTGTCTATAGAGCAAGCTTCTACGGGGTGCTTCTTCAAACCGTTGAAAAGGTGGGGTATTTCCTCCTTCAATATCATTTGGGTGTTGGTATCCTTTGAGTCGGTTCATAAAAGTACCAGCCCGGCTTTGTCCAATAGGTGGTGGTGGTACGGATGAGGCTGTGACAATTTTTTCATTGTGATAGTCTTGGTCTGTTGAAAATGGTTGTTGTTGTTGTGGTGGTGGTGATGTTGGTGGTACAAAGCCACTTGTAAGTAATGCACTTGTCACTGGCGCGGCTGAAGCATTGTATTGATGTTCATCTTCTTGAAAAGTAGGACCATATGTCTCATTAATTTTCTTTTCATCCAATTTAATCTCGTCATGATTTTGCTCTTCTTCTTCTTCTTTTTGATTGATTTGTTGGTTAAGTGGGGAGGGTTTATTATTAGCTACAGAAGGGGAGGGCAAGACAGGAGAAGAAATGAGAGAAGAACTATCATCATGATAGACAGGTGTAGGCAAGATCGAAGGCGATCTGGTCGAGAAGTTAACATGAGGAGATTCAGGAACTTGGGTCTCTTGTTGTTCACGAAAAGGGTTATGGTCTTTGTTAGTATCGCTCATTTGGTAAAGGTGATAAAATACGAGAAAGAAAGGAATAGTAACAGGTTTATATAGTTTTTATTTTTATACATTGGGCTTGGAATCAACGACTGACTTTAAATACAATATGGCTTTAAGATTTGTTTGGTATAATAGCAACATCACTTGAAAAGAAAATGTCAGGACGACACTCTTCAATGTCTTCATTGTTGCCATGATATTTCTCAATAGTATCTTTCTGTTGTCGATATCCAAAAGGTATTGTGTTGCTTTTACTTTTCGAGAAAGTCGATATCTTGATAGTGTTGTCTTTTCCATTACTGCTTTCGTGTGATAAGCTTGAGAAGAGTCGCTCTGCCATGAATTCAATAGCACAATTGGGTGGTGGCCAAGTAAACATGAGGCATAGAATAAATCGCATCAGGTAATCAAAAACAAGATGTACATCAAACAAGTACCAGTCTTGGCAAAAGAACCAAATATAAAGTGCGCCAAATAATCCATACCAAATCATCTGGATCACCAAAAACCAGACCTATAGATTACATGATAAGTAACAACATAAGAAGGTTGATATGACTTACACCTAAAGAAGTTGTTCTTGACTGTCCTTTGTGTCGTCTTTGACTTCTGAACTGAATAAGTGTAGAAAACGAATAGATATATATGCCACTATCACAGGCAATGGCCACGCATACACCCGTAATAAACAGAGGACGAAAAGGAAAATCAGCATGTCTGATCAACAGAATGACTATTTGAGCAATAAGACAGCCCAAGGAACCACAAAGAGAAATCAGGGCTATAATAATATAAGGGTTTGTCCATTGAATTCCTTGGGGACGCAAGTGCTTGCCAACATCTAAATTAAGCCAAAAGTGTATAGCAAGCATTATCATCGTTGACAGTAAATAACAAAATGAATTCCAATGAAGTGGCATTCTTCCCATTTTTGTCATTGCATTCACAACGCATGAAGGAAGAGTAAGGACACAAAATGACAGTAAGACGTATCTCACTTTTTTTGGTTGACAAAAAGTTTTCCATGCAATGAGCAGTGTAATTAAAGCTTCTACACCGATAATAGTCAGGTATAATGCTTCTATTGTGGTTATATTCATCTGGTAATAAGGTATATATCGTCTGACGCCTATTTGGCGCTTAAATTCAAATAACAAAATGTATTGTTTGGTTGAAAAAGAAGAAGGAGGAGAAAGAGAAGCTTTTATGAACAAAATCAGAACTTTTTTTTATATCTTCTCGTGAATACATCCAAAATACACCAGTTGTTCTCTCTTCTTTGCGCAGTGTAACATTTTACTGCTTGGACCCCTAAGTTCACCAATGATGGTTACATGTAGCACCACTTAATTTAACTAGACCCTAGAAATGAGAACATTTCCAACTAATAAAAAATTCAATTTCTTTCTTTTTCTGTAACAAGTTGAATCTTCATAAAAGGAGCAGCAGTTTTTGGTACCTTTTTTTTTGTCTTCATTATGAACGAAAACATAAAGAAAAAAAAAAAAGAAAAAAGAAAAAGGAAGCTCATAAATAGATCTTTAGAAGCTCAGCTACCTTTTGTCTAGCCATTTCTGTTTATACAATAATAATAGATTATGCAATGTAACATAATAAAGAACGATTTTATATCAAATTGCAAGTTTCTTATTTTTTGAACTTTGACAGCAATACAGGCCTGGTATGTATGGCTTCGGAAATGATCAACTATTGTCATTTTTTTACTTTTCAAGTAACTCCAAACACACTTTAACAGACTAACTTCGTTTTTCTTTAACAAAAACTGAAAAACTAATATTAAAAGAAGCTTTTGACAAGCAATAAAAATATATCAAATTAATAAAGTCTAGTCTACGTATCAAACTATGTCCGAGAGCTCTAAACTACAGAAATGTTGTCGAGTCTTAGGCGACAAGTGTGTAGATTTGTCTTTTTCAAATGCTTTTTTCAGTGTACAACGTTACATGAAAGTGCGGATTACGATAATATATGACAAGAGATTCAAAGGAGTAGAGTGTAGATCCGCTCTCTAGGACAATTATAGATAAAGTTTCCATGTTCGAGCATAAACTTCAACGTATTGAATATGAATTTTGCTTTGATAAGAATCAAAAGAGAAACAGATCACAAAGTGTTACCTTTCTTTATAGACAGAAATGCAACAAATGTCAGTGGCCGCTCTTTCATTCTTTTCTCTGCTTTTTCTGTCTTTTATAAACTTATATAAAGATGTTCTCAACTTTTTCTCTTTTAATTGCAATGACGACCTTCTTTTTTTTTTTTTCAAAGCGAAAATATGTTCAAGAATTATGAACTGTCAAATGTATACAATTGATGCTTTTTGCACAATTCCAATCTTGTGAAAAATTTAATTTTGATTTTATTAAAAAAGATTTCAGGACGCTTTTGAAAAAGTATATGGTGAGAAAAAAAAAAAAGAAACTAAAGTCTTTCCTTAAACCAACATGTATCTTAAGCGTAAGTATAAACGAATAAAACTTTTTTTTAAAAAAAAATTCGAGTTTATCAAGGCACTTTTTGCTTATTCATCTGTGACATTTGGCTCCATTGACTCAATTTCTTATTATGCAGCCAGAAGAAGTTAGAATAAAACCTAATTGGATAGATTAGAAGTTTGTTCTTGCTGAATCTTGATTTCTTGAATGAAATTCATAGTGTTTTCCTGATTTGTTCTTGAATGCCTTTTATAGGCAAATGCCACCAGTTTTTTCGCTGTAACTAAATTCACAACTTGCTGACGTTTTCAGGCCGGGGAAAGAAACAAACGTCTTGTAATATAAATCGATTGTTACCTCCATCGATCGTTAAAGATCTCATTGATGTATTCTCTCTCAAACAAACACTGGATGAAAGAGAATAAAGTGATTCATGTCGAGTGATTGTACCAAAACTATTGAGTTAGAATTTAATGCAGTACAAGATAGGCCAGATCAAGAAAGTATAGCTTGTAGTATTATTCTAGCCTATATCAGCTGCTTTTTTATACCCGTCAATTTAGTTGTTATATCGAGATTAGGATTGGACTGAAGGTGTTGAATAAACCTTGTATACTTCTTTTTAGTCATATGAACTGGTGCGAACAAAGAAAAAGACCCGCTTTGCTTGATTGTCGAGTCGTTGTCTTTCTTTCTTTTTTTCCCCAAAAAAACTGCATATTCAAATGATTATTTTGTCGTCACATTATCATTAAATTTGAAAGTCTTTTATTTTTTTGCCCCGAATTATTTTTTTAGGCTTTTTAGTTATGATGCAACTCGATTTAGGCAATGAAAAGTGCTTTTTGATCTGACCATATTTTCTTAAAAGTCAATTCAGAAACTTGTCCATTGTCTGATTCAAGCCAAGTAGCGCTTTTGCTTCACTTTAAAATTCCATATCAACGAATGGCATGATTTATTTGAACTATGGCAATGATAATAAAGAACTTTGCCTACATCATATTTCTTCCAATTATGTCTTTGATATAAAGTGCTAGACTAAACATACTGGTATCTTTATGGTAGACTTCTTATTTCACTGTAAAAAAAAAGAGAGAGAGAGAGAGAGAGAGTATGCGTTGTTTTAAAACAATATGTTTCGGAAGTGATTCCGTAAAAAATCATCATACTCTTTATATAGCATAGTCTTACTATTCAATAGCAATTTCAAAATATAATCAGTGAATCTGAGTGCATGTCTTGACTTATTTGATCAGATAAGCAAACATTAAAAACAACTAATGGTATGTGCTTGTTGACATAATAGTGTCTGTGTTACTATTTGAGTCTGAGAGCGAGTAAGGTGTGTGCCTTAAAGGAATGATGTAGACAATCTTAACAATAATATTCTATTTTCTGAAAATGATGCTGAATATGAAAAAGACTTTAAACTCAAGCGCACAATTTTTTTTTTTTTTTTCACTTGGCATTACATATTGAATAGGTCGAATGACTTTCCCCGTACCTAATTTAACTTGTTTTATTCATCATTTAAATACCGCGTTGAAGTCTCTTGAACAATGCGTAATTATGCAGAACTAAAGAAACTGAACTTGTTCATTCAACTTACCCCTGAAATTAATTTATTTTATTGGGTCATGACGATAATAATAATAATAACAATAATAACAATAATAATAAAAGGTTGTTTTTTCGGTTATTCATATAGGCTTATTTTATATAGATCGATGTCATAATCATACGCTATACTATAAAATCCATCTCTAATTTAAATCTCCATTTTTCTTGATGATGAAATTAACTTGGGCTGAGCTCAGGCTGAATTTTTGTTACAATCCAAATATTCGGGAAGTAGATGGTCAATGTGCTCTTGAAGACCATACAACTTCTTTACAATAAAAATAAAATAAAGTAAGACTACATCACTCATAAACTTTATTTACCCTGAAGTATTGTAGCATGATGTAAGTCCTTTAGTTGCCACCATCAAATTTCTACTTTAGGTCAAGCCAAGTAGGACAGAAGAGAAAAAAAAAAAGTAAAATGATGACATCTTAATCATTTGTCAATTGAAGAAATCAATAGAGAGTCTCGAATCTGTATATATATATATTTTTTTCTTTTAGTACAAATAATTGTTTGCGACTGTTGAGTTGCCAAAAAAAGACACAACTGGTGATACTAATCATTTTGATTTTCGTGTGGTCTACAACCATAAACAATGAAGATAATAAATGAACTGAGTTTAAGCACATACAATGTATTTGTTGTTTCACTAAATACAACCAGATCAAATGTTTATAGATGTAGGACAATTAAAAAAACGTTTTTTTATTTTATTTCATAGCAAAGAAAAAAAAAAAGGGGGATTATTTTGAACACACACGTGGAGATATTTCCTTTTTCTGAGTATAAAATAGAAATATAAATAATTCAACAGACCGAGAACGAGCCAACAACAACAACTTTTTTTTTTCTTTTTTTCTTCTTCTTTTTTTTTTATATAACATGAATTGCCATCATCGATCTATGCCATCGCTTTCTTCTTCTATTTCAAGCAATGACACAAGCTCACCACGCACTTCATCATCAGAGTATTCACAATACTTTCACAATACCAATTTAAAGCATTCAAGTTCACTTAAATTAATAACAAAGATACAACAAGAACCCAATTTAAAACGATTCTCTGAACCATTACCTTCTGTTCCTACTACACCTAAAGTGAAGCGTTGGGATGATTCCCAACTCGAAATGGAATTAGCTGAAGATGACCTCATTCAATCTGGTCAGAAAAAGGTACGACGCAACTCGTCTCTCCGCCTGAAAGAAAAGCTTCAATTGTCCGAATCCTTCATCAAAGAAAAGTTTCGTCATCATAAAAAGGAAGACGATGTACTTGTCACTACCATCAAGCACAAGAAGTTATCGAAATCATTTAGAAAAGTTTATGATTGGTTATTTTAAGTCAGATTATATATTTAGATATTTAGCATACATGTAAACTATGATACGTTCCCCCCTTTTTTTATTTTATTTTATTTTTATGCCTATACATACATTTTCTCTTTTCTTTTTCCCCTGTACATAAACCTCATCATCATAATAATAGTAGTAGTAATAAAACCAAAAAAAACAAAACCAAAAAAAAACAATATCATTTTCGCTATTAACCGAAGCACGTTTTCTGGAAATTCGGTATTTTCTGTGTTGCAGAAAAAAATTTTTTTTTTTTATTATTATTATTATTATTATTACTATTATTTCTACTTGCGCTCTTCCTATTCAACCGTATCAACACACTTTGTTTCTGATGTGTTAACATTACCACCATAATAAGATGATAACCAAATTGAGTCTTGACCTAGTATCACGATAAGTAACTGCGTATGTTACATGCTCGTTTGCTTACGGGAGGGTTAGTCAAAACTGGTTTATCACAAGTACTTGGTTGTAAAGCAAAAGCTATACGCATTTCAATATCATTTACTTAATTGTTTGTCTCAATGATTTATACCTGCATCTTGAAATGCACCCACCATACTACCTCGATTCATCCAACCCAATGAACCTATTCGCATAATGAATAATTGATGTAACCATAGATCATATACTTACCTCCTGCTTTAGCTTTGTCTTCACTATACAATTCAGCTACCTTGTCAAATCGCATATTTTCTTCAGTGATTTTAGCTAAAGCTTCCATAATCTTAATTATAAAAAAGAAAATGGGTATACACAATCATGAAGAGAATGGCTTACTTTACTATGCTTTTCACACAAAATATGTCTAACCTAAACAAATGATATATATACATAACGCGTATTTGAAGAAAAAAAAAGACTCTTTTTACCTTGACAGCATTAGCAGGTTTTAATTTACCACCTTCTTCTTTTTTATCCTTCTTGGCATCTTGGATAGATTAATCAAACTTGTATGGTTATTCCTATAGACTCACCTGCTTTTCCCTTGTTATTTCCGCCCGACTGTTTTCCCTTTGCCATACTGTTGAATTGAAAAAAAAAAAAAGAGAGAGAAGATTAAAAATAAAATATCGCTAAGCCTAAAATGATTGTCGTATCTTGAAATGATTTTTTTTTAACAGGCCATGAGTTATTGTTTTTATAAGACATCTTAGAATTTGACATCAATCTTGAATGATTTACAGCTTCTTGATACTCCTTTAGGCGTACATACCTGGAGTGATACATCTTTTGCTTTCATTGACAATCAAGTCACCATTGGCATTAAAGCATGCTAAAACGATACGTTGACAAAAAAAAAAAAAAAAAAGAAAAAAAGAAAAAAACCTGGATGTTTTAAGCTCTATGTCTTGTTCATAGCCCTCCCATCTCACTTTACTAATACTTGCAATCACAGTACGATAAAGTTGACAGAAAGAAAAAGAAGAAGAAAGACTAAAACCAGATAATATATATATATATATATATCGGCATTTTAGTCAAAGCAAAGATGCCACAACAAAGAGGTAGTTCAAAAGACAAGTAGCCATAAGAACAAATGTCCTGAATTAGATGTATAAATGTACGTTGTTGTTGTTTTTTTTTTTGGCACAAGATAATCTGTCATTAATTCCATAAGACTATAAAAATGACATTTTTCATACGCAAACGTCCTTTTGATTTAGGTAGATCAAGTGTCTTTTTAGTAAGAAATTTGTTTGAATAAGCAGTTGGATAGTAACAGAGACACCGGGCAAATACATGCTTCAAGCGTGAAAAAGACAGCAATCCATATAAACCTTTATCATTTTCTTAGACAAATGAAGGCGCTTCAAGGCCTGTTTATACACGCATAAATGCTCTAAATACCTATAAACCATGTTTACTAACATCCATGATGGTTTTGGCGTTGATTCGGACCGAAAAAAGCGACATGTAAAGTTTGACCAAAATGACTATTCGACCAAAGGGTATTTTATTCATGAAAACCCTTCATTTGACAACGCTTGATCTTCTTTTTGATGCCACAAAACAAAAATGGAGCTATTAACAAGCTTAAATACTCAAAATGTGCGCCAGAGCCTCTAGTTTTTGCTGAGTATGTTTGCTTAACACTTGTACTATGAAAATGGTATGGTAGGAGCAAAAAAAAACCTCTTGAACTTTTTTTTTTTTTTTTTTTTTTTTTTTTTTTTTGCATATTTACTCGATATTTTAGTAGAGACCTACAACTTTTATCATTACACCAGAGCCGAATAACGGCGTCTTTATGCTGTTCTCCGCAAAAGCTCCATTTTTGTTGCGGCAAGAAGAACTGGAGTTGCCTTCCATTCTCAATCTCCGCACTCTGCCTTATATTCATTTGCTCCCACATTTAGATTTTTATTTCTTTATGTTCTTTGGCACTCTAAATAACATAATATGCTTTTAAAAGCCCATAGATAGTACATTTTACATGCCATCTAGATACTTTCAATAAAAAGAAACCGAGTTTACTAAGACAGAAAAAGCGACTTGATTTGAGCATTGCCCTCAAATATGCATTTAATATTGATTGTACACTGTGTGTGATAGAAAAGAGACCCATTTTGGTATATATTGACTAGTAGACAATCACTCATACTTATACCATTCGATGCTCAAAAAATAGACGAGCAGGACATACTATGATACTTGGTAGTTCTAAAGTCAAAAAGAGCAACTATCGCATCACCCATGATGGACATTATGCAGTGGCGCGACAACTGCATGACGTGACTTTTTTTCTTTCTCGAGAGACAAATGCAATAATTCACTCCAGAACATTTTTTTTTTCTTGTTCTTTTATAGACATGAAATACTTTACAGGCGACGAAAGCGGTTTAATCAAATGTAACATATCCATGTACAACAAAAAAAGAAAGAAAAGGTTGTACTGACCATCTCTAGGGATCTCGTTTCCTCCTAAAATAGAAGAAAAGCCTCAAAAACGAGCAAAACAAAACAACAACGACGATGACGAAAAAGACAAAAAGAAAGATACACTTCAACCATTGACAGGCATCTTTGGTAAAGTCGATAAAGCACAAGCTATTCAAAAGCTTGCTTGGGCTCAATGGCAAGATGAAAAAGTGGTACGTGGTCCATGACTTTTTTTTTTCATTTATTGATTGCTTTTTAGTTGCTTGTTGGACGTAAGAATGGCGTGATTCAATTCATGTCGCCTGAATCAGGTGCAATCTTGAAAGAATTTAGAAACAAACATGTAGGCACAGACGAAAAGCAAGGCTACTTTGTCGGCCTTTATGTTCACAACAAGTAAGTGATGGATGTGTTGATCATGACTGACCATCACTAGTCATCTCTGTGCATGTACTTCCACAGGCGACTTTTCATATACACCTTTAGATGCTGATAAAACCGAGACAGAAACCCTTATTCAACTTGGATCACAACTTGAGATTATGCGTCCTCATCCTACCCATTCTCATTTATTCGCCATCGGTGGCAAAGACCATGATTTATGCATTTACGACTTGAATCTCATACTCAATCAACAAGAAGTTCAAGAGACACATCAAAACACATCCACCCATAAAAAGAAATCAGACAAAAGTGTTGGACGTGTATTTCAAGCCAAGAATGTCAAGAATGACTTTTTAGATCTTCAACAACCTGTCTGGATTCATGATCTTCAGTTTGTGAACAAGGAAGGTACACAAGTAGCCCTTGTCACACATTATCACCAGGTATATAGATTCTAGAGGCTATAGACATATATTGACTGATATACTTTTAGTTCCGTGTGTATGATACCAAAAAAGCACGTCGTCCTATTCTTTCTGTTGAGGTTGGTAAGCATCCTCTCAAGGTGCTATCCATGGGTCCTGATGATGATCATGTCTTGTTCTCAGACACGATGAGTACTGTAGGCATGCTTCATATTCAAACAGGCAAAAGAGCAGCTCAATTCAAAGGATTTTCAGGTGCAGCTACAGATATTGTGTATGTGTCTTCACCTCAAGGTGCACCTGTGGTTGTCAGTACAAGTCTGGATCGTTTCCTGCGTGTTCATGAAACATCTACTGTCTATCGTCACTTGGTCGATAAAGCCTACCTTAAACAACGATTGACATGTGTCCTGGTAGATACGTCCTTTGAATATCCTGTACCCAAAATCAAGACAGAACAAGAAGAGGAAGAGGAAGAAGAAGATGCCATGTGGGATGCGATGGCACTTGTTCAAGACCGTAAACGAAAGCATACTTAACTCATTGTAAATAAAATTAAAAAAAAAAATCCTGACTTTTAAACTTACTCCTCTTTTTTTCTTTTTTTTCTTTGTTTATTACTTACATGCGTTCGCTTGACAAGTCATTTGGATTGTCATCTCGTCATCAACCTCATTCATTACGAGGTATTCATATCAATATCAGTTCAGATCCTTTTCAACATCGTATACCACCCTATGTTCAACGACTATGGCAAGAAAGTAAACTACGTCGGTATTTGTCTTTATGGAAAAGAAGAATAGCCCATAAAGTGGGTTGGTTAGAAATAGCTGTGGTGGGTCTATTGTGTGTAGGTGGTTGTATGGTGTTGCTACTCCATGTTGGATTCTTTAGTGGCAAGAAATATCAAGATTGGCAATTAGAACACTATGCGAGCGATACATTGGATCAAGTCGATTTGCTTGATAAAGTGTATCCTGATGAAGGTCGATTACAGACAACAGCCATTGTGTTGGTTCAACAACATGAATTGGATCAAAAGAGAGTGATTCTAGAGCAATTATGTGAATATGACATGTTTGCTACTGTTACTCTCTGGAATGACGATGCAGAACATCCATTGACATTTGATGTAAATAGTGTTTATTCAACAACATATATATATGTATATATATAAAAGGGACTCATGTCATGTTAGATGTTGCATGGTATTCAAGGATGTACACTCAACCAATGGCATATCATCAATGCACCTAAGCCATTAGGGTCAGCAGCAAGATATCAAGCATGTCATATGGCAAAGACACCTTACTGTTATTTCCAAGATGTGCCTAAAAAGACATCACAGCTCAGAAGTCTATATGCTAATTTCTTACGTTCTCCTCATTTGATCCATACTCAATCCAGCGACTATGCTTCTTTTCTTGACACACAATGGCGTTATTGCTTCTCAAACACAAGTAAGAGATCCATAAGGCAAATGTTGGACTGATGATAATTAGATGTCAAATTGCATACTTGCTTTGTCGATATAGCATCAGGCACATTTGTTGCTAAAGCCATGGTGACAAGGTTCTTGAGCCATCCTCAAGAAGCCTTTGCGGACATGTATTTCATGATGTATATGAACCAATTACCTTACCAACTTGAAGGCAACAATGGCTATGCTACAAAGCAACTCAGTCAACAAGAAATAGACCATTTGAACCTTGGATTGAATTCACTCTATCATCAGCTAGAAGAAGGCATTGTGCCATTACAGCCTTATCTTACTAGCAAATTTGAAAGAAATGCAAGGGCTTCTTGTATTAATGATCGCTGTCTATTCTTGACGAATAAGCCCATCTTGCCTAATATTGAATTATTTCATTATGATCCATCTGTTATGGATGTTCAACTGTCTAAAGAAGTCCATGATGATTATATAAGCAACACAACATTGCATTACATGTATGCGGTGGATCAGAATGAAGCCACTTCATGGAAATCAAGCTCAAGTAAGTGAGAATAATAATAACAGACAACTTAGCCCATCAAAAAGATATTCAAGCAGGTGATTATATTGGGCTTGATTTATTGATGCCTATGCGCACACCCCTTCACTATCGATTTTTGATGAATGCACCTTATAAATACAGAACTACGATGACTATCCAAATATCGTATGATGGCTTACTTTGGGTAAAATATAATACCATAGTGATGTTGCTTATATGGTCTCTAGATGTCCTTGTATCCTGCACCTTCTATTCTATGCCAAACAATCGACTCAGAAGATGGATTGACACAACTACTTGAATGTAAATGGATAGTGACAGATACAGGTTATCGTTACATTCGACTTGAAACTCAGATTGACCATGATTTCCCCTTTGATGTTTATGATTTCTCATTTAGTGCTCAAGTCAGGAAAGATGCAAATGGACACTTGTTGGACATGGCCTTTGATGAAGATGGTATTGCATTTATTGAAGATGATATTTAATTTTCTTGTACATGATAAAGATTGGGTGTTGAAATAGCTCTTTTGATTGTCTTTTCTGGTCGAACCATAGACATACGATGCTTTAATGTCCTTGTTAATTTTCTATTCAGTGACTGTTTACGGTGTTCTGGTATGGGTGTAGGTGGTGTTTGGGGTAATAATAAATGGTCAAATTGAGGAAAAGAAGCTATTTGGTGATAGTCTTCATTGTTAAAGAAATCCAACTTTAACAAACTTTTTGATTGTTCAAATTCTACTCTGGGTAAAATGGGTTCAGCTGGAACAGATGACGTAGTTGGTTCAGGGATAGTTTCTGGTTGAGATGGTGGTGGTGGTGGCGATGAAGGTGGTGGTGGTGAAGATGCTTTCTTTTTAAAAAGATGTTTAATTTGATCAAATAGCATTACAATATAAAGAGAAAAAGAAAAAAAAAAAAGAAAAAAAGTAGTATCACTTTATGTATGGTTACACATTATCTTTTAAGCATAAATGTAACAAAATTAACAGAGTCATTTTTAGCTTTCACAGCCGCTGAATTTTGTTTTCACATATGCTTAAATCAAATGGCACACTCTTTTCTCACTTTTGATTGACTTGTATACATTTAAAGAGAAAATGACCGTACATTTTATCTACCTAAATCAGAAAGGTGAAGTTGTAGATAAAAGTGGAAATGAGCATTTTGAGATGGATATTGATACTGAAGCATATCCCATCGATTATATCACCAATTATGATGAACATTTGGATTGTAAACCCTCTGAAAAAAAAAAGAAAACCTCACAATGAAAAACGAAACCTACATGAGAAGCCCTGTAAAAAGGATGAAAATAAAGTTCGTTCATACCGGAAACATGGTGAACAACCATCTTTCTTAGTTCACGAGAAAGCCATGACTCTAGGGCAAGCAGCAAAGCAGCTAGGGGGGAGGGGAGGGAAGTCAATAGACGTACGGCTTACAACTGGGTTAAAAAGGACCAGGAGAATCCATCAGATATCCTAGAGCAAGAACCACAACGATTTTAGGTGCAATTTCACCGTTTGGGGTTGTAAATATTCAACTGCTTCAACCCACGATACCATCTAAGAAGAGAAGACTAAGCAGCAATGACTTGGCTGTTAACGGTGTCGGTGGTACAGTAACCGGTCATTATATCAACTTCGTCAAAAATACCTTGCACGTCTTGGATAACCATGAGGAGTTTCAAAGACATTACATTGTTATGGATAATGCTCCAATCCATACTTCAAAAGATATCGAACGTGATATCACAAGTCATGGCTATGGTTGTATATACCTCCTCCCATACTCTCCTGAGCTCAACTCAATAGAGCAGTTTTGGTCTGTTGTCAAAAGTAGACTCAAGAGAGAAAGGCTTTTGGAAAAAAGAGACGATTTCCAGGAGAATCAAGGAAGCATGCAGCAGCGTCCTCTTTAGCGACCTTTGAGGATTTTGCTATTATTCCACCACCAAATCTAATGATTGCTGTTGTGAAATAAAGAGAGAATAGATATAAAATAAGAGAAAAGGTAAGAACACAGAGAAAGTCCGTTAGAACTTGTATAGGCTTTTATTTCCCCAAAAGAAATCTGATCTTTTTCAATTGCTCTAAAATGTCGAGGTATTTATACTTTTTCTTCTCGGTCAAAATATTGTTTTGGGATTAGCTTCTTGACCGCAGATTGATTTGTTAGATCAGGAACAATTAAGAGAAATGTCTTTAGAGGAAGTTGTCAAAGCCAATAACAAACGATCTGACCTGAACTTGAATAAACTATTACAATAAGGCTGGTAAATATTGGCACATTTAGAAATTGCATTTTGGGTTAATCGAGAAATTTTTTTGTTTACTTTTGTATAGTTAAGATATTCTTGCTTTTGACAGTTAGTATAATTCCTCTTTCTTCTTTGAAAAAAAAAAAGCATTACCTCATTTATATTATACATTAAACAGAATGAGTAAAAAACACTTTCTATTATGAAGATGGGTTAGAGAATGTCTTCAACGAGAATGGAGAGAAAGTTGTAGACCCCATGGAGGGTATATTGACAGATATCATTGATCCAAGCATAATTCTCACCACAATAACGAGCCAACAAGCTGCCTATCTGGCTGCTAAACCAGAAGACATCAAGTATACCGAAATGGAAGAAGGACCTGACAATAAGGTCAAATTAGCGAAGGCACCAGTTAATAGTACATACAGAAACTACGACGACCACATGAGAGAGGAGTTCATCGACCGAATGATCGAAGGTCCTGTCAAAAGAGGAAGATTAAGGTATCATCGTATGAGTACCTTTTCGGAACATTGCCCCCTTCTTCCAATCAAGACCCGCTGCAGTTAATGGGAAGAGCGTTAGGTTTCGAACGATTAAGTCCAATAAATGACCGTAATGTACAGATTAAAGATTACAATGAGATGAACCCGGAGTACCCCCCTCAAGAATATTGTAAGAAAAAAACATTTTCCCCTTGGAACGACCGTAATTCGCGTTAGACACAATAAGTTTTCTAAATTAGACAGCAACTACAAACCAGCATTGTTCACAGTGGTAGCATTTTTTACTAATGGAACCTGCCAGTTACAAGATAAAGCCGGCCGACTGCTTAAAAGAAGAGTAAATGTGTCTTCATTTAGAAGATCCAACCATCGTAGTGTTTGATTTGTGGTGGGTGTATGTTTTGGGGAAGACAAATTAACATTAAAAAGTAGCATCGCTATGTTATCTAAAAATATCAACCCAATTTACACAACAACCACTCGTACCTCGCACCTATTTTCACTTCTTCCTCTTTTCTCCATATTTTACTTTATACATTGAGCCTAGGACCAACGAGTAATTGGTAAGACCCTATAACTACTGGAAATAATAATGTTGGTCCATTTATTTAACTACAAAACTAGACTTAATTTATATAAACACTAAGTCCCTCAAATTACTGTCCGCATCTTTGATGATGCATTCCAATGAGCGCAATTTCCTGCGACCTGTCTTGTCTTATTACCAAAAAATGTGGCCACTCATTTGCTCAAAAATTGGCTAGATTCTCGCATTAAACTCTCATTGTCCCCAACAAACATGGCGGTCTTGGTCTTCTGGATCTTAGTCATCAAATTAACTTACTTTAATGGAAGACTTCTCTCATCCTTGCCGATCCTCAAAATCACACTTGAGTACTTTCTACGTAAACCCACCTATCCAACCTATCACTGGTCTTTTCTTTTCCCAGCGGAAGTCACTTTTAAGTCCTTTGATGACCTATTTTCTTCGAGCGTCTGACTCCATCTCTTGTGAATTTCAACTTTGCAGTGCCTCAGCTACCGTTTGCAAAAATCACCCCATTACAGCACTATTTGTTGACTCTGTCACCGTCCAACATACACACTGTTTTTCAGCCCTCTCCCCTACATACTATTTTTTCAAAGATTTTTGGTTGTTCTTCCGCCGAACTATTGGGAATTTCATTTTTGCATCAGACCTCACATCATCACACTTGCAACTTACGCCGCGACTTTTTTTTCTTGCCTCAACAACCGTTAGCCCAGTTATATGATCTCTCTTACAAGCGATCGATAACGATCAAATCTTTGGAAACTTTGTTCTTTCCAACTTTGCGGGACCTCCTGTTGTATTTGAGGGTATATGTGGATAGTAAATCATACGTCAATACAGGAGAAAACTGCATGCGATGATTAAATGACAATTGGTACTATGCTATCATCTGTCACTTATCACTCCTTCTCCTCTGCCTCAGAGATTTCGTTTTTCATCCCACACAAGCGCACCTATGACCTCATTCACCCGACCTCGATCATCACTGCCTGCTATCAAACTTTCGACCAGTTCCGTTTTTCAATAGATCCAATCAGCTGCCCCATTCCAATCCTGCTTCAATTTCCTTTTCAAAGACTCTTCCCATCCATACCACCAGGTCACTGATTTCTACACTCCAATTTCCCAGCAGAAAAATTATGGTTCTAAGTTTTATGCAAAAGGCTACCCAGAGTCTCTTTTCTTTATGAAATCGGTGTAACCGATACTCTATGCAATCGTTCCACAGAATCAATAAACCGTTTTGGTGTATGTTGCTGCCCCAAGAAATATACGATCTGGCAAATTTATGTAATCCCTTGTCTCTCCTTTTGAAAAATAATCAAATCTAAACCGCCCTTTCTTTATCGTTATTGCCATAGCCCAATATTACATATGGTACTGTTACTGGAAGTATGTATATAATGAAATACTTTTCTTACAATAAAGCTGCAATCTTTTAAAAAATTGTCAAACAGGTGCGAATTCTCCTACACAACGTTCTTGCGATTAATTTATGCTACACGTAGCTGCAATACTCCATTTAAAAATCCTTATATACTATATAGCTCCCTATTATTTACCTATCAACAAGCCCCACTCTGTAAATATGTGTGACCATCATTAAAACATTATTCAGAGCGCGTCTATTTGACAGGTGCTCATTTTTCAATATAGTGTACCAGTTCAATGTAGCCGCCACTTCTCATAGATCAATCATCAGATTAACACTTAGTACAAATAAGAACCTTGAATGCAGTGATAAAACTTTTATCTCTTTTGCCCGTTTATTTGTACATATTACAGTTGGTAAACATTTGAACGAGGGAAAAAAAAAGGTCCAGCCATTGCACAGGAAGTTCGAGGTGTTTATCAGTCATCGGACCAGGAATATCCAACTCTGATGTCTTTCACTTCAACACTTAAAATCATGTTGATGAATGGTTGATTAGTACGGCTGCTCCTTTGGGAATCAGATTGGGCACTGGACACACTTTTTGGAGAAGAAAGTAACTTGAATGCGTGTATAGAAGAACCATTTTGACGGCATCTAGAATAAACTGAAAAGCTGTGACTGATCGAGACAAGTAGAGTTGTACAATTGTATTATCTTTCTTTAAAAAGACAAAATGATTCACTTTACCAGATACCGCAAAAAGAATCAAAACCAACAAAGCTGAATCTGCCACAAAGGGCTGTCCACTTTCAAGTAGATGAATGTCCCCAAAGAGCTGTCATGTTCAGTTATAAGCCAAGCATGCCTCAAAGGGCTGGCCATCCAAAAACATACAAAAGCGTCCCCAGAGTGCTGTCAGATTCAACTAGAGTTTCGAATCTTCGCAGTAGAGGGCAAAGCAAAGTCATTTTGCCTTCTTGTAAGCAATACGCTCCCATTTATAGTTCTATATAGTGTGTTTTCGTTTTGAAAAGAGAATAAATAATATGTCGGCAAGATTACATCGTGCAGCGTCTTTTGTTTTCGTCATCATTTAATCTCCATTAAAGGCGAATCAAAATAATATTCCACAGCTCATCTCCAAACCTTAGTAGAATGTATTTACAAAAGACAGAAGTTAAAAACTGGCACGTTGAAGATGCTATAAATGACTACACCTCCAGATATGACCCCAGTGACGCCATTAACGCGTTAAAATTGGACTTACGGAAAATAATAAAGAAAACAACTATACAGTTCAAGGCTCAAATGGCAAAGAAGTTGCTGGCCGAACTAGAAGTTGAGGGACGCGATCAACCCAATTTACTATTTTCAAACGAAATTATAGCCAAAATATCTATGCGGCTGGTCAAATAAGTATTGGTAGTCAAGGTAATTAGAAATATATATATATAGAATAAGCAAGTGTGTTAACAACGCCCTTTAGAAACACCTCTAGCAACGTCCTCAAGAGAACCATCAGTAGAGATGCACAGAAGAAAAAAGGCCAAAATAGTAAGTTTCTGATAATACAGCTCTCCGGCTGAACCACTACTGAACAAAATATTTTTCATCCTGATCTAATTAAATCGCCATAGCAAACGGAAGAAGAGGTTGTAACAGATGAAAAAGACAGAGTAGCCGCTGAAATGCCTGTTTCAAAGGTAACTCTCATATTAAAGCTTTTGTTTTTCTTTTTTTTTTGTTGAAAAATGATATTCTATAGCTATATGAAGAAGACAGCATCGTTGAGTGTACCACCAGTGTCAATAGCTCGGAAGATGTTGAAGACAGCGACGATGAGCGTACCATCGATGATAACGACTCTGAAGAAGTTGAAGACAACGACCTTGAAGATATAATAAACATCAGTGATCCTGACAAAGTCTATGAGAGCGACGGTTCCAGCATCGCCAGCATCAACAGATTGATGCATGTCCAACAGAACAACAGCTTCATGAAATCTGTGTACAGATACTACAGTTGTTTGGTTGGTATTCAAAACTCGTTTTACAAAAAAAAACTCACTAATGCTCATAATTTATTTAGGCACAAAAAAGGAACGTTGGATCTTCACAAGTAGCTGCAAGCTCATTGCTTGGTGAGACTGGTGTCTGCTCCGTGATGGACAGGTTCACTTTGTCACTTTTAGACAAATGGCGTCACGAAAAAAAACTTGGCAAAGACGACTCTCAATACTTGAAGTACGTACGCGAATAATGGGATCAATCATAAGAGTGTAATTGAACTTTAACTATTTGTTTAGGTTAACTATGTCAAGAATTCTTGATACAATTAATAAGAGAAATCCTGTATTAAGTGAAATCGGAGAAGAACTGCTCAGCAGTTTTGACGAACAAATGAATCTTCCTCCGTACGAAATGCCTTCCACTGTATCAGATTTCATCAAGAAGTTTATCGAAGTTAGTTTTTTTACACCATGTCCTGTTTAACTTTATTAACGCTATTCATCCTTTAGAAAGCGAAAGATTCAAGCCACAAAGATCTTGTGATTTTCGTAAAGCAAATAACGTTGGAAGCATGGTCAAAAAATGACGAGGAACTTAAAAAAGTGACTGAAATATACGATTATTTGTAAGTGATTCATTTTTACCACTGCAGTGTCTGGAGGGGTTAAAATGAAACGAACATCCTGTACAAAGGATTATAATAACTTTGATCATCTAGATTACTGCACATTGATGAGTTACAAAAACTCGACAAAACATCTTCAGAATTGCAATGCTTTATCCCAACCTACCACATCTTGAACATTATATTTCGAGATACAGGCATAAAGCTCGTCATGTAAGTTTATTAGTAGGTCTCTCTTTACATTTACAATAGTAACAATTTTAATTTATGAAACGCAGAGGAGAGAAGGGATGCGATGCGTCGAAGAAAGCAAGAGGCATCAATGAACGTTATTTTGCAGCAAAAAAACAAGACAATATACGCGGCCGCAAGTTAGATATGATGCTAGTATATAACGGTATTGTTCTGTGCTCTGCGGAGTGGAAGTCAATGACGGCGTCAAAACCTGTTGTTTTGAAACAATATGTAAAGAATTTGCGTGTCAACAGCTCGATTCTTCACAATTTGAGAAGCTGCCTGAATGATGACAGCACTACGATTTTAGGAATAGATTGGAAGGGTACAATTATACAATTTAGCGCTTTTTAACTGTTCTAACAACAATTCCCTTTCTCTTTAGGACTAGTAGGCTATGTGTATATTATGAAGAAGTTAGGCGATGTGGTAGTCGTCAAAGAGGAATCTGGAGTATTTGTTCCATCAGACATGTGTGAATTTGAAGATTTTACACAATCAATCGAATCGCTGATGAAGTTTAAGGTAAAGTAGATAAGGCTTCCCTATGTGGCCATAACTGCAACGTTAATTTTTTCATTACTTTTAGGCATACTACGTTGGTCTAGCCATGAAGATCAAAGTCAAAGCAGCAAAAGATCGTCGTCAACGGTTCCACGATGACCACTTTAACATCACCCCTACTACCAGCAGAAGCCCCTCTCCACATACCTTTTTTACCCCGAAACGGCCCACCACTACCCACCGATATCAAGAGTAAGCCTTGTTGTAAAATTGCCAGTAAATGATAGAAATTAAATAAAAAGACGTTCGTCAGCATCAAATTTTGAAAGAGTGCAATTATTTCAAGTTTATTCCGAGATAGTGTAGAAGAACATATCTTTTATTAGATTACACATTGAGAACAACTCATTTATAATATACAGCGCTTGCTCTTGAATCGAGATGAACTTTACCATAAGAGACATTCCCTCTCTTCAATACTGAAGTACGATCAAATTACCTTTCTTTCTGATGTTCACAATAGGGATCAGATCGATATTTTCCTGCATTAAGTGAGTGAGAAACAAAGTATGAAGCTCAAACAATAACAGCACATGAAAGTGTCAGAACGCTTGGTGCTTACTTTTATCTGCATAAAGATGGATGTAGCTCGAGGAACAAGCGTAAAATTTACTGATACCTCGTGGGTGGTATAATTTTTCAAGCACTTTCAAAACGTACTTGGCTTCATCTCATAGTTATAACATGCGATCGTGACATAATTTGTGAAAAAACTCATATATCAATACTCTTTATTATTAAAACGCCAGAATGGGGGCCATGGATCATTGACACTTTTATAAAGATGGTTACGAGTTCGTTTAACAAGATCTGCATCTCGAGGTTGACCTTAAACTTGTCGCAATTATTTAATTCGAATATATAACTTGCTTCCCTTCTGTGATCTCGATAAAATGCAAGTCCAAGTACATAGTACATCCCAAAGCGATATTCGTACTCGGGCTTGTAATCAGGGAAGTACTTTTTTTAAATGATTCAGGTGATTCGAAAGTGCATGAATGATGTATTGACCGGAGTTGAATAACTCCTCGATGAAGAGCTCAGTAGGTGTCGTGGTCTTGCTCCTAAGGCACGCTTGAAGCTTGAGTGTGTCATTGTTATAATTGTAAAGGACGTTGAGACAAATTGACCTTGTAACTGTCTTTTCCAGTATATAGAATAAAGTTGGGCCATTTACTGACTCCTTATTTTCGTGTTTATCTCTAAAATTATCGATCCTGTTACTGAATGTAGTGTTTTCTCAGGAATCAGCGTGGTTTCCTTTTATACATCGTATTTAATTTTAGCTGCGTAATTTTGCGTTTTGGCCAGGAAGCCTTCCTTATCATCGCTTCCAATTAAAAAAAACTGTGCCATTGCTAGTCGAAGACATCATGTTTCCTTGCTTTCAGAATTGGCATCTGGTGGATGATTTGTAATGCATTGAACTCCCCTTTAAGATCGGTTGGTTTTTTTTTTTTTTAATGATTTTATTTGCCGCACGTATTAGTGGTCTCGAGAGGGACCCACTAAAAGAGGTGCTCGACAATTATTTATTATAAGAGGATTAAAAGAAACAAAAAGGGTACTACAATTTCAAAAAACAAAGAAATCAAGAAAAAAAAGGGCAGCTACTGCGAGAAAAGACCTCTCAAGATGAAAGGTCATTTTCAGCAGCTATACGCATAATTTGATAGCGAGTGCTATGGAGAACAGAGAGATAATGGAATGGTTGGTTCTGCATGGTATGGGTCCAATGGGCCTTCCAGATTTCAGAGAGACCGATCAAGGTTACCATGGCTACTGAAAGAGGACAGTTGGTTTGAGACCGAATCCGAGAAAAATTGAAAGATGCAAGTGCATCAGAGACTAGATCCAGAGAGGTGCCTGGCCATAGAAATTCCCTGATCAAGGCATTCCAGAACGGAAATTTTTGGGGGCAGCGAAAGAAGAAATGGTACACAGTCTCCTGATCACCACACAAAATGCAGGCAGCAGTAGGGAAGCGAGCAGGAAAAATCTTGGATAGAAATAAGCGAGTGGGAATTTTGCGAGTCAGAAATCGATACATCACATTTCTCTGCAATGTTGTGATAGGTATACACCAAAAGTACTTCCAAGCAGCAGAAGAAACTTCTTGCCGGGCAATGATATCAGACAAGGCAGCTTGTGTGATGACCTTACGGAAAGTATAGCCACCATTTTTGAGGGCAATGAAATTTTCATTGTCAAAAGGCAGTTTCAACATACGCACAAAAGAAAAGAAACCAAGAGACCGCTGGATTGCAGGAGTATGCACAGGATTGTATAAGTCTAATGAAGTACGAACAAGGCATTGACCAAAGAATGGCTCCAGTTGACAATGATTTTGATTCACTGCTTGAATATATTTTCTGACACTACGATGGATATCCAGGGGAAAGGAAGAAACTGGTATTGGTGCCAAATAGTGACCCTGTGGATGGTACTCATATAGATAGGAAACTGCTACTGTGCGTAGCTTGAGAGGCAAATCAAAGGTGTCAGATGGCAAAACAATTGAGCGTAATGGCAGTAGAAAGCATTCGATAGGGTTTGGCATGTATGAGTATTGTTTCCTAGGAATAGCATCCATTGTCTGGCAGCACATTGTGACAGTGTTACTTGCCAATTGCCTGAGTTGGCCTGGGCGAGAACGAGGAAAGAGCAGACCCAAGAGCAGATGTTCAGTCTGAAGCAAAGCACGGGTATGTGCTGCTAGAAAGTCTTGTATCAGAGAACGTTCAGCTTGAGGACACAAAAAAGGATGAAGCCAATGGTAATACAGTGATTTCTGCTGAGAAAACAAGTCAAGAATGCCAAGGCCACCATGCCACTTTGGTGCAGTCATCGTTTGCCAACTAATGCGAGGAAAGATTTGCCGGTTGACAAAAGAAGTAATGACAGTTCGAATGGTATTAAGGATTACTTGAGTGGTAGGGATTACCCGCAAAATATACCAGCATTTAGACAATAAAAGCGAACTGGCAACTGTAGCTCTACCAACAACAGAAAGATTGCGTGAGGCATGAATATCCGCCAGTTGAGTCAGTGATCGAGTGAGGGACGAAAAAAAGTGAGCGCGCTGGTCCAATCCATATCTGTTTCGCTCCACTTCTCAACCCACGCTATGCGGTTTGCAAATTTGGTTGGATGCTTCTCGCAGTAAAGTCAAAGACGAAATGTTTTTAAATGGAAGGGGCTGATCTCTTCTTCGCATTCCATTGCATCGCGCCCATTTTCATCACAAATGTTTCCCTGGTCATCTTCATAAAAAAAGTATGTACTCATTTAACAAAAGTAAAGAAAAGAATATACCGCCCTTTGAAAAAAAAATTCCGCCTAAAGGGGTAATTATTTATGGGACTCTTACAGCCACGTAATACACTCTTTCTCAATTCAATCGGCAAGGAACTTTTCTTTTTAGTTTTGGCACACAAATAAAATTCAGTATGGCACACTAATTTACTTTCAGATTAGCACAATGAAATTTTATTGATGGCACAATTTTCTGGCCTAATGTGTGTACGTGAGTGATAACTTTTTCTTTATATATAATGATGAATATTGTTAAGGAATATAGTTTTTCTTTAAAAAAAAAAAAGGGGGTATGAATATGGAGGGAGGGACGGAGAGTTAGATATAAACGAGTAAATGTTTGTTCATGGTGACCAAGTTATTCTTCAGTAGAATCACTACTTCTTTTTCTTTTTCTCTTACATCCTTCACTAGTAAAACTAGGAAGAATTGTCTTGCACTGATCAGGATCAACGTCGATATCCACTGGCTTTTGTTTGACGAGCTTGTTGGTGTCCTCCATCATTACTCTGGACTTGTAAACAGCTGTTAATATTGGCAACAATGCATTACAAATATCATCTGCTTCTTCTGGTAAATCAAGAGTTCTTTTATGGTTAATACGACAGACATAACCGGCAGGTGAGTCACATAATACGATTGTAAACTTTGTCTCTATAAGTACAAGATAAAAAATATTAGCAACAAAAAGCGTAAAGTATGTCGATGATTTTACTTACCAAAAAGTAAAAAGCCAACAAGGGTTAATTCACGCAGGGAATCAGGAGATTTCTGATATAATGAATAAATCATATCTTTTAACACTTTTGCCATTTTAGAACCATCAAGGAGCTCTTTTGTTTGATCCTCTCTTCTACCACATTCACAACATCCGTATTCTAAAAGTTGCCGATAAAAAATTAAATCCAGTTTTCTACCCATTGATTTTCGTTCCATCCTTTCAATGTCGGCCAAGGTTCTATTCGTATTTATACCAGCTGATGATGATCTGCTTGATTTTTCAGCTCTTAATTATGCAAAAGAAAAAAAATAAGTATATAATCATAAATAAAATTAGGCTAGAAGCACATCCTGTACCCACCCTCTACACGTGATCTTGGAATCATCAAAAACCGTATCGATAAACCTCCATACACGTCTCATCATGTCCCCTTTTAGCTGATCGGTAAGAGGTAAATAACCCCATTTGAATAGCGTGAAATAATCCAGAAGGGTATTTCTTACCCACTCACGGGCAGGGCATGTTTGTTCTTCGTCCAACTTCTTTTTTAAGGAGGCAGCATCGTTTGATTCTTTGAGTGAATCTAGGTATGTTTGTAATGGCACAGGTAAATCGCGAAACTGCTTATTACCGTAGCTTTTTATTTCAAAAAGCTCTTCTTCTGTAAAGTACTTCTTCCATATTTTCTCGCTTGTATCTAAAACTAAAGAATGTACGGGACTAATACAAAGTTAATATCACCTCATTGACTTCAGTGAACTTTAAGGATCCTTACTGTTCGTAGTTGCATCCAACTGCAAACTCCTTCATCCTCTCTTCCACTATAGTTCCTGAAGATAATCTCCAGCATTTATCTAACTCCAAGTCCTCAAACATTTGTTTGATTTTAGTTTTATCAATTTCAGACAGCTTTATTTGCTTTTTGCTGGTATTGGTTGTACTGGTTGTACTGGTAGTTTCTGTGAACGAATCAGCGTATTCTTTTGTAACTGATGGTGTATGCTGAGTTTCGCTAATACGATTATAAAAATTCATGCTTGGGTCAATAGGTGGAGGAACGATCCCCAATCGTTTATCATGAATGAGAAATGCAATCTTTTCCCAGTTTGGGCGGCTGTTGTTCTGAAAAGAAGTGTCAGTAAATTTGTATACAAAATACTATAATCACCAATCATACATATTTGATATTCATTGACTTGAGAACACGACTGATATGAGCACACCAATTACTCTTATACGTAAACAAGGACATTCTTCCGTTATAGCTTTCTACGATATCCTCTGTCAATTGATTTGAAATCGCGTTGATTGTAAGAGACATTCCTGCCCCTCCCAGAAAAAGAATAGCATTTTCAATCTCTACTTACACAATTAAGAACTGCATCTATATTTATTTATGAGAGTAAATACGTACTTTTTGTGTACCATTCTTTGGCAAATTCACTTTCATTAGAAGTTTCAGTCGCGCCTGTTGCTAGTGGAGTTGCCATTATGCAAAAGGTTTTTATTTGATTTCTTAACAAATTTAAAAAGCGAACTTTAGCAACAAGTCACAAGCCACGTCACTGAAAAAGTTTTTAATCCTTTTCAGTGTTTTTATTTTTTTATTTTTTTCATTGTTAATTCATTGTTAATCGCGTAAAACGCCCAGGCGGCAGTCCTTCTTGAATCGTAGCGTAATCACAATGTTTTAACTTGTCATTTCATTGTTAATCGCGTAAAACGCCCAGGCGGCACTCCTTCTTGAGTCGTAGCGTAATCACAATGTTTTAACTTGTCATTTCATTGTTAATCGCGTAAAACGCCCAGGCGGCACTCCTTCTTGAATCGTAGCGTAATCACAATGTTTTAACTTGTCATTTCATTGTTAATCGCGTAAAACGCCCAGGCGGCAGTCCTTCTTGAGTCGTAGCGTAATCACAATGTTTTGACTTCTTGTCATTTCATTGTTAATCGCGTAAAACGCCCAGGCGGCACTCCTTCTTGAATCGTAGCGTAATCACAATGTTTTGACTATTTTTTGGAAGTAGAATCACCTCCACCTTCACGTGGTTACTTTCGTCAGTAGAAACTTTATTGTTTTGAAGCTAAGAGAGGTGTGTTATCTTCATACCACAATGTGGAGTATACTTATTGCAAAATTGATTTATGTTTAGAAATTTGTTTTTGATTTGTTTTGTAATCAATATTAGTTGATGAGTTTGACTATATATTTGTAATATTAATGGCGATAAAATTAGTTTTTTGTTTTGTGATATTTGTATACCTTTTATTGGTAGGCACTGCTATTTCTTTTCTTTTTTTTAAAAAAATAAAAACAATATTCATCATTATATAATACTCCAAAAAATTGAATGGCAACAAGAATAATTGAGGCTTGCAATAATGTTCCTCCAGAACATCTTCGAGCATTTGTACAACATTCGGTAAACATATTTGAAGATTGCTTAAAAGGCAATCCTATCTAATAAAATGTCACAAACAACTGTAAAAAATATCTACTGAGGATCGAAGAGACCGCCCTTTGAGAAAGCGATTACAATTTTCTCAAAGGGCGGCTACTGCCCTTTGGAAAAACAAAGACCGCCTATTGAGAATTTTAAAAACCGCCTTTTTATTTAAAAAACTGCCCTTTAGTGTTGCGCTAACTGTACAACAAAAGGGCCTAACTGGGTTTGAAAAAGTAGTGCCCAATTTTTTTTTAAAAAGTTATGGTGCTTTTTGTCGTGCCAACCAAAATAATGTCCTCACTAAACGACGCGTTTTGGCATGAAAAAGAAAAGAGTAAGGGTTAATTGATATAGTTGGATATGACACTCTTGCTAAAACTTAAAATAGACATCAAAGCTGCAATTCACACGTTAGCCTCTACTGGAATGTCTGTCAACATAACTAAAATACGTGAACAATTAAAAAGCTGCCTTGTAGAATCTTACGACAACACAACTTCACTCTTGGTATATAAGACAGCATGGTGTAGCAGAATATCAAAAGTATTAAATGGTTTAAATATTAAACACGTAAGTTTGCTTTCAGTGAAAAGTTTCCAAAGCATTCATTTTCTTTTCTTAGGGCAAAACTAGACCTAATTGGGAATTAACGATGTGATGTTTTGATAATAGAGAGTTATATGATAAGATAATGTAGAGACAAAGGTAGATACTTTGAGACTGTTTTATACAATTTTATTGTTCTTCTTTTTGACTATATGTCTTGATCTATTGAAAGATATATTGTCTTATTCAATACAAGAGGTTTGTTTATGTCTATTTCTGATGTAAATTGATTATGATATATTTTAGTATGTAATTGAAGACTTATTTAATGTCAAATCATCACAAACGATAAAAGGCTTGATCACGTTCACTATCCACCACAAGTCCCCGGAAACGCTGATAGTGGTGTTAATGAACGACCCCAAGTAACAACTACCAGTTCTGATTTCCTCTCAAGCTGCATATCCAAACAATCAAAGCTGTCTCAAGAAGACAAAGAAATGACAAAGCAGATGTTTGATAAATTGGATAAGAGCAAGATGTGGAAGTTGTCTACTGGAACTGTGTTAGAAGAGAAGATGAGAGAATTTGCTCTCAACTGTTTATATGAACAGTAAGCGCTGCACAATATTTTTAGTCCCGTCCATTCGATGATATTGGATTCAAGCGATATCAATTGGAAAAAGTGCTTGACTGATGAAGAGATTGATGAAATTGAGAACTATAAAATGAAACAGCTTGTCAAGTTGCCTGATGATGTCAACAAATATATTGAATCTTTTCAGAAAGTTAATGATGCTGTTTCCCTGAAAGCCCAATTGACTCAAGAAGTGCAATGTCCAGCTTCTGAATGGATCAGAAGTACTCTTCTAGAGTATATAAAACTATTCAAATACAAACATCTGCCATTAACAGACCAATCAGAAGGAGATGTTCTTCAAAGAGTCTGGATTTTTTTGGACACTGTTGTGGTGATCTGAGCACTTTCAATACAAAATATAATAAATAATCTTTCATCATATAAATGAATAATCACTTATAGCACTATACATTATAAATATAAAGTAAGCACTGTATAATGACAGTAAATAAGGGTAACTGGGATAATATGGATATTTACAAATAAGGAAACCATAATGGTAACTTTTAGATAACCAGGAGGATTAAAGGAGAATTTATATAATCAATTCCCAGGCACACACTGTCAAGGTGTTAAGTAATAATCACAATTAGTCAATAAATCAGGTAGTATAAAAGACAACCTGGAAAAGATATATTTTAGACAACAATCAATTTATTTTTGTAATAAAGAAGTACTGAACAGTCTCACTGTATTTCTTTGTTTTCCTTCTATCTTCTATTATATCTTCATTCACAACCCAAACATCACAGCCGAATCAGTATATCGTTGTACAGCAAACGGCATAAGAGGGGAAATTTGGAATACTCTGTGCGTACTTGTAAACGTAGCCAGTGCGTGTTTTCATCAAACTTGAAGAAGATCATTGCAGGCAATTCTGTATGTCGATAGAGCCAATGGCCAGAGGACAGGTCAGAGAACATCCTAATTAAAGGAGAATGCAGCAATGTTTGGATAGGCACTCGCTGTAGGTTAAAGTCAATCCCAAAATGGTCAAATGTTTGAAACATGACAGGAATGATAGAGAACTGATGGCAGATATCATGTTTCCGCAAGACCGGGGGAAAAAAGGCAGAGTAGGAAAGGAGGAGCTGGTAGACATAAACAGTAGATGATGGCTTAAAGCACTCTTCAGCAGCGTATTACCTTGGTTTCGATCAAGAAGAGCAAAAAGCCATTTCATCTGGAGTACTAAATGTTGGCGCGCAGGATTTAGAAGACCAATGCCACCCTATAGGCGGGGAAGACATAATTGATCGAAAGATACCTTGAGATATTTCTCTTGCCAGACAAACTTGTATATCAACCGCCGTATTTGGTCTAAAAATGCTTGTGTCGGGTGGAAAAGCCGCAGAGAGAACCATAGTTGGGACAGGATGAGAGTGTTTGCAATCATTGCACCTCCTCAAAGAGACAAGCGTCGTTGTGAGAAAACGTAAATCAGTGTTTGTACTTTGTCAAGTAGCATATCCTGAACAAAATTTCTTTGTGTACTAGTATACGGCATGTAGAAACCTAAATATCTCAGGGTAGTTGGTGAAGATTTGGAGTAATAGGTATCAATTCGGTGTTGTCTTAACAGTGTTGACCAGGAAGACACAGTATCACCACTCAATGAAAATGCTTCAGTCTTGGGCTGATTGAAAATTGCATTAGAGATCTTGGCGTAATTGTTCAAATGAGTCTGAAGGCGTACAAAGTCATTTTGGTCGTGGACAAAGACACAGATGTCGTCCGCATATGCTAGGCATTTGATCTGTTGGTTGCTTGAGGAGTTCGAAGAAGAATAACCTTGGTACAATGGATCTTGAAGAATAGACAATAATAGTGGCTCCAAAGCAAGATTGAACAGTATTGGTGAAAGAGGATCACCCTGACGTAGACCTCGCTTCTGATTGACTGGTTCCGTGAAGAATCCATTAATATTAATATACACTGAATTATCAAAGAATAGACTACTAATACTATCAATCAGTGAAAGGGGAAAGCCAAAAGCACGTAGCACCTGAGTCAGATATCCGGCATAAACTCGATCATACGCCTTCTCTTGATCAAGAAGTAAGCCGATACCAGGATGGTTTTGGTATCTTGCCTGTTGTAATATCAGATGCACTAACATTCCATTATCGCCAATAAATCTGTCATTGAGAAATCCTGTTTGATAAGGATTGATAATTTTTTGCATAACTGGACCGAAGCGTTTGGTCAATAGCCTTGTAAAGATCTTTGCATCGCAGTTGATTAGCGAGATAGGTCTCCAGTTCTTTAGATCGTTGAGGTCGCCCTTCTTTGGCAGCAGTCTTACTCGAATGTCTTTCCAAGATGGTGGAACAACACCATGAACAAGAGCATCGTTGTACAGTTGTTCTAGTAACAGCTCCAAAATAGGAAGTTCAAAAAGCAGGCGCATATACGCATAACCTAGGCCATCGCTACCTGGGTTACTTTGTTTTGGACTGCGTGTAGACATTTCCTGAAGTATATTGATGGTTATCGGTTCAAGCAGGAGATCAGTATCGTCTTCGTTAAGTTTGCGTTCGAAATTGACTAGCCCTAAGTAGTTGTTGATATCTTCAGGAGCGAGAGTATCGGGCGTGTATAGTCGTTGGTAAAAGCCTTGAACAATGCGCTTCATGTTTGTCGTTTCAGAAATTAGTATCTCAGGATGGGGACCATTGAGGTCTCTGAATCCAGACATATACTGCTGTAACGTTTGTTTTTGATGTATCTGCTTCAGAAAAGGAATGTTTGTCTCACCATTTTCCTGCCACCAGATGCCAGATTTGATGATAGCAATTTGAGCCATCTCTTGTTGAAGCTTGTGAATCTGAGTGTCTAGGGGAGGAAGAAGTTGTAGCTTGAGTGCTGGAAGCGGCTTCGTTCGTAAAATACGATTGCGTTTCTTTTCTAAGCGCCGAAGTGTCTGTTCTCTCCAGTTGTTATGATTGATTGCATACGATTTAACAACTTTTCTAGTTGTCAGTTTGACCTGCTCCCACCGTTCTTGAGGTGTATTATCATCAGTCCATTGTGCTACCAGCTTGTGGATACGCTTCTCTATGGAATTGCGTAACCTTTTGTGTGTAGCAAAGGTCAGATTTCCTCGCCATATACCTGGTCCAAATTTTGACATACCTAGGACAAACTCAACTTGCAATATGTAGTGGTCTGACCATGAAGCCGGTAATGATGAGTTATTGGAGTTTGTCAGTCCTTGTCGTATATCTTCGCCAACGAAATATAGTCAGTGGTAAAGAAACAGAAACTATCCCTGGATCGTCTTTGAAACGTGGGATTGTCCTCTAAATTATTAATAGTCATAGCATTTGTGAAGGACTGTTCTAGCCGAGCTCTCTATTGAGGATAGGTAGCATAGGGTAGATCAGCAATTCGTAAATGAGAGTAGTTGAAATCTCCAGAGATGATCAATTGGTTGAGGGAAATAATGTTTCTGAAGTCATTCAGCATATTGTGTAATTGACAGTAAAAGGATTGACGTTCGGAATTGTTTGACGCAGGTGCGTACAAATCAAGAATATAGAAAGGTGCATAGAATTGTTGGGGGTGTTCCACCTTATAGAGTTGAAATCGATCTGAAGAAAAGGAGTGTGAGGTATCTACAACAGAGATAGTAAAATCTGAAGAGAAGCAGATGATTCTCACATGTTGGGTCCAAAAGGATTGTGTTGGTTGAAAGAGAATGTCGAGTGTGTCAATACGGGATTGTGTATCCGCGTGGGCTTCTTGAAAGCATATTATGTCTAGTTTTAAAAGTCCTAAGTATCGAATGTATTCTTTTTGTGTTTTAGGTTGATTTGTTTTCACTAAACTGTTTGCATTTAGTGACGCATAGTGTAATTGGAGTTCTTTAGTCATGATGAGATAGTGAAATATACTTATTGATGGCCTGCAACGGGGCCCGTCGAATGTATACTTTCTTCTAAATGGAGCAATTGTTGATTGATTTCAGCTAAAGTGTTTTGATCGGCTTCGCTCAATATTTCTTCAGTAGATCTTTATTGTATTTGGTGGATCTGTTGAGCCAATGCCCGTTTGCAATCCACCTGCATAGGTAATAAACCATTTAAATCAAACATGGCGTCCCCCTTGACTCCATCTAACTCCATTGCTGAAACGCTCTCTTCTTGTTCAGATTCATCTCTGTCACTGTCACTATCACTGTCACTATCATGACCATCGTTTGGTACATAGTCTGAACCTTCCTCGTCACTCTCGCCATCTTCAGACATATCATCATTACTATCATTTCCTTTTTTAATTGAGTTTGGTCTCACATTTTTCTTGGTCCTAGTCAAAGAAGCACGTTTGTCGTTTGGAGCATACTTGGACTTTAGTACTTCGGTTGAAGAGGCCAGTTGATCCGCTTTAGAAGCAGGTTGGGGCATTTCCTGAGAAGTCTGATTCTTAGGCGCTGGGGTCTTGCGCTTTTTTGATGGATTCTGGAAGAAAAAGAATGCGAATACACTTCTTTGTTTTCTTGTTAACTTAAATGTCTAATCTTCCTGTTGTGTTCTTCCATCTGGACTAGTCATATATCCCTATCAAATAAAAGTTAGCTAAATAGTTCTCTAGCTAAGAAGAAACACATAAAATTATAGGCAGCATTATCAGCTGAAGAAACAGCTTAAGAAGAGAGCAACAGCAGATAGACCTTAGTCTGCCTACCACCACAATCTGAAGACCGTGTCAGTGCAGGAATAGTACACAAGTCTCTAACAGTTGAGCTGGACTAGCGAGGTTTAAGCTTTCAAGTCCCTCACTTAATGAAACGCGTCTGTTACCTTTCGGTCAAGTCCAGTTCATTAGCGAGTATCAATTATACATGATATTTTCCTTGAAATTAAGAGATGAAGCTTGTAGTTAAGAAAAGATAGAGAAGAATGTCGATACATACTCAAAAAATAGCTGCAGCCACTCAGAGAGTATCATGAGGGTGGATGATTTGATTACTTTGTATCTTCTTTCTATTTATCTCCTTAAAATGTTTACGCAAATCGGTTTCCGTCAAAAGAAACTACTTTAAGGACCAATTTCCCGATGGAAACCATGAAGAATCTTTTGCTGTTGAACCTGAAAACGAAGCTTTGCATGGTTTCTCTAACCTTGATGCTGGTCGTGCCTTAGATAAAGGCAATAAAAAGATGGTTAATGCCTTCTTCAAAGCAAAAACTGCTTCGGTGTAGTTTAAGGTGGTAATTCTTTGTGTCGGTTTCTTGAAGAGGAAATCAGACCTAAAATTAATAAGCAATGAATTCAAAAGCAACAATGCATTCATTGTAAAACACAAATGAAATATAAACGATGTGGTGTCTAAGTTAGACATAGTATCTACTTTGATATGTTGATCAGAAAAAACGTTTGCGTTGCTCAATGCGAAGGCTTTCATTCTCATGAAGCTTATCAACGTATTCGTCTTTCAGGAGAAGAGGCAGAAAAAGTGAAAAGTGATCCCTTTACTACCTCCCCAAGAAAATTAACTACTGGTCTCTCTTCTTGCACTGGACAGATCACTGAGGCTGCCAGAGAAATTGACCCCCATTCTCTCTAATGAAGACAGAGTCAAAACATCAATCAAATACTGCAAAGAGCTGAGTTAGGAATCCACAAAAGCAAAGTGCAAAAGAAGTTTGAAGGATTTTTCACTTATAAGTGACAAATGATAAAGACTTTATCCTCACTTTTTCACCTACCCGCATTGTTGAATATCGTCTTTCGTTTGCTACCCATCTGATCATCACAGATGTGACATACAAACCGGTTACTGTCAATGAAAAATACCTTTTGTTCCTCAACCATGTATGTTCCGGAATGACGTAACTGGATCAGAAAGCATATTCACAATTGACAATCTTCAAAGATATTGCCAAGAAGAAAAAAGGGGGAAAAACTCAAAGCAACTTTCTAAAACTACAAATACCGTTGTAGTTTATTACAACAAGAAAACAGTAAAAACATTCAAATGGACTTCTCCCTTTTCTATAGAAAAATGCAAATGGATTTTATAATGAGAATTAGGAGATGCAAGGTCTAATTTTTTGCTTTTTTCGATAAGGATGAAATGGTTCTATCGTCTTGACAGGAGGTAAAGTGATTTTGTATGAATAAATAGAGATGGCATGCGATAAGAGTTGATTTGCATATGCTTGAAGGTCTTGTAGTTCAACATATAATTCAAAATCAATCAAGAACAAGAATTCAAGTTCAAGTTGATTTAATTCAACTAAAGAAAGACCTCCCACTTTAGCATATCGACTATTGGCATAGAATACATCTGAAGTAAATTTAGAAGCCACTAGGATACTATCAATATGGATGAGATACAAAAAAGGGATGACATAGTTTTATACCTTGTAATCAACAATCGATGGATATTAAGTGAATTAATAGTGAATCCTTGATCTAGTTTAGAAATACGGTCAAAATAGATCAAGACAGACAACAGGGCTTCATTTGTAAATGGTGCAAATTTGTGTATACGAACAAGATAGGAATAAACAGTAATATTTGGTATGGCTCTTGAATGAAAATAAGTAATGCATGTATTGGGTATTTGGTTATTGGTAGAGAGCATTGAATCTAACAAATCAGATACAATACGCAATAGATTTGAAGTTGAATAAGTAGCAATATTCATTTCAAAATATGTCTTTTTCTCTTCATTGTCTTGTTTCATACTGAGTAAAGAACTAAAAAAAAAAAAAAAAATAAAGGAAGCCATTTAAATAGACCGCATATCCTTCTTTAGCTCGTGCTGTCAATAGAGTCAGTTGATTGGATGATATCCAACACTCGAATCATCTGCAAAGAAATAGGTAGTGAATTTCCTTTTTTGGTATCAAGTTTTTTTTTTTTTTTTTTTTTGTTATTACCTCTGGATCTGTCAACGTGAAGGATATCCTTTCATTTTTTAATTTAAAAAAAGTCACACAAGAGCTGACAATAAAAAATAATAAGAAACGCGTCGATGCGCGTCCATTTGTTTTGTTTTTGGTTTGTACATGTCTTCAAGAGAATCCACGCCTCTTTCTTTGCCAGAAATAGACGACATTGACACGGATAACGCGTCAGAAGATGTCTTGGTAGCATTACTTGAAAAGGAAACTGATCTTTTACAACAGATCGAGTCCATTGATCTGGCCATTCATAACTTGGAACAACAAGTAGCCAAAGACAAGGAAGAGAAAGAAAGACAAAAAGATGCTATGGATCACGATCAAGAAGAACAAGAAGACAAACCAGAAAGTGAGAAAGAACAAGAACAAGAAAAAGACACAAAAGATGGTGAAGGTAATCCATACTCAACAAAACGCGCATTCACATGTTTTTAGTGATTGAAGAATTTGATGCACCTGAATGGTGTATTCCCATCAAGGCCAATGTCATGACGTATGACTGGGAATCCCTGGCTAAAGAAGTCCAGTTCGATGTGATCGTAACTGATCCCCCATGGCAACTCGCTACACATGCACCCACGCGTGGTGTGGCTATTGCTTATCAACAATTACCTGATATCTGTATTGAAGAAATTCCTATACCAAAACTCTCCACGAATGGCTTCTTGTTTATCTGGGTGATTAATAACAAGTATGCCAAAGCATTTGAACTGATGGAACGATGGGGATATGCTTATGTAGATGATATCACTTGGGTGAAACAGACAGTCAACCGACGTATGGCCAAAGGTCATGGTTATTATCTTCAACATGCTAAAGAAACTTGTCTTGTGGGTGTCAAAGGTACACCTAATTGTCGTCATTCTGTCGGATCCGATGTCATCTTTTCTGAAAGACGAGGTCAAAGTCAAAAACCTGAAGAACTCTATGAGATGATTGAAGAATTAGTACCTAATGGCAAATATCTAGAAATTTTTGGTAGAAAGAACAATTTGCGTGATTATTGGGTTACGATTGGTAATGAGCTATGATTTATTGAATAAAGAAAAGTTACATGGAATACATCACATGTTGACATTGAAGACGTGTTGTTGCTACTTGAGACATAAGCTGATTGTGTTTTTCATTACACTTATCAAGGTAGTGAATCACATCTAACAATGATTTGGGTTTAGGTACTTGAAAACCAAAGCCTTCACCGCCTGTCAAGTCATTCAATGTGATGTTGATGACATTACAATTATTCAGATCAGACGATGGTGCTGGTGGTTGTGTGGTTGGTTCTTCTAACTCAATCAAGTTTGTTTCTTGAGGGTATGTTGTTGAAGACCAGCTTTTTTGATTATGTACATCAAACATGATATGAACAATAAAGAAGAAAAAGAGAGAGAGAAAACACGTCTTTTGTTTACGCGTAACTCTAGTATAAGTGTGACAAAAGGTCTGTTGATAAATTGTGATTTTTTTATTTTTTTTTTTCTCTCCCCCCTTTTTTTCCCCTAACGATGCCTACTACACGCTTTGCTTCAGCTTCAGGAAAATCAATGGATCAAGACATGCCTTCAGAGACACCTGTTGAAGCTCGTCATAAAGCCTATCAGATGAGAAAGAAACGAGATGGATCTCACCTTTTAGGCAAACAAAAAACAATGGTACAATGGATAGAATATGCTACCAGGTAAAAATAACTTTTGAATAATGAAATGACTGAATTGAATCTAGACTCGATCGAGATCATTTTCTTTGGAGTTCATCCGAATCAGGATCTTGTTTTATCGAAACTATTCTTGAACGCGCTTACAAGGGCAAATACAAAGATTTCGCTTCTTTCAAGGTAACTAATGCTTTAGAAAAAAAAAGAGAGACAATCACTAATTCAACAAGTCGGATATTAATACACTTTATTCGCTGGTCTTACGTGTGGTTGGACAAACACGCCATGAATTAGACGCGTTTAAAGAGCTATTTTCTGAACTCGAGAGTAGTTTAATACTGGAAGCATCTCGTCATCAAGAAACATTGACATCCTCACACGATCTATTTGACTTGGTTTCGTTATTTCGCCCTACTGCTGATGGATATGCATTCACAGACATGATCACAAAGGATACATCCAAACACTATCGTAAGGCAACAAGAAATAACGCATTGTATTCATGTCTTTATAGCACAGGGTATTCAAGAAGTAGTCGTGTATCCTGCTCAACCTGCTGAAAAAGAACAGATTCCAACACTCAAAGATGTTGTTGCACCACCCCCACAGTACTATCCCAAGATCCTCAAGCATGAAAACAAACCCAGTTTGCCAGGTAAGCATCTACATACATTAGTTCTCTTCTGATTCATGTTTGTATAGTCCAATGGCTTGATTTTGGTGCATTTTCTAGTTTTGCACCTGCTTCTGATTCGAATAATGCTACAATGACTTATCGAGATACATGGATGGGTCGATCTGTTCACCATGAATCAAAGCAAGACACAATGGATATAGATCCAGAAGAATCAAATGAGGCATGGTTAGCTAAAGAAGGTCTTGATATACAATTGATTCAAGAAGCCATGGATAAACAACCAGACAGCATTGATGAAGAATTAGAATACAACAGTCAATTGTTAGAAGCCTTATTGAACTATCAAAAGACACGACTGAATCCAGATACAGCAAATGAACAAGAATTAGACATTGGTAAGGGAACACAGACGTTTGGTTTAGGGTGACTCACCTGTGCATTAGCCAAGCAACTTGAAGCCAATATTCAGCAGATGCTATCTACCTTACCGCCTCATGCTACTTGTGAATCCAGCATGATAAAAGAAGCCATGACTCGATTACCTGTGTTTGAATCAGCCTACAGAGGCACTTTACCACCTCACAAGATATTTTCATTCCCTACAACAGAGAAAGCAGAAACATTACCCCCTTATGCGAATATCACACCTACTTATTCAAAAGATCATTGGCGTCTTGTTAAAATAGCACCATTACCAACCAAAGACATGACAGGCAATTTCCCTGTAGTCAGCATGGTAGAACAACAACAATTGAATTTCTATCAACAAAAACCACCTCAACAACAACAACAACAACAACAACAACAACAACAACAACAACAACAGCGAATGATGCCTGTCCCTTCATATCCAATATCACAAAGAAGATAGATTTTTATGAATAAAATTATTTACATAGCCTGTGTTTAATCACGGCGGAAACGTCTAGATTCAGAAGAATTTGACTTGAATCTATCTCTGCTCTTGAAATCATCATCTCTAAATCTAGTCTTGAAATCACTGCGAGATTTGTCTCTGCTTTTGAATTCATTGTCGTCTCTGCTTCTAAAGCCACTGCTTCTGAATTCATTGTCATCTCTGCTTCTAAAGCCACTGCTTCTGAATTCGTTGTCATCTCTGTCTCTAAAGCCACTGCTTTTGTTTCTAAAACCATTGTCCCTGCTTCTAAAGCCATTGTCTCTGCTTCTAAAGCCATCGTCACGTGGTCTAAAACTATCGCGACGACGATCAGCATCACGGAAACTGTTGTTTCTACTGCCATATCGACTCTTGTTGTTGTTGCTTTCATTTAAACCCAATTGAGTCAAGAATTTAGGACTAAGGTAAGGAGCTTCTTGTACACCAAAACCTGAAAGGAACTTGCTGGCCTCTGTCAATGCCATCGTACGACGCTGTCCCAAAGTAGCCATTTGGCCTGAATCTATTCGGTTGTGATTAGCAACACCTCCCTATATTTTGGATGTTTTCTATGAACTTACAATAACCCAAATAAGCAGTATAGAGTTCTCTGACCATATCTGTATCCATGGATTGAATGGCTTCATAAGCCACTTGGTTGACTTGATGTGCTTCTTCTTCAGTCACTTGAGGAGGATCCATACGTTCAATAGGCAAATCTTGTACTTCTTTATCTAAAAAGGTCTTTTCAAAAGGAGCCAGTAAGATCATGCCTTCACCTTCACGACCAGCGCGACCCGTACGGCCAAGACGATGAATGTATTGCTCCCGAGAAGAAGGGATACCTACTTGAAGGACAAGCGAGACACCAGGATAATCAACACCACGGGCAGAGACATCCGAAGTAAACAAGATGCTACTGTCTCTTGACTTACGGAAACGATCGGCAATACGAGATCGTTGATCTTGACCCTTTTTGGAGTGAATTTCATAGATTTGACGATGAGGTAACAGTTGCTTAAAGATATGAGCATAAGCCATGGTGGATTTGGTGGTAGGCAAGAAGACAATCACTTTACCCTTTTGAGCTGCTGCATAGTGTTGAAGGCAGTCACGCAAGACAGCAAACTGGTTTTGATAAGGAGCAACCACAGCGGATTGTTTGACATGGAGATTGGTATTCACATCATGTTCACCTACAGTATCAATCAATTCGTAGTTGGGAGACAAAGCAAATTGGCCTAGGTTATCACGGATCTCATCTGACATGGTGGCCGAGAATAACATGGTTTGACGCTGTTGAGGGATTTGGTTCAAAATACGCTGTAATTCAGCCTTGAATCCCATATCCAACAATTGATCTGCTTCATCCAACACAAGCACTTTTAAGTGTTCACACATTTTCTTGAAGCGAGGGACAGAAGACAACATGTCTTGCAAACGGCCTGGTGTGGCAACCACAATATCACAACGACGACGCTCCATTTGCATGATTTGACGACGCTTGGAATCACCCCCGACAAGACAATGGACCTTGAAGGGATAGAAGCTGGTGAGTTTAGTGGCTTCTTCAGCAATTTGGTTGGCTAATTCTCGAGTAGGTGAGATGACCATGATACTAGTCCCTTCAAAATGTCTCATGTCTTGTGTGGATTGACCTGCCGTGGCTGTCTCCAGGGCCGCTGCCAAGAAAGCCAATGTCTTGCCTGTACCTGTCTTGGCCTTGACAAACATATCGTGTTGTGCAGGTAAGCGAGAAAGTACGGCTTCTTGTACAGTAGACATTTCTTGGTACTGAAAGACCTTGGCAAGTGCTTTTTGGGTATTGGCATGAATAGCATCGATAGCATCAAATCGTTTCTTTTCTTCAACAGGTTCAATGGTTGCTTCTTCTTCAAGGGCAGGTTGAGTACTTAAAGACCGGGTATTCAAAAAGAGAGGGATCTTGAGATCAGACAAGATCCGAGGACGAATCTCTTGCTTGGCAAGAAAACTAACAGGGCGGGCTAAGACAATAGAGTGAGTTTATGCAATGTATAAGTTATGATCTTACCAATACGGAGTGTAGTGAATTGACTTGCTCTTGTCAGCTTAAGAGCAGAAGGTGTCAAGATCTTGCGCAACATGAGTCAATAAAAAAAAAAAAGATCGGGACAAGGGTTAAAAAAAAAAAAAAAAAAGGAGGACTCGCTTATAAAATACGATTAAAAGCAGTCTTTTTAAAACTGCACCAATTCTCGCTAAGCATAGAGGGGATTTATTTTAAAAATTATCAGTCAAGTAATTTTCTTCATCGATAAAAGTAGCAACCACAGTTCTATCAGCAAATTTACGACCAGCAAGTTCGCGCAATGCTTCTAATGTCTGTTCTTTTTCTTCATATCTTACAAAGATCTATGATTGGTGTGTGAGTATAGGTCAAACCTAAGGCTATACATTACCAAACCACATCCAGGAACAGGTCCTTCTTTACTAGGTCTTGGAATCTTCATATCTATGATCTTACCAAACTTGGCACACTCTTCAGCAATATCTTCCCAAATATCTAAAGTCATAGCATGAGTATTTGCCTAGGATACTATGTTTTACCTTGGTATTCTTCATCATCTTCTAGTTCATCAGGAGTGACCATATTCATCAGTTGTAATACACGAGTGGCTTCTTCTTCTTTAGCACTTGAGATAGGCAAGTAATCAGCCACTGTCAAGGGCAATTGACCTGTGGCATATTCAGTAGGGAGTGTACCATGCTTAGCACCCACACTAGCACGCTGAACAATCAATTTACGATCACCTAATTCCATGTTATTCAATCCTTGACAAGCCAAATCTGTCACACTAGGATCTGCATATTCACAAAAAGCAAAGCCCTTATTGGCCCCTGTCAGTGGATCCTTGACCAGGTTAAAGGCACGTAATTCACCAAACGACTTTAACAATTCAACCACTTGGTCATCATTTAGATAGACAGGAAGACCACCAATAAAGATCTTGTGGGGTGTATCAGGTACATTTGTAGACACAAGACCAGGCATTTGAGAGGGTAAATCTGTGTATTCAACACCTTCAACAGGTGGTTGGTAGTCTTTGGGTCTACGGATCTTGAGTTGTTGTCCTTGGAACATGACACCGTCAACAGCCATAGCTAAGGTTGCTTGTTCTGATGTATGGAATTCAACAAAGGCATAGTTCTTGTCATGGTTGATCTGAACAGCCACCACAGGTGTAGTATCAGCCAACTTGAGTTGTTCGATGGTCTCATTAAAGAAGTCTGCCATGCTCTTTTCATCAATATCAAAGGGAATTTGACCTACATAAAGACGTTTGGCCTGTCTTGCCAAGGTGGCATTCAAGGCAACAGGGCCAGCAGCACCTTGAGTGACACGAACGCGTGAACCATCGTGCATCATGGCGTTGTCGTGATGATGATAGAGTGTAGTTGGATGACTACCATTGATAGGAGGAGGCTGGAACGATTGAGGTGTGCGGGTACCTACAACTTGACCAGGCAAAGGAAACAAGCCTGTGGATTTGACTTGTTCAGCAGTCATGCCTTCCATACCAGCAGGTGCCATGTCCCAGTTATGAAGTTTTCTTTCACGCTTGCTCAAGGGAATCACATTCTCATTATCACGACGACGTTGTAAGCTGGGGCTGCGTCTTCTGCTGGAACGACGAGGGCTTGGACTTCTTCTGCGTCGACGATAGTCTCGATCATCCCGACTACTACGATGACGAGGTGAACGCTCACGTCTTTCTCTTGATCTTCTACGTCTGTTGTCGCGTGACCTATCATGATAGCGATCTCGGCTATGGCGTCTGTCTCTGCTATTGTCATTTCTACGATAATCCTCATTGTAACCTAAATCCTCATTGTATCGAACTATCATGGCTGTGTGTGAATTGGTTGCACATATGTCATGTTTTGATTTACCTAGTCCTTCATGTCCATAATGACCTTCACCACTCACACCACTTTGAAGTTCTTGACCCACTGAATTCAAGAAAGAATTAGCAAGATCTGCTGCTGATTGTTGAGGGGGGACTACGTGTTTAAGAAAAATTGTTAGTATACACTAGATATCATTCGTAGTTCACCATTTGAGTCTCTATTCCAACCATAAGACATTTTCTTTTTATTCAAATATCTATTGAAAGAAAAAAGGAAAAAAAAAAAGAGAAAAAAAAATTTGGCGGTGTTCACATACCTAAGCCTAAAGAATGAAGTTGATTGGACTAAATGATCCAATCAAACTCATAGCAAAGACTGGCTTTTGCTCTTAAACCATATAAACAAAAAAAAAAAAAAAAAAAAAAAAAGGTAATGCATTATCATGATAGATACAACTCATTGTGTCTCATTATCGCACTGGAATAGTGTAAAGCATAAATCATATGAACCATAAAAGGTATATACAAGTTTTATTCATCTACCATGCTTCTAATCGACAAGTAAGAGTTCCTTTTGTTGTTCCTTTTGTTCGTGTTTAATTCTTCCTTCTATCGTCTTTTTGTATTCACTTGTACAGGTAGCTGGTATACCACCATAGACACCAAGTTGTGGTCGAGTATAACCAAACCAACCATATTTAAACACCAGTTCATTAGCCAAGATTTCACCAAAACCAAGCATGACACCATTAAAGAAAGGCAAGACAAAGTTAATGGCTGTTGATTTGAGTGCCCATAGAAGCAATGGGTGACGGTACCAAGGTTCGCGTCGAACAAGTGTTGTTGAATTATTGTCTGACATGGTTAGAGAAAAAGAAATGAAAAAGAAAAAAATCTCTAAAAATACCGCTTTCTTTTTTATGCTTGCTTATACCCGAAATAAAAATTGACCCAGTTTGTTGTACTCTAACCCAAGAGCCCTTTAATAGACTTAAAGGCATTCAGTTCTTTGTGAATGATTTGTTGAGGTGTTTATTTTAGTTGAATGTAATGATTTGAAGCCATTATGCAACTGACAAAATAGTGGCATTCAGTTACCTCTTCATATCTGTGTCGATATCTTACATAGACTGGTTCATATCTATTACTAATTTATATCTCCCTTCTATTCTCTGCTAATATAAATATTACTGATGTAATTTCTAGAAGATCCACGATATATATGTATATTAGCCTATTCTCCATTGTGTTTAGAGCAAATATGGCACCTCATTTTAGACAAATTCATAAGATACACACACATACACAAGATACATGAGACACTGTTGAATGCACCTTATACAGCTTTTTAATGTCATGACAGCTGTCCTCTTCATTGAGTCACGTGATCTTGAAGTGGATTCTCAAGTGCCAATCAAATGGTGCAACAAGCACAGATTTCATTCACGCGTGCTTTATATTATTTTCTTTTACAGATGACTGCACTTGTAAGTAATCATGTTGACATTTAGACGTATGTGTTGATCCAGAATCTCAGGACGATTGGACAGCTGGCACTCCTATTGGTGCTCTTATCCCTACTTCTGTTTATCCTGCTGTCACTCTTTTGACTGTTTCCACAGGTGTGTTTGCAGCTGGTACCTTTATCATGTAAGTTATCTCTTGACAATAGGATGTACTCAATTCTCTTAGTCAAGGCAATAAGACACCTATTGTTCAGCAACTCCAGACAGCTGTTGTTGCTTCTGTTTTGCTTGGAGTGGGTACTATCTTTGCAGCCAATGCAGCTGGCCTTTATCTCTAATGAACATCTTCCTCCTATGAAAATTGAAAAAGGAGATCATTCATTATTGCTCCTAAAAGACGAATAAATAGCCCTTCCTTCTTCTTCTTCTTTTATGTCTCGTTTAAATGCACTTGAAATAGCATTGATTTGTTTGGTAGTCATTATTGGATGTCTTTGCTTCTTTATCATGGTCTATCGAAAAAGAAACAAACAACAGCATCATTTTATTATGCTTGACAGCCCAGATCATATGTTGGCTTTGCAGAAAGATAGTTTGATAGATGAAAGACGTCGATCTTCTCATCCAATGATACTCTTGTTATGCCATCAACCTGTAGTGCAACCACATCCACAGTTATGTTCAAATCTACAATCACCTTTACCTGCTTATTATCACACTTGATAGGCAACTTACTCGGCACATATATATATATATATATATATATATACAAAATAAAGGGCAGTTTTTTTTTTTCTCTTTTTTTCTTCTTCAATGATGAACTTATCATATGAACAATCACAGCTAAACAATGCCATTAAGACAGGATCGGAAACTTCTATAGGAGGAGATGCTGTTCATATGTTGTTGGCTAAACTGGATGAAGGCACACAAACAGTCATCAACTTGCGGTCTATCCTTACACTCAAAACAGCTGAACTGAATGAATTATTAGCACAATTAGAACTCACAAACCAAGCTATTACCAATGTTGAATCAACCACAAGTCAGATCGAACACATGTTGAGAGAATTCGGTTTATCGACAGACAATGCCAAAGAAAGTCTGTTGATACATGCAGAGGCTTCATTGGATTCAGCCATCAAGTCAGCTGCAAGTATTTATCCTCAACAACTCAAACAACCGTTGTTACGCCGACCTTCTACTGCCAGTACAAACAGTGGCAGTGCTATGGAAGGTGTTGAATCAAAACGACTTGTAAACGCATTTGATTGAATAATCCCAAAAAAAAAAAAAACTAACTTGTTCATTAGAGCAATGCGCGTCTATTAAACACAAGAATAAGATACAAGCCTGATACGAAACATATTTTAAGAAAGTTGAATGATTTATTAAGAGATTTAGGCATGGATTCTGGCAAATTCTTTGCTACTATTGGCACTACAGGTAAAATATATATATATCTTATGATCCATAGCTTATATATATTTATCTCTAGATGATTTCGAGGTATTACAAAAGGCCTATGTGGATTTGGATATTGCAAAGACCATTTCATTATCAGCCAAAAGCAATATGAAGAGAAGAAACATTTTGATGCGAAGCGCTAGAAGAAAGAACAATATGGAAGAGATTCAGACAGTAAGTTAGCGATAGAAACAAAGGGTAGACTCACATCTTTCTATATAGCTTGGAGATAAGATTCGTGAAGGTGTTGCCCTTTGGCTGAATTATACTAGAAATACACCTCTCTTGATTCAAGGTGAAGATATCATTACCGTACTGGACCGTGAAGATGTCTTGTTAGCAAAGAATGTAAAGCATTATTCATTCTATATACATACAGGACTCATTCATTTGATAGTTGCCTATTCCATCCTCGCGTGTTGTGATTGATAGTAAACCAAACACTTCATTAACACCTTCTTCCTCTGCTTCTGTCAAACAGAGTTATACGCATGATATCAAACGAATGTCAGTAGAATCTCCAACTCTTTCTGCTGTCAAGACATCCACCACTGTAAAGAAACCTCACCGTCCATCAGCAGGACCTCGCTTGACTCAAGTGAAGGCTAATGTTGGCTTACCACGTGTCCGTACCACTTCTATCACCCAAGCAAAGGAACACAAGATAACCACTCCACCTAATTCTACCAGAGAAACGATAGTTACCCCATCTCTTCCTAAACCATCATCATCAGGTCTGCCTTCCTCAAGACCTACTTATATCCCCTTACCACCCAGTCAACCAACCACCCCTACCACACCTACATCTCCTGATAACTCAAAGAAATCCATGTTAAAACCACAGCGTGGACCTGGTTCTACTTTAAGATTGAGATCCATGCTAGCTAAACGAAACCCACCCTCTAGTACAAAGCCAGAATAAAATATATATATATATAAGTTTAATGCCATACATTTTTAGTTGAATGATAAGAAGAGGATGTTTGTTGTGGTTGACTAGTCATCATGATGTTTCTAAATAAAGGGGATGTATTTTCAGATGATTTAGTGGGTGATGATGATGATGAGAGCAAAGGTTGTGGATAAGGTCCTTCCATCAGATTGGTATTGGGATTTGTATTATTTACATCAAAAACGACTTGTCCAAATAAGCCAGTATCATACAAAAACTCAAGGCTGTTGAAATCAATTTCACTGCCTCGATTCCAGTTAGAAATGAGCCCAGTTGCTGTTGTGTCAACTCGGCTGTTGTCCACGACAAGTGCTTGGTTGTTTGTACGCGTAGGGTTCATGTAATAGTCTTGGGTACTGTTGTGTGGCTGAAATGATGTTGTGTCACCCAATAACATGGATAAAGAAGGTGCTTGAATATTGACTGGAGATGAATGTGTACTAGGTAAATCATCCATGGATGTTGCTCTTGGGAGATAAGTGCTATTTCGATTGCCATAAAGTAAAGAACTGATATCTGCATCATACAGTTTTTGATGGGCAACTAAGAGTTCTTTTGTTGCATTCGCCAGTCTTTCACACATAGGCCAATAGGGTCGCATACAGTCAATCAAATCATACAGAATCTTGAGACCACGACTGCTCTTTTTGCATGATTCTGGTGTGCCTGAGAAGGTAGATGTCATCAGCACAGTAGCAAAAACATAAGCAGAATAGCCCATATAAGGTATTGTGTTGTAACCACACAACTCTTTCATGGCATCAAACACACCCATGGCTGCATCGACACTCATACGACACGTATCAATACTACTCTGAATACGACGATACACATCTTCTGTAATACTGTCTGGCTTAATGTCACTGAATGCCAAACTACCACGATGCAACACCATCATGCTTGAACACCATACTGCATGCGCTGATAGCCAGACATTCAGATAGTTTCTACTTGCATTGTGACGATGATGATCCAGGTTGGCTTGGTTGAACTGAAATGTCGCTGGTAACTTGTCTTTCCAGGTACGCAATTGCATGTCAAGGTTTTTAAATTCAGCAATGGGTGGCCATACAATTGAAGCAGAATTGGATTTAGCCCGGTTCATGAATCGATTGACTTCACCATAGGCTTCAAGGATTCGCATATAGTATCGAGCAATATTCATGAGTGAATCGTCTGAAATAGACTTTCCTTCGACATTCTGGTGATAAGTGGGGTCGCGTAAGGCAATACAATCACTGATACTCACAGGTAACGCGTCACAATCAGATCGCTCTATGCACTGTGGTCGATGTGTACCCGCACTAACAAGCCTATATATATATATGTGTGTGTATATCATATGTGTTTGTCAAGGGTTCATTCTTTGGTTTTACTTACTTGTCAAGACTCAAACAACTCCAAAAGATCCTTCTTCGTAATGCCATAGCTACTGTGTCGATAGATCCATCTTTATCGAGTATTGGAATACTTATTGTCTCTTCTTTATGAAGTTCTAATTCTTGACAAAATCTAAACCAAAGTGAATTCAAGGGCGAAGGTATATTGTGAATATCATTTACCTTATGGCTAATCCACCATAAATCCAAGATCTAATTATAAAAAAAAAAAAAAAAAAAAAAGGGTCAATGAAATCCCGGGATTTTTTTTTTTCTTTTTCTGCTTACTTTGAACCCGAAGCACGCCCATATTCCAAGCATGACATGATACCCCAAAATTGTATATTGGCTAATGTGGGCTGTAACATTTCTGCATCTACTAAGGATAGTGCTTTCTCAGCAAAACGTTCTCCTGCTAAATAAGGTGGATTTGTCCTAATGGCAGGATCATTTGAAAATCTACATAACATAAGCATGGCTACACAATGAAATCCGAATGTTTACCTGGCACCAATAGCCAGAACACTGTACAACAAGGGCCTTGATATAGTTCCGTCTTGTATTGACTTTTTTAATATAACACGATGAACAAATGGAAATACAGAATTAATATATTGAAAGAATAAATCTACAAGATGGTTGACTATTTCTACAGGTGGAAGATCTAAAGCATGATCTAATATAGAGTGAATACAAATAGACATATGTGCCTGTTTGAGCTGAATTACCTCTGTTCTCGTATAATCGAATGGGTGAACCACTGGAATTGGGCGTAGAAGATAACGTCGTATCTTGATTAGCATTATCTGGCCCTATCAATTTACGTTCCATTTGAGCCAGTCGTTCTTCTAACAACTGAACATATCCTTTACGAGGTCCTCTCTTTTTAGGCTCAGTATATTCACAAGCAATGCTGGCTTCTTGACACTGAGTGCATTTAGGTCTGCTTTCATCACATTTGATCTTGCATTCATTAGTATGGATTGTATGAATTGATGTAAATACCTTCTTTTTTCGACAGTGATTACACGCTTGACTCGCTCTCATTCGCTTTTTATTCTTGTTTGGTTTTTCATCATATCTTGTATCATACATGATATAGCGTTGAGGTAACAGGCCGAGAGAAAGAAAGAAAGAAAGAAAGAAAAAAGAAAGAAAAAAAAAAGATAATGCCAAACTTCAAGCCACTACCATTCCGTATTTCTCGGTTAGGTGATTTAACCGTACTTCCGCAAGCAAGGAGCTGCCTTTTAAATCAAGAACACAGCCCGTGATACCTGAAACAAAAACAGTGCCTATCAGATGACAAATATAGTTATGAATGTTACCATGCATCAGGACTTGTCTTCTAAAAGCATTTTTGTTCTAGAAGGAAATGAATAGATAAATGTGATTTGTAGCCTGTACCGCACTTTATGCATACTTTGAGAGCTTCTCTTTCATAAAACATGCATCATAAAGTCAAAAGTGAACATTTAATAATTATTTAAATAAGCCATTGAAAAGTAAAATTTTTGTTCATGAAATAGAAGCTCTGGGCAAATACATGCTTCAAGCGTGAAAAAGACAGCAATCCATATAAACCTTTATCATTTTCTTAGACAAATGAAGGCGCTTCAAGGCCTGTTTATACACGCATAAATGCTCTAAATACCTATAAACCATGTTTACTAACATCCATGATGGATTTGGCGTTGATTCGGACCGAAAAAAGCGACATGTAAAGTTTGACCAAAGGGTATTTTACTCATGAAAACCCTTCATTTGTCTAAGAAAAGTATCTGAAAGACCTTGTGAATTTTAAACAAGATAGTTATCGAATAGTATGTGAATAATCTATTGAGAAGAAAAATTGATAATGGCTTTCAGTGTAATAGCACTTTTATGCATGATGGACCTTCTTTGGCTTTTGTGTTACATCTTTTACAGAGAGATATCCTTTCTTTTTGATTATTGAAAAAGACGCTTTTTTCCAAGAAAAATAAGAGAAATTAGGACAGCAAAAAGAGATATCGAAATATGATTTATCATTTTGCCTGTAGCATTTGAAGACTATTCAAAGTATTAGAAGCCATCGGTCATGTTTGCTTGTAAAAACTGAAGAGATGGTTTTTCTCCTTTTTTCCTGAAAGAACAAGCTGCCAAAATCAAAATCCAGAATGCTTCATTATAGTCTAATTCTCCAACAGTTCAACAAAGACGATCATTTGGTATATCTGGGACAGCTTTTTATCTTTTTTGAGATGTGTTTTAATTTTCAATTTGCTTCTGTTCTCGATGATAAGTGAAAGCAGCGTTTACATGGTTTGATCCTGATCTTTGCTTATTGCTTTGACTTGAAAGACTGACTGTTATTAAAGGGATGCAGGAAGCATTGATCTCAACTCAAAAGCCACAGGGACTGCCTTTATCCTTTTAAAATCAAAATGCATTTCCTCCTATAGTTTTCTTTATACATGACTGAACATACTGACAAAGAACAAGAAACACCTGTAGCAACATTGGTGTCAGACAATCTAGAAGCAGGAAAAAAAAGAACGTCATCTGCTCTTGAAGAAGGAAGCCAGGAGGAATCCAAGTTCGGTTCTCGATTGCTAGTTGATGAAAACGACGTCTTTGCTCATAATGCTTGGTAATAGAGACATTTTTATTTAAATCGTATATTGACCATCGCACTAGGGATCATGTTGATTGGGATTCAGATCAAGAGGAGATTGCAAAGGAAAAAGTAGCACTTCAACTTGAACATCCTGTACCTGAACAAGAGCAAGGTAAATTGTCGCCAGTGAAATAGTGCCACTTACACGCAATAGCTCAATACTATTCGGATCCTGCAGAATATTGGAACAAGTTTTATCAAAAGAATGAAAATCGATTCTTTAAGGATCGTCACTGGCTCAAGATTGAGTTTCCTGAACTGTTTGAGACAAGTCAAGAAGGTGCAGGCAAAAAGCGTGTATTTGAGATTGGCTGTGGTGCAGGAAATACCATGTATCCTTTACTAGAAGCAAGCAAAAATCCTGAACTATTTGTCTATGCAGCAGACTACTCAAAGACAGCTGTGGATGTAGTATTAGGCAACAAGGACTATGATCCTTCACGATCGTGTGCTTTTGTGTGGGATCTCACCAGTCCTAATATCCCTGAGCAGATTGAACCTGAATCACTCGACATGATTGTGTTGATCTTTGTCTTGTCTGCTTTAGCACCCGAACAATGGAATCAAGCCATCAAGAATATCTATAAAATGTTGAGGCCTGGAGGACGCGTCTTGTTCCGTGATTATGGTCGTTATGATTTAGCACAACTTCGGTTTAAAAAGAACCGTTTACTAAAAGAGAATTTCTATATTCGTGGTGATGGTACTCGAGTCTACTTCTTTACTCCAGAAGAAATTGCTGGTTTATTCCAACAAGACAAGGAAGGAAAGGCACTGTTTTCAATTGAGCAAAATGCTGTAGATCGTAGATTGATTGTCAATCGTCAACGTAAACTAAAAATGTATCGCGTTTGGTTACAAGGCAAATTCAAGAAACTGTAGATACTTGTATTTATTTGACAATCTGTGGTGTGGCTGACTGTATTTGACAATATATTAAAGGTGTGTACAAAAAGGTTAATTACATAAAAGAAAGTTTAAGTCAATTTGGTTGCATCTAAGCCCCAGTATTCCTCTAAGTGATCCAGGATGGCTGGTATACTGGAAAGTGTATTGAATGTCTTTCGTTCAGCATTACTCATAATATCTTCAAACATAAACATCAAATGATGGTGGAAAATAAAAGAATTTGTACCATATCCTAATGCAAGACGAACATAATCCTAATAAAGAACTATGTGAGCCTATGTATCAACAAGAAATGATCTTTACCTCTATGCATTCCCATGGTGTAGTCTCATAACCAGCAAATAAAGCAGGATTCTGTAACAAACCTCTTGCTGACATGACACCATCCACACCTGTCTTTTCATACATTTCCTCTGCATCTTTCAACGAAAATATACTACCATTGGCCATCACAGGCATACTGACAGATTCTTTGACTAATTTGATACCTTCGAAATTGACAGGCTCTGTTGATTTCTGAAGTCGAGTTCGACCATGAACAGTCAAGAAATCAACACCTACAGATTCAGCTCTTTTCACAAACTCATAGGTTGTTCTATAGATTCATTTGTCAAGAAAAATATATGGGTTTGTTTGTAAAAGTTACCGTAGATCATCATGAACTCGAATCTTAATACTGCAAGGAATGTTGACTCTTCCTTTCACTGTTCGAATCATATCTCTGACATTTTCTGGATCTTGCATCAAATAAGCACCAATCTTTTCTTGATAGGCCCATTTCTGAGGACAACCGCAGTTGATATCAATACCACCAGCAAAAGGAGATACAAGTTCTGCTGCATCAGCCAAATCCACAGGATTATTTGCTGCAAACTGAACAACAACAGGATCATCGAGATCATTGGTAGTAAAGTCAGAAGAGCGAGCAAATTCTGAACTTTTAAATACGTCGGCCAAGATCATGGGTGTATAGACAATGTCCGTGTTGTATTTTCTGACAAGTTCTCTGAAAGCAAGTTTGGAGTATCGCACCATAGGTGCACATATATTAATACGCTTCTTAGTTTCTAGAATCTCTAAAGGTGTAGTCTTCTTTTTTCTATATTCTGTCATACGCTAAATGTTGTTAAAAATACAAAAAAAAGGGGGGGAACAAAATGCTTCAATTTCAAAATATTCAAAAGTGGCTTGGTTGGCTGTGTAAGAGATACATTCTAGATCTATGGATTAAAAAAGAAAAAAGCCCGTTTTTTGTATCTCTTGTTTCTACTTCTTTTTTTTTGTTTTATACATAACCATTCCATGTTCTTTTCCTATCTATCTCGACTTGTAAGAATGTCATTTTGTTTAAATCCAAGTGAATTAATGTCATCGGTAGTTTAAACAAATCTCCAAATCAAGATGGATTCAATTTTATTTTGCATTAGTGATTGTCTCTACTATTTTAACCGTATCAATTCTGATCAAGACTCTGGCCAATACCAACAGAATCAATCAGAATCAAGAAGCAGAAGCCATAGATGATAATTATGAGTTCAGTGTGTATTTAACTGCTAAAGGTTATAAAATTGTGTATGAAAATATTCTGTTTATTGTATTTGAAGTCTGGCGAATTTGGTGTTTAACAGATGGTGTAAGTGAAACACAGATTCAATGGAAAGAATAACTTGTTTATGTAGATTGTTCATTTGAATTCTTTAACAATACTGGCTTCTGCTTGGCTTTCAATTTTCTCTGTCCTGTTTAACCTTCTGGTAAGGTATAAAGGAAAAGAAATAAATTAAACACTATAAAGCTAGTGGTTGAATCTCGAAAATGGATGTTGAGCAGCTACGACTCATTGAAGCTAGAAAATATGCATTTACAAATTGCAATGACAGTAGTCATGTTTGCCTTGTTTGGTCCTGTTATCCTATCCGCTTACAAGACTTCAAAAATTATAGGTTGGCAGGTCTATAAAAAGATTGGAAGTAGTATTGAACTGCAAAGTAAGTCTTGATTTAGTTAGATAGATACTGAATTTTATAGACATGTACAATATAGTTCAATGGTTTGCACTCTTGCTGAAAATCGATATTTTTTTTGAAGTGTTTATTATGATCTGTACTGCCATTGTTACAAGTGCTTTCAATTACCGAATTTTATGCTGTATTATGGTGCCCGTGTTGATTGTATCATTGATACTTGCCAGAATTGCGATTACAAAAGAAAATCATGGGATGATGTTTATCTTTTTGTTCTCGCAAGTTATCTTGTTTGCCATGAATATCTATAGCTCCATTGAACTGTTAAGATACTCTCCAGAAAATCAATGGTTTGCAGGCATTTCTTATGGTAAAACAATAAGCCTATCCTCCCAAAAAAAAGTTACTTACTTATTTTAGTTTTTGCTTCCATGATTTGTATTTGTGCAAGTATAACGAGCAGAGTATGTTTTAAGTACTAAAACTATTTTTTTATAGATATCTATCTACTTGGCCATACGCTGTCTCCTCAATTTTGGAAAAGGTCTCAAGCCCTTTGGTAATATAATTAGCTGTATAATCAAGATACTAACACACAAACAGTCAATTGGATGCCCTTTCAAGGCACTAAAAAGCACATGGAAGAACCACCTCATTACTCAGTAGAATCAGGCCTTCTAGGAACAACAAAAAATGAAGATAGACAACCAATCGATGATGACGATGATGATTTCAAATCTATGAACGAAAAGAATGATCACACTCCTTTCCAGTCTCCTCCTCTTCAAGCAAGTGCACCACCTAATTACTCGGCCATCTCGCGCACTTCCCTAGAACGAGTCGAATCGAAACCTCCTAATATTTATAAATTGGACTCAATCAAAATTATCTCATCGTCCATGTCGGATAAACCCCCACGATTGACATTGAAACCAGTACAAAAAGATACGCTTGTTCTATCGCCTATATCTACAAGCCCAGCTGTGCTGAGAGCTGTAAACAGGGACGATAGCTATGACGATATCCCATTATCTTCTGCTACCATATCTGGTTTGAATGATTTTGCCATAGCCAAAAACTCAATTGAAATCATGCAAAATAAATAATTTTAATGTTTACTCGACTCTACTTTTTCTACTACTTTATGACATATTTGTTGAAATATAGGGAATAAGTTTGATTTTTCAAACATGTTCACATAGGATCCTTCTCCTTCTGCATCCACCATGCTTGTAAAACCAGGATCAATAGGCACTCTGCCAAAGAAATCAATTCCATATTCCTTTGCCATTGATTCACCACCACCAGAAGAAAAGATATTTGTGCATTCCTAATAAATAACATAAGCTATTGATAGTAAACTTATCACTTACAGCACAATGAGGACACACGAATCCACTCATATTCTCGACAACACCCAAGATGGGTAACTTAACTTTTTTACAAAATGAGAGCTCTTTACGTACATCAGCAATAGCCACACCTTGTGGCGTAGTAACAATCACAGCACCATCAGGATTGAAATCTCGAAGGTACTCAACGATTCCAATATGTTCATCAGAAGTGCCAGGTGGTGTATCGATCAATAGATAATCTAATTCTCCCCAATACACATCTTGCAAGAATTGCTTGATCATTGCTGCCGACGATGAGTTAGTTATAATTTATCATGAAGTACTAGTTACCATTCTTCTTAGGCCCTCTCCAGACAACCGAATCATTTTTGTTAGAAAGCAAGAATCCAATCGACATACATGACAGTTGTTTATTTTCATCAGCATACACTGGAACCCAACTACACTACCATAAATGACCAACTCAAATATACATTAGCTTACCCTTGAGAGGCCTGGTGAACTTGTTTTCCGTCCAAACCCAACATACGAGGAATACTGGGCCCAGTAAGGTCAATATCAAGTACACCTACTTTCTTGCCTTGGTGAACTAAAGCAAGTGCAAGTTGGGTTGTGACAGAGGACTTTCCTACACCACCTTTACCAGAAAGAACGAGTACTATGTTCTTGATACCAGCGAGGTTTATTTCAGACATAGTTTGCTTATTAATAGGAAGAAAGAAGAAGAAAAAAAAAGGCAAGATCGACTTGCTTAGATTTGTTGAAATACCGATTGCTAAATGCAATTTGAATAACCGCATTTAACTGTCAAGGATAGCTTTAAACTTGTTTTAGCAATCCCAAAAAAAAAAAGTTTGTTCATATTTCATCCTATCTCTTCTTGTCTGTATATTCAATTTCCAATGACAAACAGTATTCAAAAATTTCAACTTCAAAAAATCATTCTTAACTACTCCAAGTCAGAATTTAATGGCTAGTTCACTAATACTGCTATGAAGGACGCTTCTTATAGTGCACGTAATGTATGCGACCACAAGAAGAACATACATTTTGACAATGTGTAAACTGCTCTGACTTTGTAAATCAATACTGTAAACTTTTTTTTTGTAATCACTCTGGTACTCGCAAAGTATCCAACACTGCTAAAGCATCGTCCATTAGCGGTCAATTCAATACTGTTTTCAATCTGACCTCATCCTTGCTTATACCAAGAGATTGATTGGGACAGACACAAAGCGTCTCGTATGAAATAAATTTATATAGGACTGCTAATTTGTTTACAGACTGAGCTTCTTCCAACTGTCACTCTCGAAAAGGTCATTATTGTAATGCAGTAAATAAGTCTTTTTTTTTCTAGTATTTAAAGGAGAATAAAAGAAAAAGAAGAAAAGCATTCAACAATAAAGAGACATCTTTGAATGACCGGTATTTTCCTTTTTCTGGTAGCTAAAGCTTTGTACTATATTTGATATCCGAGAAAATCGTTTGCACGTTTTATCCTTTTTTATAAAGACTTGCTTGGTTTCTCTCCCTGACTCAATTTACAAGGTATCACAGTTAAAACCGCTAAATGTTGAAATAATAAATGCCTCAAATAACATAAGCCTCAGCCCACTTAGTGTATATCTATATGGGGCTGCTAACTAGAATGAACCTTAAAATAAACGTACATATGTAGGCGACACTTTTTTTAATTACCACTATTTTTTTTTCCTTCTTTCTCTCTTTATACCTTTATCTTATCCCCCCCCCCCTATGAACAATACCAAAGAAAATTATATAGCTGATTATATTGAACTTTCAATAAACCAAAACGAAGATAATGACGAACCACCCGATCAACATCAAGATGATCACCCTTTTCAAAGAACATATAAAGAAGAGTCGAGAACGGCCTTATTAGAAGGAAATAATAGTATTGAAGAAGATTTTATTGTCTATGATGGAAACGATAGTAACCAAGAAAATAAAACAACTCAGAAACATCGTGAAGAAGAAAAGACACTTGCTATTCAAGTAAGGAAAAAGTCTCATTTGGTATTCATGTTGACACTTTTTTTTTTTTGTTAGGCACTTCCTTCTCTTATTATTTCTGTCATTGGCCTTGTACTTGCTGGTGATCTTTTAGATGAATTTCAAGTAAGTCTAGACTTAAGAATAAAAAGCAGACGACTTATTCTATAAAGCATTGGGATGTATTTCTCAAGACAACTGAATTGTTTATTCTATTACCTATCCTACTCAACTTGAAGGGTAATTTGGAAATGAATTTGGCAGCTAGATTTTCCACTTCTGTAAAGTAGCTTGATTGATGAAATACACAGAATGCTCATTGAATATTATTTTAGTCCAACTTGGGTGAATTAGATTATGGACCAACACGAAGATCATTGATTGTTGGCAACCTGGCTTTATTACAAGTTCAATCGCTTGTGGCAGGTGCTATTGCTGGTGCCTCTTCTTTTGCTCTAGGTTTAATTACAAAACCCGGAAGTAGCACCAGCTATTTTGAGATGATGTACATGACAGCAAGTGCCATGGTCTCTGCTTCATTCTCAGCTGGTATTTTAGGTGTATTCATGTGTGCCTTAATTATTGTCTGCAGAAGATTTGATATTGATCCTGATAACATCGCCTGTCCTATGGCTTCCTCTACTGGCGACATTGTGACCTTAGTCTTATTAGCAACTTGTGCTGTTATTCTTCAGCCTCAGATGGGTAAGAAAAGTATGTCCATAACTATATATATTTATCATGATGATAGACAGTATCTTGAGTACCCTTATCTTTTTGGTCATGGTGGCCATGATTCCTTGTTTTGGGTTTATCGTCTGGCGTAATAAACATGTCAAGGACTTGTTATTCTCTGGTTGGACTCCGATCATTCTGGCCATGGTCATCTCTAGTTTGGCTGGTGTCTTACTAGAAGCCTTTGTAGAACAATACAAAGGTGTGGCTTTGTTGACCCCTGTATTGATTGGGTTGGCTGGTAATCTTGGTTCAATTTATGCGTCTCGTATCAGTACTTGCTTACATGCAGAAACCAAAGAGAATTACAAGGCTGTTGAACTTACTTTAATGGCCATGAATATTCCTGTTCAAGTGGTCTTTATGATCATCATTTGGGCTTTTGGTCTAGGGCAGCTGCAATACAACGTATGGTTTTTTCTTTCTTATTTCTTGATTTCCATGATATGCGTAAGTTATATTATTGACAACATAGATGGTACTAAACATAAAATAGACTTGGATTTGTCTGAAGATTGGCAAATACATGACCTTGTTCTTTTGGAAAATAGGTTATGACCCAGACAATTATGTGATACCTTATCTGTAAGTATCTGTATGGAATTATTTTTTTACTTATTTTATTCCATAGAACTGCTTCCATTGATGTGATTGGCACTATTCTTCTTGTCAGCTGTTTTAGAGCACTTACAGATTCTGGTGCTACAGACATGACGATAGAGAGATCACACAACTAAATACCCCCCCTCCCCGTTTCTTTATTTTGTCATTATGTAGATACTTCATTTCTCTCCCCATCTCTTTTTTTTTCTATCATATATAATAAACACATCCTTATGTGGTACAAGTATAGGCTTGTGGTTTCCTTATCGGGCCGGATTTTTAAACAGAAATATGCTTGTGTTGTCAGATAAACTTGCATAAAGTTTAGGGTGATCGGTTTATTTTTTATTGTTTGTCTATGAGTTTGTTATTTTTATATAAAAATAACATGGTATCTGTATATAAATATTCTTTACTTGGGCTTAGCTAAAAGTAAAGCTCCGAGTGGCACATTGTCATCTGCATCTTCTTCCTGTATATTGAACTTGACTGGCAACAACTGGACTCTTGATTCTGTTGTGAGTGTATAGACAATGGTAGTTGATTCAAATGATTTTCGTTTCGGTAGGAATAAGCTGTTATGAACTCGATTGACAATGTATCGCTTTGATCTCTTAGGTAAGAAAAATGATCCAGGCTTATCTGGATGCAATGGTATTCTTTTTGAAGGAGGGACGTAATTGCTTGTTGCGCTTATTTCTTGATAAACAGCACGTTCCAGGTTATCCCAGAATGCTCGCACTGCAATAATGTCGCCCAATTTATTTAGTTTTGTTGCATGATCCATGTGTTTATGTGGTCTTGTTAGTTTATGACATGTAATACGATACAAGTGAGCCAATTGCTCGTCTGATATACATTCGAGTGATCGAGATTCTGTTCGTTCCTTGTCTGAACAAAAAGGTTCCACCTTTGTTTTATGAGGGACGGAATTTGCAACATGAACAGAGGCCATCCATATTCTTGCCCAACTTGTAAATTGTGATAAAATACTGACATGGTTGCTTCCAAAGAGTGGTGAAGTAGTGCTGTTTAATCGAATAAGATCTTGGTTTGGTTCTGAAGTAGCCAACATAGTCTAAAGAAAAAGGAAAAAAAAATAATTTTTAAAAATATATATATATATATATATTTTCGAGATCTATACACGTTTTTTCGCCACCAAACAATCAAGGTAATTCAACTTCCTTTTTAAGGATTCCCCTGTTTTTTTTTTGCTTTTTGATTCGTCCAGAAAATTTTTAACAGTGTCTAATTTTAGACTAAAATCCTGTACAATTAAAACTCCAGACTCAGAAACCCTTCAAGCGTCCCTTTCTTTATAAATATGAATTTTCCTGTTTCTACAAATAAAACAAGAAAGCGTCAAAACTGGCGAAGGTTTGCCTTCTACTTTATAGCTGTTTTTCTACTCTACTACTTTTCAAAAATCATATATCACTTGTTTCACTCTCCATCTAGTTTAGAACATACTATCACAGAAAAAACAAAGCAGACGACGTTTCGTAAAGAACAAGACATACTCTATTTTCATGATGACAATCAAACTTATCTTGACTTTCCATGGTATCAAAAGGAACATACGCGCCCACAATATAAACCTAACGCAACCTTGCTTACGATCCACCTCTCTTTAAAAGACAGAGAAATCATGGAGCAAAAGGCAGTTTTAACAGCAAAACGATTGGCATTTAAACGATTTCCTCCTGAGAATTACATTGGCATTCGCGGATCCAAACTTAGCACAGCAGCAGATGTACAGGCATTTAGAGACCATGTAACATGTTGGACCAATGGACAATGGATTCGTGTATCTGAGCTCAATAGCAAACAACACTTTGCATTAAAGCATATTCAAGATCCAATCTATAGTACATGCGACCGTCAATTCTATAAGACGCATGCGTCAGATGAGATTAGAGAAGCAGTAAAGTACCGTTGGCAACCTACCAAGTCTGACACATGTCCTCCTTTAAACCTAAAAGTTGAATCAAAAAAATGGTGTAGAGTGCTACAGGGGAGAAATATGCTACTTGTAGGTGACTTAGTCCATTATCAATACCATGAAGTTCTATTGGATGCTTTTCGTGACGATCCTACTGTTTGTTTTGGTGAACTAAACTGCAAAGGTAAGCTATAGAAATAATGAACTGAGAAACTCATTTGAATTAGACCATACTATCTGTAAATCGCCCAAGGATACACGACTTCGCTATGTGCGTAATGATATTCTTTCAACCATACGCAAATTCCAAAACAGAGATCAAGGACACCCCTTAGCGAATGTCATTGAATGGCCATTTGTTACTTCGAATATTCTCTCTTCATACCCTATTCTTATTCTAAGTCGCACATCGGTATTGGGTGATGATGATCTATTGTTTACTCGACGTTTGATTCATACGATGAAAGTGATTCGAGAAACTTCGCCTGATGCACTTGTGATTTACAGATCTGCCTTTATTGGACATCCCTTTTGCAATGATGCTACACAACCTCTTTCTAAGCCATTGACCGACGAAGAATTGAAGCGATTGCCTTATGGTTGGAGTGAAACGAAACGAAGAAATGCGATTGCAAAAGCTGTTGTTGAAGCTGCTGGTGGTGTCTATATTGATTTTGCTTCTATGATCAACTTGAGACCCGATGGTCATCTAGGAGGACAAGACTGTCTCAGATATTGTATTCCTGGTCCATTAGACGCAACAACGCAAGTGTTGTATAATGTATTTACAAGTTTATTATAATTAAAGCTTTTTAGATTTCTTTTGTCTTGTACTCGTTGAAGCAACAGGCGTAGGTGTTTGTTGTGGGTCAGCAACTTCTCTTCTTTTGTTCTTATAAGTAGAACGGTAAAAAGTGATGAACAAGAGTAAATAAGACGACAAAAGTCCACAACCAAACAAGGCAGAGGATTCAGTACCATGACAACTTCCCCAGTCAGGAAACCATGGCAAGTATGTATAACTAAAGTACGTATAGGTACAGAAATAAACAACGCAGAGATCAATAATGAATTGAGTGATCTGAAGTGTTGTCAAGTACTTTTTCCACCAGATTCTGGCACCAGCAGCAGTACGAAAGTAGTAATAATACATCAAGACATGGACAAACAGATTCAGTGTAATGGGAACCCATGAGACAGTAGTTTGGCCTTTCAATTGGCTATAGCATAATGCCAGCGTGAGGCTATGATGATAATAATGTAAGAACTCTATAGATATTGTTAAGCAAGTCTACAGTGCACCGCCACTTTACCTAATTTCTTCTTTTTCAAGACCAGGAAGACAGTGTCCAGTAATTCCCAATACTTGACTAAATAATTCAAGTAATACAATAGCTCCAACGGTTGAGTCCAATTGCTTGAAGAGCAGATAGCATACAAAAATCCATGGTGATAGAGCTTTGGAAATATCTGCTCGATAATCAATACCAACAATGCACCGGAAACAACAGTCAACAATGCATTATGGATCTGAAATAGTTTCTGTAATCTGAAGGCTGGACGGTTCTTCATGATCCATTGACCACCAAAGATAATGATACAATAAGCAACACAAGTGATAATCACTGTATAAATGGTCAATACAATGGTTTGATTTCTTTTTATCGTTTTTACCTTCTTTATCTCTATTCAAGGGTGTTTTACTGGAAAAGAAGCGAAATGAACTCGCTCTCTTGCCTGTAAGAAGCGTATAGATTCTCTCAAAATATGGATAGAGATATATCCCAAAAGGCGTTTCTGGCTTAAAATCAAATGTAAGCTTTGTCATTGATAATAATAATAAAAAAAAAGAAAAAGAAAAAAAAAAGCGTATGAAACCATTCTATCGTCATTCATGTACAAAATAAGCAGTAAGAAGATCACTGAATAATTGACCAAGACAATCTTTTGTTTATTTCAAAACAACTTCAGCATGATGATAATTCTGTGATTCAAGGTATTCTGACCAACTGATAAGTCCACTAAAAGACACAATCATATTAGCATTTCTCCAATCTAGTGTCACTTACTCTCCATCCAAATCATCTTCTTCAAGAACATGATCCACCATTTCTGTCACTTCTTCCAAAGACAAATACTTTGTAGCATCTTCATGCTCGTCTCCAAAATCTGTAAAAGCAGCTCTAAGCTCATGTCCATCGAGGAATCCATCGCCATTGAGATCGTGAATCAAGAAGAGGTAGTAGATCATGTCATCATCGCTCAAGTCAGTAGGTTCTTCTCCCGAAGTAGCTGATAATTTTCTCAAATGTTCACGAATATGTCTAAAAAGTTGAATAAGGGCTTATTGATTTTGGTATAGACTTACTCTTTGTTTTCTTTGTCATCACCATAGTTTGAATGGTCTTGATTCTTAAATTCAATTGCATTTACTAATAGAATACAGAAGGACAATGCCAAGAATAATAATAAGCTTCGATATTGCATCTTGAATAATGAAAACGAGAAGGAAGAAAACTAATTAAAGTGTTTCAATTTCAGATTGAAATGAAGTTTAAATTCTTGCACAGGATGATTTACCTGTAATTTTCTGATTGAATATTCTCCATATCAAAAGCTTATTGGCGAAATTTTAGGGGTTGAAAAAAAATACTACTTGCATAACTCACATAGAGTCAAATGTCCCATCTCCTAAGACTGAGGGGGCAAACCAATATAGTCTTTATATCACACAATTTCAAATAACAAGGAAAGAAGACAGACGAAAGCAGCAAAGGACAAATTAAAATAAATGTCAGCAAAAAAAAAAAGTAACTGACGAGGCTTATTCTAGAAATTGGTTGCATTTGTTATTTGTCGCTGTATTAAACATTGGTTTTTGTATTCCGGAAATGATCATAGTCTTATTATCTTCTAAAGATCAACCTCTACAAAAAGCTAAACTTCAATCTAATCTGAAATTGAAACGCTGTAATCCGTATTTTAGTTTCATTATTATTTGTCAATGCAATTTGCTTGCTAAAACTGTTCTTCTATGTATGGCTCCACTATAAATAGAAAAGATGTTATTGCTCTGTGCTACCATGCACCTCATTTTCATGTACAAAAGAGTAAACAACAACAACAACAGCCGTTCAAACAACCTCTTCTCAAAACCCTATTTAGGTCATGAAAACAATGACTTTCCTTTTATATTAAAAAATCAAATTTCTTAATAGTGTAAAAGCACTTCTTTACTCCTTTTTACTTCTTTTTTTTTTCTTTTCTTGACGTCAAGTTGGAAAAGAAAATCTTTTTTTTTCTCGCCCCTCCCTTCCTCCTCCCATATAAATTACATAAACATAATAAATTGATTGAAGAAAAAAGAAAAAATGCATCAAGCATATCATAATAGTTCGTCTGCTGCTTCTATTCATCAGACACAAAAAAAAAAGAACAAGAATCCATTCACATTCTTATTTACGAGACAAAATAAGAGCACATCAACAAGTCAGTATCATTTAGATGATGAAATACATAAGAAGCAAGGTAAGTTAAACGTTGACGAAAAAAATGAAATTCATCATTCAAAGGCATTTTTGGTGCGCCTCTATGTGATGCCTCTAGAGACGGGTCTGATCTATGGAACCTAAAAGTACCTGATCCAGTTGCTTTGTGCTTTAAGGAAATCAATCGACGAGGTAGGCCTAAAGCACAGTTTAATTGGTGGTGATTAACAATCAGAAGGACTCAAGACAGAAGGCATCTTTCGTTTATCAGGGGCTACATCCGAAGTCATGATTTTAGAAAACAAGATCAACCTTTGTTCACCTGATGAAAGAAAGCGAATTGATCCCAGTGAATTTGATATTCATACACTGACCAGTTTGGTAAAAAAGTATTTACGAGAATTACCTGAACCAGTCATTCCAAACGCTTTTCATGAACAATTGCAGCACGCTGACTTGAAGGATACTCGAGAAAGTATTCAACAGTTATCTTCAATACTTATCAAATTACCATTTTACAACAGACAGTTGATACATGCTATTTTGATCATGGCCGCTAAAGTCCAACACCAGGTTCATTCAAATATGATGTGCCCTGAAGCTTTGGCTACTGTGTTTGCACCTGTTTGTACTGGGTTTGAACAATCACTCAGAAAAGGATCCATTACTCCATCTGCTTCATCCTCTGCCTCGACAGCAATAGGTATAACGTCCAATAAGAAATCACACTCAACTCCAACTCAAACATTGGGCAAAAAGAAACACAAAAAAGTACAACTACCCTTTGATCTTATGGCGTTACAATTAGAACAAAAACCTACATTGATTGAACAACATATCAAGAGAAACAAGAGTTGGACCAATATTTGGAAAATCATGATTGAACAACATGAGGCTTTGATTGATATTCTAGACAAGCAAATGCACCAAGCAATAGAAAATCATCAAAATATGGCACATCAACAAGAAGACTTGACTTGGAAGCAATACCGTACCTATTACAACATCCAACAGAATCAGGGCATCAATCGATCTTTGCCTTCTCCTTTCTCGACAAATGGAAGTATGGTACCTTTACCAAGTGATATTATCATGGCTCAATTCCATCCTATTCATTCTTATCAAGACGAATCTTCTTCATTTATACCTGTTGCTCAACCTTCTACTTATAATCAACAACAACATTATTATGCCAGCAATTTTGAAGACATTGATGAAGTTGATGATGATGGATCATCATTGATTAGTAACAATCAAGGCATTCATCATTCACTAGCAAAAAAAACGTCGGTTTTTTTTCAAAAGTCAAACACCATAAGAAAAATACTTTCAGCAAGCACACTTAGATAGGACTTATATTCTATGCTTCATTCCTTCCACAAACCATTTGGGCTTATGCATGTTATATTATGTATATGGATCTATTATTATGCATGATTAAGAAAAGTATAGAGTCATCCTTTTCCGTTCATTTTATGTATGTATGTATGTATGTATGTCTAATAAAAATATATAGTACAATGTAGATAGATAGCATAAAAGATAAGGGGTAAAAGCAGTAGCCCCTTTTTTCTATTCTGCATATAAAAATGTATTTTCGCTTTCTGTATCTTCTTTCTCTTGTTCTCCAATTCTAAAGAATGCACAAACTTGTTTTCTATTCACTAGTAGCTTGTTTTTTGACAATAAATGCGGTTTGTTCTCACCCAACACTGATTGCACGTCAATTAGTCGATAAAAGAGATCCAGTGAAATCAGGATTTAAAATTAGAAAAGGACTACCGTTCAAGAATGTAGAGAAAGAACTAGCATCACCATCTGCAAATGATAAATTTGAAAAAATATCTGAATAACCTTACCAACTGTGTGGCTAAAAATAATTAATAAAAAAAAAAAAGTATGTTTCAATTGTTGGAGTAGAGTGAATCCTAAGTGTAACGGCAGACAACATGTTTACATGATCAACACTTGTCTTTTGTATTGTATCTATATTTTTGAAACAGTTAGAGCAACCTTCAATACTTAAAATACCAATCAGTTGTGTAGTATATCACTTTGCATTGACTATATATGTTTACAATACACCAACTCCTCTTGTGACAAGCGATGCATCTATTATTCTAGTCGTCTTCAATACTCAGCATGTTAACTTTACTCGGTGTTGCTTTGAATATTTCGCTTTGGACTTTTAATACTATTTCTTTTTGCTTTCTGTTCATAGATTTTGATACTTCATCTGTCTCGGTTTTGGAACGATTCAACAGCTCACATTGCTTATAGATCTTCACACAGAATGCATGCCTTTCATGCGCAAGAGCTAGTTGACTTCTGATTATAATCCATTTCGCATAAAAGAGAAAAAAATAGACGTTTATTTTAAAAGTTGAGGACACAAGCCTTTTTTCCTATTTTACTATATATGCAATCAAGCATTACACACATCACATTTTGCAATGCCAAGCGATCGTCGATGCTAATTAGATTAAAAAACCTTTTACCGACAAGACGGCAAAACATATAAAACATCCTAAAAGACCCGTCTTCTTCCCTCTTTTTCTTCCCTCTTCTTCCCTCTTCTTCCCTCTTCTTTTTTTTTTGATACGTTAAACAATGCAAAGAATAGGACGTGTCTTACCACGCGCTTTTCAGAGAAATACTAGGCGTTTATATCAAACTCAACAGGGTCCAAGAAGAGCAGTAAATAATTATGCAGCCTTAGGCATTACTGCTTTTGTGGCAGGAACTTCAGGATACTGGCTAGCCGCCAATCCTAATATTTATGCTGAACAAGCTACTTCTCAAAATATTCAAGTACCTGTTCCCCCAATCCCTACTCATGATACAATTGCACAAGTGTTCAAGGAACTTAGCAATGTTTTGCCTCCTGAACATGTAACTGTAGACGAAGAAGTGCTTCAAAATCACGGTTATTCTAACAATTCATATCATAATGAAGGAGCACCCAACATTGTTGTCTATCCTGAAAGTACAGAACAAGTAGCCCAAATAGTCAAGGTGGCCAATAAGTATAATGTACCCATCATTCCATTTTCTGGAGGAACCTCACTTGAAGGCCATTTTTCTGCTCCCAAAGGTGGTATTTGTATTTCATTCACCGAGCATATGGATCAAGTAGTAGCTTTTCATCCAGAAGATATGGATATTGTGGTACAACCTGGTATACAATGGGAAGATTTGAACTTGTCTCTAAAGAAGGAAGGTCTCTTTTTTCCAATGGATCCTGGACCAGGGTATGCCTCTTTTATAAAAAAAAAAAGATGTCTTATTTATTGTTTTCTCCATAGAGCATGCATAGGTGGTATGGTTGGTACAAGCTGTTCAGGAACTCAAGCAGTTAGATACGGCACTATGCGAGAATGGGTGATCAATCTGACAGTGGTTACTCCAGAAGGCAAAATCCTAAAGACACGACAGCGCCCTCGTAAATCTGCAGCAGGCTATGACTTGACCAAACTCTATATTGGCTCAGAAGGTACATTGGGTGTTGTGACCGAAATCACGCTTAAATTAGCCGTCTTGCCTCAAGTTGAAACAGTGGCTGTCTGCCAATTCCCCACGATTCGTGATGCAGCTGCGGTTGTGCCTGATCTAGTACGCGCAGGTATCCAAATAGGTGCCGTTGAATTGTTAGACGCAACCATGATGAAAGCTATTGATCTTGCTAATCCAGATTTGGGACATGCAGCAGCACCCACTCTTTTCTTCAAATTTTCTGGTGCTTCGCAAGTCACTGTTGATCATGATGTCAAACTGGTATCTGAGATTACAAAAAAGCATCAAGGTGGCCAGTTTAGATACGCCAAAGATGAAAAAGAAAAGAATGAGCTTTGGGAAGGAAGAAAGATTGCACTCTGGTCCTCTACTCTACTCAAACCAAACTCTTCTGTTTGGACAACAGATGTCGTTGTTCCTGTGTCTCGCTTGCCTGACTTGATTGCAGAAACACAGCATGAAGCAGACCAATCCTTTTTACCCTGTCCTATGGTAGGACATGTAGGCGATGGTAATTTCCATGTCTTCCTCTTGTTTGATAAAGAGAGCGATAAGGAATATCAAGAAGCAAAGCGGTTAAACAAGAACTTGGTTGAACGTGCTATCCGTATGGAAGGCTCAGTGACTGGTGAACATGGCGTTGGTATAGGCAAAAAACAGTTTTTAAGTCAAGAATTGGGTGAAAACACAGTTGATTTAATGAAAACAATTAAAATCGCTTTAGATCCAAAGGGTTTAATGAACCCAGAAAAGGTTTTACCTGAATAAAATCATGCAATTAAAATGACGACACAGCCGTTATTTTAGTTTCACCTCTTTTTTTTTCTTTTTTTCTTTTTCTTTCTTTGTTTACTTTTTATTCACTCAAAAATGGCTAATGTAAGTGGAAACAATATCTAATGTAAATACAAGAGAAATCTAAACGCGTATGTTTGATAGGAACGCGAAGACAAGGTGATGGGAAGCTGGATTTTATAAAAATGATATCTAATATCTTTATTTATTTAGGTCTATATGGCCAAAATCTCTGAACAAGCAGAACGTTATGATGGTTTGTATATCTGAAAGGAGAGGAAGCGAAAGGGGGCGAAGGGGGGAACACAAACTCGGGAAGTCATCCGAAAAAAAAAAACCTTATTTCTCATATAAAATATCTCAAACATGTAGAAATGGTCAAGTTTATGAAAGAAGTTGTTCAAGTAAGTAGTATAAAAGGCAAAAAAGCGTACTAATTGTTTTCAGTTGAATGCTGCCTTATCATTAGAGGAACGTAATCTTTTGTCAGTTGCTTACAAGAACGTGATTGGTGCTCGTCGTGCCTCTTGGAGAATCGTTTCTTCTATTGAGCAAAAGGAAGAAAGCAAGGGTCATGAAGCACAAGTAGCCAAAATCAAGGAATATCGTAGCAAGATTGAGAATGAACTATACGATGTCTGCAATGATATCTTGAAACTCTTGAAGGAACACTTGATCCCTGCTGCTGAAACTGGCGAAGCCAAAGTGTTTTACTACAAGATGTAAGCAATATGTACTGATCATGAGAAAAATGGAATTATAACAACTTTATAGGCAAGGCGATTATGATCGTTACATCGCTGAATACGCTACTGGTGAAGCTAGAAAGGAGGCTGCTAATGCTGCACATGAAGCCTATAAACAAGCTACTGAAATTGCTTCTGCTGAATTGAGCACTACACATTCCATTCGTTTGGGTCTTGCCTTGAATTTCTCAGTCTTTTACTACGAAATTCTTAATGATCCCACGCATGCTTGTGAATTGGCCAAGCAAGCTTTTGATGATGCTATTGCTGAACTCGATACTTTGAGTGAGGAATCTTACAAAGATTCCACTCTTATCATGCAATTATTAAGAGATAACTTGACCCTATGGACTTCAGACCTTCAAGAAGGTAGGATTCACATTTAAAATGCGTATTGACATATTCATTAGATACTGAAGGAAAAGCACCTGTTGATGAAGAATAAACAATTTATAATAAAATGTCAATAATTGTATATAATGAGGGTGTTTATTTGAGGTATAATACGATATTGCTCATCTTTGATAATTAGTATAATGGTTATTGGATTGAATGATTTTAAAATCATCTGGTTTGACAAAAAGAGCTCTTTGAGGATCTGTATGGAAATAACGAACACCATCTACAGAACCATCACTTTTACCCACTATATATGTGTATGAGTATGTTGTTGTCTTTTACATTTTCACTTACATCGACTTTCCAATTCAACACCAATATATTGACCTTCAGCAAACTGAACAGGGCCAATATAACGAATAGTACCCATCGTGGGCAAAGGACGGCGCAACAACTCGACTTTATCACCTAATATAGGTATGATAGGCGGTTCTTCTTCATCACTCACATCACTATTTGTGCCAATGCTCCATCTTGATTTACGAAGTTTGTTGTTTTTGCGTTGCTTTTGATATCGATTTGCGGGTTGAGGTAATAAATAAGTTGTGGTGTTGTATTGAACATTGAGTTGAGGTGCGCTTGGCGACTTTGACCTTGCTGGGGTAGCGGGCAATTCAAACTTGAGACGTGTAGGTCTTGTTTCCTGCGTATCCGTCTTTGTCTTTTGAGGCAAAGGAGGGTCCATGGCAGTATCGACTGGTAAAAGTTGGTCTGTTAATGAAGTGAATGAAGAACTTGTACGAAGCATAGGTCTTTTTGCTTCAGACAAAGAAGCACAAGCAAGATGCTGTTCCATTTGTTGGCCAAGATTATTGTCAACTGATATGCTTCTTGATAAAGAAAGCATAGGTGATTCATGGTTAGCCTCCACGAGTCGTCTAGACCTTTCTTGTGTTTCGTATGATAGCAGATTAAGCAAAGGTTGGTTCTTGTTTGTCCTTGTTGTTTCGGAAGAAGGATAAGGACGTGTTGGGACAAGCACAGACTCCGTTGACAAGGCTCTGGGGCGAGATCTTGAGGGATGTGAATCACCTCGAGTAATCAAATTACCTAAAGACAATCGACGAGTATAGGCTGCTGTCAAAGAAGCGTTTTTGTCCATAGGTTGTTGTTTTTTAGATTTACGAGGCTTAAAGCTGAAAATGTTAGAGAAATCAGTATCGAATGGCTTTGTTAATGAGCGATAAGGGATATTGATATCTTCTGCTAATTGGCGCATGGTGGCTTTGTCCAATGTACGAAAACCACTTGTGGCCTTCATCTTTGTCCAATGTTTTGAAATATAAGCAGCGCATCGTATTCTTGCCTTAATGAGGACATCATCGATCGCCACATTTTGAACAACTTCTTGACGACCTACCAAGTCACGCCAGATACCTTGGTAAATGACACCGGCATTGTTCTCTTGAATACCATCAGTCAGCACATTGAACAAGAGAAATTCGAGAAAGTCAACAGAGAAGCCAGCTCCAATACCGTCGACACAGGATAACAAAATAGGGTATTCGACGCAGTAAAAATCAAAGAATTGAGAGATCATACTGACAGTGTAACGCAAAATAGGATTGACGAGGTCAAGAGTAGGGCGAGACCAAGAGGGGTTTGGATCTGCACTACGAAGTTGAGAGAGACATAAGTGAAGTGAATGGAGCACATGAATAGCATTATGCTTTGTGACATTATAAAATGTACGTTCTTCAATTTCATGTACAAGTGTCTTGGGAGGTCTTGCACGGAATAAGGGTTCCTGCTTGAGGACAGCAGCCAGTGTGTCTTCGCCCAGATGAAAAGTAGAAGGAACTATGGAAGAAATCAAGAACGCAAAAGGACGTTGTGACCAGATAGAAGAAAGCGAATGAACAGGATCGCAGTAAAGTAAAATAAGTGCTCTTCTTAATTTAGACACTACTTCAACATGTTTATCAGACCAGGCCAGCATAGAAGGTAACAACACTGCGCATTCAGCACATACACATTTGAAGTGATGACACAACTGCTCCATTTCGTGCAATATGGCCTGTCCTAAAGTCTCGCTGTGACCCAAGTAATCGGCTGCATAAAATGCTTTCTGCATCACGCGCAATGCATGTTTGTTATGCTGCAATCGACGTTGAAGGTGCGATGAAGTTTTGGTGGTGTCCTGTGCCAAAGGAGTAACTACAACCTTATCTAAGTAGAAAAAATTGAGAACAAGGTCCACAATGGCGTCATTAAACAAGTCGTCTGTCAAATGCACAACGGCGCTCGATGCTTCCCGAAACGGTGCACAGAAAAGAGCATAAAAATAAGGTGATTGTGCCGCCAAGAGAAAACGATGTGCCTTGAATGATGCAACAGGTACATTCACTTGCTGTGTATGATTTTCTGGTGAAGTAGACAAGAGACTAGGAATCTGATCATTGACATCATTCGACTTGCTAGAAATAAGGTCGATAGTCACATCCACTGCTAATTTTTCATCACGCATACGGCGCAAGTCGCTGACGAGCTGTACAAAATCGGGCACACTGTCACAGTGGGGTGGTAAGACTGCAGTCCCTAACTGGATGCCTAATTGTTCTAATTCGTGTTGAATATGGTTTCTAGTGGGCGGGAATGTGAGGGGTGTTGTAGGCCCATTATCCTTTTGGAAACCTAAAGTAGGTGATGTATTTGTTGGGGTCATGACGGATAGATCCGAAATACTTGATTGTGGTGATACAGTGAGATGAACATACGATGCTGTATACCAAAACCGAAGTAAAGGGGTAAATAATTCTTGTCGAATAATTTGACTAATATCCAACTTTAATGGTAATTCATGTTCTTGGTATAATTCAGGTAAATAACGCTCTACGAATTCTTTTGGTGCACGGGCTAAGATAATGGCTACCATAAAAGTCAGCTTGCAATCGTACTAGTCTGTATGATTACCTCTATGAGCCCAGACTTCATTTGAAGGAAATGCAAAGCAAATATCAGCTAAATATTCTTTTGGATTCTCTAGTACATTATTCAAAGAATTGTAAAGTGTGCTTGGGGGTGCATCAAACATATATCAGAGTATCAAGTCTTTAATGTCTAAAAATAAGAAAGAAAAAAAGAGAAAGAAGAGAAAAAAAAGGGAGGAAATAACATATATATAGCAATTCTTGTTCATAATCTATTTTCCCGTCTAGTGCTTTGCCATACACCATTTTCGGAAGTGGGTGGCACACGCTTTGAGATAAAATTGAAACACAGTTCGAAAAAGGTTTTAAATGCTACTACACCTTTTTCAGAAATTATTGGAACATACACATCGAAAAATGAGATTCATGCATTTCGTGTTGTCTCAAATACGCCCTTTCTTTTTAGAATAGGACTTTTTGGTAAGAAAATCGACAAAAGAGGGTGGAATCTATCTGTATCTGTAGTCATGACTCCACAGTGGTTGTTCGATTTAATCATACATATGTAATCTGTTGTGTTAAATGTCATCAAAACTGTCTTACGTAAAAAATAGCGCTTACAATAGTAGTTGGACAAGGAAAACTCGAAATCGGCTAAATAAACAGCGATTAGCCTCAGATTCTTAATGAAGAATTTCTCTTATTTGGCCAATGCCAACTCTAAAAAGCAGCAACTTTCAAGAGAATAAGAAGTAAGTTGTCTATTAAAAGTGCTTGATCAGTTGACAACATTTTCAATAATGACTCTTGATACAAATAGATCACAATTTTCTTTTCGTAATAAACAATTACTGACTACTGCAAATATGACCAGCTGGATAAATATATACGATAAATAAGCTCATTTCAAAAACTGCCTAAGATGATTGTCTTCCCAAACTGATAGGTTTAGACAAAGGCAATAAACATTGGAGTGAACAAGTTCTACCATAAAGTTATTGTAGAAGCTTTACGAGTTATATTATAACAGGCATTTCTAATTTGAGTGCTTTAGGGCCTCCTCTTTATAAAGGACCTTCCTCTCCCTCTCTTTTTTTTTTGGCTTTTGTAAATAAATCAAAAACTGTTTAATAGGTTAAGATGGCTGGCTTCAACAAAGTCCTAATTTTTTTTTGACTTGGCGTGATATCATTTCTATCAGCATTGTTGATTATCTCGTCAAAGCGTTTCAATTACTTTTCCATGTGCGCATATATGCTGAAAGTAGCAAAATACACAGAGAATTCATGGAAAACCGGGAGAAGTTTGTTTATAATACCAGCGCCAATGTACGACGAAGAAAAATGGAGTATATTTAGCGATCGGTAACGGTATAATGTTGTACCTGTGTACAAATGGCTCAACTTACAATGCAGGTACCAGAGAAAGTAAAAAAAAAAAAAAAAAAAAAAAAAAAAAAAAGGCTGTCTCACCATATCAGATAAACAAGGAAACTTTTTGATTGTATGAAACATAAAATAGTGAAAAAGATACGTAATATTGAGGTATTATTTTATGATGCGTTATCTTGTTCAAATATCTAAAAACACAGCAAATTAGGCTCTCGGGCCGCATAATTAACGCAAGGTCTAGAAAAGCGTTGTTTTATTTTAAAAATACTCAGTCATACTAAGAACAGTCAACTTAACAGACCATCGGATGTTCTCTAGTAGATCCAAGTTTTGCTCTAGCTGCTTATTATTTACAAGGTTCTCAATCATGACTTCCCATCCTTCTAAAGCTTCATGTTGAAGCGAAACCAGTAACTCTAATTGCTTCTCGGGGAAGGCCGTGTTGGTTTCCGCACTGTCCCTTTTTTGATTGACGGTAGCTGTTGAAAAGACACACATGCAGTATTTACTGACAATCGCTACATGGCGGTATATACTTTCTAACGATTTCTTGTCATGCGGCTGTGTCCTGAGCACATAATAGAACAGCTTCTCTAAATGTAGAGGCACATGCTTTGTATTTCTAAAGTGTCTGTGTGTTTTTTTGACTTTGGAAACATCAACATCAGCCAACGCTTTATCGCAAAGTGCAATAATAAAGGATGGATATTTGACGAGTTGAAAGAATTGTTGACAAGCAGCCGTATCCATGCCTGCAAATACACTATATACTTGAGTTACTAGGTCCTCAAATATAGCAATACGATCAAAACAAGCAATGGTGATAAACTATAACCTTTTAACTTGTGTATAGTTATGCATTATTACTTACCATATTTAAAATATCACCTGTCAAATGAAACAAATGTTCATCTTGGTTAGGGAAGTTATTCATTAGAATAGACAAGTATTTGTTGAATTTACTGACTCTACACAGGGTATCTTTATCCAGTGTCTTTACAAAGATGGACTCTTCTACTTTGTGTTCATTATCCAACCTTAATTTAAGGTCTGTCTGTAACACATTTACAAAGAAATCCAAAACTAATCGGCGACACTATATGTTCAAAAGAGTGAATAAAACAACAAAGCCATCCACACTATTACCTTGGCATCAAGGTCTTTCTCTTCACGATTTAATAATCTGTCTGCAAAATTCCAAAAGTCACGGTATTTCTTTAATTCTTGAGTGTCTAATTGATCATAATCATCGTCCTCTTCTCTGCGTGCTGCTTTAGTAGAAATAAGTTCAAAGTACTTGAATTGGTTCCATAAGGGATGATAAATTTCAGGTCCAAATAGAGTCAAGACATCCAAGAGAATCGCATGCGCTCTTTTACAATGTCGCCAATGATTTCTAAGTTGCTCTATTTTTTTAAAGCTAGATTTTGGCTTTAAAATAAAATTGATCAAGGCTAACAATAAGGGACTGTCATGTATCATTAGACAATGGTCATTTTACAACTCTTTCATCATTACAATGGTGGTCTTCTACCTGTGCCAAACGTGTTTTCAATGAATTGCATGCCAACATCATCTAATAAAAAAAAATATGGATTTATACTAAATCATAAAGAAAATAGCTTACAATTATCCACTTCAAAATAATCAACAATCGTCATTTGCATGCGTTTAGGAAAGGGCTCCTCATTTGTCACTCTAGTTTTGATACGTGTCTCGGTTGTAACATCATTTTTATACTTGTATATCTCAATAAGTAAAGGCCGTGTGGCTAGTAGCTGTTTAGCCGGTATTTGCTCAACAATATGACCGTTGGCTTCCTGAACTGCATAGAGTACTTGTGTAGTCTATGATAAAGTTTGAATAACTCGAGATCTAAAAAAGAGATCTTACAGTTTCAGTATAACTTGCAATAGGCATTTATTAAAAAAAAAAAGGGATAGAGAGAGGGAAAAAAAAAGCAAGCGGAAGGTTAATTATTGTTTTTAGGCAGCAGGTTGGCTACTTCGTCTGGGTCAAAATCTAATCGTAAAGCCAAAATTTTCTTCACTTCTGTCACTGTCAAACGCCAACTCACTGGGCCTGATTTACTTCCCCAATAATCATAAATTTCAGAAGGCTGAGAAAATAGATAAGTTCAAGGTGTTGTGTTCCGATATATTTACCTCTTCAAAATTTAACAAAGTTGACATTTGATTTAAGCGTGTAAACCGATCTCGAGAAAGCCATTCTGTGAGTGTGGATAAGTATAGAATAACTGATCTAAGATCTTTATCAAAGCGAAGTGCACCATATTGATTAAAGCGTGTTTGAAAGACGATTCTTTCCCATTGTGCTGTGATAGCATCAACCAAAAGTCCCATGAGGGTATTGAAATTATGTTCTGTCAATGTGCGTCGATAGATGGATACTAGGCTTTCAAACCCTCGGCGAAATCGCTTCAAAAATTGCTCTTCAATATCTGCTTCGTTGTATTCTTCTTCTTCGAGTACATATTTCACTTCTCGATAGGATTCTTGAAACAAGGGACGAATACGAGGCTTCAATATTTGAGTGATCAATTGCCCAATACCATTCTATCCATGATTTAGATATGTCACTGAAATGCTTATCTCTATACCTGCAACAATTGACTGAATTTGTCAGCAAATCCTTCAAAGTCTTTGATATAAGCCAATGCTTTCTGTATATCCTTTTCTTCATCTAACCATATTCCATTCTGAATGTCTGGTTCTACTTCTTTAGCTAAGCGATGGGTATAATCTGCACTGACATCCAAGTTATTAAGAACGACCATGTAATTCACTTTGGCCATCTCAATGGCTTTCTCTGCATTTCTTCCTGTAGCATCATATGACGTAAATACAGTTGACATCTTTTGTTGAAATGGCTTCAAATAGCTCATCTCTAGTATTTTAACTACTGTTCTTGCAGTTGATGCTACTACTTCTGGCTCATAGGTGGATATAGCTCGCTTCACGACTGTCTTGAGAATAAAGAACACATCGTCTACGCAAGTGGATGTGTGTGAAGCAGAAGCATCATATTCATCTAATTTCATCGCCTTATCAACACTCTTCTTTAAAAGGTATTCATCAATCACTAGGTACGAATTCATCAATTCGCGTACACGCTTTGTAAGTCCAGAAGATAACAAAAGTCCATTGTCGCCATAAAAACGATGATCTTTGCCTTGCATAATCACTTCTTTTTCATTTTCATCTGATTCCAACACATCCATTTCTTCACTTGCACGTTGATTCATGAAGTTGTTAAACAAGACACTTCTTTGACACAACAAACTTAGTTCGTATAGGTTTGCATCTAATTGTCGAGGTTCAATTAGAGGATTGGTACTTTCTGTATCAAGTTGAGAAGAGGGTTGGTTTGACGCTGTGGTGCGCATCATGGCAATTAAGAGACATTGGATTTCAACAAGCTGAGGTATGTCAGCCATAGTTGCATATGTGTATTTTGTTTTACCTTGGATTCTATTCTACGAGCCTTAAGAAATCGATCAATGATTGCTACACTTTGTGTATCATTTTCTTCTTGAAGACGTTGAATGACTCGAAGCATTTTACCTTTACCATAATGTAGTTCAACTAATGGTTGATGTTGATCAATAATCACTGCGATATTCTCAAACAACCGAGTCAATGCATCAGCAAAATAAGTGGGTGCAGAAACTTTAAGAAAATAGGTCAATCTTCATGCAATTCATAGCAGTGTATCTCATTTTACTTATGCCACTCTTGAGTTCCTCTGCACATCTTGCCTTGATAATATTACATACAAATCTCGAGTATTTATCCAGCCCTTCTGTCTGGCAATCAATCAAGGGGAATAGTTTGAAATAACGAGTGATATCTGCTTGATTCCTTTGTACTACAGCATCATCAAAACGAGTTGAGAAAATATCAAACAAATTGGCCTTTGCATCTGCTAATGTCTTTGCTGGATGATCTGGATGTTCTGATGTAGGCTATAGAGATTTCAATCAATGTGTCTTCCATCCTAGGTTTCTGCTTACCACTGTGAATTCTGCTAGTGACCCATTTAGAATAGCAGGATCAATTTGATGTGCCTTTTGTAACAAGCGAGCTGCTTCATCATATTCTCTTTTTTGGATAGCTTGTTGTAAATTGGCTACACAATACTTGAGTTCCTGAACGTCTTCCACGTATTGAATCGCTTGTCTTGCTCTTGATTGTTCTTGGTCTAGTTGGCGTACTTTATCGCTAATGACTTCTGCAAGTCGAGAAGTTTTATTGACTGTATCAACAACATGAGATGCATTGGTCTTTAACTGACCCAGTTGTTCCCTAAATACAGCATGAGATTTAACATCCAATCATGCTGTGTTTCGTACCTGAGCACAGCGAATTTCTCGAGAGACGCGTCGAGTTGGTATTCTTGTGCTAATATCGTATCGAGGCTAGCGTCAGTTTGGGTTTCTTCCTCATCTATCAGACGAAGACACTCTCTGATCTCGTCAATATCAGTTAAACTTTCAAATTTACGGGATAACAATAAAGCTGTATTATCTTGTTGCACGTCGACTGAAGGCATATAGCGTCGTTAAGAAAAAGAAAAAGAAAAAGGTATACATATATAAATTTTTTACTACTCAGCTTTGATAGAGTGCAGGAAAAAAGCTTATTGTATTACAAAATTCAAATAATATCTGTGTTTATAGGATTTATTCCATAGGATTTGTCTTTCCATCTTGAGGTCTTTTTTCTCTTCTGTTCCTTTTTTCGTACATGTTTTGTTTAATGTGCCAACTGATTCTTCTATATAGAGAAGAAGGCTTGTTAATTGAAGTGGCTATCTTTTCTTCTTGTGTCCATGGTTGATCTTGTATCAGCGTATAGTCATGTTTTATATAAAAAGAAAGCATATCAAAAAAAAAGAAAGAAAGAAAGAAAGAGAGAAAAAAAAATCATTTTATATGTACTCTTTTCTGCTGTGTTACGTTCCTCAAGTGTTTTTGATAACAACTTTATTCAAGTAATACATGATCAGAAGATGAATCCATAAGAGAAAAGCTATCCAATTCGATATTTGGCTCAGAGGGATGTTCAATGGCCTCTTTTAACCGCTTAAATCCTTCCTGCATTAATTTTAATTTCTGCTTTAATTTGGTGTTTTCTTCTTGTAATGTCGATAGAGCACCACGCATTTCCATGATCAATTCTTCTTCACGGCCTGCATTGACACTCAAGACAACCATAGATCCTCTGCCAGTCTGCGTAGGAGCCAAGACGGGTATAGACAGTTTTGCATAGTGCTTTAATAATTCTGTTGATCTTTGATGGATATGATAAGGATCAGTCTTGAAAGTACGTTGTGTAATGAGTTTCATGAGTTTGCCCATGCTTGTTTGTTTGACAAGTTCAAATGTGACTCCTTTGAATTGTTCTACTTCAGATAGAATCACGTCTGCATCATGCGAATACTACATCTGCATGTCAGCTAAATAAATATAAAGAAACAAACTTACCTCTTCTCCTCTAAATATGCTTCTTCGTAATCGTTTTCTTAGGTCAAGGAATGCTTCAAACTTGTTTGTGTCTGCATCAACTTCCATTGCACTTGTTTGTAATGTTTGAATAGTAGACTCTTTCTCTTTGATGTGACTATGGAGTTGTTTGATATGTTCATTCTGTTTCTGCTTTTCTTTCTCTAAATCATTGATCTGACATGGTTAGTGACGTGATCATACTACAGAGTGTACCTTTTCTAATAAGCTATGCTTTGTTGCTTCATGTTCATTCAAATGTGTACTCAGTCTCTGTATTTCTGATGATAGTGTACTTTGATTGTTTTGCAGCTATATTTGAATTAGAAACAACAAACAGAGGATTTCACTTACTCGAATCAATTCTTGATCCACTTCACCTTCTGCTAATCTTTCTTTGATTTGTTCTTCATTCACATTATGCTACAGACCCATAAGCACATTAAGACCTTAAAGAACAACTTACTCACTTGTCTCTTTAATGAATTCATATAAATGTTCTCCATCTTCTTTAATTCAGCTTCTGTTTCTTTGGCTACTTGTTGTCTAATTTCTGATTCCATAGTAGCACATCTTGTCTCTGCTTCAATCCATTTGTTACGCAAATCATCCAATTGGGAAATTAAGTTATCAACAAACGGGTCTTCTTCTTCTTCCTCCTCTTCTTCTTCTTCAACACAGGTGCCTTCTTCTTCTTCGTTGACTAAGGTGTCTATACCAGTATACATCTTTTTTTCTTGACTATTAATACGAAGTCGTTTGTTGACTAGTAATCACTGTAAGCATGTCTATCTTTAAATAATAGTACTAGAAACATACCAAATTCAGAAATATCTTTGAGTTCCAATTTAGGATGAATACGACGCCATGTGGCTACATCTTTAGCAACAGCAGCAAACTTCATCACGTGACTATTTTCATCAAAACCAGTATCAAATGGATTCACATTGACTATCATCACTGCCTTTCCATCTCCTTCAAACGAGCTCTTGAATAACTCTGTTAATTTACTATGTCGATAAGGTACCATGGCTCCTTTCTTATACATAGACAATGAGTACACATATGCTTATTTGTTCTTTACCTTGCCAATGGCTGCTTTTAATTGATTTAGGCGCAATGTTTCCATACATTGACCTAACACCATTAAGGATTTATTGATATTGCCTGCTTCTTTTAATCGCTGCCCTGAGTTCAACGTGTTTCGATATCTTTCTGATCCAGCCAAATCCACAATTGAAAACTTGGAGACTGTAGCATACATGGGGTCTTCAATCACATAATTATGTTCATCAATAGGCACACGGACAATACGAATAGTAAAGATACTATGGCTTCGACTGCTAGTATAGTTTGTCATGGTCGCATATTCTGCTCTGTTCTTTTGTCCTTCCAACAAAATAGCATATGCTTCTTCTATCGTCTTGACTTTGATTTCTTTCAGTCCTGAGATATATTTGTGTCCACTACTGTACTCGTATTTGAGAGAAAGAGGTTTTCGCTTAGACCATCGGTCAGGTGAGACCAATAAGTCATACATTTTTTCTGTATAAATCTCTGCAAATGAGACCCAAATACCATATTCAAAATGAGTATCAATCTGAAGTGTGGTATTGTCTCGGTGAGTAGGTGATTCCCAATGTATCTGAGCAAGGATATCTCTGTTCTCTTCTGAGGCATGTGTGTAGGTCTGAACTAGACTGTGCATACAAGGCTTGACTTGAGCATCACTCTTGTAGTGATCAATACTGTTGAATATCACATCCAGAGTACGGGGTAAGAGTCCAGGCTGTTCTGGTGTGCCCATAATTGAATAAGTTTTGCCTGAATTAGTGACACCATAAGCAAAGATCAATGCATTTTCACCATGCAAAACGTCATGGATAAGTGAAAGTGTTGTCTTGTTAAAAAATTGTTCTTGAGAAACAGATTCAGTAAAGATCTTGCTAAACTTGTATTTCTCAGGCGATCTGTTTCTTGTGCGATATGCATTAGAATCCTATGCGTAATGAGTTGATGATGCAAGATACAAGTACTTACTTCAGGTGGGGTCATGGACACTTGTACATCATCCACAATATCAAGATAAGGTGATTTTGTATCATAGTGTGTTGATTGAGGGCGAATTCTCAAGTAAGCCTATACAGTAGAATAAGTTTAGATTGAGATGTTAGGTCTACTTGCCTTGATGGGTTCCTTCTCGGGATCGTGTGTCATAAAGCTGCTTGCATGTCGAGTAAGCGAGCTAAAATCAAGTGCTTTAGGAGGCTTGAATTGAGGTCTGGAATGATTTGAAATATGAATAAACGCGGGTGTACGATGAGGTGTTGTACTTGATCTTCGTTGTTGTCTATGAGGCGTGCCCCTTATATCTTGTGAGTTCATGAAAGAAACAAAGAAGAAAGAGAGGGACAAGAAAAACAAAAGTCACAATATAAAAAGAAGCGCGTGTCGCATGATGATTGATTTATTTTTATTTCTTCTTTCACTATTGATGCCACCACAACAATTACCTCAACGTAATGAGATTGTAGACTGGTACAATTCTATCCCACCTATTACGAAGGCTCTGTTTACACTCACCATAGCCACCACCACCATCTCTGGTTTAGGTCTGATTCAGCCTTCTACTCTCATCTTGTACTGGCCTAATGTCAAACACAAATTACAGGTAAAGTTATTAACGAAACCCAACATTCATCACTGATGCTATCTTGAAAAAAAAAAAGCTATGGAGACTAGTGACATGTTTCTTTTTCAACAAGTTTAGTATTGGTTTTGCTTTCAATACGTATTTCTTGTATCGTAATTCATTACAGTTGGAGAATGAAGTCTTTTCAGGTCAGCCAGCCGACTACATGTTCTTCCATCTCTTCACTACAGGATTGCAGCTGGCTGCAGCAAGTATATTTGGTATCTATGTCCTGAGTGATGGTCTGTTGTTGTCGGTTGCCTATCTTTGGGCACAACATCATCAGGAACAGATGGTGTCATTTATGTTTGGTGTCCAATTCAAAGCTATGTATCTTCCTTGGGTTATGATTGCCTCTGATTTCTTAATGTCAGGTGGTGTCCTTCCTAGAGCATCTATTGCTGGTCTTGTATCTTCTCATGTTTATCATTATTTGACACACATCTATCCAAACCAAGGAGGAAGACGTTATCTTCAAACACCCAACTTTTTAAAACGATTATTTCCATCAGCTCGAGGTATTCGAAGTGGTGGTTTTCGTGCTGGATTCAGTGGCAATGATGCATCAAGAGGCCAAACAACAGGATTTATGAGTGGTCATCGTTGGGGACCAGGAAGACGGTTGAATTCATAAAAAGTTGCATAAATCCTACCCAAATAAAACTCAGCAGACTTTTTTTTTGCTACGTCACCTTTTTCTGTTGCTTATTTTTGCTTGGTACGTTGAGCGGAGACAAGGAGAGGGGGTAGCAACCAGGTCAATTTTTTTTCTCTCTTTTTTTTTTTCTAATCCCTTTTGGCTGTGAAATAAACCCCCCTACTCTCTTATTCAATGTTTTCTCGGATTGCCGTCAACGCAGCAAAGCGATCAGTTCGTTCAGTTGCTCAACCTCAGGTACGCCACTTGTCACTAAATATATTTTTCAACTTACATGGGATATAGGCTCGATTCGCCTCTACCAAGCCTACCATCAGTCAAGTACGTAACATTGATATAAAAAAAAAGAATAAGGCAACTTTTGCAACCTGTCGATCTAACCTTCATTTGTAACAGAAACCTATGCAATTCGGCCTTGTGACTTCTGCTATTGTTGGTACCACTGCTGCTGCTTACATGTATGCTGATGTGTCTGCCAACATGGCTGATGAAGGTCTTCACCCTCCTTCTTACCCCTGGCCTCACAGTGGTCCTCTCGATACTTTTGATCATGCCTCGTAAATATGTTAATGAACACAAACAAAGATGACTTATCCTATTCCATAGTATTCGTCGTGGTTACCAAGTCTACAGAGAAGTCTGTTCTGCTTGTCACTCACTTGACCGTATTGCTTGGAGAAACTTGATTGGTGTCTCTCATAGTGAGGATGAAGTCAAGGCAATGGCTGAAGAATTCGAATATCAAGATGGCCCCGATGACAATGGTGATATGTTTATGAGACCCGGCAAGGTAAGATTGTGTGTGTAGACATGCAAGGGGCAATAGACTTATGGATACATGTAGCCTGCTGATTATATGCCCAAGCCCTATGCTAATGAAGAAGCTGCTCGTGCTGGTAATGCTGGTGCTTTGCCCCCAGATCTCTCTTTGATCACCAAGGCTCGTCACGGTGGTGAAGTAAGTTGAAGAGAAAAAAAAAAAGAGAGAGAGAGAGAGACGGAAAAACTGATGATGATGGATTAGGACTATGTCTTTGCTCTTTTGACAGGTTATGTTGACCCCCCAGGAGGTGTTGAAGTCCGTGAAGGCTTAAACTACAACCCTTACTTCCCTGGTGGTGCTATTGCCATGGCCCGTGTCCTTTACGATGGTCTTGTTGAATACGAAGATGGTACACCTGCCACTACTTCTCAAATGGCTAAGGATGTCTGTACCTTCCTTGCTTGGTCTGCTGAGCCTGAACATGATGAACGTAAGAAGATGGGTATGAAGGCTACTGTCATCTTGGTTGGTTTGACTGCCTTGTCTATCTACCTCAAGAGATTCAAGTGGGCTCCTATCAAGTCTAGAAAGATTGTCTACAAGTAAGTCTTTATACACAGAGTAACATTTCACTCATTCTTCTTTTTAGCCCTCCTAAATAAGTCATACACATTCACAGATCAGATAAAAATAAAAAACTACATATATATACATATAAAAATATATTTTATTTGAAAAAAGGGGGGGAGTGGGGGTATAGTTTTAATGTCTAAAGAAGTGTTTAACTCTACTTTTGAGTTTATATTCATGAGGAATATCTTGATTGTATTCTAATACAGCACTGGCCATGAATTCTAAGAATCGCTGACCATATTCTGATGGTTTAACTGCAGAAATAGCATGTTTGTCTTGAGTGAATGATTTATAAACATGTTCAGATTTCTTTTTGATATCATAAGGTGTCAAGATATCAATGATACCAAGCGAATAAAGGACAGGTAAAGGACGATCTAGTTCGTCTGTTGCTTGAAGACCACCTTCTTCAGCATAAAATACACAGTTACGACGTCTAAAGTAATACGTATCAATATCAACGTGAATAAAATAACAATAATAATAATAAGGCTTACTCTTGAGCATCTTGTGGTAATTTAGATACGTCCAGTTTATTGGGATTGGCTTCTGCAATGGCTTCACGCACCACCTGTGCTTTACTTGTACGTTTTTTCATCATTGTAATTCGTCTTTGAACAGACCTTGTATTGGGTTGGAATGACTGGAGTGTTGTGTCACGTACATTGTCTTTATTTCCGCGCAGCATATCATGGACACCAATCAGTAAACTATAGTCCATGATATTCAGTTGGGCTAAAAGCTAATAATCATGTCAAATTCTGCCTAATCAACATATCTACTTACAGTCACATCACGCACAAGCTGTCCTACAAACATACGTCGTTTTTGAGGTCCTAACTTGAGTTTACGTTCTCGTTTAACCCAGTTTTGATCTTTCATAACTGCATATGGGTTCTTGCGAATATCTTGTTCTGGTAAAAATCGACCAAAAGTAGAACCCTGTTGTTTTGTCAGTGAATGTTTATCTAAAGAGAGACTTCTACCTTTAAATCATAGGTTTCGTGAATATCCTTGTTAGGAGGAAAAACATTGCTCATGACGACAAAATGGATTTTACGTCCATGAGGTAATTTAATACGGTGTAGACCATAATAGCGACATAAAAGTGTACTTGGATTCTCACTGATATGCTATTTCACAATCATCAGTTTTTTTTTTTTTTTTTTTGTTTTGCTTTGCTTTGCTTTATTTGTTTTTACCTGATGATATTCTTTAAGGATTCTTCTCATAAATTTATGTTCTGTGTAATGAATTGTTTTGATAATAAAACGATAGTCTTTTGAATAGTAAAAGAAACTGCCACTTTTACCAGGTGAACCTAATTCAGACAAAATGTATTTACTTGTCAAAGAAATCTACTTGTGTGTTAAGAATAGATACATACATCAAAGCGTCTTACCAAATAATCGGCTGGATCCACGCCAAACTTCTCTCTTAGGCTACGAAATACCCAAGGAGCATAATCTTTAAATTTGAAATCATATTTAGCACCGGGTGTCAATTCATCACCAATCACATCAAAAGCCAATTTGTGAGCAGCCACATAATCTTCATCCGTAAGGGGACGATCCATCTTGGCTGTCACACGACTGACTGCAATACGAATACCAGTCAACATGTTATACATGAGTACATAGTTTTGATGCCCTTCGGAAATACGGGTTCCGATCAAGACACGATCATCGTCTTCCGTATCCATCAGACGAGAAAGTCGCTTAAATGTCTTTTGGCGTGCTGTTAATTCTTTTTGGAATTCTTCTGAACGTCGCATCAGACTCAAACGCTCTTTATCAGCCATACGTTGTCTTGCTGTCTTGAGAGCATGGCCTGTCGTATGATGTCGACCCAATGTGACAGTGTGTGTTGGTTCTGTTTCTTCAATGGTATGTTGGGATGATAGAGTAGAGTGTCGTTTCAAGATAATCTGTTCCAGTTTATCTTCATGAACAAGACAGAGATGTTGTGACTCGGGTGTAGCAATAGGTGTAGGGAGATAAGGTGTAGTAAAAGACCGTTTTTCATCTAAAATACAAGAAGCAGGTGATACTGGTGGTGATATATCTAAAGGTTCTTGAGCCATTTTAGAATCAGTTTTAAAATGTTTACGTTTATTGTCTGCCACCGCTGGTGTTCCAGTATGAATAGCAGTATTCTCTACTTCGTTTTTATTGTTCCAATGGATTTTAGTAGGCGATGTTGCAATTTCATCTAAGAAAGACATGTTGAAAAGAAAAAAAAAAAAATAGAAAGCCAATTTTTTTTATCTAGTTTTAAATAGATATAGGTACGGTTACACGCATGTGTGTAGCCTTCCAATTAAAGCAAGTATCAAAACGATTTCAAAGCCAAGAAATTTTATTATTAGAAAGCTACGTCACATGGCTTTGAAGGTACATTGCGCATGAATTGATTGATTCACGAAAGTAAAGTTAATTTGTAACAATTCTATCTGAATCAATTGGACAATAGATAGTTTGACTTTCATTGAAATTAAAGATTCGGGTTTCATGGCTTGATTAGAAAAGAGTTGATTCCAGACTATTTTAGATACCCAACGGTGTCCTTTGAGTCCTGGATGGAAACAATCAAGATTACTACAAGAGAATGAGAAAAAAATACTATAATAATGGAAACTTGCCTAAAGAAATCAATAGGAAAACTGGTGATGTTAAGGTTGGCTTGTTGATAGACCACAGCAAAATCAGCAGACTTGTTTTGTTGATGCTTTTCGTAAATATCGTAGAGTCTTTTATTATAATCTACCATATCGTGTGAGAGAGCTATATTCTTTTTTTTCTTCTTTCTTTACCTGCTGAAAGTTGATCCATTTTCTCGAGTCCTCCAGGGACACCAGCACAATTACATTCACCTAAGTTATAGTTGACTCTAACATTCGTGGTCATAGGTGAACAATACGTCTGATTGGCTGTTAAAGGAAAAATCTGAGAGACATTAAAAGTGCCAATCAAGTTCACCAATACTTTGGGAATATTTTGTTGAATTCTATCAATGGCAGCATTCACATAGTTGCCATAGCTCTCGGGCGTAGTATAATTTACTTCGTTTTGTTCACACGAATTGCACATATCATTACTACCAATTTGAATATTGATCATTTTCCAATCATTGTCAAAATCCAACTCTGTAATGACTTTCATTTCTATTGACATGTTATACATCTGTGTGTAAGAAGTGTTTATCACTTACCTTGAATCATATAGTCTAATTGGCGGTCCAAGTTCTTTGCAATAGCACCACTTAAAGCAGCATTGAGTTGGTCATCTTGGGCCGTGTCTATAAAAGGAAAAAATGAATATTGATGTCATTCTAGCATGTTGTCATCCCAACTCACAAGAAACAGAACAATTGTTGGCTATACAATGTTAGAATGATATTGTAGGGAAAAAAAAGAGACGGCTTACCACTACAGCTGTGAAGGGTATGATTGCCATTGGAGTAACCTGTCAAGGATGGCTGATAATGCTTAATGTAATTTGGTACTGTAAAAGCACCTTCTTGACCACCGCCACTATAACTAAGACCACGGTATTCAGTAAATGAATCCAAGAGTGCAATTGGAGAAGGAAGAGTGATGTTATAACCCATAATACCAAAACCAGCAGTAATACTAAACTCGTGTGTCAGTATAAGTTGATATGCCAATACAAGGTTTTTTTTTTTACCTATCGCCTAATGCACCTACTACCTTAATATCATCGGGACGAAGGTCGTGCACATCTCTTGGTCCATTACGAGGTGTCAAGGCTGGACAGTCTTCAATTCGAGTCACATTTTTAGCTGCATTGACAGATGTAAGAGTCACCAATGCCAAAACAAATAAGCATGTAAGCCTCGCCATCGCAACGAAATAAACAAAGAAAAAAAGAGGGAAAAAAGGTGAGAGAAACAAAAGGCAAGAGCGTGGCCATTTATATTCTTGATATCATCATCATCGTTTGCGGACAAGGAATATTTTTTGACTTCAGGACAAAATGAGACCATGGTTTAACCGGTGGAACGTATCTTATCAAGGGTGCTTAAATGACGTCTTTAATGTCTTACTCTAATAAGACACATACTGCGATACATTTTATTAGATTACAGAACATATATTCTTTTTATGTTTTCTGTTTTCCTATCCATTGCTATCTTCCCGGCAGGAAATGCTATTGGGTCAAGGATCGGCCCGAAACTATCTCGATTGTAGCACATGAAAGTCATCATCATTGTTCGGAAAGAGATTCTTGGCAGAAGAATAAAGTTCAGCGTACTACAAAAAGAAAGGTTGTTGCAGAAATACTTTGCATTAGAAGAGTTTTGGAAGTTTATTTCACACATAACAATATCAAAAAATGGAAAAGAAAGTTTTCAATCAAGCTCAAGTATTATGTTGAACAGGAGAAAACACGGCTTTGAGCTCACCAGACAAGCACGCCTATCACAAAGATTTGTGTAAAATACGTACATAGATTCTACTTGTTCGGGACAACATATTTCATACATATGCTAAAGGCCATCTTTCATATAGTATATATCATAAAGATGAAATGTATTTTCGTCCCTTTGACCCTTTTCATATGCAAATATCCTCTTTCTTTGATCTAGTGGTGTTAGATGTGTTTTAATAAGGTATTCTATTCGAATAAACGGCCTGAAAGTGCATTACTTGTTTATGTAAAAGAGACGTCAGACAAATACATTCTTCAAGCGTAAAAAAGACAAGAATTCATACAGATCTTCTCCGTTTTCTTGAGCATACAGAAGTAGCATAAAATCTGCCTATACACACATAAATGCACTAAATACCTACAAACTATGTTTTCTAACATCCATGGTACATTTGGAATTGATTTCGACCAAAAAAACGACTTGTGGAAAATGGCCAAATATACCTTTTAACCAATTCTACCTCAAATACAAAGCTTTAAGATTGGAAATTATTCAAGGCCTATTACTCATGATCAGACACCATTTAATAGCAAGAAATAGCAAGAAATAGCAAGAAATAGCATGGATGAGTAGTATAGTAAAAAAAAAATTTGTATAAAAATTTGCATCTTAGATTTTTAAAATTAATTTGCTCCTTACCGTAATGGATTTATAGAAAACAGAAAAACCAAAAAAAAAAAAAAAAAAAAAAAAAAAAAAAAAAAAAAAAAAAGTTAGTCTTTTGACCCTTTTTTTTGACAATATATGCAAAATTTATGCAAAATTTATTAATTTTTTTGACAACATTTTTAACAACATTTTTCTTTTTTTTTTAGTTCTTTTAAAATCAAAGACACTACAGCATAAGTGATGGAAGAGTTATGCATTCAGAAATGGAGAAAAATGCAACCGGTTACGCTGCAGTGAGAGTGTATCTCTTTTGCCTAAAAATGTTTGTTTTCTAGAAATGTTTTTCTGTTGGCACAAATAGCATAGTTGCACATTGGTTTTGATTTTTTCAAACTTATAATTAAAGTTTGTTAATTTATTGATATTATAGAAAAGGTCCTTTTGAGCACATGGTTCAATGTGGCCTTTGACTGCTCGAACTTGATCAATTCATAAGAATGACTATACCAAGCTAAAAATACCTTGAGAGAACAAGGGAAAAAAAGGGATAGAGAGGAGAGCGTCAATCTAATGGTATTTTTGGATGCTTGTTTGGAACCTGAGAAGAAATAGAAACATTTGCTTGGATGTTGGAAGGAGTAGATTATTTGTGATAGCATGTTACATAGAGATGATTTTGGATAAAAGCGAATACATAAATGCTCATGTGCTACTCCAATAAAGTACAGAGCGAGCAGTCTTGAGTGTTTTTATGAGGAAGCAATCTGCAAATCTCTGAAAGACAAAGAGCTTGGTCAAGGACACTTTTGCATTCTCTAAAGCCACCTTGAGCAGTGTTTAAGGACGATACTTTTACCTTGGAGAAGTTCTTTGATGCACGCTTTGAGCGTTTTTTCTTCTGGAACTAGTAGTCAGACTAGTTAGGTAGTAATTGACTGGATCAGTTAAGTTCCCTTTCTTACGAATTGGGACTACTTGTGCTACTCGTCAACAGTGAGGTGTGTATGGCCAACACCAATATAGATCAAAAATATGGAAAATCAGGAGATCACTAAAATCTGTGATATATATACAGAAACTAAAGCTAGAGCCATGAGGAAAAATCACGATAAGAGCCGTAGATGTCAGGAACTTCTCATGAATGTAATGGATCTACAAAAAAAAAAAAAAAAAAAAAAAAAAAAAAAAGTATTCTAAAGTCTGCCAACATTTATGCCGACATGCAAGTATGCCATTTGTGTACTCAAAAAAATTTTTTTTGAAAAATAATAAAAACCACTATTGTAAATTAAATCAAGAGTGTTTTCTGCAATGACAAAAAATAAAAAAGAAGGAAATTTTCCAATTTTTCTGCTTAAAATTTTAAAAAAAGCTTCTTCTTCAATTTTTCTGTTCTAAAATAAAAAACGAATCTACCGGATGATAATCTTACTGTTTTAGTTTAAAGAAGAGATTACTGGTTGGTAGACTCGGTTTTTATTTCAAAACAGAGAAATCCAAAAACAAGCTTTTTTTTTTTAATTCAAGCGGAAGAACTAGAAATTCTCTACTTTTTATATTTTTTGTCATTGCAGAAAATATTCTTGATTTATTTTACAAGAATAGTTTTATTTAAAATGGCAGTTTTTATTATTTCTCAAAAAATATTTTTTGAGTACACAATTGGCATACTTGTAATTTCGGTATACCTGTTGATATTTTTATTATTTTTGA